CATACCTTCTTGGCCAGGAGGCCAGTTTGTCACGCAGGGGGCTAGAAAGGATGCCCCGCTGCGAAGGTGGATGGCCACATGCCTTCTTGGCCAGGAGGCCAGTTTGTCACGCAGGGGGCTAGAAAGGATGCCCCGCTGCGAAGGTGGATGGGGGGGGTCCGGGGGGGGCTTGCCCCCCTTGGCCACATACCTTCTTGGCCAGGAGGCCAGTTTGTCACGCAGGGGGCTAGAAAGGATGCCCCGCCGCGAAATAGCAGACCGGATTTCGCCTTCAATGCTTATCGCAGGAGCCTGCGGGCCGCCGCGGGCGACAGTAGTTGTCCGCGGGCCTAAGCTTTGAATGCGAATCCGGAAGCCCCCGATGACCCGCGATAGATGGCGATACTTACTTTCAACCTATGCGCACTAAAACTAGCAGCGTCGACTGACATCCCAGCCGGCCGCGGCCATGTTCTGGAAGCGACACATGTGGACCCTAGTCTACGTGTTGCGGTCGCGGCCCTAAAGGGCCGCGAGCACAACTGCGGCCCGCGACCCAAGAAGAAGAAGTGGGATTCTAATTAAAAGAAATGGTGGTGGCAGCCGCGCGGCGTCGCCGCGCGGCTGGTTTGGCTTTCGCGCTGGTTAGATTTTCGCGCACGCATTTGGTTACCAATATCGCCCTCCGGGCGCGATCTTCATAAGACCTAAAGTGAACAAACATCTTCCGGCATGATGCGCCACGAACACAACTCACAACGGTCGGTGCCATTCAGATTTTATTTCCTGCTAGGAGTAGAACTCCAAAAGCAGCTCGCCCAAATCGTCCCTTTCTTTCTCAATTTCACAACTGTACCAAATGGCCTTATTTGTCCGAGATGGCATTTGTAGGTCTGAAGTAGATGAATGTAGCAAAGTAGTCATTGACTAATAACTCTTGTGATTCAGCATCCGGGGTCGAAAGGTTGACGAGCCCTTTCTTTCATTTTTTTTTTTGCGCACGACACCCGTTGTAAGTACAAGGGGTGCATGTTGACATGTGTTTATTTCTTCATTCTGTATTCTCTTGTCCGAGCAAAATAAACGCTTTTCATGAAGTTAAACCGCTCGACGTAGTGGACGTAACATTCATTTACATGCAAAATTTGTCTTCGGGTTGCATCATGAAAGGTCATTATATGGTGCGTGAGGTGCACAATATTTCCAAGCTGATCTTGGCATCCATCAGCCCTTTGCCCCCGCTTTGTCTTCCATTTCCATGAGCAGCGGTGCTCGGCGGTTGCTTCCGTCGGATGCCGTGTGTATATCGTCCGACGACCCCGTATCGGAGCTGCAGACCGAAACGAGGACCCGCTCCTGGCGATCGGTGGTGTCCCGTTTCCGCTTGCCCGTCGCCGGGCCGGCGCTGCCCTGCTCGGAAAACTATGCATTGCAAAAGTATCATACTAGTATAAATCGCATGACAAATTAGCTCAGCGTGACAAATGGAATTTGTCATGCTGTTTTACCTTGGGGCGAAGATTTGTAATGCATGACTGCGATTACTACGAGTACGACACTTTTGCACAGGATAAAAACCAACCAAAAACCACGACCCAACTGACGACCACCAAGGCGCCTAGGTATCACACTGAAAAAAACTGGCAGCCAGTTCATATTTGTAATGCAAAAATAAATAGACAAGAGAATTTGTGTTGCATATCCTAAATAGCATGCTACGAGGTCGCCCATGACAGATTTTTCTGTGTGTTTATTTTTGCATTACAAATATGCCCTGCCAGCTTTTTGCTGTGGGATACTATGGTGAGTGTGATGATCCGAGTGGGCGAGTAGTCGCCTTCCGGCGGGTATCAAATGCAAATAGGTCTGGGTCTGGAAAGATGCAACTTGTGACGCTGGCTTTGGATTCGAAACAAATTTGTGTTGCGTGCACAGCAAAGGGAGTCCAGGTTTTGCTATGCGGAGAGGGAGTTTCTCATGCGGAATGGGCCTCAAGAAGGACTCAGAAAATCTGTGATGCTAGGACACACATCAGAGACATCATGCGTCATGTAAAATGTGCAGGGGAAAGAACGTTGCGCTTTTCCAGACCCAAACATATTTGCATTTGATAGCGGCCGCACCACGGTGACCTCCCACAGACAGAGGACCACTGTACACACGCACTGCCCCACGTTTTTCCACAGCGACGAGAGATATTTTACCTGGATAGATCACAAAGTGAGTTTTTTATTCGCAGTTCCACCTGTTGGGCAGCAGCTCTTGGACAGCATTCTAGTAAGAAGTAGCCATGCGCACGGATCATGGATGTCGTGGCTTCACTCTTTCTTTTTCCTATAGAAGGCGTGGCTCTTTCCACTTTTTATTTTTTTCAATATTTAATTGACAATAAAGATCGCCTACCAATAGTCCCGCCTGCCAGAAGGAGATGACCATCCAGAGTAGCGTGTAGAACACCGACAAATCCCAGCCGGCGAAAAATCCACGGTCGTACACCTGCAGCACGCCTTGGCTCCACTGCTCCGCCTTATCCTCCGGAAACAAATAGCGATACCCCCGAAAGTCCTTCTCTGGGCACACCGAAGGGCTGCAAACGCGGTCGCGGGAACCCGGCGCTATCGGCAACCCCGGCGCTGTGGCTCCCTGCAGAACTACAATCGCGGTGCTGTCAAAAATCCTGGTGTTTTTATCTTTCGGGGAAGTACTAGCTACGCGAGTGTCGGCCGGTAATATTGAGGTGTCATCTACTTCGCTCGAAGCGGTAGCGGATTCTACTTTTGCCGCAGCTGCGTCCACCTCGTGTGATGTGTCTCTTTCTCCACTACTCGCAAAATTCTCGTCATCTTTCCGCTTCCATCGGTCGCTGTTTCTGTGCCAGAATTGCGTTAGCTCGTTGCGGAAGAGAAGCTTGTCATTGGGTGAGGATTCTATTCGCCTATTTTCTGCTGCAAGTTGTGATAGCCCCTGCTGTAGTTTCTGTTGCTCTCCTGCGGCGAGCGCACTATTGCTGATAGATGGACTACTACTACTGCTACTACCCGCACTATCGGTTGTTGAACTTGAAATTTGCGCTACTTCCTGCTTTTCTGGAAACAGGTGTTCTTGAAACGCGGTTTCTACTAGCGCGCTGTACTGCCACCGCGGTGGCGTTGCGCTGTCCGCGTGTTCCAGCCCCCGAGCGCCGAGCTCCTTCTCGCTCGATACCACCACTGCAGAGGACCAGCGTTCCGATTGCGACGTGGTGTTGGTCGACCGGAACCGCAGCTCCCAGCGCTGCTGCGTCTCCGCGAACAGAAAGCACGCCTCGCGTCCCAGCGAGAGGCTCTTGCAAAACGGATCTGTACCGAGATCATGTTGACTACTTGATGTGCTGTCACCTGCTGCTCCCGATGGCGTCGTAGTACTAGAAGCTGGACCGAGAAAGTGGAGGCTTTGATGTTCTGCCGCGACCGGGGAAAGAGAGTTTGTTTCGGTTCTACTTGCGGGGGCTATCAGTTCTATAGTTGACTCGTGATCTGCATGCCTTTTGTTGTCGTCCCCTTCCATTGCAAGACTCGTCCCGCCGTGAACTTCGCCGCTGCCCCCGCTCGGACCGACGAGAGCGGGTTGATGAATATTATTATTTTCAATGCTTGATGTTTTAAAACCCTCCCTGCTCTTCCGGACATAGACCCCGAGCCAGGTATCCGGCAGCTTGTCCGCCACGAATGCCACCTGGTCGAAAAACTCGGTGGCGCCCACGCACTTCAGCTGCCGGGCGTACGGCGCGTACAGCGCCGCTCGCCGCGCACTCTCCGCAACTTTCGCGAGCCTCTCCAGGGCGATGTGGACAGTCAAGTCCTTCCGCTATGAGAGTGCACAACTGGTCCCCCTCCCCGTTAATTGGATGTTGCCATCCACAGCAACACAAGCTCCGGCGCAGATGCAGCTTTGCATGACAAATTGACGACCGATTTCATTTTCTAGTGCTGTTATGGATCATTCCGGAACCTGTCATGCGAGCTGTCCCAATAGGCAACTGGTGACCATTTGGTATTTTGCATGACAAATAAGGGAGAGGTGGGGGAGTTGTGTACCACTATCATATTCGCTCGCCAAACTCCACAAACTCCTCCTGGTCGGCTATCCTGAGTAAAAACGTCCCCACACCAGAGTTGTAATGCAGATTTGCAAAGACAGGAAGACTTGTAATGCGCATCCCCATGAGAGCCATTTCCAGTCGTGTTTTGGAATTTGTGATGCTGTGAACAGGATGAGCAGATGAATCTGTGATGCGGGCTGCACTTGCTAACCTGCACTACACTGCATAGTGCAACTTGTCATGCGTGACTCACAAAACTCCTAGGTTTGTGTTGCAAAATCCACATCCTGACTCTGGTGTGGGTACGTTTTTACTCAGGATATCGGCGGATTCCCGGAGTTGCAGCAGCGTCGCCTCCCTGTTTTCGTGAGCACTGAACTCCGCTAGCGAATTGAACCGGTCTCCGCTGTAGTCAAAAAGCTTCTGCGCAGGACCTGTTGATGTGGTTCGGTCGCGGGCAACATTTACCTACTTACTTCATAGTAAGTGGTTTCATGGCAACGAGGACCAAGGGCGCTGTACATCATGCAAAAAGCCCTTAGCTGCGCAAAGCTACGCGCTCCACCGGGCTTACAACTCCTACTACCGGAGTTTTGGTACAGACTATCGTCCGTACATACTACAACCGCGAACGATAATAAGTACTTATAGCGGAGAGGTTTTTTTTTTCTATTCAAGAGCAAGCACACGGCAGCGTACTATACCTTCTACGTCTTTCCGCACGGCGAAAACCGCCTTGTAACTGAAAAGGGAGTTTTTGAGCGCGTGCGTGGCGTGCGGCGTGTTTTCCATCTGGTCGATGACGTGGCCGAGCCAGGGGAGCGCAAAGAGCAGGACCGCGCTGACCAGCAGCCCCCCGGTCTCCTGGTGGAACTTCTGGACGTAAAAGGGCGTGTGCACGTCCCGCTTCATTATTTTTTCCGACAGCAGGCACCCGAGCACGCTGCCCAGCGACCCCAGCACGGAGATTGCGATGCCGATCCGCTTATCCATTGCAAAAGTGTCTGGGTCTGGGAGGTTGCCAGGTTTGTCATGCATATTTTTCATGACCCAGAATGTCTGCAATGCACGACCTAGCATCGCAGATCTTTAGAGGGCTTCCTGATGCCTACTCCGCATGACAAACGCCCTCCCCGCGTAGCACAAACTAGACTCCTCTTGCTGGTCATGCAATACAAATTTTTTTTAGAGTCCAAAAACAGCATGACAAACATGCATTCTTCCAGACCGAGACATTTTTGCATTTGATACCGCTGGTCGCCGTGCGGACTGCCGGCGTCCGCCCCAGACTGGTTCAACTGGAAGAGCGCCACCGACAACGCCAGCATAACCACCGCCGTGACCTGGCGGAACGTGTGCATCCGCCCGGACACGAAGAAGGCGAGGAACACGTTCATCGGGAGCCGCACTTGCTGGGTGATCTTCGCCATGCCCGCGGTGAGAAACACCATCTGCAGCATATCAAAATGAAAAATCCCCCCTCCCCATACTAAAACGGGACTTGTGTAGCATGATTTGCTACCACCAATCGCGTTGTCATGCTAGAAGGCAAAAGATGCGGACTGTAGTGCTGGCTGGCGTGGGAAAGCCTTGCATCTTTCGAATGACAGGAGGCGAGTGGAAGTGGCAAACAGCATGACAAATAGCCTGCAACTCAGGTCGCAACAATGTCTCTTGGTCTTTTCGCGATTTGTTTACGCAAATTCAGCATCACAAATGTCTTTTTCAAAATGGGGAGGGGGGATTTTTCCTCGCAATACAGCACGGCCATCGATTGAGAAATGGCGAAGAAGACCGCAATCGGCAGGTTCTGCAGCCAGAGCGACACCTCGAAGCAGTGCCGCACCTGGTCCATGCCGCCTTTGAAGAATGAAGTGCAAATGGAGAGCACCAGGGACACGCACGCCACCGTCACGGGCAGGCTCTGCGGCAGCACCTGGGGAAGAGAACGAAAGAAAGCTTAGTAATACGAAAATTGTTACGTGGTTATTGCTTTTCGAAATAGAGGGGGCTGAACTCGTACAACTATGCCTCTAGTTGTGCGTTTCCATACAAGCCACAGAGACGTATTGCGATTCTTGCCTGGGGTCGTTGCCGTTAACCTCAGGTGATAGTTCAAAACGTCGAACTAGATCAACCTGGTTCCGCAGTTTAAAAAAAAAATCAAATACCGCGGTGCCCTTCACGCAGGTATCGTTGGCCCGATTTTTCGCCACATCCACGATGACGTAGAAAGCCAGAAATGTAAACGTCTTCCAAGACGACACGCCGCCCGTGGAAGCACTAGGCATTCTGGCGTCCCGAGGACTGCGCAGGCAGTCGCGCGCGCAAAGTCGGAAAAAGATGTTCTGTGCGGCGCCTTCTTCGCTCTCTAAAGATGAACGTAGAGCCGTTTCGACAAATTTTGATAAAACTGGTCACCTACGTAGCTGCAGCCTCCTCCAATGGGATAAACGACGAAAGAACTCGAAAAAGAATGAAGGATCAAAGCGCGCGAGCGGTGGTACTAGATCATGAGATCGACCGTTTGCGGGATCACACACTGCATCTTGAGCCTTATTTTCTGGAAAACCAACACGAACCTGCATCAAGGAAGAACAGCGGATGGAGCAGCGGCACGCAATGGAGGGCGTGCCGGATATTTGAGCAAACACGCACGCGGGCTTTTAACTTATGCCGCCGAGGCCGCCAAAGGGGGGACGGTGGGCGGGGGGCGTCCGCCGTTCGGCGGCGCGACCGGTCGCAAACTCGCCCCACCTTCTTGACCCGCAGCTGGGTATCATCCCTGCGCCGCCGCCAAGGGAATGCGGGCGACGGACGGGTCGGGCGACGCCAGGAAGTCCAGAATGATCCGCACCACGGTGGGGGTGGCACGGAAAAAGTTACTGAAAAGCCGCTGCGGAAAGCGCTGAGAGTGGGCAAACAGGTGCGATCTTTGGATTCCTTTTACTTTATGGAGTCCGATCTGGTTGGACATAGCTGGAGAACGATTGTTCTACTGAATTTGCAAAGTTTTTCGCTAAATGACAGCGTGCAAAAAATCGCATAGAAAGATGATGAGAAAACCCATCACAGGGCAAAAATGGGCGCGCTTTATGGTTTTTCTATACTTTGCCAGGAGTATCTCTGGCATGTCATTTAGTAAAATTTTCAAAAAAATTGTAAAAACTGCACAACCTGGAAAAATGGAAAAAATACTAATGCGCAGTATTTGTGTAAGATAGGAATAAGAAGCATCCCAATGCTGATGGCCTTTCATCAGTGCACAAGAGCAAAAGTGCCCAGAGTGGACGTCTTTCACAGTCTCAAAAAAAATTGAAAAAAAATAACTTTAAGAGAAATTGATGAAAAAACAAGAAAACTATCAAGAAACCAGACGGAATTTTGATAATTTGCGTACATATATACTTGATTCTTAGAAATCCTAACGCGATCTTCAAATCGTTTTGCTGATCCAAGTCTTTCTTTACAGTGTGAGAACTCGAACTTCGAATCACCTTAGAACAAACTGTTGCTTTTCCGCAAACAAAACTCGCTTCCTGTCCTATAGTTTTTGATTGATCTTCTGGCTGCTGAGCGTCAAGATCGGAATTCGAAACTTGAGCCAACAGCCAGGCATTGAGAAAAAGAAAGCAAACATTGTTTCAAGTCTTTGCATTTTTCTTTACTTCTGGCGTATCGCACCCAACAACGAGAAATGTTCGCTCCAAAGGAGATAGTAGTAGTGTTCTCTCAGCGTGAATGACGAATACGAAATAAAACAAACTGCCCGACTTACATAGTGGCTTTTGTGTATTGTATTGCTACTTTCTGTTCTCTCAAGGCCCGAAACAAAGTTGGTTTAGCTTCAAACGCTGTTCTTTCCTCTCTAGTGAAACCCGGCCTGAAACAAAGAGACAAAAACAACCGAGAGCTGCATTCTTGTGTGAGGTGCATTTGCGTGTTAGCCAAGAAACAAAAGAAACCCGATTTGCATGTCTACTTGTGCATCGTGACCACAAACATACTATACTGGTGAAAATAGACACAAAAGAGGAGACTAATAGGGTAACTGGTTATCCTTCTACACAAACTCCTGCGGTGTCCGCCTATGATAGTAACTTCTCATCATGAAGAGCCAAGCCTGGCACCGCGTCAGACGACAGCTGGATTTAGGTGCCGCACTGCTGCTTGACTGCGGGCAGGTCCAGGACTAACATGACGGCAATCCCCGGCGTTCCATAGCAGAGTTGGAGCCCGTTTCTGCTGTCTGCTTCCTTTTCAGAGATGCACCAAGGTGATGCGTTTCCTGAAGGGAATAAAGCGTCACAAGTGGTCTGGAAAAGCCGCAAATCCAGCCAGAAACGGTTCGCAACAAAGCCTGGAACTGGCATTTGCCCCGAAAACCGCTGCAAAGTCGTACCGCGCCGCTGTAACCGCTGTTGTACCGCAAAAATTCGGCTTTGTACCACCACCCCACAATTGTTTCTCCCGCGCGACCAGGATCAACAGGTCCTGACACTTTGGCCGCCGCCAAAGCACCACACACCGCCAAACGCCGCGCAATTCCCGTCAGAATGCGAAATGCTGGCCGAATTCCCGCCAAATGTCCGCAAATTCCCGCTGGAGCGCCAGGACTATAGAATCTGACTCCATACACTGCGAAATTTGGTAGGATGCCCGCGCACTATCGAAATTTGCTGAATTTTCTAAAATTGATGCATGATTTTCCAGAAGACACGGCATAACATTTATTAAGTTTTTGCGTGATTCAAAAATTATTTTCGTGCTTGGCTCTCTCTATCTCATCTTACACACACGTGTTTGTACTGTACAGATGCTACCGTCTGGTCCCTCAAGGCTCGACGAGCGCCACGTGCGGACACAGCGCCGCGACACAAGCTGAAGACGCCGAGATCGTGTACGAGCACGATCGAAACCGGGAGGCCCCGCACAACGCATACGAAGCGAGCACCACATACGAAGCAAGAGACAGCGTCAAAGCTTGAACCGCGACACAAGTCTGCACACGCGCAAGTCGAAAAGAGTACGCTGCGATAGAACAGCGCTATCAGCGTACACAACGGCAGCACCTCTACACACCAGAAGCTGAAATGAAATCACATGTACATGAAGCAACATCTTTGTCACAAAAAACCAGTGTACAACACGATCAGATCACAGAATGTCCTCATCGGAGGAACCACCAATAGTATCACCATCATCACCTGCAAGCGCTAACGCAAGCTGATCAACACCATGAGAAACGTCACAAACAAGGATTTTTTTGAAATAATCATCCATACCAAAAGACTCTTTGATTTCACTGAACAGGGATGGGAAAATGCGCAACAACACTGCCATTTTGTCATCCCTTGTGGGATAGTCCGCCAGATTATAATCTGACGGCACCCGCGTGTTCCACGGCTTCATGTCGTGGCGCGCGGCCTTGGTCCAGAACTCTGCGCACAGCCGCGAGAGGTACCACTTTTGCTTCCCGCTCCGACCTTGTGACAACAAGCACTCCTGCGCGCAGGAGTTGTCGATGGCATGGTCAAACCGCTTGCCAGCCAGATCCGCCGCAAAATACTCGATAGCAAGCGGCGCCACAGCAGTTTCCAAAACATTGATTGGAAAAAGCCGGAAATCTGGGTGGAGGAGTGCGGCCCAGACGTTCTGGCGCACGCACTTGAAGACACCGTCCTGGACGTAGACTGCGGCGAGAACGCCTTTCTTCGCCGACCACTGTGCATCCGTATACAACAGTGTATTTTTCTCGGATTTCTTCTCGAAGGTGATGCCGCGCTTCAGCGGGAGCTTCATCACCTCCTTTACCGCCCGCAGCGCAAGCGCGACTGCTTCCGTGACCGCGGTTTCTTCTCGCGACATGTGCCTCCGCAGCGGCCGCAAGAGCGGACTCAATGCACGATCCGCAACTGCAGCTAACACGAATGTTAGTCTGCCTACTAACTCGCTAGCGGTGGGTCCGTCTAACCACATCGACATCAAAGCCGCGTCGCACGCTTCTACTATTTGCGCCTTCTTCTGCGGGGTTACTTCTACTGTCGGGATGTTGCCGCGCACATCAAAGAGCAGACCTAGAACCTCAAGTAGGTCTGCAACTTTGATCTTGTCCGTCATCGCAGGCAGGCCGAGCATCTGGAGCAGCTCAAGCAGTTGATCGCGAATGAGCTTGCCCAGGCCTTTCTTCACCCAATTCGGATAGTCATCGACGTAATCCTCGGAATTTAAGAAGTAGTGCAAGCGCAGCACGGAACGGAGAAGTTTACCCGGCCTGCACCACCCCGTTACGCTGTGTCTGCTTCCAAAGATGGCAGACACAGCGACGAACCGGAAGTATCTGCACACGTCGGGGTGGTAGGCTAGCAGTGTGTTGTACTTTCTGTGCTGCACTTTGATCATCAAGTTGTTATAGCATTTTGCTATGTCGAGAAGTACACACTCTAGATCATTTGTCACGCTGTTTTCTATCTTCCGCTTCTTCACACTGCTCTGCACACTGTTGCTGAAGACTGGTTTATCACTGTGCACGGGCTGCACAGCGTCTTCTTTCATCAGGTCACCGTCCATCTGGTTGATTTCCCCTTTCACAATCTTCACAAACTGGGACTCGTGCCTCTTTTCCGCTTTCCTGCACCTCTGCAAAATCTTGCGGTTGTGCTTCACAATCTTCAAACCGCTGACGCCGGGGTTTTTTGCGACTGCCGCATTGCACAAAACATCTAGTGCACTTGGTATCGGAACACGCTTGTCGAGGGGGGAGCAAGCGTTCGCAGATACCGCCGGATCTATCATCCGGATTTTCTTGGGCTGCACACGTGGAAAGCGCCGGTACCCGTGATAGATCTTCATCTGCTCTGCCTCGTTCGTAGCGACGTCTTCACCTATCGGAAACGGCCCCTGCAACAGCTCATAACCGAGCTCCGGAACCACCTTCGTTTCATCTATGCAGCGCTGCCACGTGGTGCGGATGAGCTCGTCCGACCAGGCCGGCTTCCGGTGTATTCCTTTCATCACATCCTGCACAACTTTGGACGGGGCAAAGTCTTCTACATTTCCACACATTTTGTCCTTCTTGGCCCGCGGCGACCAGTTTTCGTCGACTTCGCAACGGCCTATCATGGCGAGACCGTCTCGCCAGACGGTCCAGGCAAGCGGATCCGTACTGTGGTATTTTGCACCGAGCAATTCCCACAGGCCCAGGTGCTTGCACACCTGGGGCTTTCTAATCTCCTCGTCGATGCTCCCGTAGATTTCCATGGAGCGCACATGCGTCTGCGCAGCCCAGTCCTTCATTTGCTCGTGCTGTCTCGTCAGCAACTCTTCAGACAGGAAGGCGGGATCTGGCAAAACTGGTGCGACGTCGAAGGGATGATCCCGTATGGAATCATATTCGACTCGCTTGAGAACATTGTGCACATCTGTGGCAGTAGGTAGTGGCATGGCTTGAGAAACTTAGTGAAAAGGACTGCAGCACAGTACCGCGAAGTGATGAAAAGGCCGTTAACATGGTGATGCGTGAAGTATGTATGAATTCCATTTTGTAGTGCGTGCGTCCACATTTGCTTCCTCAGTAACCCAGTTTTGCCACCCCACGATACATTTGCGTCACACCGATAAGCTGCCTTCATAATGCACGTCTTCTTACTGGCACTGGCACAACCGACAGCGAATGCAGCATTTGCGCACTTTCTTGTACAATTTGATGTTTACACTGCCCTTTTTTTAATGAAACAGAGATTTGCAACCGACATTGCAGACATATTTACACCAGTATGAACACACTGGAGACGGCGTGTTTGCCACGCAAGTTTCATCACAAGTTTATTTTGAAATCGACTTCCATGTCACGCACAAAACATGTGGCTCTGTCTACTGAGCATTGTTCCAAAAATGTGCTGTTCTCTCGAATTTGAATTTCATTTGAAATCTGAGTTGACATGTGAGTGGTGACAAAACATGAAGTGAACCTTGTTGCAAGGTATAAAAACTAAAATTTCTTTGAAACGACATTCAGAGTCGCACAGCAGCTGCCACTGGAAAACTACTTTCTAAATTCATTAACTTGTAAATTTTAACATTTTGTAACTTGATTATTTCGTTTCGCAAACTACAGTGACAGCTACTGTGCGCTCATAAAAAAGACTCGCACGGGACGATCAACCACCTAGACCGCCGCCGCCGCGGCGGCCGGCTCCTCCTTTGCCTCGGTGCGCCACGATTCGAACGCCACATGTTCGAATTTGTTCTTGAACTTCCCTTCCTGCATCTTCTTGTACTCCGACTCAGAGAGGTCGTTCTTCTTCAAATGGCGGTAGGTGCACTCGTTGCCCCAGGAGCAGCGCCCTCCGTTGCTCATGAACTCAAAGCACAGTGGTTTCTGTCCCTTTTTGCCTTTACCTTGACAAATTCGATGTTGATCATGTGAAGTTGTAGTGTGGCATGGTTTCGCACTGTGACATCGATACCGACTAGACATGCATGACTGGCATATCGACCTACCAAGACTTTTAGACACCAACACAAGCAACAGTACCAACCTTTCTTTCCAGCTCCCTTGGAGTTCTTTCCGTACGGCGCGTACTGCCAGTTCTGCTGCTGCGTCTTTTCTAATTTCTCCTGCGCATCATTGACCTTTTTCAACGCCTCATCGATGCTGGCCTGCGCCTGCGCAGACACCGCCTTCGCCTGCTCAGTGACGTTGCGCTGCTTCGCTAACTCCTCCTGCCACAACCGGTTAAACCGGTTTTCCGCGAAGAACAGGCGCATGCGGCCCTCGTACGTCGTACCCTCCTGGGTGGCATCACTGGTGATGGCATCGGTCTTCGCCAAAATGGAACCGAACACGACATCGGCGGCCTTGGTGCCCATGGACGTCTTGCACAACATGTACGAGTTGAGGATGGCATCACGCCGGACGGTGGTCAGGATCGGCTCACGATCACGGTGACACTTCGCGGCCATGGCGAAGAGGAGGGTGGTGACATTGTAGGGCAACTTGGCCACAACCGTGTCGTCATCCACCGTCTTACCCGTCTTCAGCACATGACCTGACGAGACGTTTTTGCGATTACTTGTAGATCTTTGAGAGAACGACATGACGAAGACAAATTTGCGCATGCTGACTACCACATGTATTCTTCAACACCGACTTTTGTACCAGACTAGTGAATGCTTTGACAAAGGCGTACCTTTCTCCCACAAGTTGCGGTCATTGCAGGCCGCAGCCGCTTTCTTGAAGGGATCTTTGGACGGCCGTAACTCCGGCATCGGCGGGACCAAGTTCTGGAACGCCGTGGTGACCTGTTCCTCTTGCCCGGCGATAAAATCGACCAGGCGACGCCCCTCCGCCGCCGGCATCGCGCCGGCAGCGGCAACACCTGAATGTAGTGACAAATTGGCATGAGAGGGGAAGCACCCTGTGATGACTGTAATTTCTACAATGTCGCGTAATGTGTGTCAAAAGCAATCTAAATTCGACAGCAGAGAAAACGACCTCGTACCAGCAGCGGCGGCGGCACCTGGGCCAGCCGCGGCAGCAGCTCCTGCATCGGCCATTTTTGCAACTCGGTTAGAAAGTGGAAATACTAGGCTTTAATTACTTCTTCCTACGGTTTCAATTTGATTTATGCATTGACGACGAAAGCAGGTTGTGACGCACACACACGGATTACGTTTTTTCTTCACATTTTCCTCGCGCTGAAGATCTTGAATTGCGGAACATTGACTTTGAAGTACACGAACACAACTAACTTATGTGGGCTATGCAGAAGCTGCCACTCGTGCCACGTGGCACGACATTTGCATTTTATTCCAACAAAAACACGGCAATAACTGAGAATCCTGCACAAGGCTGCACATGTGTTGCTAATTACACACCCGCAAACATAAGGTCGACAAACATAGATCTGGACACATGCGGAATGCTGCGGATGTAGTACAAAAGCATTTGTAAGTTTGCCCAACGACAGTGGACAATACAGCGCACGGGGTCAAGCTTAGCCAAGTAGAGATGTGTGGCGCAACCGATGCGCCACGAGTGACTTGCGACATGCTGCTCGTCTTGAAACACATTTTTCATAATTTTTGAGACATCGAGGTCGTCTTGCGTCAGCGTCGGTATGATCTGCTTAAACTTGCATACACAGAAACAACTGGGGTAATTCAACCGCGCTAGATCTTCACAAATGCACTTCACACGAACTAGGGAATATGTATTTACCTTCACACTGGCCTCTTGAAAATTGAAGACGAGGTCTTTGCCTCTGTAGCTCAATGCAATGAGACCCTTTTTCCTTGTGAACCTGACGTCAAGCTTAGCGCACTCAGATTTCCTGAGCGCGCCGTAGAAGCACAAGAGCAACACCACAACTTGGCCATAGTTTAACTTTTTTAAGTTCCAATACGCTAAAATGTGTGCTATCGTAAGTGGTGACTTCTGCTTCTTCCTCCCCAAGAAGCCTCGCCGCACAAGGGACGCCAACTCCCTGTGTATCGTCTCCTTCTCCTCACTTGATAACCTGCACTCCGGGTGGTTGAGAACATCCACCACCGCCGGTTTGACGCTGAGGTAGCCAGCCGCAAGGCTGGCTCCTATGAACATCCGTACACTGGAGAATGTCCACGGCGGACAGTTCCGTGGCAGATTGACCGCGATGCGCATGTACCTGCTGATGCGCGACTGCCGATTCGCGTCGGCTTTCTCGGTGGAAACTTTCTCGTTGAAGTCATGGAGAGCTTCTTGGAGTAACAGCGGATCCTGCGCTATGTCAAGCGCTATTTGCATCTTACTTTTCGCACTGCTTTTCTCCGCATCTGTCCGCGCGGAAAAAACCTCGTCGAGGGTGCATTGCGCTTCCGTAAGCCGCGCTACGCAGAGGTCTTTCGACACGTCTGTCGCCTCCGATCGTACAAACGGATTGTCGTGCTTTCGGTAGCACGCAATCTCCTTCCTCCCGTCTGGGAACGTCTTCTCTACCAACTTCAGCCTGGTTACATTCGGCAGCAACGCCAACAGCTGTGCCTGCGTACCGTGCAGGACACCGAGATGCTCGCCCGGTTGACACGGGACTGCGGTCTGCTCGTGGGAAAACAAGTTCCGCGGCAGTTCTTTGGACTCCTTCAGCAGACTGGTGGGTAACTTCACTCCCTCCGCTGCACACTGCCGCACGGCACGCTCCGCGACCTTGGCACCGAAAGCCTTGGTCATGTTCTCGAAAGTACTGCAATTTTCTGACGCTTGCTGCTCCATGTCAGACCGCAGGTCCGACCAGAAGTCGTCATCCGACGCGGAATCATCCATCATGGCGTGGGCGGGTGGGAAAGAAAAACAACGCCGAGAGACGAAGTTTTCGAGGCCCAGCTACCCAAACTATATACGCATCTATCTACAAGCGCCCTGCGGGCGCACACAAATATGCTGGAGCGGAGGAGCATACGCTTGCAACCCCGAAAATAAGCTCCGATCTCGTCCCTCGCCTGGTATTATTTTCGTGCTTGGCTCTCTCTATCTCATCTTACACACACGTGTTTGTACTGTACAGATGCTACCGTCTGGTCCCTCAAGGCTCGACGAGCGCCACGTGCGGACACAGCGCCGCGACACAAGCTGAAGACGCCGAGATCGTGTACGAGCACGATCGAAACCGGGAGGCCCCTTTCGCCACCACGCTCACGACAGGAGAGGGTGCCGACTGAGGCACAACAAGAAGGACTCCCACTGGCGCTCGACGTCGAGCGTGACTGAGGAAACGCACGGCTCTCGGCACGTGTAACGGGCAAACAGACACGGACAGGCCACCTACGGGCATGGTCGCTGGCGTCCAGGAACCTGGTCCTGTGACATGGGAACGACGCGGAACGCTGCTGCTCAGGCGGGCCTGAACAACAGCTCCTCGCGATGTGCTCCGCTCGGAAGCAGGAGCGCACTGCGAGGTAACGCAACAGAGGGTTGCGCACTGCCAACGGGGTGATCCTCACCGAGGTGGGGAACGACCGACCCGCAGAGCAGCAGCGCAGACGCCGAGTGCGACCTGCAGGCATGCGCAACAACTGCGACTCATGCTGCACCAACCACCTGGCACTGACTGGCCAACCACATGTCCACACGGACTACCACTGCCTGCTTGTCGCACGACAAGACACAGGACAACAGGCTGGTCGCCACACGACGACGTCAGCCCCGCCCTCCTACGGCCTCCACATGGAGGGGAGAACGGCACCTGCTGTGGGCACGGTCGGTGAAACCGTGAAGCCAAGAAAAACAACGCCGAGAGACGAAGTTTTCGAGGCCCAGCTACCCAAACTATATACGCATCTATCTACAAGCGCCCTGCGGGCGCACACAAATATGCTGGAGCGGAGGAGCATACGCTTGCAACCCCGAAAATAAGCTCCGATCTCGTCCCTCGCCTGGTACTCTCAAAAAAAGAAAAAAAAATAATGCTTGCAATTATGGATAGCCTTGTGGGATTTTAACAGTCAGCAACGTTCACAGTAGTCACATTAGAGCAGCTGTGCTATTTTTGTGAGTGTTCACAAGCAGCGCCTAAGAGATTGCGTGGGAAGTGCGTACCTTATAACAAAGGGAAAAGAAATCAGCTTTGTAAAAATATGGAAAACGTTGAAAGATCTGAGGCTCTGGGAGTCAGCTATGTATTGAAAGAAGCAGAATTGTCATCATGTGGCCAATTTGTAAGAGTGAATAGAGCCCCAGACTGCCCTGATATGGCTGTGCTGGAAATTCTTAAAAAAATCATAAAAAAATACTGAGAACAACATTGAAAAAATCATGATACGAGTATGCCAAAACGGGTCCAATGCAGCGCATTTTGTGCGACTTTAAACCGTTACTCCATCCAGAAAAGCCGACTCGATCGCGCCTGGTCGGTTTATGGTTATACTGAAAAATTATAAAAATTCCGCATCTGGAGAAAACGGAAAAACGCTCTGGGGGGGCGTGTGGGAAGGGATTGCATGTGGCCAGGGGCCTCCTTCACGTCGTTCGGGGGTCTCCTTCACTCCGCAGGAACCAACTTAACTGCACCTGTTTCAACGAGGGCCGCGTCGGAAATTTTAGGGAAAGCGGAAACATCTGCCCTGTGGTTGCATGGAAAAAAACACCGGAGCGCCGTGCGCAAAAGGGGCTTGGGCGTTCAAAGCGGCGCGCTTTTGGACCGTCTTTCACCCCGCGAACGCCGACTCGGCTCCCTGTTCCGGAAGCCGGCGGAGGGAGCGACCGCGGTTCTTGCGGAATGGGCCCGCTTCGTGCTTGCGCAGAGAGCGCTTCTCACCCGGAAGCCGCAAGGGCGCTTTGACCTCGTCGCCCGATCGGGAACTTCGGAACATTGTCATTACTTTTTGCGGCGCTCGGCCGCGCCCTATTTTGAAAAAAACGATACCGACTGGCTTCACCTGCACGCGAGCGCGTGCATTTGACCTCCAGACTATTAGCGCACTGCACGAAAGAACAGTCGGTGAACAAGATGAGAGAACCATGTCGAGACCGAGAGAGCAAGTAGAATTAACACTCAGCAAGAACACCTACACGCAGCATTCGCTTCCAACCGAAGCTTGTTTACTATTTGCAAATCTTCTCGGAAAATGAACGCGACCGAATGATTTCATTGTCTTGCCCATCCGGATGTTGAACTCCGCAGGCTATTAAAGCAAAACGCACTGTACTTCCCACCCAAAGCAAATTCCTTCGCACGCCGACCCGCGGCGCCTCCATCTTCTGTGCATTCCATCTTGAAGAGCGAGAGGATCACCTTCTTTTCATCGGAATATAAACACACTTTATATTTTGGAAAAACACTGTATAGGTTTTGTGGAAGAATATTATGCAGGGAAACAAGATGTTGGAAGAAGCAGTGAAGCAGGTGGCGAACCGAGTCCGCGGCGCGCTCTGGGGAATGTACATGGGCGACGCCCTGGCCATGCCGGTGCACTGGTACTACGACCGGAACCGGCTGCGGCGGGATTTCGGGCAGATCACCAAGTACGAAAAATCGGTCCCCGAGTTCCCCGGCAGCATCATGAACCTTTCGAACACGGGCGGCGGCGGGCGCGGCAGCGACCAGGGGAGCATCATCGGGGACGTGATTCTCCACGGCAAAAAGAAGTACTGGACGCGGGGCGGAAGCTACCACTACCACCACGGCATGGAGGCGGGGGACAACACGCTGGACACCATCCTCGCGCGACTACTCGTGAAAACCATGGCGGACAACAAAGAGCTGATCACGCAGGAGTATCCTGTGCAAAAGTATCGTGCTCGTAGTAATTGCATTTATGCAATACAAATCGCTTTCTCAAGGCAAATCAGCATTACAATTTGCAGTGCTGGGCTATTTTGTAATGCATTTATGCGAGTGCGATACTTTTGCAATCCATAAGGAGCAGCGCCCAACCAAACTGGTCGACGCCTACCTGGAGCTGTACGTAAAGTTTATGACCACCCCGGACTCTATGGAAGCGTCAGGTTTGAAATCGACAAAGTTGAAATGACTTGTCATGCACAAAATGCAAGGCATGAAGTGCCAGTCTTGCCGGGACGGCAAGTGAGGCCGCCTGTCAGCCTGTTTAGGGTTTGAAATAGAGCTGCTAAAGTAGCATGACAAAAGCAGTCGCCTGTGACCAAACAGCATGACAAATTCGATTATGGTTCTCGGGAAATCTGTCATGCACCGCTTAGAAATTGGGCTTTCAACTGGTATCGATTTTATGCATTACAAGTTACTTATTTCAACTTTGACGATTTCAGTCCTGACGCTTCCATAGACTCGCACAAAGACGTCTACGCCGCCACGGCGCACCGCATGTTCTTCGCAAACTGGATATTGAGAGGAAAAATCCCCCCTCCCCATATCAAAACGGAAATCTGTGATGCAGATTTGTTGTCACAAATCAGCTTTGTCATGCTACACGGGAAAAGATGCGGACTGTAGTGCTGGGTGGCGTGGGGGAGCCTTGCGTCTTCAGCATGATAGGAGGCAGCTGAGAGTGGGAAACAGCATGACAAATTGCCTGCAAACGAGACCACGACTGCGGCTCTTGGCCTTCTAGCATGACAAGTCGATTTGGTGCCTCAAATCCTGCATCACAGATTTCCATTTCGATATGGGGAGGGGGGATTTTTCCGTTTGATACTGGATAAAAAAGCTCCCGCTGCGGGAATGCGCCGACAACGACGGACACAACACCGACTCCATCGACGGTACTTTGTTTTGAAATCTTCACATATGAAAGAAAATATGACGCCGGGCACCTTCTTTCTGAGACAGGCACCATGGGCGCTACTTGAGCCACGCACTACTTAAGATATGGCACTACTTAATCCACGCACTACTTAAGCCACGCACTACTTAAGCCACGCACTACTTAAGCCACGCACTACTTAAGCCACGCACTACTTAACACGGCACTGCTTAAAGAGATAGGCGCGTCACGCACTGCTCAAGACCGGCACTACTTAAGACCCGCACAGTACTTAATACCGGCACTTCTACAATTGAAGACCCGCACTAGTTAATCCAGCGTGTTGCACGACACTAGCGAAGCGCTGAAGCGATGACTTTCTCGCACCCGCGCCAGACAAGTAGACCTTGACACTATATGCTTTTCAACAATTTAAGGTATGATCAATGTGATCCCGTTTACGCTGGTTCGCGTGCTCGCCAAACCGGACGCAGACCGCAATCTGTGGATCACGGACATTATCAACGCGTTGCGCAATTCGGACGAGCTGCCCCAGTGGGGGCGGCTGTACGACGAGGTGCTCGGTCGCGTGCTGCTCGGCGAGAAACTGCGCCCGGCGATCGAGAAGGTTGCGGCCATGATCAGCCCCCAGCTGCCGCGCATGCTGCAGAAGAGCGTGGGCACCGCCGCGGACGCGGATCCCATGACCGCGTGCTACATCCACTCTTCCTTCCCGGCCATGCTGGTATTCGCCTACAAGTACGCAGACAACCCCAAGGCCGCGCTGCTCGCCAGCGCGAACGCCGGCGGGGAAAACGTGAACCGCAGTGCTATCCTGGGCGCGCTGATGGGCGCGGCGCACGGGCCCGACTTTGATTTGTCATTGAAGCAGGGGTTGGTACACGCAAAGGAATACGAAACGGAGATCGAGCAGTTTGTGTCCACGTTCAGCCGCGGGGGCCCGGCGGCGAAGACCGCCCAGGCAAGGTCGGAACTGTAGTGAGTCGAAGGCGGCGGGTGAAGAGAGGGCCGGTTTTTTTTTCGCTAGCGATGAAAGATGTTTGTTTATTGGGTAATTGTGTGCAGAAGGCTGAAAGTCGACATTTTCAAAAAAGCACTTTTATACGGTGTAAGTCTGTAGAGGCGGCCTACCTTCGAAATTATCGCGCCACCTGCTTACGCTGTGGCGCTGAAAGACATGACGCGGAGGTGAGGTAGTTTCACTTAGAATGTCGCCAGAGCAGAAGCGGCATGCACATAGTTAACTACGTTATTGTGAGTGTACAACTTCTTGTGATTTTGATGCGGACGAACTCGGCCCTTCGTCTGACGAATGGTTGAGCGAGTGCAGAAGATTTTCGGACATTCATACGGACACAAAGTGTACAATTGGACATTTGTGCAGGCGCTCTCTGGCAATGAAAAAAAACTTTTAAAGCCGAAGTACTTATAACCCCTACGGCAACTGCTCTTGCACGTTCGGAGAGTTGCCTGCCCGCAGTGTTGCCACGAAGTTTTTCATGCGCACGGGAGAGCTTTGTTCTCCCCTATCAGGGTCTTTCTGCTTTTGTCGTCATGAAATAATCGGATCCTTGAATTTTTTTGCGGCACTCCGACCTTTTTTTTTCTCACGTGGAGAATAAACTGATACGACTTCCGTGGTTCATCTTTTTCAGATCGATCTATCGCACGAGGGATCCGATGTATACTCGAAGACATGGTTTTCTTCTCGAGAAATAGTATTGCTGGGCGTTGCCGAGGCAAGCGATCTGGCTTCTATGAGTTCGCGATATAATTGCTAGCGTGAAGCTAACTCGTAAGGTAAAAAAATGCTGCGACGCGTCCACCTCTTCGTCGGTCTTTTGCTCCCCCGCAACGGGAATTGTTCAGGCGAACCAAAAATTCCCACCGCACCAGAGGAAGCAACGTCGCATCAGGAACGAAAGCCGCAGGAGTTCGAGTTAGATCTGCTGCCCACGACCGACAAGCGCGCAGCCAAGGTGCACGGCTCGTTGAAAAGTCTTCACATTGCCGGAAACGAGTGGGAGTCATTTCAATTGCGGCTGACACATCGAGAGGACCTCACGGAAAAAAAATCGAGCCCCTACTGCATCACGGACGTGACCGCGCGGATAGAAGTGGAAAGGAAGAATTCAAGAGATCGTGCCGAACCACCGGAGAAAAGCAACAACGCGTCCTCTGATCCGGCCCGGACGCCGCGTCTTTCGCTGCATGCCCATGGGGTTGGTTGGATCGATGTGAAAGAAGTTTCTGATTGCGACGGTGCTTTAGGATTTTGGCCCGACATCGTCTACCCGGTACAGGATGTTTTTCTGAAGAAAAACCGCGTGCCCGGGGAGCTGCTGTGCACCAAGGCAGGCGGCGGAGCTACTGCACAAGCTGGCGGCGGTGCGTCGGCATCTGTATCATCCGAAAAGGGTAGAGAAACAACTAGACCCGTCGTCCCGGATGTTGACAAGGAAGAAACTTCTACCCGAAGAAGTCATCCGGTCCTGATGTGGTTTGACCTTTTCCGCGAGAAGTTTACAACTCCCCTGGCGGAGACGGCACCCGCGTCGACGAGCTTGGCGCTGCAGATCGAGCTGACCCGGGGCTCCGAGGTCCAGGTGGTCGAAAAGCGGATCGCCTTGACGCTCTGGCCCTTTTCCCTACCCGACCGGTCCCGGTTTCGTACGACCTACGGCATTCACACACAGGATTCCTGGTGGCGTCGCAAAGTCGATCTGGGTCTGTTACACCGCCTCAGCTTCGGCAAGGGCTTCGCGTTTGACGAGGAGCTTTTGCGGCCGCGGAAACTGCAATTTGATTCCCTGCCGGTGGTGCGAGCGGACGAGGAGGGGAGCGAGATTTTTTCCTCGTCGCAGGAACTACTACCTGGAATTATTGGGAACGCTAGTACTACAACGGGGAAGAGCGCAGTAGAGCCGATGAGTCTGTTCGGGAAGAGAGCAGAAGGAAAAAACGCAGACGAGTCCTTCTACACGAAAGACTATGGTCATACGGGCGAGATGAAGAAGCACTACGAAAATAAATACCCAGACAGTATACGAAGCGCAACAGCAGCACGCCCAAAACGAAAACCGGTGCCAATTCAGCACGAGCGCCAGCTCTCCGCCTTCCGACTGGGGGAGCTGGACACCCTCGAGTCGCTGCGGAACTCGACGTTGCTTCTCCCGCCGGACGAGCGACGGGAGGACTTGAAATACGTGCAGCCCTTCCTCTACCCCTGCGACGAGCCGGCAGCGACGAAAGAGGCGTTTGGCTTGTGCAAAAACAGAACGGACCTGCTGCTGAAGCGGTTCAATCAGTCGATATTACAACGACCGGAAGTAGATGTTGTTGCTGGTCCTCGCAGACGTGTACTACAGCCAGAAACTTCAAATTTAAATGCAAAACAGCAGGAAAATAACGGTAATACCTTACCATCCTACCACACCCCCATCTTAATCACCACGATGTCGCACGTCGCGGAGCAACAGCGTCCCGAGTTCGTGCCAGAGAAGCAAATCCAGATTTTCTGTCCCCTGGTCAACTTTGTGCACAATCCGGACAAGCACTGCGACGACTACCCGGAGTACACTTTCACGAATCAAAGAAGCACCTACAATGTCACACAAGGCGCGCCGTTTGACGTCCTCGCGGAAGAACGCGACAATTCTGACACGATAGTGGCAGCATCTTCGTCTTCTTCAAACGGACGAGAAAAACTCGTTTCGGGAGAGGTAGTATCCTCACATACGGAAACAACTACTACACAGCAAGCCCGAAACAACACGAAGAAGAAAGTGCAGCAGTCGGAAAATGAATTTCCGCAAACTCTCTTTTGGTACATCAGCTGCATGTCTCAGGGCTGCGACATGGATCTGCCGGACAACCGGCACTCCCGGGGCTGCGTCGGACTTCCCTGCCGGTCTGCGTATCGCGAGGAAAAATCCCCCCTTTCCATATCAAATTGGAAATCTGTGATGCAGGATTTGTGTACACAAATCAGCTTTGTCTTGCAGTAGAGGACTGCTGCAGATGCAAAGCCTGAGCTGGGCCGTTTTGGTGTTGGCGCCTAGCAAGGGAGAGCAAACCGCTGCACGCCATACAGCATTACAATTTTCCCGCTAAACCCGGCGGAGTCTCTGGCTTTGTCTTCTTGCAATACCGAGACGTTTTGTGTCCGCAAATCAGCATCAGAAATTTCAGAAGTAAAAAGTATGTATTTTCAGTATGGAGAGGGGGGATTTTTCCTCAGAATACTGCGTGGCCCTCGTTCATGGTGGACACGCTTTTCGAACGGAACCGGAAGTTGCAGATGCTAGCCTACCTGTACGACGTCCGGGGCGAGCTCTATTGGGAAGTGGACCAGTTCAACAGCACCACGGACTTGTTGCACTTCGGTGGAAATGGCGACGGCCAGCTGATCTACCCGGAAGGTGGACCGGGAGAAGGCGAGCAAACAAGCGGGAGAGCAGCAGAAGAAGTAGGGGGGAAAACTGCACAAAGTGCTGGTGAAGATGGTGTCGGAACACCAGAACAGCAGCAGACGCTGGCGTCTGAAGTTGGGCCGTCCACTGCACGAGCTTTGAGTACAGGGCCCTCAAGATTGTCGTCGAACAAGGAGAAGAACGCGATTACGAACGACGATCGCATCCCGCTGGCGAGCATCCGGTTGAAACACATCCGCGATGTATTACAATGAAGAATGCCCCGACCCCCGAATTTGCAAAAGTTTGTCATGCAAGACAAGAATCTTGTCTTGCATGAAAGGATTGCGAGCATTTCTGGTGCAGAATCTAGGTGCGCAAGGTGCCTTGTGCATAACAGAGTCCTCTGCTGTTGGGCCCCTTCGCATCACAAATTCGAGCTATTCAGAATGGAAAATTTGTGATGCTGAGATATGCAAGACGGGAAATATTTCTATTGGAAAGGTTTGCAATACAAATGCTGCCAAGTCGTGTGGGGTGGGGGCATTTTTCATCGTAATACGATGGGCTGGAAGACTTGGAGTACCTCTATCTGCTGGAAGATGCTCTTCTGGGCCTGCTTGTCACGACCGGAACTACGTTGGATGGAATTACTGTTCCTCATCCTGCCATTGCACGCCAAGTCCACCAAGAACCTGCAGCTGCTGATGTTCCACTCCGTAACTTCGCCCGGAGTTTTATCATTGAAATATGCATTTCAAATATGTCTGGGTCTGGAAGTTTGCTGAGGTTTGTGATGCTGTGTCACCTTGACACGGAAGGTGTTCCATGCAAGGCCTAGCATCACAGGTTTTGAGCCGGTTTGCCAATGCTTAATCCGCATGACAAACGCCTTCTTTCGGCGACAGGAAAAGGAGCTCCCTTTGCTGTCTAAGCATGACAGATTTTTGTGTGATCCAAGTATGCATCACAAGTTCGCAATGTTCCAGACCCAGACATTTTTGCACTTGATAGGAAAACTTTGTGCGCAATTTCGTCCGCTCCACCGTGGACACCGTCGCGGTAAACGGCACGTGGATGGAGGAGAGGCGAAAGCTCGGGGAGGCGATCGGCGAGGCTCTCGCGGGCGCCGGCATTGTGGTAGAGGACTTTCTGGGTTCTTCTGGTCGTGATGGTGGGAAGGACATTGTGATCAGTGAAAGTACTGGTCAAAGAAGTGGGAAGGAAGGCATGAATAGAATGAGAAGCCCATCCACGTCTGAAATTTTCGGGAAGAAAGTCGAACATAAAGGTTTTTCATTTGACGTGAACAACAGCGAGTTGCTTTCAGCAAAACTTTCACCAAAGAACAACGCTAGAAATAAAGTCCACGAGAATTATGCTAGCCCTGAAGATCAGCAAACCGAAAGTGGTAGAGGCTCTGCTGAACCTGCCGCAATTTTTGCATAATCCGCCTCTACTAAGTAGTTGCAAATATGCGACGTGCTGCTGCAATTCCATTTTCTACTTGCCCTGCTGTTAAGACGAGAAGTTTCACTCGAGGTTCAATTCAAATCGTGCTAGGTTGACTTGATCCAAACGCGTGATCCGATCAAATCCGTTCGAAGACTAGATCCAGGACAGAACACAAAATAGATGCATCGAAACCGCGGAAGATCTTCGATCCCAACAAACAAAATAGCATGATTGAAGATCTGTAAACTCTAAAAACGTACCCGCAAAATGAGATCAAGTCGGTCAACAGCCGAACGGATGGCGAATGTCAATGTTGTTTTTCGGCGCGGATCCAAAGATCCCGGATAAAAAAATGGAGCGCAGCTCTATTCGTCACTCTACGACGATCCATGATCCGGTCACAATGAATTACAATTGGATCATATGTAAAAATTCCTTGCCAGCGAAGTCGTAACATTTTAGACATCAAGCGTGAAGAGAGCTCGTCTCGTGCATATTAAGCTACTAAGTGGAAGCAATTCATTTTTTTCGAGGCTCACTTTCTTTCCTTCTTACGCCCGCGTAGCCGGCAATATCACTCCACATTTAGCGACGTTTTCAGCCAAGCAAAAATGAAGAAAGAGCAGGCAAAATCCCGGAAGCTGGAAGAGGAGGAGGCTCTGGTGGATGGCGAGCTTTCCGTGGGCGAGGAAGACGATCTGAATGAAGAGGTCGAGGACGTAGATACCAGCGACTTCGAAGATCTTGAGGAGGAAGAGGACCAAGGCTCTGACAGCGAAGAAGAAGAGGATGAAGATTCAAAAGATAATTCTGCAGCGGAAATTATCCTGAGTAAAAACGTACCCACGCCAGAGTTGTAATGCAAATCTGCATGCTGAAAATGTTTCTCATGCGGAGCCCCATGAGAAGCATTTTCTAGCCGTGTTTTGCAATTTGTCATGCTCCAACCAGCATGGTATGCTAGATCTGTGATGCTGCTGAGCTAGCTCAAACAGCACTACACTACGAATCCAAATTTGTCATGCAAAACAGCCAAAACTTGTGGATTTGTCTAGCCGATTTCCCATCTTGACTATGGTGTGGGTACGTTTTTACTCAGGATAGAAATAAGTAGTGAAAATCAACATGCCGACGACCAGGGCGGACGCGAAGAGGAAAGGCCAGCGGGCGACGCCAAGGCAGGAGGGGTACTATCAGTAGTAAAAGAAGAAAAGCAGGAGCGTCAGGGAGCTGCGACCAGGCAGGGTACGACCTCCAGCAGCAGTTCCAGCGGAGGTGGAGTAAAAAAAGCGACAGGAAGTAAAAACCTCCCCGGAGAAGTTGTAGACGCTGATCTTACAAATAAAACGTCTTCCCTCGTCGCATCAAAAGCAGCAGCTTCGACGAAACAGAAGGGAAAAAAGACGGCAGCATCAAAAGATGCGGACAACTACACAACGGCAGCTTCAGAGGGAGGCCCGGATGAGGAAAACCAGTCTGACGAGGATGAAAACTCGAGCATTCCGTCCGACGAGGATACGGACAATTTGGAATACGGGACCGACTCCGACGATTCCGACGACGAGGCGGAGAAAAACCGCATTGGCGACGTTCCTTTATCGTGGTACGAGAACGAAGACCATATTGGGTACGGGCTGGACGGCGAGAAGATTGGGAAGTCCGTGCAAAAATCCGAGATCGACCAGTTGCTGAACAAATTTGACAATCCGGACGCCTGGCGTACCATCACGGATGTGAAAAACCAGGAGGAAATCCGGCTCACCGACAAGGATCTGGAAGCCATCCGCAGAATCATGCAGCACAAGTACTTCTACTTGTGAATTGTGGTCGTCAAAATTTCGTTTTTTTGGTTGACATCAAGGTCTTCGCTATCGTCCTACTTTTTTGATCATTCCCATCGTCTTTTCGTACTGTCAAACTCTTTCGGGGAAAGATTGATTTTTCTGCAGTTAGAAGAAAAAACAAATCACCTCCACACAGGGCTCCCTATGCTACTACCGACATGGAGAGTATGGTAGAATACGACAACCCCGCAGAGGCGATTCACCCAACCACCAATCGGCCGGAGGGCAAGGCGCGGTTCCTGCCGTCAAAGTGGGAGGGCATGAAAATCAAGAAGATCGTCAGACTGATGAGGGAAGGTATCAGCTCGTCATCTCATTTCTATATCTACTTTATGAAGTTTCAAGAACTTGCTTCATCTCTATGCGATTTGGCTTCATAGTACAAACTTGCTGCAGTCCGAGACAAAAAGATTCGCAATCCGTTCCCCAGGTAAAATTGGCGCACCCCCTCCACCGAAGCCCGACGTTTTCGATATCTGGCGTGATGACCTGCCCGAGAGAAGAAAGCCTCCCACCGCCTTAGTGGCCCCGAAACTGCCGTATTTAATTTCTTTTCACGACATTTCAATTTCTCATGCAGGATCATCGGCATTATTACAAAGCCTTCTCAAAACAAAAACTTCAATTTGTGATGCTACAGCCAGCATTTTAGACATTCTGTGCGATGCGATAATATAAGGACAATAAATACGAAAACAGGCTGCCCACGCACGCGGAGAGTTTTAATCCTCCGGAGGAGTATCTGATGACGGAACAGGAGCAAAAAGAATGGGAAGACCTGGACGAGTCGGAGCGACCCAACAACTTCATTCCACAGAAATACGGCCAGTTGCGCAAAGTCCCGGCTTACAAGGTACTTACTGATCATGTTGTGATTTTTGCGTACTACTAGCTACGTAGATTTCGTTTTGTTGTGCATTTGCGTATGACATGAAGTTCTTTTGTGCGACAAGGACCAGTTGTCATGTTGAGTTTCATGATCACTGGGAACAACTACAAGGCGCTTTTTTTACTCCTCAAAAAACCACGACGTAGAATAAATTCACTTTCCAGAAGGTTCAAGTAATACTTTCTTCGATTCTTTTCTCTACTCCCAATCGAAAACAACAGAACTTCATCGTGGAGCGGTTCCACCGGTGTCTGGACCTCTACCTGGTGCCCCGCGCGCTGAAGAAGCGGATGAACGTGGCCAAGGAGTCTCTGCTTCCCCAGCTCCCCAGTCCCGCGGACCTGCGGCCCTTCCCGCGCGAAATCTCGGTCCGGTACGACGCGCACCGAAAGCCGATCCGGTCCATATCCGTAGATAACTTGGGCCACTACGTGGCGACGGCGGCCGACGACGGGTACTGTTTTGTTTATGAAGTGGCGACCGGACGGGTCGTCCGCAGATTGAAACTGGGGTTGTACTGCCAGGCCTGCTGCTTCCACCCGAAGGACCCGAACCTGCTCGCAATCGCGTCCGAGTCGGATTTGTACTTTGTGAACTTGGACCTGCACAAGGCGTGGACGGAGATCACCGAGAAGACGCTGGGCCTCCCGGAAACAGGTGCGGAGGAGGATTTTGGGAAGGGTGTAGAGCAGGAGGATGACATCGAGGATCTTGTGGAGAAGGACGAAGTAGCACAACTGGAAGCAGAAATAAACAATGCCGCAAATAATGAGGACGAAGAGGAGCCGACGCGCATGAAAAAATCTCTGCTCAAGCAGGTAGTGTGGAAACGGGTGGTGAGCGGTGGTGGACTAAAACAAGGCTCCTCGGCTTCTAGTAGCAGCAGCAGTTTGATGAACAAAAATTCGAGCAGCCCTACTGCTGGATCAGCAGAACTACTACAAAACGCCGCTTCATCCGACGAATCTGGAAAAACTACGCAACAATTTTCTGAAACGCGTTCTTCAATTTTGCACAAGCGGGGCGTGCGCATCCACATCGAGCACGACGGGTGCATCAAGCAGCTGCAGTGGCACCGGTCCGGCAATTACCTGTCGGTGACTTCCGTGAACTGCAGCTCCAAGGCAAACCAGTGTCTGATCCACTCCCTGCCGCAGAAGACCACGGTGAAGCCCTTCGGCAAGATGAAGTCCGGGAGCGGCGTCAGCATCCAACAGGCGGTGTTCCACCCAACGAAGCCGCTTTTCTTCGTGGCCACGCAAAGGTCGGTCCGGATGTTTCATTTGCAGAAGCACCAGCTGGTGAAGCAACTCATCACGGGCGCGCGGTGGGTGTCCTCCCTGTCCGTGCACCCCAACGGCGACCACGTCATCGTGGGCACGCTGGACCGCCGGTTGCTCTGGTTCGATTTGGATCTGGGTACAAAGCCCTACAAAACGTTGAAGTACCACGACAAGGGGTTAAGGCAGGTGGCGTTCTACCAGAAAGTGCTGCCCCACTACGCGGACGGGAATGCCGCGCGACGCGCAAGGGAGGCGGACGAGGACGCTGGGGCTGATGTTGGTAGCGATGAGGAAACGAAGCGGTCAAATCTCAAACCGGCACCGGTCTCCCACTTTCCGCTGATGTGCACCGCATCTGACGACGGCAGCGTGCACGTGTTCCACGCGCGGGTATACAACGACTTCGTCACCAACCCGTTGATCGTTCCCGTCAAGAAGCTGCAGGGCCACACCAAGGGGGTGATGGACTGCGTGTGGCACCCCACGCACCCCTGGGTCTTCACGGCCGGGGCGGATGGACAGGCTTTTCTCTGGGTGTAGATTTGCTTAGTTAACAGTAACCACGTGAGTTGTGCTTTGTGAAGGTCGTTGTGCCCACGACGTGGTCCTGTGCTGGGTAGTAGTTCTGGACACATTCATCGGTCTTCGCAAGGCTCTGACAGCAACACCGAACATGTATTAAGTGTACCGACGCTTTGGAACTACATGACTCTTGTGAGAAAACAAAATCACGGTCTGGACAATCGGAATGCTGGCGAACGGGACATCAACCTTTGAAACGCCACGCAATTCTGAGTGTCGCATGCCGGTGTGATGAAAATGCCGTACTTGTTCTTCTCATCGACAACAAGGATCTTCACAATGAATGTCGTTTTCCACTTCTCGTGCACTGATTGTGTCAATGGATCAAGATTTTCAAAAGCCTGAAACAGTTCGTCCATTGTACGTAGGCACTAGTGCCCAGATCAAAAAAAGGCAGTTCTTGCCCAGTTCTTCTTCGATATTGTGTGAAAATCCCAGAAGATTCAAAATCGCAAAGAGAGTACCAGTTTGTTCTTGTCTCTGAATTTGGGTTCATCTAGAATGGATCAAAAAAGCAATCGACGAAACTCTGAAACATTTGCTTGACTGATCTCAGTTGACAGTGACTTTATCTTGGAGACCTTCGCCTGTCAGTAGACCTGTACGTCATTTTTTCAACTTCTCCGCCGAGCCTTTTCTGCTTAGGTTTTAGTGGCTTGTTTTGTAACGACTGGTAGTGAAGCTGAAGATTTTCAACACGTCATGGCTTCTGGTGCAGCTCGCTCGTGCTACGAGGACTTTCTGAGCGGCGTGCTCGCTTGGACCCCGCGGAAGTTGCCGTCGCCGCACGCCACCGCGCTGGTGCCACGACGGGTGAACTTCGTGCCGCCCTCGGAGGCGCCCACGCCGCCGGAAAGAGACGAGCTGTATGACGCTGACATGGACGATCTGGACGAGCAATACGTCGCGGCACGGAAGAGTTGCAACTACTACGGTCCTCGTCGTGGCGGGCCTGCCGGGACGAGTGGACCAGTTGACGCAGGGACAAAAACAGACAAAGACAGTTCTGTGATGAACAAAATGATAACTGCACGAACACAAACCGCTACCACAACTACGTCTAGCGCACCATCAAACTCCGCGAGGAGCCCGTGTTCGTCGATGAATGATAGTACTAGTTCAGCAGCTGCTGCCCAAGAAGCGACGACTACACCAAACACGCGGACGACGCGGAAACGAGGACGGGAAATAAATGTCCAGCAGCCGCCGGAAACGGGTGCTAGCTTGCGCAGTCGGAGGAGGAATGGTTACGAGAGCAGCGGAATGGTCATCTCGGGGTCTAGTGACGACGGAGAATTTGATAGTGACAGTTCCTCGGACGTGTCTGAGTGTAGTTCAGAGGCGCTTGACGGGAATGAACAGGATTTTGAAGAAGAGAATCGCGCGAATGTAGTCCCCGCAGGAACCAACACGTCGCTGAAACGGCCGCATCTCGACGCAGAAGAAAGCGCTGCAGCAGCCTCCACCCGGGAGGACGATGCAGCCGGAATCCGCAGCGTGCTGTCCTGTCCATCGTGTTTCGCTCTGCTGGCCGAGAACGCCGAGCCGGACGCACAGGGCTGGTGGCGGTACCCCCCGCCATCCGATCGCAGTCGGAACCATCCCATGCCGCGCGTCGAAGTGTTGGTGGCAGAACATGGAATGAAAATGAATAGGCTAAATCATTTGATGTCCTCTGCAACCACTCCCAGTGAAGAACATATTAGTAAGACCACGACCGGTACTACTAGTAGTTCCTCCGCAATTCCGCCCCCATTAGATGCGAAGGAAGTCGTGTGCGCGTGCGTGGAGTGCGGGACACCGGTAGGCTACGCGGTCACCAAGGTGCGGAGTGTGAACTTGACGCAGGCAACGTACCGGTTCGTCTGCGTCTTGGTGGACTCCAGCTGGGGCGAAGATTTGGACGAAAACTAGCGACAGTGCGGCGCTGTACCAAACGGAATAATGAAGTGGCAGGTGGGTTGGGTCAATGGTGAAATTGCGGATATTCAGTCTTGGCAAATTTGGCGCGACCCTCCTTGTTCCATTGACTTGTTCCTTTTCGACGACGACGACACGACTTTGATGTAGTTCTTAGCGACTGACTTTTACCGCGATTTTATTTTTCCGCGAGGAAGTTATGTAATCCAAATCCTATAGTCCTGAAGGCAGCTATGTCAGAGACTAGTGCGGAAGCAGACCATAACGGCGTAGTGTTCGTGCGCCAAGAGGCTTTCCACAAAGGCAGTTGGGTCGACGTCTGCTACCTCTATTTACACGCGCACTCCTTGATTCGTTTTCATCTCTTCTCTTGTCGTTCTATCTGTCGCTTTTGTGAAGATTCGGGAGCGGGTGCTGACTCCTCTTCGACTTCTTTCTCGTCGTGTACATTCTTTTTGTCTCTATTCGTATTCGAAATAAGTAAACACTTTTCGCCTAACAATTTGAGGGATTATTTGGTGTACATAATTTCGCGAGTGATCATGTCGAATCGGGCATGGAACTGGTGTGGCAAGGCTGGAATCAACCCGACATTGACTCTAGAAGACGTACAATTTGTCTTCACCGTTTTTTACGTACGAACAATCATAGAGACGAAGTTTTTAGCAGAAGAGGCGACAGGTGCCTGAAGCGCCGACAAGACAACTAAGTATCGCTATAAATCCAGGTGACCTGCGACGTACGGTGCGGCAAGTACTGCTTGAAATCACAGTAGTTCGTCCCGCGAAATGAGTTTCTCTCCCCAGCAGCGTCCTCGCTCAAGGTGGCCTTGCAGCCGCATCCGCGAGGGTGGTGGTAGTGCAATGTTGTGGCTCTTGTCGGGACAACATCCGCAGTGGCACCAGACATGCGATGTTTGTTTTCCCATGAGCGTTCTCAACTTGGGTTACCCCTGTGGCGTTGCTGCCGTGCAGCAGGGCCGTGTCCAGTCGTCCAGCGGGGGGCATGCCAGCACGCTCGAGGTTCCAGTGGGTGGCCGCGCCGAGCAGACAGTGGCGGAACTCGATTCCACAGGGAAATTGTTGCGCAGGGAAGTAGAGCTGCTGGATAAAAATAGTACCCGTTTTGTAATAAATCCTCCTACAGCATCCTCTTCCTCTTTCGTGGAGGATCATGCGGAGGTTATTTTCTCCGGACAGGACGCGGAAAAATCCAAATCGTCTGGAAGTACAATCATCGCCGAGGAGAAGAGCAGCAACAGCGCGACCGAAAAGAAAACCAAAACGGAACAAACGTTCAGCGACTTTTTTTGGAAGACGGAGGACTACCCTGCCACTGAGGCTGCGAAGGCGAAATCCGTGGCAGAACTGGAAAAGTTTGAGCTCGCCGAGCCGCCCGGAAATTTTACGGTAAATTCGCCGCTAGCTCCGCTCTCCGTGGCAGCTTACGGTAAATTCTCCGCTTACGGTAAAGTCCCCGCAAAGCAGCTTTCAGCGGGACTTGGCCAGCGGGACCCGGAGGAGCAGCTTCAAACGTTGCACGAAGAGCCTTCGCTCGCCTACGTTTCCGTTTCCCCCGCAACGGAACAGGAACTTGGGTCGTCCTTCAACGAGTTCTTCTGGGATATGGAGGGCTCGTACCCAGCCACCGAAGCGGGCAGGAAAGCATTCGCGGCAAAATTGGAGGACTTTGCAATTGCAGAACCGCCAGGAAGTTTTAGGGCGCCTCCGCCCCTAGCGCCGATACACGCGGGTGACTGCGTCCGAACCCCGCAGTTACGAAAGCTGTTTGAGGAGGAGCTGATCAAGACGCCACGCACCGTGGTTGATTTTTCGTATTTCGGCACTGCCAGTCGCGACGCGCTCGAAGTTCGGATGCAGGAACTGCAGGACCAGGTCGATTTGTTCGTCATCACCGAGGCCGACATTGACCATCGCGGGCGAACGATCCGCAGCGACTATTGGCCGGAGGTTCTTTCGAAGCAAGCTGTTTTTCGCGACTTCGGCCCAGACCGCGTGCTGCACTTGCCCCTGCACTACCCGCGCGCAGCGGACGGCGGTGGTGCAGTGTCCGGGGCTGGTGACGAGAGCTTTGCGTCGGGAGTCTTCATGCGGAAAGAAGGGTCCCGCTTGCTGCACGCTGAATTGCAGAAGCGGTTTTTTGCTGAAGAGGATCATGAAATCGACGGGGCGGAGCAGGCTATTCAGCATCAACATCCACAACGAGGACAGCCGACAGTGAGTTCGTGGGCTCTTCTAGTGCTGACTGCGCACACGGATGAGACCCCAAGTCGCAAAGCGGTGCAACTACTGCGCAATTGTAAATTCCTGGGGGAGAAGATCGAAGACCATTTTCCCCTGCGGACAGCATCGCTGATGGTGCAGAATCTGATCGACAAAGCCTTTCGCTCCGATTTCCCCGCCGAATCCGCGCACCCGTACGAAATATCGCGGCCTGGCTTCGCGTTGTTTCATCCCAGCCACGACGACGCTCTAGAACTAGATACATTTGCGCATGTCTCAAATGTTGGCCAGGAGAAGATTATTTATGGTGGAGCACACATGACGGGCTACCCGTTTATCCCCGCATGGTTTTTGAAAAACCTGCAGTGCACAGATGTGCTTGCGGCGGCAGCGCTTTCCGAAGACTGGGCCAGTCTGCATCGGGAGATCAGGCAAGCCTGTGCGGCAGGAGGGCCAGGTACGAGTGATTCGCCGCGAAAGGACCACCACGCCGAAAAAATCGCCGCAGTGCTTGCCACCCACAACTTGGACCGAACGACCGACAACTTCGCGGACCGCTTTGCAGATCCGACAGCCCCCAAAGAGTCCGACACTGCATATGCAGACATGCTGCACTTGCCCGACTACTTCGTCTTGAATCGGAACCGTTTTCCCGCCTGGTTTGGCAAACGGCAAGACCCACGGGCGACAATTTTGTGTCCGCCCCCAGCCTCAGTACAAGGAGCCCGGGCGGCAGAGCAGCTTTCTTCAGCGGGACTTGGCCAGCGGGACCCGGAGGAGCAGCTTGAAACCTTGAACGAAGAGCCTTCGCTTGCCTACGTCTCGGTTGCCCCCGCGACGGAATTGGAATGCCTTTGCCCGAACTGGCGCACGGTAGCCGAGCAAGGCCGCAACCGCGAAGTGCCGCGGTCCAACGTTTTCGTCATGTCACCGCAGCGCCCGTCGCTGATATCGAAAGAAGAGGCGGCCGCCATGTTCCCGGGGCTCTTCGGCGACGGAGCTCCTGCCTGGAATTCGACAAATTCTACTTCGACGGCGAAGCCGGAGCTAATATTAAGCGAGTCTTCACCTCCAGCGCCAGACGGTCGCAGATGCGGGCAAGAACTTTCCGCCGGCATACAGCACTTCAACCACGAAGCAGCCTGGCGGGCAGTGGAGCTGATCTCTTCCTTTCTGGAATCCGAAAAGCTGTTGCAGGACAGCAGCATCTATCAAATGCAAAAATGTCTGGGTCTGGAAGATTGCAACTTGTCATGCTGTTTTTGGACTCTAAAATGATCTGTATTGCATGACCAGCAAGATGGGTGCGCTTTGTGCTACACGGGCAGGGCATTTCTCATGCGGAAGGTACATCAGGAAGCACTTTAAAAGTCTGCGACGCTAGGCCATGCATTGCAGGCGTCATGGGTCATATTAAGAAATATGCATGACAAGTCTTGCATTCTTCCAGACCCAGACATTTTTGCATTTGATAGCATCACGCTGCTCGAGGCCTTCGAGGACCTGAACTCGTGGACCATGCGATCCGACCTTTGGCGCGTTGCAATTGTTTATTTGTGTGGAGGCGTGTACATGGACGGAAAGGCAGCCGCTGCCAGACCTCCCGAAGAAGCCGACGCGAAGATGACAGCAGGTGGAGGTCATAACAAGCTCAGGCAGCCGGCGGTCCTCGATGCGCTCTTCTCTGACGACTCCGAGACGCAAAATTCCACTATTGTACTCGCACCAGGCGACGCGGGGTTTTGCCTGGATAGCGGCTGGGGTGCTACGAGCAAAAAAGGGAAGGTGCACAGTGCGTTTTTTGCTGCACCCCCGCGCAGTTCTGCGCTGCTTTACATCCTGCAGCAGCAAATACGCAATGTGCAAACTCATTCGCGCGGGCATGCTGAGGACGGAGCGCACAGAGATCTTGATCCTACTTCCCCGGGCGCATTCTCCGACGGGCTTCTGCAGCACGAGTGCTTCCGGCGGACTTTTTTACCGAGATGCGTTGGCACCTCTGTGGGAGATTTTCCAATCGCATCCACATCCGATTTGCGACACGGCGCTGATGCAGTTTTCGTATCAAATGCAAATATGTCTGGGTCCGGAAGGAAGCAGGCACTTGTAATGCATTTTTTGCACCTGAGTGGAGGTCTGAAATGCACTCGGGGCATGACAAATTGTGCAGAGACCTCTGCATGCCTAGTCTGCATGAGAAATAATGCCCTATCTAGGAGACAAAAAGCGCACATCTTTTGCTCTCTATGCAACGTAGATTTTTTGCTATTCCAGAATCCGGCGCATGACAGGGCTGGATTCTTCCAGACCCAGACATATTCGCGATGGATATTTCGTGATGTTCGACCAGAACTGGATACGAGGTTACAAAGCAAGTAGAGACGTGCTCCACGACGCTGGCCTTCGAGCATCAGCCGGCTCACACTTGCACAACGCAACAAGAACAGACGTGCGCCATGATGATGCTCCCTTTGCAGCAAGAAGCCACGAGGAGCATAATACACCTTTCGACGACGAGACCGCGGATCCCTCCAGTGGGGGCGACACCTTAGCGCATGCCAGCTGTGGATCAGACCAGCAGCTCGCACAAGATCTGAAGTCGATCGACTTCGAAGATTTTGATCCACCGCCGTACGACGAGAAATCCAGCGAAAGTTTACTGGGATACTTCTGGACCACGGGATGGCTTGCTTCGCCGAACCTGAACGACAACGAAAAAACGAATAGCCGTTTCGATTTCGAGCGGGGTGCCTTGTTCACCTTCGATCACAAAGAACATGAGCGAGTGCACGTGTACTCCGCGGAGAAAATGAAAGAGGCCGGCCGCTGGGACCCGAATATTTGCGGCGACGGCCATTACGGAGCACTGTTCGAGGCGGACCTGTGGGGGATTTTCCAGACGCATCCACGTCCGATTTGCGCCGTGGCGCTGATACTGTTTTCGTGAGATTCAATCAGACCTGGCTACAAGGTTACAACGGAAGTGGAGGCGCGCACCATGGACCTGATGTCGCCTTCGCAGCAAGAAGCCACCATCGTGGCACACCTCTAGAAGAGACCGCGGATCAGTCCCCTGGGGGCGAAACCTTCGCGCATGCCCGCTGTGGATCAGACCAGCAGCTCGCAGAGGATCTGAAGTCGATCGACTTTGACGATTTTCAGTCTGCTGCGCGAAACCAGCCAAGATCGAGGCGGAGCTGAGGTTCGAGGAAGAAGACAAGGAGCTGCGCGCAGCGCAGCAGAGCCAGGACGCCAGTTTACGACTAGTATCCATCGATTCTGCTCCAGCTAAACCACCGGAAATCGCAGAAAAACGGGAAAAACCGGGAAAAAGCAACAAATCAGCAGACAGAGATCAGCAGTTTCTAGTCGTAAACGGCACTCCGCGGAGAAAATGGAACAGGACCACCAGTGGGACACGGTTTGCACCTAGGCTTTGTAAACCTGCCGCACTGGATTTCGGAACGGGCGGACGCGGCCTTCCACATCCCGATGCCCAGCAGCTACTCTGGTTCCACGAGCGTAGCAGAGCAAGAGCAGGCGACTCCAGTGTGACGCGACGAGCGGAGGAAGCCAAGTTGCAGATGATGATCCGGCGTCCAGGATTATTGGAGCTAGTCTGTCTTCGGTTTGCATTTTCAGGATCTCTGTTGTCGATAAAAGCAAAAGGATCGTTGAGTGAGCGTTAGCGCCTTGTGCTTACCGTCTGTCATCGCATCGTGGAGATTTGTATCGTTCGGTTCTTGGTGGTCGTGATGTTAATTTGGCTCTCTTAGTTGCCGTCGCTCGGGTGCTTATCTCTCGCTGGATGGCTTCGGTTCGTATCTCCGATCGCGCGCTTTCGCAAATTGGCTCTGAGAGGTCGTCCTTCGGCAAGTGTGGCCCGCTTTGCAAATTGGCTCTGCTTTCATGCTTTCTGGTCTGCTGCTATCGCAGGCCATGTCCCGTGTGCCGTCCTCTCGACAATTTTCTTCCGGTTTAGGTTTTCCTTTAGGCTTGCTGTTGCCGTGGTGCCTTGCTAAGCTGACGGTGTTTCCGTTTGTTAAGCAGGTTGTATCGAGGTGTGCATTTGTTTTTTCAAATAAAAAGTATACGAAAACATTATTGAGACAAACTAGCGCGGGAATGTCGAGCACATTCAGTTCCGCGGGACTGGCAGTCCCCCTGCATAGCTTTTGGAGTCCGCCCCAGATCACAAGAGGACCGGAAGGTGCCCTTCTCTTCGACACGGTACGAAACGCGTTACTCGAGGGCGTGGTCGAGGCACGCTCGTACGCTATGGATTACAAGCGGGCGGAGTCGGCCCCTCCAGTGCTTCGCAGCCGACTGCATGCAGCGCCGGCTCCCGAGCGGCTCGTAAGCCAGCCAGAAGTGCTTCCCGGTGGCGTGTCTCATGACAGCGTCACACCGAGCGCCGTTGGGCTGCACTGCAGTGTCAACGCGTTCCAGTTGGTTGCGACCGACCTGTACCCGGACTACGGAGCCGCGATACCACTGGGTTGTCGAAAGCAGTTCCCGAGCATGGGAAGTGGCCACGATCAACGGGTCACAGGTCCGCCACCACTGGACTTTGCAAGGCTCATTCCTTCCCTCCCCGGAGTCGGCGCTAGGATCAAGAAGAAGGGCAGCGGCGGCAGTCGAGATAGCTACCTCCGCCAGAGGGACCTTCCGCAGGTCACGGTAGCGATCGCGTCAGTAAGACCGCCATGCGTGCGCATGGTAGAAGTCAGCAAGGACGATCGCACCAGGCGATCCTGCGTGCAGCGGCTAGATCAAGAAGGAGCAAGGGCTTCGAGAGGTTGCTCTCTCAGGCCAGCGCACAAGAGAGAGCTCTACGTATCCGCGTTTCCCAACTTCTCGAAGTTCCTGGTTCTGGACGACGACGGAGAGCTGGGCCGCGAGGAAGAGGTGCGCATGCAGCTGAGATCGGAGCTGACTACCAGTAACGCGAAAAAGAGGCTGCGGAAAACTAAAAGACGGCCGCAGGCGTCCATCGGAGCCTTCACGAACGATAAATGGATCAGACAGCTGTTGTTTGAAGAAGCGCAGGGTGGACGTACGACTACTGGTAAAGCAGGTGGCGATGCGGAAAAAGATACAAGTCGGGAACGGCTAGCATCAATCATAGAAGGGCGTGGTGTCTGCTTCTACGACTGTGAAGCAGGCTACATCAAGGTAGGACGGAACGCTGCAAAGGAAGCTCTACGAGGGGGTCTAGGGCGCAGGTACGCTGAAAGGAAGCCGCGCATCAAAAGCATGAAGGTGGAGTCGAACTGTTTGTACGAAGCCATTGCTGCACAAGTTAAGTTACCTGTGGCGGAGGTGATGAAGTTGTGCGACAACTTTTCAGGGGAAGCGGACGAGCACGACCTCTGCATAGCCGCGCAAGCCATGCAATGTGTCTTTCACCTGGATTACGGGAAAGGGAGATACCTGCGAGTATACCCCCGCATCCATGAGCAGAACGGCGGCGGCAATTTCAAGGTGTTGTTCTTCGGCATGACTGCAGACGGACGGCACGTTGACGTCATGGCGGGCAGGCCCCGGAAAAAGAACCCAGACACGAGAAAGTTGATTAGGCAGTCGGGTAGAATCAGATCAAGTATGCAGCGAGGAGCGGGCGAGATCCATTTGGCGGGAAATCATAGCAGGAGTAATCGTAGAAGAGCACCGTCCGGAGCCGTTCTGCGGAGTTCCAGATGCGAGTTCAAAAATGTGACAGAGAAGCAGTTCTTGAACTTCTTAATCACAATATCGGAAAACGGGCGCGTGGAAAGCAGCTGCATCAACAAACGCGACACAAACGACCAGACCGTGTGCTTTGAGTGGGGAGCGGCGCCGGGAGCCACGGTGACGTGCAGATGGTGGCCTACCGGGTCTCTGTCGATGCAGGGAGACGCTGGAGGGGCGGCAGATGCGTTCGACAGCTTCATACAGCAGGGATATTGCGGGTCACAAAAAGCGCATTTCAAAATATGGAAAGGAGGTCGGTACGCAGCAGATAAGGTAATGGAGCGGTCGCGATCAAGGAAAAGAGCGGGGGGCAAGCAGGATGTGACGTCACCGACGCGGGACCGCCATCGCAGGAGGGAGCAACAGCACGCTTCGAGCGACGATGATGTGGGTGGCTTACTCAGCCGGCCTCGCGAGCCGGCCCGCAGGAAGGTTGACTGGGCAAAGGACGACGTCAGCTATGGCTCCATCGATTCCGCTGGACCGACAGCATCCAGGACCCCCAAGATCGTACCACAGTCATCGCAGGCTCTGGACCAGCGGGCAGCGGCCGCGGGGGGGCGGTGGAGCAGGAGTCAAGCGTATAGCGATCGGAGCATACCACTCAATCACGTAGTAAGCAAGGCTGGACTTCATAAAAAGACGATGGCAGGGGAGGACTTACGGACGGACTCGCGCAAGCGGTGTAGCTCAGATATGCGGAATCAAGAACGACAGGGCGCGGCGGGAAGAACCCCGGAGAGGCAGCATAGCGGGGGTTGGAGTCAAAGACTGGTAGCCCCCCGGCCACGTGAGGAGGACTTATGGCCGCCCGCGGCTGCGGCACGCAGGTTGGAGGGACACCCACCAATTAAGGAGGTCGGGTGGAGTTTGGAGCGACCGACGCTGAAGCTCAAGGTTGCATGCCAGTCGAAGGTGGCGAATCCAGTGCGAGATGGCGGGCCGGCGATAGGCTCGAGCAGTAGCAGTTGTCGCGAGGAAGACGCGGCGGAAAGAGGCCTGGCGGAGCAGCGGCGGTTACAGAGAAGCAAGTGGAGCATTGACGAGAGTTCCAGCGAGTCTTGGTCGGCACCAAAAAAATGCGCGGCAGGAGCCAGCCAGCATAGAAGATCTTGCAAAGACCTGTTCGAGGACTACGAGGTCTACTCCTCTCCCGAAAAAATGGAAGTAGCACCGGAAAGCTGTGATTTTCTGCACGACGAAATAAATCAGGTTATGCTGCTCAAATGCAAGAACTGTCAGGAGCTGTTCGTGGATCGCGAGGAGTTCAGCGCTCACGGGTGCGGGTCTACGAGGGAGGCCGGGGAGACAAAAAACCACACGGATGCGGACAACTGGTACGAGCGTGAGACCGAGCCAAAGTTCGTCTGTGTCGCGTGTCAGCGCGCCTTCCCGGACATCGAGATTCTACACCGGCACTTTCGCGAATCGGAGCTACACAAGCGGAATACTGCAGCGAGGGTTGGAAAGGGTGGGCAGCCAGGTGCAGCATCGGGAGCCGCTAGCGTGCTAGCGTTGAAAGGCAAAAGACAGGCCGGAAAGGCGAAGAAAAGAAGCGGCATAGACCTTGAGCTGGACTTGTACAGCGAAAGCAGCAGCAGTCCGGTAAAGTCCCCAGCTAGAAAGAAAAAAGCCGGCATTAGCCCGCGTCAGCGGAGCAAAAAGGAGTCGGCGCAGATCGCAGGGGGCGCAAGCACGGCGGCGCAGGGGCGAGATAGCTTAGGCGAAGCAAAGGTCGGCGCGCCCTTGAGGAGCTGGTCGAAGAACAGCCTCTACGACTTGCTGATAAGTGATGCGGAGGCGATAATGCACTCGGTTAGGGACAGGGATCAGAGAAACAGCTTGGCCCAGCTGTTGGACAAAGATGCAAGTAGCAGACCGGGGAGCGACGATCAAGACAACCACGAAGGCGAGGCTGGCGGAAACAGTAGCTCTCGCGCATTGCAGCTGGCGGCCAGGATGTCGCTGTGTCGGGCAGTATGGCTGAGGACGGAGGGCGAGGAAAAGAACATGAACGTATTGAAAAGCCTCAAAGAACTCGTAGAAGAAGGTGAGGTGGAAGGCGCCCTGTTCGTACCGTACGATCAGGACGCCCCCTGCCCTGGTACGGACCGGCCTGCATTGAAAAGCCTGGTCCGTACGGAAAGGACCGGGCGCCCCGGTGCCCAGCTTGCGCCATGGTCTGTGCGGTTTGACGAAAAGTTGTTACCAGCGTACGGAGTAGCAATCACGCAAGTGATTCTGAAGATCAGCCTCGGTTCCAAGCAAGCAGCAGAGATTAGCAGATGCGTGACGGAGCTCACTAGCGGGACCACGGCGGATAAGGATCTGAGTCACTCGAAGGTAAGGAGAGTGATGAACTTGATCAGGATGCTGGAGATAGAGCAGGCAGATCGGATTGGGTACCATCAAGGCGGAAGCGGGCGCGAGTTGGCAGCTGGATTACGTGCAGGTACTTGGGGGTTCGGAATTGAGAAACACTGCTGGATCGGGAAAAAGACAGCAAGTTGGCTATGTGAACTAGCGGAAGAGGTGAAGCAAGGCCGCAGAATACCCTGCCAGCTGGAGGTACACAGATCGAAGGAGCAGTCGAGCGAGGTGGTTAGGGAGCAGCACACGAGATGGGTGGATGAGCTAGCGCGGCAGCACCTACGCCCACACGTACTGGAAGGTAGCGGCGTGGCGATGTTAGCAATCAACCGCAAAGCAGTAATCTCCATGCCATTCTTCACGGAGAAGGAGCTCGAGGAGGACGAGGAGCTCAAGAGACTAGTAGGGAACAAGGCTAGTATTTGGCTACCAAAGAAGGATAAGACTCGAGTAGTCGGTAATCTGCGACAGCACGACTTCAGCACGGCGTCAGTAGTAAACTTTTCATTGCGGGCTGGGACGGAGCGGAGTCACTTGCAGGACGGGGTAGAGCGTTTTGCGGAGTGCAATCAGCTCCAGGTGGTGCCGAACCCACCAGGAACCGGTAAGGCCCAGCCGGACGGCGCCTATGCGATAAAATTCAGGCTGGTGCACGTGGATGTCGCGGACACAGCGGTAAAAATCACGAAGCGGATGCACGAGCGGGTGGCAGAGCGTTACGCGCAACGAGGGAAGCTCAGGCGAGATACGACAAGACTCCTGTTTGACGTCGACGCGCACGAGATGGACGACCATCTGCGAGAAAGGGCGAAAGCAGCAATGGGCGGCACTCTCCACAAGGAGACAATAACCACAGTGCACGACCACGGCTCCATAAACGTAAGGAAACGCCCGTGCTGCCTCTTTTCGGACGCGGACATGAAAAGCGAGGCGCTAGAAAGGCTGAAAAAGATCTTTGCAAAGAGCGCGAACTTACTAGCGGAAGATCACCCCCGGGGGGTTCGCATATTAACGAAGGCTAGGCGGGAAGCGCAGGAGAAGGAGGAGAGGTGCGCAGAATCGTGCACCCATATCATAGTGGCAGAACGACTGGGGAAGGACAAGCTGGCGCTCGTGGATACGATGATCGAGAAGGTGTCGGGCGGGAGGAAGCAGGATATGAAGCGCTTCCGGGCGAAGACATCGGCCACGCTACCCAGCCAGGAGTGGTGTCAAGTATGGCGGTGGGAGTGCGACGACGACATCAGCCGCACGCAAGATTTGATAGGAGCGGATGTGTCAGAGTTTGGTCTTGCCGCCTGCAGGAAGGGCGGCAGCGGGCTAATCTGGCCCAGGAGCGTTTTAGTGGATACCCAGGACAACATCGGCATATACAAAAAAAGGCACGAAGATTGGCACAAGAGGTTGAAAGAAGCCGCGGCAATAGCAAGCGAAAAAAGACATATTACGCGCACCAGCAGGACCCAGATCGAAGCCGCAGGAGCGCCTGGAGCTAGGTCGCAGGCGAAGCCGAAGGTGAGGGAGGCCGCACGAGTAGCGGGCGTGTTAAAGCTGAAGGGCGTAAGTACCAGCCCGGAAAGGTCAAAAGGGCAGGGGGCGATGACGGCTGGAGGCCGTGATGAGCTCGGATCGAAGGGCTCTGCGACTACCGGAGAGATGCAAAAGTTGCTCGACTGGGTGCTGGAGAAGTCGATAAAAAAGGATGTGAAGCTGGAGAGCCTTTCGAAGGCGCAGGACGAAGTTTTCAGGAGCTTCTACATGCTGATGGAGAAGGCGCCGCCAGGAGCTGGCGCCCGAGTATTGCTGGAGAAGGCAAAGTCAAGGGTGAATGAAATCACAGATAAGAGGCGAGTGCTAGCCACGCTGGCAGCTGAGCTTCGAAAGGGGGAGCAGGAGTTCAAGAAGAAACTGAACGCGAGCAGTAAGCGGCCTGCTTCGGACGTGTTAGGCGGCTCACCGTGTGACCAAGGCGGATCGACCAACGCGGCGACGGTGGGGGGCGGCTTCAAGGCTACATCCCACCTCCCCGTGAAGGGGGATTCGGAATCAGCAGGTAAAGGCAGAAGCGCCGGCGTGGTTCCCCGCGCGGACGTAGTGGCTGCTGAGAAGTTAGTGCCCGTCGTTGTGCCAAGAAAAAGCCCGCGGGACACGGAAGTACACGCGACAAGCGGCCGGCCTGCGGATGAGGGTATCAGGGCACCTGCGGCAAAAACAAGAAAGGTGTGCGGAGGAGGACGACGCGTTGACGGCGATGCAGTGCTGATGGATGAAGTGGACCGGGCGACGTCGCCTGGCACATTGAAAAGGGATCTAGTGACACAAGCACCATCAGAGGAGATGCCGACGGGGCAGCAGCGTGGGGAGGTAGCTAGCGACCGCGACGCTGCGCTGGCGGAGGACGGGTGGACACTGCCTACGGTCAAAGGAGCGCGCCTGGACGAGAATAAAGCACTGAAAGGCGATCTCATCGGCTTTGTCGGTCTGGTATGCAGGGCGGATGGTGAGGAAGTCAGATGCAAAAGCTCCGGCGAGGCCCGAAAGCTACTGATGAGTTTCATCTGCAACCAAGTACGACATGGCGACTCTGTGGCGTTCTACGAGTTATCTAAGTCGGCCGAGCTGATTATGGTGGACTCGTCCGGGAGTGCGGGCTGCTTAAGATCATCACGTGTATCCTACTTCCCAGCGTTCTTCGTGGGATCCCCGCCGGACAACGTACACCGGGGAGACATGTACGAGTTAACCACAAGCTCGGAAGCGGACCGTGCCAAAGCGCGAGTGAAGCTGCTGCATGTCGTTACGCACCTAAAGAACTCAAAAAGCAAAAAGGCGGCGGAGCGAAGAGAGCTGAGTAAGGTGTTCTGCGGGCACCAGGAAAAGGAGGCTAGGCTGCCCAGATACACGGTGCTCTTGGAGGGGAATATCCAAGGCAGGTGGACAGTGAAGGATAATCGCGACGGGACAAGACGGACGATGGAGCAAAACATGGACAACTTGCGGCTGCTGCTAAGTGGAGGTGAGTGCGGTGACGGCGGCGCGCAAGCGGGCGGCCCTGGCCCGCAGGAGCATGTCGCGGCGTCGGGGATTTTGGAAGAGTGCGACGACGAGGAAGCCCAGACTGTCGGACGGGAGCGCACGGTAGTCGCCAACAGATATACGCTTCATTTTAACATGAACGGGTGGGGAGCCAACTCGGGCAAGCTGGAGGACGCGTATGACGAGGCGCTTAAGAGAAATGCGGACTTTGACGAGGAAAGCGGATTTTGGATCATATTACACCTGAACGAGACGCATATGCGCAACCTCGAAGAGGAGTTGCCACGCATAGCGGGCAGCGATGCAAGGCCTCGAGAGATTGCAGACGAAGGAGGATTCCTCGGCGCAGCAAAGTTGCTGGCTGCGTCGGATGATCGCGAGTTCGGGGCACCTGCAATAGGGGGCGCCGCGTTAATCCTCTGCCAGCCAGCCGAGCTGGGGTGGGCCATGCCGACGGCGCGGTCGTCGTTCGCGAGAACAGTCACTACGAAGCCCAGTGTCAACCGCCTGACAGGAAGGCGGCACGAAGGCGAGAGTGGACGCGCCGGTGACGACGGTGTGCAGGAGGAGGTGCTTCTGCAGGACAGATTCACCAAGGAGGATTTTGTGATGTGGTTCTGTAGTGTAGTGGTAGGTGATGAGTGCCACATTACTTTCTACATCAGACCAAATTTAAAACCCAATGCTACGGATGCGGAGGTGTCCTACGTCGCGAGTCAGCTCGCGGAGGCAGTGGCGGCTGCTAAGGCAGCGCGACGTCTTGCCACAAGGGTTCATCTGACGGCCGATATCAACGCAAAGCACGACAGCAGCTCGCGCGGTGAATTTTTGGCGTCGCTCCAGGAGCGGGGCAGGCAAGCTGCCTGGGCAAGATTCGGACAGATAATTCGAAGTTTTTTAGACGAAATCACGGAAGGTCTGGAGCCGAGAATCGTGGGCCCGACGTACCAGGACAGGACGACGCCGGACATGTTCTGGTCGGGTGGCGGCTACGTCGGCATAGAAGAATGCAAGTTGTTGCGGTGGAGCGCGGGCGGCGATCTGGGGCCGATCGGACAAGCATCGGATCACGCGATGATAGCAGTTAGAGAGCAGCTGGAAGTACGAGATCACTTGCAGAGGTTGCAAGACGTGGCAACGGGAGTGCCATCGCTCATCGTGAACGTATCCTGGAAGTGGAAGGACTGGTGGAAACACATATGGAACTGGAAAAGCCCGCAGGCCAATACCAGCGGCTGGATGTTGCCGGGGGAGGCTAGGCGGCTGATTTTCGGAAGGTTCGACGACTTCGAGTTGCTACCGACAAACGCCTGCCCGGGCCCGAAGACCGCGGTAGTTCCGGAATTCGAAATCTACAAAGGATACAAGATGCACATCAAGCTAGATCGGGACGACGCGCCAGAAGCTGGAAAACTACAGCAAGTGTACGCAGAGTGCAGTAGCCAGTTGCTCCAGACGCAGTCTTTTACTGAGTTCGAGGAGGTGCTGGCGGAGGCGCTGGTAGGTTGCGATCTGGCGGAGCAAGCAGGTGCAAGCAGCAAGATCCCAGCATCATACAAGAAAAGAGAAGACAAAAATAAAGATGAGAAAGGCGGAAGCGGAGTATCAGCGGTAGCCAGGGCCCGGAAGGTGTTCGAGGGCAAGGCGAAAGGATCACCGGTGTCCAGGTACTCCGGCATGTTGGTGGACGGGTTCCGGATGAGCTCAGAACTACAGGCAGTAAGAAACGTGGTGCGGTATTTCTACGAGAAGCCAGACTTGATCAAGGAGCAGGCTGGATGGGTCAGCATAGGGAGCAAGGCGCTTGAGGGGAGTAGCTATAAGCGCTTCCTCGAGTCCCTACTACGAGTGGCAAAGATCTGCAAACCCATACACGTGCCGGGTCACCGAATAAAACGCCAGCTTGACAAGCTAAACGAGAACTTACGAGGTCCGGCCGGTGTGCGGGGCTTCATCTACAAAGGGATGCGAGAGGAGCACGCCAGGCATCTTGCCAAGCTGATCGAAAAGCAATATGAAGACCTCCAAAGCTGCGACAGAGCGGAGGAGCTGGCGTCCAGGCAGGACAAGAACGAGGGAATCTGTCTGGCATGCGGGATTGCGAAAGGTGAAAGGGTGGCGACGGTCAACAAATTACGCATAACGCAGTCGGAGCAGGTGCCATCCAGAATCGCGCAGGCAGAGCAGACGGACGTGGCGATTACACTTGCGAAGACGAAGCTGATCGGGGATATTGCGAAAGGGGGCTGTCCCGGAATAAACTTGCTAACAACAGCAACAAGAAGAGAGGCGGCGCGCAAAAGTCTGATACCAGCGGGGCGGCCGGCAGAGGAGTTGCAGCGCGTGATGATAGCCAGCATCTCTTTCGATATGCGAGCAATGTTCGACACGCTGACGGGCTGGGTGCTGATCACAACTCAGATTTTACTAGGAATGCACCCCGGGCACCTGCTGAAGCTCCTGATGCTGCACCAGTCTCGCAAGATATACTTTCGGGTGGATGGGTACACGCTGAGGGTGAAAGGTCATAGAGGCGGCTTGCAGGGGACACATGACGCACTGCTAGCAGGCTTGCTGGTACCACTTCCATGGCTACAGCTGGTAAGGCGGGCGCTCGCGTCGGCGCGGGACGGGACAGGTCAGCTGTCGGCGCAGTGTCTGGACACAGCGGCGGTATCGGTGGAGAGGGAATTGCAGGAGCTGAAGACGAAATTTGAAGAGGCTATTTTGAACTACGGGGAAGATTCGGTACACAAAAGTTACCGGAAGACCGCGCAGCTGGACGCGCCGGTGGTGGAAGAGCCACATGACGCATCCAAGGTCGGAGGCCAGGAGGCGTGCGATGCGGTAACGGCATGCATCGACGACACGGAGATCCGCTTTGCCTTCACGCGGCAAGATCTACAGAGCGGCCTGTTTCGCAGATTGGTGGCATTAATAAGCAGGATCATTGAGCACCTGTGCGAGACAGCCGAATTATTTCTAGCGGTCGAAAAGTGCGAGGCCGTGGTGGTGAACTGCGCCAGCACGGGGGAGGAGGGGGCGAGCTCGCTCTCGAAAGAAGAAACGACGGAGATACGGAGGAGTTTAACAGTGTTCGGCAAGGAGTTCAAGTTGAAGGCGGCATTGAAACTCTTCGGGTTTCCGATAGCGGAGGACATCGCCACGCAGTACTGCAAGCAGATACGGAGCGCGATGTTTCTGGCTAGAGGGATCTGCGTGGAGGCATGGAAAGGGCGAGCAACAGCGTCGCACTTCACCTCAGTTCCACAGTGGGTGACATTCGCAAAAATACGGCACCTTCTCGCGGCCTTGACACAGGTGTCCGAGGAGACAGCAACAGCAGTGATGGAGGCTGCAGCGTTAGTATGCCTAGAGATGATAGGCGTTTCAAACAGCTTATTCAGCAAGCTGCAGGACGCGGTGGAGAGGAGAGCCGGGCAGAGAGTATCAGCCGCGGACTTCTTCTTCGGATTCTTCGCGAGAACGCCAATACGGGAGGCGGTGGAGAGGACGGCACGCAAGGCGGTGGCGAAGGAAGCGTGCGCATTGGGCTACATTGCATCCAACGCCATGGACAGCGCCCTGACGGGTCTGGACATTGAGGAGCAGCGGAGGAGGAAAAAACTTTGGAGCAACAAGGAACTGAGGATAGCGGCACTACCCCGTCGAAGCAAGTGCGAGCTGCTGGAGACCGTCGGCAAGCTGCCCGCGATCTCCTACGATAAGCAAAATCAGACAGAGCAAAACAGTCTCAGCATAATAATAGCGAAGATTGGACGCGCGGCGGTGAGATACGGGAAGACAGCCAGCGGCAAATGGAAAATGGAAGAGAAATTAGTGGTATCGCTGCCAGATGAGGACGTCTATCCGCGAATTGGGAGGGCGATTCAGGTTGGCTACCAGGTGGCGGCGGGACGGTTGCTGGAGACGAGCGTCAGTCGGGAAAACGTCTCCATAGCGGTCTACTCCTGGTCGAAGGGTGCGGAGGATGAGAATGGACTGGTGAGTGAAGCAACAGCAAAAGCGATCACGACGGTATGTGCGGAGCGGATAGCATTTCTAGCTCAGAAGGAGCCCGCGGCCCAGGTCCTGCAGCTGGCAAGGAGCGAAGTGGAAACGACATGGAAAACGCACGACGAAATCTACCCACCGGCATGGGACGACGAGGTGTTCATACAGGAGGACGAAGAAGAAAAATTCCAGATGTGGCACGAATTATTAAGTAAAGAACTAGCGCCATTGCCGGAACCAAAAGAAGGCGACGCCAGGACGTCAATTAAGAAGTTGAAGGGGGCGATGAAAGAGCGTCTAGAAGATTGGATAAGAAAGCAGAATGACGAAGAGTGGCGGCTAAGGGGTAGCGATGAAAGGGATGCAGGCGTAGCAGCTCTAGGCAACTAGAGCAAAGAAGATAAGGATCAGGCTAATAGGTTGTTTTGTTTAACGCTTTTCTATCCCCACAGGAAAAAAAGAAGCAGAACGCAAAAGTCTGGTAGGTAAAGAAAAAGACAACAAAGACAGTGTTGAGGCCGTCGCGCCGCTTCTTTGTATAAGTTGGTAAGATGTTACAGTGGCCGTCGCGCCGACCGCAAGGAAGAGCTTCTTTTACTTAGGACCGTCGTGTCCGTCATCCACTGCAAAAGCAGTGTGAGTGTGCTACATTTGGCTGTCGCGCCGCACTTGTATCAAGGCCGTCGAGCCTTACCGACTGATCCTCGTACGAGGGGGATCGGGCGTGACCCAAATAATTTCTACTGCAGCGACCTGGCGAACCCGGCATGCTCGCTGGCTTGCAGTGACCAACACGAGTATTTGCACGCAGGAAACGAACAACGCTGAACCAAGATGAAAAAAACAAAAAGCCAAACGTGTAGTGCTAGCGCTGGTGGCTACTGCAAGAACGGTGGACCGTTGAAATTTAGGAGTGTCTCCATAATCGATGATCCAGATGGACAACAAAGCAATCCGAAGTCACCATCTGAAGAACTTGACAGCGCCGAACATCAGGAGAGTTCGTAAAGATGGTGTCCATGCTCCCCGCCATTGTGGTTCGTCCGCCTATTAGACAACTACTAATCGCCGGAAGAAGTCCGGGGTCGCACTGAAACGGAAGAGGAAACAAGGTTGAGTTTGTTTGTTGTGAGCGAACAAGAGCGGAAGTTCTCCTGATCGTTCGTGCAAAGTTGGGCTCGATATGCATATTTGTTATTGCGTGCCATTACCTCGACCTGCTGCAGTGGCTTCATTAGAATCAACCGGATTCATGTGTCGTATGTGATAAGATGTGCGGGCTGTCTTCTACAACTTAGCCTCGTGTTTATTGCGACTGGCTGTTAAAGAAGAACCATGGCAAGAACACGAGCAGATTAGCGTACTTTTGAGAGGAGTACGAACTAGTACTGCATGTAGTCGGGGTTAAGTTTCGCATAGAAAAGATGACCTCCGCACCTGTTGGACGACTCCGGCGAACGCGAAAGCACGGTGGGAGTCCGCAAGCTGGGTGTCCGCTCTCTGACCGCGGAAGGAGTAGCGCTGTTGCCGCTTTCTCCCCCTCGTCCTCCCTGGCGCTACTACTGGTTTTTCAGCACCTTCTTTCCGGGGTTGCAGCGCTCGATGTGCTGGACCACACAAACTCCAAGAAGGAGATCGCCGCCTGGGCCGTCGAGACTGGGAGGGCGCCGAGTGGGAGGCGATTGCGACAGGAGAAGGAACCCCTGCATCCGAGCGCGAGCGAATCGAGCCCGAGCGCAACCAAGATGGAGCAGCCCGCGGCGAGGAGGTACAGCCCGACCCACTACCTTTTGGACGCGAATGGCGGGGGCGAGGCTCTGGCCCAGGTCACCAGTGCAGCGTCGCGACACGGGCAGCCGGAACCAACCGCGGAAGGCCGGGACCCGTCGCAGTTGCAACGTCGAGGTAAGAACTTCGCACACAGCTCCGCTCTGGCAATAGGTGTGCTACCCGCAGCGAAGAGGAAGGAAAATGCGGGTGGTTACGGGAATGCCACCGAAGATCAAGCGAGTCCTCTCGGCAGCACACGAACGGCAGCGAAAACGAACAGCACATCTATCGGTTCTAGCAGCCTCACCGCAGGAGGGCCCGGCCGTGAAACGAGCGGGAACTCCGCACGGTTGCAGCGGGGAGCTGGTCGTGGTGCCGAGAGCGTTTTACAGCAGGAGCAGGGACGAATCCATCATGTGGCCACGGGCGCGCGAGGATCGCGAGCCGCGTCGAAGACCATGGGGGCGCTGACTGTCACCGCGGCCACAGCATCCAGCGAGTACGCGAGCGACGCGATCAGTGCCAACTTGATTGACGGCGACATCACAACATATGCACACACCTCGGATAACACGGCTGATTGTGGACCGGCGCAGAAGTGCCCCTGGTTTCAATTGGACTTGGGCGAAACGATGACTGTGGACAAGGTGCGCGTAGATACTATTTTCTGGTATCTTCCTGGTCTTCAAAATGCTGACGGCTCTAATCATATATTCAAACTTTTTGCACCAGATATAATTATCCATCATGGTCTCTACTTAGGAATTGGATTGTCTTTTTACTGAACAGCTCCTGCCGGTAGCTCTGCAATGTCACGGCCGAATAATTGTTGATTCTTTCAAAAAAGGTGAAGCTAAGCGCGCACAAAGGGATGACTCAGATGCGGCGCAACCTGTTCATCGCGCCGATGAGAGATGACAACGGCGTGGTCGAGTATGAGTTCGGGGACGACATGACGGGTGGAATCAAGGGCGGGATGCGCGTGCTGGTGGGAAACTCGGCGCGTGACAGGGCGGATACGTCGGAGTTCAACAAGGACATGAGTTCGTGGAGTGGCACCGAACAAGGTTCCGTTTGCCCGGAGCCGCCTACAGGTACGGAGTGTGAGACGATCCAGTGTGAGGATCCAGCGACTTGTCTCGACCGCTTCGTTGCGGACCCTACCGACACCGATTACGGCGCTGCTACGGTGGACTGCAAGGGCAAGCAGGGCCGGTACGTGACGATTGAGCTCCCGGGCGTTACTGCTAGAGACACGGGACAACTTCGCACTCTGGGGCTCACAGAGGTTGCGGTCGAGGGCGGGCCCGCGAAAGCAAGTGAGGAGGCCTCTACCACGCCGGCGCCAGAAGCCTCCGCGCGAGCAGTGGCAGCGACTTCCCCCCTCCTCTTGGGCATCGTACTAGTCGCACAGATGCTGACCGGCGTGTAGCAGATGTCGACAGAGGAGCCGCGTTCTGCAAGCGAAGTTCTTTTGTAGAAAACAGAAGCCAAAAATAAAATACCAAGCGTTGTTCAAAAGCGCAAACTTCTACTGCAGCAGCTTGGCGAACCCGGCATGCTCGCTGGCTTGCAGCGACCAACGCGAGCATAATTTGCGCGCAGGAAGCGAACCACGCTGAAACAAGACGAAAAAAATCAAAAGCCAAACGTGTAGTGCTAGCACTGGTGGCTTCTAGAACTGCAAGAACGGTGGACCGTTGAAATTAATTCAGGAGTGTCGCCATAAGTAATCGATGATCCAGATGGACACCAAAGCAATCCGAAGTCACCATCTGAACTTGACAGCGCCGAACATCACGAGAGTTCGACGTGAAGATGTTGTCCATGCTCCCCGCCATTGTGGTTCGTCCGCCTATTGATATAAACAACTATCGATCTTCGCCGGAAGTAGAAGTCCGGGGTCGCAGACTTTGGCAAACGACAGCACTGAAACAGAAGAGGAAACAAGGTTGAGTTTCTGTGTTGTGTGCGAACAAGAGCGGAAGTTCTCCTGATCGTTCGTGTAAAGCTGGGCTCGATATTCATATTTGTTATTGCGTGCCATTACCTCGACCTCCTCTGCAGTGGGTTTTTTCGGATTCCTGTGTCGTATGTGATAAAATGTGCGGCGGGCTGTCTTCTACAACTTAGCCTCTTGTTTATTGCGACTGGCTGCTAAAAAAGAACCATGGCAAGAACACGAGCAGATTAGCGTACTTTTGAGAGGAGTACGACTTAGTACTGCATGTAGTCGGGGGTAAGTTTCGCATAGAAAAGATGACCTCCGCACTTGTAGGACGACCCCGGCGAACGCGAAAGCACGGTGGGTGTCCGCTTGCTGACTGCGGAAGGAGTAGCGCTATTGCTGCTTTCTCCCCCTCGTCGTCCCTGGCACTAGTACTGGTTTTTCATTACCTTCTTTCCGGGGTCACAGGGCTCGATGTGCTGGACGACACAAGCTCCAAGAAGGAGATCGCCGCCTGGGCCGTCGCGCCGAGTGGGAGGCGATTGCGACAGGAGAAGGAACCCCTGCAGCCGAGCGCGAGCGAATCGAGCCCGAGCGTGACCAAGATGGAGGAGCCCGCACCGAGGAGGCACAGCCCCACCCAGTACCTTTTGGACGCGAATGGCGGGGGCGAGGCTGTGGCCAAGGTCACCAGTGCAGCGTCGCGACACGGGCAGCCGGAACCAACCGCGGAAGACCGGAACCCGTCGCAGTTGCAACGTCGAGGTAAAAACTTCGCACACAGCGCCGCTCCGGCAACAAGAGGGTCACCCGCAGCGAAAAAGGAAGGAAAATGCGGGTGGTTATGGGAATGCCACCGAAGAACGAGCGAGTCTTCTCGGCAGCACACGATTGGCAGCGGAAACGAACAGCACATCGGTCGGAGGTCATAGCAGCCTCACCGCAGGAGGATCCGGCCGTGAAACGAGCAGGAACTCCGCACGGTTGCAGCGGGGAGCTGCTCGTCCTGAGAGCATTGTACAGCAGGAGCAGGGACGAATCCATCATGTGGCCACGGGCGCGCAAGGATCGCGAGCCGCGTCGAAGACCATGGGCGCGCTGACTGTCACCGCGGCCACAGCATCCAGCGAGTACTCGAAGGACGCGATCAGTGCCAAATTGATTGACTATCAAATGCAAAAATGTCTGGGTCTGGAAGTACGCAAGTTTGTCATGCTTGTCTGGCATGACTCGAGAATCTGTGTTTCATAGGCACGAAAAAGCCCTCTTACCTGTCATGCAAAAACGCAGTTTGCCATGCCATGCGGAATACGTAAGACATGGCAGCCAAAAAATTTGTCATGCATAGCTGCGTATTGCAGTGCGTCTATCATTCACTTTTAGCATTACAAGTGTCCAGACCCAGACATATTTGCAATCCATATTGACGGCGACATTACAAGAGATTCAATTGCACTCACCTCGGATGGCGGGAGTGCGTGTGGAAAGGCGCAGAAGTGCCCCTGGTTTCAACTGGATTTGGGCGCCACGATGACTGTGGACAAGGTGCGTATATATAGTATTTTCTGGTATAATCTTTCTGGTGTGCAATATGGCGAGGGCTCTAATAATATATTTAAATTTTTTCTAAATTTTTTATGCAGATGTAATCCTTCCATCATGGTCTCTACTTTGGAATTAGATTGTCTTTTTACTGAACAGCTCCTGCCTGTACCTCTGCAATGTCACGGCCGAATTGATTCTTTCAAAAAAGGTAAAGCTAAGCTCGCTGTTGGAAATTGGCATGATGCGGCGCAATTTGTTCCTCGAGTTCGTCGGAGCCAATGGCGTGGTCGCGTATGAGGGAACCGACATGGAGGGTGGAATAAAGGGCGGGATGCGCGTGCTGGTGGGAAACTCGACGCGTGACAGGGAGGGTACGTCGGCTTGGGACGAGGCCGCTAAATTTTGGAAAGGCACTGCGCACGGGGCCGTTTGCCCGGAGCCGCCTACAGGTACGGAGTGTGAGACGATCCAGTGTGAGGACCCAGCGACTTGTCTCGACCGCTTCGTTGCAGAACCCACCGACACCACTATCGGCACTGCTACGGTGGTATCAAGTGCAAAAATGTCTGGGTCTGGAAACTTGTGATGCTGGGTGGCGTAGGATGAGGAGGCCACAGGTGCTGGCTCAGCATGACAAGTTTCTGAGCTTCCAGGTGTTGCCTATTCTGCATGACAGACTGCGTTTCTGCATGACAGCAAAGCGGGGCTCTTGGGTAACGTGCATGACAGATTCAAGAGTCATGTCAGGCAAGCATGACAAACATGCCTTCTTCCAGACCCAGACATTTTTACAGTTGATAGGTGGACTGCAAGGGTAAGCAGGGCCGGTACGTGACGATTGAGCTGCCGGGCGTTACTGCCACCAGCCCGACACAAGTTCGCAATGTGGGGCTAACAGAGGTTGCGGTCGAGGGCGGGCCCGCGATAGAGGCGGCAGCAAGTCTCGAGGGTATTGGCGTTCCACTGATTTCTGTTTGAGTGCAAATCGCCATCGGTATTCGTACAGAGCAATTTTACTTCGGACCATGATCGTGCAAGACTTGTCGTAGCGCAATAGCATCGTACTTACAAAAACTAGAAATAAGCAACTATATGATGTTAACGCAAACACGATGAGGAAAAGAATAAGACCGATGCTGGATTGATGGCGGATTTTTGTTTGCATCCTGACAGGCTTTATTCTTGTGGACCCACTAAAGCGCAAAAATACTGGAATTCGCAATGGGTAAAAACCCATAACGTTCGAGGATCGTAACCTCTATGAAAGTTTCCAAATTTGTTGTTCACCACGACGACAGGAAACGGCACAGCAGGTGAGGATGCCTCTACCACGCCGGCGCCAGAAGCCTCCGCGCGAGCAGTGGCAGCGACTTGCCCCATCCTCTTGGGCATCGTGCTCGTCGCACAGATTCTGACCGGCGCGTAGCAGATGTCGACAGAGGAGCCGCTTTTTCCAAGCGAAATTGTTTGAGAAAACAGAAGGCAAAATAAATATGCAATGGACGCCAGCAGCCCTTGAGCATAAAATGTAAATGCTTGGCTTCAAAAATGCCAAGATTTTGTTGAATGAAACAACCGAACTGGTCGGACGGATCAAAAATAAGAAATCGAAGATGCTCCTCTCGGGTGCGTATGCATCGCAATCACTGCGATTGACGAAAGGGAAGAGAAGCGGTAACTTAGTTGCTTGCCCCGCCTGTTCTTCGCTTTGCACCCGGAGGAAATAACCGTCGCTACGTCCTCTAGGTTGTGGTCGCGCAACAGAACTCCTTTCACACGTGAGTAAGATCAATGCCCGATAATTTTCGATGCTACAGCCGAATCATTTTTTTTGGTACATCACTCTTTCTTTGGTTAGATAAATCACTTTCTGATCGCGATCCAATCTATTGCGTTCGCAATATCCGATCATCAAGCTTTGATTTCTTTGTCTGCTACAACAGCGGCCGAGCTTTTACTGAGGGCGTATCAACAAACCACTACTTCTTTATTTTACGGCAAGCATCTTCAGTTTTGGCTCCGCTTGTCGTTTTTGTCGCTATAAGCCGCTGATTGTACAACTGAGCATCTGTATTGATCCTGTAGAGCAGAACAAGACGTGGGCTGCTTCTACCCGCGCCGGGTCCTACTTACTCCTGATTCTCCCTGTAGTAAGTAAGTAAGTACCTCTCGTCTATGTGTCACAATGGAGATAAACGAAGAGCCTCCTCCAGTAGGGGATTCCATTTGTAGTGGAGATAAACGAAGAGCCTCCTCCAGTAGGAGATAAACGAAGAGCCTCCTCACAATGGAGATAAACGAAGTTCCAGGGAGGGATTCCATTTGTGTCTCCTTCCCTCGGAAGGGGTGTGTCTCTGGGAATTCCGTCTTCATTTCGCCTTCCCTCGGAAGATCCATCCGTCCCTCTCGGAGTTACATTCCCGCATCGCCTCCTCTCGGGAGACCCATTGCTCATGGGATTCCGTTTCCATTTCGCCTTCCTGGGGATGGTGTCAGTCTCGGGGGATTCCGTTTTGCCTTCCTGCGGAAGGTGTCTCGGGGGCCGCCATTTCGCCTTCCTTGCCCTCTGGTAGGTCGCTCCCTGGCGGAAGGACCGCTGCTTGATTGCCTCTTGGGAGAGTGTGAGTTGTTTATTTCCTGGCTGGCGCGAAGCTTTCGCCATCGACTCCAGATTGATGAATGGCCCGAGCTTATTGACACCTCCTGCGCGACGTGGGTGGTTCGGGGTTTTTCTGTGCCCGGGCTCGCCGAGGCGTTTTGGATTCGGCTTCGGAGCGCGCAGGTTTGCGGCTGTCCGGGGCTGTGCGCGTGTGCTTACAGCTTTTGCGCCGGGGGCCCCGGGTTTTTTCTTTTGTGTCCCGGGGCCTCGTCACATCTACGCCCCGGGGCCCTGGAACATGCATGGCCCGTCGGAAGGCAGGCCAGCCTTCGGTAAAGGTAGGGAGGCGGGGGGCCCGAAGCACAGGCTGGCGCGTGCATGGTGAATAACGTTTGGCGGTGGAGGAGATAACGGGGCCCGCGCAGTGCTTCTCGCGGAAACGGGAAACGGGACACGCAACTTGATTCTAGGACCAAACCTGATTCCAGTCAACTTGATTCCAGCGTCCAACTTGATTCCATTTAACTTGATTCCAGTTACCAACTTGATTCCAACAATTTGATCAACTTGATTCCTTGGACGTCCGTAAGTAAGTACCTCTCGTCTATGTGTCACAATGGAGATAAACGAAGAGCCTCCTCCAGTAGGTGCCTCGGGCGAGCGGTTGACCAAGGGACAGAAGAAAAAGCAGCGGCAAAAGGTGTTTCGTGCCGGGAAGGCGGAATACGTGTCTCCGCGCTACACAGTGGAGGACGTGGAGCGGCTCTGCGCCCCCTGCTTATCCACGGTTCTTCCCGACTTTGCGCCGAGAAGTTCTAGTTGCGGCGGAACTTCTACAATCAAGCCAGCGAGCAGTAGTTCCACTTCATCGTGCAGCAAAACAACCAGCACTTTCGCCCCCTCAGGAAGGTCGATCTCTACTGGCGTAGCAACTGAAATTCCACCAAACCAGAGCACCAGTAGTCCTTGTTTCACTGGTTGCTTTTTGCGCAGTTTGTACGGAGTTTTCCCGCCCCCGGAGAAGCTGTTGGACGGGGACGCTGCCGAGTTCCGGCTGCTTCCCAGCGTACGCTGGGCGGTGCTCCAGCGCGCAGCAGGGCCGAGCTCTTTGGATGAGTTGGTGGAGCGGCTGCAGCGGCTGCTCGCGGACACGGCCCCGACACTCGTGGAGGACGCGCGCCGGTTTCCGGGGCTGGTCCGCAAGGTGGCGCGGAAAAATTTTTCGGCCGCAGCTCCAAATGTTCCCAGGGGCAGCAGCCGACGACCGGATTTTAGTAGTACTACCCATAATTCCGCCGACCCGGCCGCCCCGGCATTCCGATCCACCGCGCGCGACTACCTCGCCACGCTGGTGCTGTTGGAAATTCCCGTTGGAGTGCGACATTGGAAAAATCCACCTGGTACGCAAGCAGCTGCGGGGATACTAGGTGTGCAAACAACCACAGGCACAATACTAGAAGGCAGAACAGCATGTTCGTTGCAGCACGGTGACCAAGAAGACGCTTGTTCGGTAGACTTCTTCTCGTTCAAAAGCTGCTACCTCAACTGGCTGCGGGACGGGCGGATACACGAGTTGGTGTGCGAATACCAACTTTCGACTAGTACTAGAAACACGGGTATTAGCACCTCTGTTGTACTACCTCCAGGCTGCACGACCACAGCAGACAGGAACGGCGCCACACCAGTGGCAGGCAGCACCACCGCACCAGCAGGAGAGCCTTCTTCCGGGCTTGTGAGCACGCCACTAACGGCGACCGTCCACATATCCTGTGTAAAGACGTCCCCACACCAGAGGCAAGATCGGAATTTTTCTCCAAGACAAATCCAGAACCAACTTCTGGGAGGACTCACGCATGACAAGCTCTTGGCTTTTGCAGTGCAGGCGTGCCGAGCTAGTCCAGACGCATCACAGATTTGCTCTCTTATCCTGATTAGCGCACGACAGATCATTTCCAAGCACAAGGGGAAACAAAACGCATCCTCCCATGAGGCGTCGAGTGAGAGATGTAAGTATCATGTTCTGGGCATGCATCAAGTCTTCAGTATGCACGAACCCCTCTGGGGCGGGGACCACGTTTTTCCTCGCAATACCACATCGGCTTTGGAGAAGGTGTCGCCGCACAGCAGCAGGCCGCGGCGAGCCCAGTAGTGCCGATGGTCGGTGGAGGTGGTGCTTCAAGCAGCTCTACTAGTACCACAGCGAGGTCTTCTGGTGAACGCGGAACATCAAGGGGAAGAGGAAACGAACCGCCGGCCGGAGCGGCCGCCGCTTCCTCTGCAGCTTCTCCTATTCACGCGCCAGCACCCACGACCGCAAGTTCCGCCTCTACGTGGTGTTGCGGCGACACCACGGTGCGCGCGCAGTCCGATAGTCTGTGCACCTTTTCGCTGGGTCCCGACCAGGTGTGGGTAAGTGCGGGGAGAGAGTTTACCGAGCCCTTTACGCAGGCCTTCCTGGAAACCCACCGTGCGACCAAGGCCCGACTAGCGGAGCGGCGGGAGCAGCTGGTGCCACAAAAGCTGCTCTTTTGGCTCGGGGAGGGCGAAAATTATAATCAAGAGGGAACAGGTTTCGGCATCAGTTTCGGTGGATTGCTTTCACAAGAAGACCATGCCATTTTGGCAGCGGTTGAAGAAAATTCAAATTATGCCGCGAGCAGTAGTAGTTACAATTCTCTGCAGCAAGTAGATCATGCTGTTGCCATCGCTATGGAACAAGATATGGCCATCAATGCCGACGTTGGCCAGGGCAGTTGTCTCCAAGACGATGAGTTGCTGTCGCTTGACTCGGAAAGTTCCAAAAACATGGAAGACTTTTCGGACATGGATGAGTCTCCCAGTTCGCGATAAAGCTGCGCGGGCGGGCATAGTGTGTTGCACTATGGTTGCAATAACGCGAAAAATGTTTTTAAACTGTGAATTCGGCGCAGCTTCGGCTTGAAGTTGAACGACAGCGGCGGTGTGCTTTTTTTTGTTCTAGTGAAGATGAGAAACAGGATCAAAAAAGGCAACGGCGACAAGAGTAGCAGCTCGATGGCTACTAGAGCCGTAATGGGTTTCGTTCTGCAAGAATGGGACAATCTGGGTTCTTCCTGGTGCAACAGATGTAGCGTTTTGAAACGAAAGAGACCGAGGAGATGAAGCTGAATCTTCTTTGCAGGCAGGCGTGATCTCCGATAGCTGCGCATCATGATATCATCGCACTTTGGTGCATATTCTCGGTCCGCCTCGTGGCCGCGTCGGAAGAAAAGCAAAAGTGCACTTGAGCAAGACGATCTCGTGTAATTTAAGAAAGAAGATTGAAGAAAGATCAACCAGATCTGGACACGAACTACTACGTTGACATTTTTTTTTGCGCCTTACTTTTAGCCTTAGCCTGGTTCACACTTACGCGACGTCCTTTAGTTTTTTGCAGCGACGTCTTCCGGAATAAAATCGTCATTTTTTATTGTTCCAAGCAACTCCATATCGCTGTAGAAGTTTACATTCATTTTGTCCTTTACTTTAAACCAAGTAGTCACTAGCTCGTCGTACCGCAAAATCCGCTCGCGAAATAAATACTTCTAGCTTCTCGCATGAAAACATGTCACGCAAGCGGCCTCCACCACACGGATTACCCCTTTTCGTAGGGTAAAAAACTGCCATCTACGAGCGTCCTGCGATATCACCGCCGGGGCAAAGGGAGAAAGAGGCGGTGGACCTCCGATGAATATCAGTAGATGGCGGAGGACATCAGTAATACTCATGTAGCACTGCCACCGGTTCGCCGTTGAGTCCAAACGAGAAATATCAAATCGCGCAGAACTACGAAACAGCCGCCTCTACCTCCAGGGTGTTCCTCGGAGTATTAGACTCCCAGACAGTAAATATAACTGTATCGACGAGAAGTGGAAGTCCAGGAGTCGTCGGAAAATGAACTCGCGTTTGGCAGAGTTCCGGAAGAAGCTCGGGGAGCTGAATACGAAGTCGTCCTCGAAAATCCGGGAGCTCACTGATGTTGCAATCCGGTACCAGAATGAGGCGCTGGACATGTCTCTGCAGTGGGACGCAGAGGTCAAGGCCGCGGGCATTGTGCGCTACCAACCCTTGTTTTCGCTGGTGGATAGTATCTTGAAGAAAGCCTCCGCCGCCTACAAGGCGCCCCTCGGGCAAATCTTGCTCGAAAGGTACCACTTTGCGAGTCGGAAGATGTGGTCCTTCGGATTATTTCGACACCACTCTTGCACTAGAAATGCTTGCGGTTCATCTCGCAGCCTTGATTCTTGCACCGACGAATTTTTTGTCTCCAACAAAATTTTTTGCATGGCTGCCGTGTTAGTTGCTGAAGAGATGTTGTTCTAGATTTACAATCCATTTCAGCCACCTTGTGTGCAGCACGGATCCAGCGTATGATCGATTGTTGATCAATCTTTCTATCTACAGGTATCCGGAGTGCGTGCGCAAGCTGAAGCTCGAGAAGGACGAGAAGAACCTGGAGTTTTTCCACAAGATGCTGACCGTGAGCTGGATCAAGCATTCGCTGCTGGCGGCGGACATTTTGAGCGACATCGAGAAGCGGGTGGAGGAGATCAAGAACGGGGTTGTGCCACTGCAGCCCGCGCCCCCGGCCTCCAGCCGCGCCGGCGCCACGGTGCCCGCGGTGCAGGCGGGGCGGACCACCGTGGCCGCGGGGGGCCAGTACGACGAGGCCAAGCGCAAGCGGATCATCCAGATTATGCACAACCTGGTGACGGGGCAGATCGCGCCGGGCGACCGGGAGGAGATCATCACCATCCCCGAGATTTGCGAGGCCATCCGCCTGCAGAAGGAGGGAAAGAAGTTCGAGGCGCAGAAGCAGCTGGCGCGGTTCAAGCAAGTTCTAGAGCCGGACGGGGATGACAGCGCCGGGTTCGGCGTCGTTGCGCCCCCGCAACAGCCGGGAGTCAGGGTAAGGAAGGATCTTTAATATCAGAACTGTGTGGTGGTCGCCGTATGATATTTAGTACCCTGTGTCCTTTACTTTGCGCGTTTCAACTTGATTGTCGTGCAAATGGCATAAAAAAGTAGAACAGTCGCGTAAATAACGTTGCAGTTATACATCTTCGTCCTGCATCGAGTTCGAGATGAATCCTCACACAACGCACGAAAGAACTGAAATTCTAGGGCGCGGCGCAGCAGCCCGGCGGCAAGGCAGCAGACGCGTTTGGCGCGAAGCGGCCCGCTGGTCCGCAACAGGACACAGCCGCGAATGCGGCGAAGCGGGCGAAGCTGGACAACCGCGTCTTCAACATGGACTGGTGCGCACGGTTTCTCGAGAAGCTGCCGGGCCACAAGAAAACCTGGCACGCACAGGGGGTGGGGCGGCAGATCCTGGGCTCCACGCAGGACCAGTATCTTGGAGTGGATGAACTCCACCCCAACGAAGTGCAATTAATTCTCCAGTTTATCTTTCAGGTATAAAGAGTACTATAAAGTAGTAGTAGCACCCCGTTGCGACTGCGAGGAGTGCGTCTGCTTCATCTAGTGTTGTGATGTTTATTTTTCATGCTGATACTATTTCAGAGGACAACTTCTAGCTACTAGTAGCCAACACTTCTTCTCGTCCCACTACTCCAAAGTCACGGCAACAGAAGCAAGTCAGCGTTTACCTGCCAGGAATACGTGGAGGTCCGTGCGGACTCCTGAGAATGCAACCTGAAAATCTTCACGAACCTTATTGAACAGGTGGAGGAACACATCCGTGCAAGCGAGGAAGCGGCCTTGGAGAGCTCCGCCATCCCGCTCCACTTCAACACGGTGCGGCACGTGAAGGCGGAGCGGTTGCTGGAAAAGTACTACGAGGATTTCCCGTTTCAGTGCATGACGTCCGGTCGCCGGTTCCAGACCCGGGCGACGCTGGCGCTTTTTCTGGACCAGCACTACAAGAACAATCTGAAACGACGGAAAATGATGCAGCGAGATCCGACAAAGATCACCGAGGAAAAGACCTACCGAGGTATAGGGGATGAAGCGGTTTTGATTAAGATTTCTCGACGTGAGAAGAAGTGTCTGATATGTAGATGCATCAAATGTTGTAAATGTAAAAAAACGTCGACCTGCACCTGGTTACGCTACATGTACAGTCCTTTTCATGTTGGCGAAATTCGGAGGCAAGCGCAAGAACTGAATGCGATGTAGATGTACTAAATGACTTTAATACAACTCCGCAGGCTGGGAGAATACAGTGCAGGACATTATGGGTGTGCGAGACCTGAAACTAGGCTCGCTGTGGCAGCAGGACAAAAAGGTAGAGGAGCACCGGGAAGAGCAGGAGGCCGAGGAAGAGCAAAGCAACGCGGACGACACCGCTATGGAAAATATTGCGCCCTACTCGGAAGGCCAACCCTGTTGCCCGGTCTGCGGCGAGCTCTTCAGCAAGGTTCGACGCTTGTAGACGATTTTTTTGCATTATACACAGATACTGCTTGTTTTTATGCGAGAAATGGACTTTTTATTACGTGTGTCTGTTTGTACGGGGGGGGACAAGTTTATTTTCATTTGGATAGTTGTAGTTCTTGCGACCATTTGTCTATCACTATCACAATGGAACAAACTTTTCAACTACCAGGTGTTCTTCAACGGTGACTGGTGGGTAACCGGGGTAACAGTAATGGACGTGATAAACATGGCCCCCCTTCGGTACGATACCTCCTCCAGTGGCCGCCGGCTTCACGAGAACGCGCTGATTTACCACAAAGGGTGCCTGCCGGATTCCATTCAGATGTGATGACGGGCGAAGGCCGGATGCGAGGACATGGGGGGAAAGAGGGAGCAGCAGACCAAAGTGTCAGCAATTTCTGCTCCACTTTACTTCCCAGAAATGTCAGGCCGGCCGCACTTGTGTTGAGTGGAACAGGAGTAACAAGAAGATCCCAGCGACAAAAGTCACACTTGTGAATCAACAAAGTAACGACGACGACAATAAGGTAAAGCGACTAGTAAAAGTGAGTACAATAATCACAAAAGCGGACGACGATGTCCTTTATCGGGAGGAATCTACCCACGACGTCGGATAGAAGTTGTGAATCTGCTGTTCACAACAAGACTTGGACGAAATTACAATCTACGGATGTGCATTCTTGACCGATGGTTCTGGAAGATTGATAGTTTCTTGACAGCGGCGCGCGCCGCAGCATCGATCTTGCAACCGCACACTTACAGTGTAATTCTTGTGTGTGCTGTACACGACTTACAGTGTGATTCTTGTGTATGACGTCCAAGAGATCTAGATTCTAATTGCAGGGCGAAAGCATAAGCAAGGATCAAACAGCTCGATAGATTCATTGGTCTTGAGATGATCAGCCACCTCTTTGACTTTTCTTTCGTGGATGATTGGCTCCATTTTACCGATCCTTATCTTTTGCTTTTCGGATTTGCTTTCACACAGGGATGATTTTGAGGAAATTCTTTCCGATCTCTTTTGTTTTAATTATCATTTTTTTGAACCGCAATAGACGATTGCAAGGTTTGTCTTTCCTGCATGTTCTTAACTTCTTGTTTGATGCCATATTTCTTCATCGGCTACAACTCTTCGGAATGTCAACATACCTAACGAAACGAGCGCATCGACTAAGTACGTGCCGTGCAGCTTTTGCGCCTTATGCATCTTACTGATCTCTATTACGCTCGTCTATACCATTGCAACATAAAAATGAATAAGTATTCTGCTGAGGGGGCTACAACTGAGCATAAGGTGATTTTTTGACGACACTCCGGCGTTGATTCACTCGCGCAAATCAGACCTCCGCCTTTCAGAGTGCATCTCTTGGAACACGGTCCACACAAAGACACCCACCGGGACCACGGGACATTTTTTGAAAATTAGGTGCTTTTTTCGTGCGTGTGCACCAGAAGGTTTTATTGCCTGTCGGCAGCTCCGTACCCCTACAACGTCACCAGCGGACGAAGGATGATGCGCCAGCGAGGAATCGGGGCGGGCAACGCGACGACCGGCGAAGTAGAGCACGTAAGGCTCCCACACGTGACGAAGCGCAATGCGGTCCTTTCTCGTTTCCCGGTGAAAAAGGTCGTAACTACATTATGCTTTGGCATTGCGGCATGTCGTGCCAGTAGCGTGTGGCAGCCGGCGGGGCTCGCGCCGACCGCTACCCAGGGATTGTTACGAACCGTGAGCTCCGCAAGGTTTTTCGGGGCATTTCCCAAAAGTACTAGAGCGCGAAGTAGAGCAGCAGAACCTTCTTCACGACCGGCCGGCAACGTGTCGGTCGCATCTGGTTTGGAAAGAGGAAGCACCGGAGCAGCGCGCGGCTCTACTTCCGCTGCGGAGAGCTTCCGAAATTTTGCGCACGAGGGAAGATTCCAGAACGAAGAGGACGCTGACACTGTCGCGTATCAACACAAAGAAGATCACATCCCTCCTCCGATGCCTCCTGCAGAAGTGCAGCACACGGCCGCATGGCCGACTGACGCCGGCGGGCTCGCCAAACCTAGTGGACCACCTGGAGGTGGAGGACACCTCCAGGGGACGCCGTCCTCGCGCAACATAATATTGAACGGTGTCGGAGCAAAGAAAAACACACAGGTGCCGCGCGAGCGTGTCTGCGAGCGGCAATGGTTTTTGCAGGCAGAGAACGAGGAATGGTCGCCCATCCACGTGTACGCTGCCTTGGGCAGTACACAGGTGCTGCTGGTCCTGTTGGAGCAGCTTGGATTTTCGCGCGACTGGTTATCGGCCGATGAGGAACTACGAGACCACCTCCACATAAAAGCGACCCTTCCTGCTGGTGACCACGACGAGGCAAGAACATCATTTTGGTCCTCGCGTAGAAAAGCAGAAACGGCGAAAATTGACGTAAACCTGCCGCAGCGCCTAGTCGACGCCGTCAACGCGCCCACGCGGTTTGGGGGCCGTCCGACGCCGCTTGTGCTCGCGGCGGAGCAGGGACACGCCGCGGTGGTGCGGCTTCTCCTCGCGGCCGGCGCCGACCCCGGACTCACCGTGTGGGCCGCGGTGGAGCGGGCGCGCGAATCGGACAATAAATCTTCCGCATATTCGCTTCTGCGAAACCTGCACGCAACCTGGCGGGGGAGCGGGGCGGAAAAGGAAGCTCCTGGGCGGGCCTCGTTTGCAGAGGAGGACGTGAGAAGGACACAGCCGTCATGCGTTATCTCTTCAAGTCGCACCTTCAGCGCGACCGACGGGGCGGCTGGGGGAGGGCAGGCTGCCGCTTCAAGGGACTACTACACCGGGCCTACTTTCGCGAAGCCAGACTTTTGTAGCGCAGGTCCTGCCGCAGGACCTCCGACTAGAAGTCATCATCTTCGGCCGCTTTACAAGACGAGTGCTAGAAGAAGTAGAGGGAAGCAGCAGGCCACAAGAACTCCCTCCAGGATGGTGCCACAAAATTCGTCTTCCGCACAACTAAAGATCAGTGGAGATGGAAAGGAAATCCATGCAAAAGCCGTTCCTGGCGCCGAACCAGACGACGGTGCTAAGCCACTCTTCAAAACTGCTGGTGTATCAATATCCGCACCGGTTGGAGGGACAACTCCGGAGCACCAGGTGGGGTCGCCCGCAACCACGGCCTCGACGTGCTTCCCCTCGCCCATCGGCTATGCATTGCAAAAGTATCGTACTCGTATAAACGCATTGCAAATTTCCTCAGCATGAGAAATAAAATTTGTCATGCGGCTTTACCTTACGAAAATTTTTTTTTTTTTGTAATGCATGACTGCAATCACTACGAGTGCGATACTTTTGCACAGGATATCGGCGGGTCGCCGGCAACTAGTCCGTCTACCGCGTTGCCTTCGCCCTGTTGCTCCCCCTCAACGGTTGCGCGCGGAACACCCGGTGCAGCAGCAGTAGATCTTCACGAAGGCCTGGACGCGTTGCACCTGCCGGCGGCCGCAAACGACTTTTCCGACGACGCTCCGTTCTCGTTCTCCCAAGGCGAGGGTAATATCGAAGATGATCCGTCAAATAATACCGACGTCACCTTCGGGTTGCGCCTGTCTTCGGAGCCACCGCACGTGTTTCTCCCCTCGCACCACCGGCGCGCCGCCCAGGAGCGAGCGGCCGCTCTGGCCGCGGCGACGAGGCACGAGGGGAAGAACCCAGCACCAGCACGGGCCGCGACGGCGCAGAGTGTGTTTGAGTCTTGTGCAGGGACCTCCTACGATTCGGCCGACAGTGGGGCTTCTGGAAGCTGTAGAATAAGCACCAGTGCAGCCGCAGCAGTCCTCCCCGACGTCTTGCCGACTACATCATGTGCGCAGCCTCCATGCCGCGACGTAGTCACCAGTGCCAGCGGCCTCGCGACCTCCGTGCAAAAGAAATCCGACGAGGATCGGGGTAGTACAACTTGTAAGACCCATCAGGAACCACAACAACAAACTCCTAGCGGCGGGGATCATGATCTTCCTGCGGGATTGATGTCCCTGCGTCTGAGCGAGGACTCCTGCTCTCAAGAAGGCTGTGAGGTGCACGTGGATTGGGTAAGCGAGGCGGAGTACTACTGCGGCCCGTGGCGGAATGTGGTCGTTGTGGATGAGAAAAGAAACGAGTCGGTGCTGGAGGTGGGCGGCTGCATTGAGGACATGGTGGAGGTTTTTACTCCTCCGCCAGGCCCAAGACCTGCACAGTCGACAGCAAATCTCAAATCCGCAAAGAACTACACGCAGTCTATAACAACCGCGGATCATGTCGGGTGCGACAACCACGTGCCTAACCGGTGGTTTCGACGCCAGACCTTGTGCCCTGTTCCGCGCGTCACGCCGCTCTATGTGGCGGTCGAGGGCGGCCACTTGGAGGTCGTAAAAGTGCTCCTTGACGCGCATGTAAAACATAAGAACGAACAAGCAGAGAGGCAAGAAGACACTGGAGATATGATCATGTTGGAAAATCAAGACGACTGGGAGGAGGAGAGCTTTCTGGAGGTTACTGATTCATTCGGGCGCACTGCGCTGTACCGTGCCGCGGAACAGAATTCCGCGGAGCTGGTGCGACTGCTGATAGCCGCCGGTGCGGACCCGGACCACCCGAACCACGAGCTCCAGAGCGCACTGGAGGTTGCGGGAGAGGCCGGCAACGTGGAGGTGGTGCGCTTGCTGGTGCACGAGGGGGAGACGTTTCAGTGCACGCTCGAGTTCGCGGACCAGTCCCTCCACCTGTTCTCGCAGACAGAACACAAGTTTCGCGTGCTTGTGAGTGAGCAGCCCGCGGACGCCGAGCTGCTGGATGCCACAATCGATTTCTGTTACGTGTGCCAGAAAGAGATGCCCGAGTGCGCGCGCTTCCTGCAGGAGGAACGCTGGCCGTTAGTAGATGTGCTCTAGAAACAAACTTCAAGTCGTAAACTTAAAAACATATTAGCGGGCTTGTTCGAGCGGGTGGTGCAAGTTTTAGTGAGCTTTCGCTTTTTCGCTGAAGATAACTTTCTCAAATGCGCCGGCTGCTGACAGTTCGCTACAGGGTCCGCGACTCGCAGCTACGAGGCGCACGACGTTTTTTTGGCGCACAATGTTTGTTCGGCGACGTTTTTTTGGTGCGTTCTTCCTTGCATCGGTTCAGCACCATCTTGTGCATTTCAATCACTTCAACACGACTTCCGTGCATTTCCAGAGATGAAACAGAACCTCCCTTAGGCAAAAATCAAATGGACATTTGATGACCGATGAGCCATGTCTACGCAAATAAAACCTAAAGAATCAGACTCACAGTATCCTTTCATGTAAAAAAAATTCCGATGCTTGCACAAACTATCTAATGAAGCCAATCTATTTGCTTGAAGGCTCCTTGCACTTGCAGGAGCCTCGTGCTGGCAAATTTAGTTCGTTGCCCCGTTTGGGCTCCAAGTATGTAAGAGGCCTTCGCACCTGTCTCAGCGAGTTTTTCTGCAACAAACTTTTGAAAACAAGCATCCACCTTTGTTTCATGACCCACCTTAAGCTATTCATACACTGCACATCACGTGTCTGCCGTGAGGGAGGGTCATGGTCATCTAGGGTTTGGATCATCGCCGGAAAAAGAAAACGAAACGAGCACGCCGCGTATGCGGCTAGTATCATTTCTTGCAAAATTTATAAGATGTGCATGATCAAACATACATTACCGAGGTGTGAAATAATGTACAACCATTGGACTCGTCTTCTCTTACCCCTCGGCCGGGCATATTTTCGGCTGAAGAGCTGCTCGCTTTTAGTTCAATTAGGTGTTCTTCCATGGTGTTTTTACGCCGTTGCTATGTGTTGAAAAATTATCTGTGCGCTTGCTTATGGATTCGCACTACGACGAATGCTTTCGAGCGTGTGGCTAGTGCTGTCAGCATCAAGATGCTTCTCTTCCAGCCATGGATTCCGTTGCAGCTTCATCGTGTTTTATTGGACACCGGAAGTAAACGTCTTATTTCTATTTGAAAAAGTATCTGTATCACTAGAAGTCGGTGATTATGCAATGTACAGAAATAAATAGAAAGCACCAGTACAACCGCCCGATTTGTTCTGCCCTGAGGTAATTCCAAGAAGATGGCTGCTGCCCTTGCGGGCGCCCTTGATTACGGCCGCTTAACTCCACCGCCGGGCTGTCGCGTGGTGCTGGCGTTGTGCGTGGCGTTTTTTATCCTGCCCACTGGAGAAATCCTGGCCTGCTCACCCGCAAATGTTTTCGACCGGTGGTGGCTCTGGACCCTTTGCACCACCACCTACGTGCACCACGTACGATAGTGTTTTTTTGTCTGGAGGAGGTTATTGTAGAGCTAGACAGAAACGAGCCATCTCACCTTGTGTGAACATGGTTTGTTGGGGAATGGGCATTGATAGTGATCATGCTCAATCCATAAACAGAGTTACACCAATCGTCTTGCACATGCGTTACTTTATCTAGTTTGATTTTTGAAAATCCAATCCCCCCACAGGAGTTGTTTTCGCTGGCGGGGGGCTTGCTGCTTGGCTGGCGGCGGTTTGTGCGCGCGGAAAACGAGCATGGGACTGTCGGGTTTCTGCTCTGGCTCCTCTTCGTCTCCGCCGTAATCCACGTCGTGTACGTGATTGCCTGCCACTTGGTGTTCGAGTATTTCGACCCACGACTTGCCGGGGAACCCGTGCTATGTATTGCAAAAGTATCGTTATCGTAGTACTGGCAGAAATTTTTGTCGCAATACAATTTGATGAGACCAGGAGGAAAATTACAAGTGCAATTTGTAATGCTGCTTCAGCAAAAAAAGAAGATTTGTCGCGCAGATTGCAACTAGTGCGAGTAGGAATACGATACTTGTTTTGCAATGCATACGTGCACGGGTTGTGGCCGCTCGTGTGTCTGCTCTTCACCTACGATGCGAAGCTTGACCCGTTCGGCGAGGTATCATGTATGAAATTTTTGCGCACCAGGCAGCTACATCTTCAAAAGTTGCACCACGTGTAGCATATTTCTTCAAGAACTTCTTTGCTCTGATGAAGCAAAGGCGGGCCGCACAGTGCAACGACTGCGCCAGCTGGGAGGTAGGGAGATATGTCGATGCTGTGTAGTACTATCATCTGTGCAGGAACTTATTCATCTCGGCAACAAGAAATGCCAGTGCCAGCGATCGAAACGACAACGCTTCATACCTCAGGTCCTGCTCTGGCCGCTCCCTCTCACGGTGTACACGCGCACAGTGCCGCTACTGGCGTTGTTTGGTGCGTGGCTGGTGCACTTCGACGCCCACCTGGATTCCATCGTGGCCATGTTGGTGGCGCTGGCGCTTCCGTTCGAACTGCAGCTGTCGGACGCCGCGCACGATGCCATTGAAGCGGTTCTGGAGCGCCACGAAAGTGTCCGCGCGGTGCAGTACCTGAAGGGTATGGAGGGGTTTTGCACCCGCAACGCGGGCTTCAAGGCGCTCGGCACCAGCGGCGCCCCCGTATCCAGTGCAAATATGTCTGGGTGGTCTAGAAGGTTGATGCAACTTGTGATGCTGTGTTTGGATTCTAAAAAAATCTGTACTGCATGACCAGCAAGAGGTGCGCAGTTTGTGCTACGCGCAGAGGGCATTTCTGATGCGGAATAGGCAACAGGAAGCCGTCTAAAAGGCTGTCATGCTAGGTCATGCATTACAGGCATCATGGCTCGTGCGAAATATGCATGATAAACCTGGAAATCTTCCAGACCCAGACATATTTGCAATGCATATCCCGCCACCCAGGCCAACGAGTTTGACTTTGCCGGCAGCGGCGAACTGGATTTGGAAGCCGGCGCGGGTTTCGACGTGAGTAACGTGCTTGCGGGGGCGGGGAGCAGCAGCAGTAGTAGCTCTAGCACCGGGGGTCATCTTTTCGGGAACCCAGCCACGCTGTCCTCACCTGGGAAAAGCGCGAGCGGCGTAGTTGCTTCTACGGCCGGAGGAGGTCCTGCTCTAGTAGCGGGAGCAAGACCAGACGCAGTTGGCGGCAGCATGCTTTATCCCCAGCAAATAGGAGCCGCCTCATCTTCCGGTATTGCAGCTACCAGTTCTACTGCTGCGCTTTACGCAGTAGACCCGCGGCAGCAGGCGCCAGTCGCCGCGCCGCTCCCGCCGCCGCCCGGGGGCTTCGCGAGCGCGGACTTTCTCGAGAGCGACAGCACGACGGCACAGGTGCTGAATACCGACTTTCTCGCTCCCGGGCCAGCGGCGCCGCCACCGAACGTGGACCCATTCCTCGCACAGCACCCAGTGTTCGACGAGAACATAAACACAAAGGACATATTCGGTGACCTAAGCACCACGGACGATCCGTTTGAATTGTGAAGATGATGAAGCTGTGCTGTTGTTGTGGTACTGACTGTGGCGCTGGAACAACAGACCGCAGTCAAGCGCAGCGTTGCTATTCGAAGAATGGAAGTTGACCAGAACACGCACGTATCGCGAATGAAAAAAAAAAGATAGACCACAAATCAACTCATGACTCACTAGCCACTGCAGTTTGCTGCAGTTGAGCCATCTGCCCGTGTTTAGGCGTTTTGCGTCTCGGGCCGCACTGAGCTACTTACACAAAGCAGGGCATAATTTTTTTGTGCCACCGCTGTTCGAGGAAGACTTTTGACCTGGCTCTCGTTCACCTCTATTTCTCTTTCGTTCAACGTGCCGTCGGTTCTGTGGTCTGGTTTGGTCCTTTCGCTTCTTCTTTTGGGCGACGACATGAATGCGCAATTCCGCTTCATAATTTTGATACTTTTTGCATCACTTTTCCAACGTTGCAGTCTCGAGTCACAGGCAACCGGCTACACGACCCGCAAACGCGATGGCGCCGCCCGTTCCCCGCCGCTCCCACAGGACGCGCAAGAAGGGAGCTCTCGTTTGGCTCTCTGCGGCTTGGACTGCTTCGGTGAACCACCAGACGAGCTCTACTGGCGTCGTCGATGCGGCGAAAGTGGGTGCGGGGACAATAAAAGCCGGTTCGCAACACCGGCTTTTCTTCGAGGCGTCCACCAATGCCAAGGTGCAGTCCTGGTCCACCCTCGGGGTGATTCACAAAACCGAGTACTGGGGCACGATCAACGTGGGCACGCCCCCCCAGGAGTTTCAGGTCATTTTCGACACGGGCAGCGGGAACCTGATCCTGCCGGGCTCCAAGTGCGACTCCGCCCCCTGCGTCCAGCACAAGCGCTACGAACCCAGCCAGTCCAGCTCGGGCGTCGCCGTCGGCAAGGACGGTGTGTCGCTCGCCACCGACCCGTCGCAGTATCGAAAGGAGGAAAAATTTAGGTTTACACACGAGATTTACTACTTAGAGCTACAACTGTCAGCACACTGTCGAGACATCGTTCTTTTATGAAAAAGATGCAGTGGACCGCGCCGTGTACTTGCTCCTGCTCGGGTGGAAGTACTTACGCAGCAAGGGTGGAGCCACGTAGCGATGTAGATATTTAGAAAAGTAGTGCGAGCAGTGGCCAAAGAACGCACTCTCTGTTGAGACGATCGTATCTATCAATCACAAGCCTCGTTTATTGATGACCGAATCTCGGAACTTCTCTATGATTTCTCCTCTGCATATTGCAACTGCGGAGTCCACGATTCGGTTTGGAACTGGGGAAATTCATGGGTCTTTCGTCAAGGACCAGATCTGTTTGGGTACATATAGACGTCGATTTCATATTTCATTTTCAACAGATAAGATATCACGCACGAAGTACTTGATCACGTCGCGCGAGTCTAATTTAGTATGCAGGTTGTGGTGCGAAAGGAAAAGTAGATATCGAACCATACTTTTTTCAGGTTCGTCCTCCAACGTTTGCACGACTTCAAGCTTCATTTCAACGACCAGCGAAACGGACGAACCCTTCACCCAGTGCAGCTTCGACGGCATTATGGGGCTGGGGTTCGCGGACCTCAGCATGGGTGACAGTTTCAACATGATGGATGATTTTGTGCACTCCCGGACGCTGCCGCGCAACCAGTTCTCCGTCTATTTGTCCGACACCAGCGGGAGGTCGGAAATCTCCTTCGGTGGCTACAAGCCGGAGCAGATGCTGGGCAGCGAAATGTTCTGGGTGCCCGTCACGCACCAGAGCTACTGGGAAGTTGCCAGTACGGAAATAAAGCCGACTGCTGTTGTTCGGAAGGAGTTTGTATACTTCTAAGGGGCTACTTCATATGATGCTGACGAAGGACGACGAAAATCTGTACTTGCAAGTGACAAGAATCGATCAGTGGGTACTTCTATATCAAAACTGCTGGAGCAGATACAGAAAATGCATGTGGTCCAGGCCTCTATATAGAATCTTGTACCCGAGCGGCTGCAAGTTTTTGTTTTTCCTCCTCCACACTTGTTGACGACATCGCCTTCAACAATGAGCCGAAGAACCTGTGCGAAAATTGCAAAGTGGCGGTGGACACGGGGACTAGCATGCTGGCGGGGCCGAGCGACGTGATTGCGAGCTTGACGGAGAAGCTTGGCCTGAAGTCGGACTGCAGCATATTGCAAGGAAAAATCCCCGCTCCCCATACTGAAAAGGTATGTTTCTAAAAATTTGTGATGCTGATTTGTGGCCACAAATCCTGTCTCTCTTGCAAGAGGGCAAACTCATAGAGACCCCGGCACGATATGCAGGCGATTTGTCATGCTGCAATGCCTAGAGGGCTGACGTCTGTCATGCTGGGCCCCTACACCAAAAGGCCCCCCCTTAGGCTTACGATCTGCGCGCAGTGCTTTACTGCAAGACAAATGTGATTTGTGTACTTAAATACAGCAACACATATTTCGTTTTCGTGCTTAAATACAGCGACGCCGGACAATGGCAATGTCGGCGCGGTTGTTTTAGCAACACATATTTCGTTTTCGATATGGGGAGGGGGGATTTTTCCTCTCAATACAGCAACCTGAGTGACATGCCCCTGCTGGGCTTCCAGATCGGGGACCGCGTGCTCAACCTCAAGCCCGAAGACTACATATCACACGACAAAGTGTTAACGTTGACGGAATTTGTGACGCAATAACGCATCACAAAACGTGCCCAGATTTGTCATGCATAGCATGGACGCTAGGCAAAATTTGTCATGTATATTTTCAATATATGAAAACCGTTAACGTTAGCACTTTTTGGCTTCATACTACATCGACCAGGGTGACGCGAGCTGCGAGCTTTCCCTGATGGAGCTCGACGTCCCCCCGCCGAAGGGACCGATTTTTGTGTTCGGCGACCCCTTTTTGCGCCGGTTTCTCACCGTCTACGACAAGGACGGGCCGCGCGTCGGCTTCGCCGTGGCGCGGCAGGAAGGCGAAAGCTACGCGGACGGGGCCGATCTGATGGGCCGGGTGCGCGGGTGCGCGGGGCCAAGTGGAGCGGAAAGAATCGTAGCGCCCCGCGGGGAGGTGGAAGTGTTGTTGCAGGAGGAAAATCTGCTGAAGAGGAAGTCCGCGGGCGCCTCGAGCTTGATCTCTGTCTCGCTGCAGCGCACAAAGCGGAGCAAAAAGGGGCAGTAAATTTAAAGTGCTTGTGCTGTAGTGAAAACAGGAGCGCGAGAAGATATTTGTTGTTTTCCGTCTTGACCGAAGTTTCGTCTTTTCTTCTTTTCCCAGGCCAGTGAAAGCAAAGTTTTATACATAGGCTGAGTCGTAGCAGCTTGCGTGCGCAAGTGCGCAACAACTGTGGTTGAACGACCATGAAATGCGGTTTTCATGCGTGTTCTGAGTAATCCCGGTTCGTAGAATGCAAGCGAGTGATCAAACATGATAATATACTTACACTTAGCGAATACTCTCCACATACATCAAATCCTTTTGATTTTTTGCTCGAAAAACAAAGCGTTTGACGTTTTTGAAATTGTCGGCCGTTTTCTGAATCTGAAACTTTTGAATTCTAAGTTCTTTGGAATCGGATCGTTTTTTGATCCGAAATTTTTCTATACGAAAAGAAGACTGAAGCGTAGAAAAGAGCTACTTTTTTCAGATCGTGTCAGTGCTTCAGTCGTGATCTCGAAGAAATGCGTGCTGAAGTATTGAAGAGACATGGGGCACCACTGCTGCCAAGATTTTTCGGCTCATTTTGGCTGCGTTGCACATTGGGGGGGATGAAAATATATTAGAATAGCAGCAGGGTAAAAAGCAAAATTAATAACTGAGAGTTAAGTTGTACCGCCACCACGGTAAAGGTAATGGGGTTCTTTATTTAGCCAATGAGATTAAGTCATAAGAGATAACATATCAAAGAGATAAATTATCAGACTGGTGCCTACTGCTTTCTTATTCTTTGTTTTCATCGTGCCATCTTCTTCTGTATTTCAAACAATAAAGTGCGACCTACGTCGTGGTTGCCGTTCAGGTGTTTTTGAAAACGGTAACGGCGACTCCGTGTTTGTCCTCACGCCCTCAATACATCATGATGATTGAATTCCTTGACCTGTGCGGCTTCATCCTTCCCCGCGGCAAGACAGTTGTAATTTGAAAGCCGCGCGTTGAGCGACGAGCTGGCGTGTGAGTTCGCAACATCGACCCGCGAGCAAGAATCCACTTTTTCCGACACGATACGAGACAGTTGCTAGTGCCTTACCAACATGCCCGAGCAGAACGACTTCAGCGGGCTGAAGCGGTCCGCCGCCGCGGCGGACAACGTGACCACAGAAGCGTCGGGCAGCGCGGCGGCCGCGGATGCGAAGAAGCGGCGGCTGAGCGCGGCCGCGTCTCCAGGCCTTGTTCCCGAGCCCCCGCGATTCTACCACGGAAAGGGGAGCCGGCAGGCGAAGGTAACGGACGAAAAAACGGGGAAGCAGAACCTGGTCAAGACCGAGGGGCAGATCGCCGCGTTGCTGCAGGGCGACCGGCTCGTGCTAACGGGGTGGTTTGGAAACGAACAGGGGCTGCCGGAAAAACGGTTCGCGGTGCATGCGAGGAAGGACCCGGCTTGTGTGAATGAGTACAAGGTCGAAGACATGGGCGATCTCACGAGCTTTTTCGAACAGAGAGCCGGTGCAGAACCGCGCCGTTTCAAGATCGTCGAGAAACACGGCCTGCAGATAAATGGCAAGGGTACGCTGCCGGCGCCGCTCGGGGACGTGCAGTTTCGGCTGCAGGCCCGGTTGAAGACGACGAAGCACGATCCAAATGCGAGTGCCCGCCGTGAGTACGCCGCGCGGGGCGAGCGGTTGCGGGCGTTCGTGAGCAAGGAAATATTGACGGCTGGCGACAGGAGCGCGGCGACCGGGAAAGCGGCGCGCGCCTTGCTGAACGTCGCGAATCAGGTGCGCACGATCTTACCGAGGGAGAGCTCGGCTTCGGGGATGGTCCCGCATACAGCCACATTCCCGGCGCAAGCAGGGGCTGTGCCGACCACGAACAGCAGCAGCAGCTCCTCGTCTTCATCGAGTTCGTCTAGTAACAGCGCAAACCACGCCGCAGGAGGAGTACTTCGAGCGGCACAGCCCAAGAGCAGCAGTTGTGTCGCCCCACCTGCAACTCCACTTCTACCCGAACAAGCCGTAGAGGCAGAGCGACGGATTTGCGTCATCGGAGCGACGGGAACAGGCAAGTCGAGTTTAGTCAACGCACTCCTGTGCGAGCAGCTAGCAGTGAGCGCCGGCACAGGCGCGGCCGTGACATCCGTGCCTACCGAGTTTTTCTACAAGGCACGCAACGCGAACAAGGCACTCAACCAGCGGGAGTTCAACGGCGGGCGTGACGTGCTCGGCGCACTAATTTACGAGCGGGGCGCCCTGCCGGTAGACGAGCGCCCGGCACCTTGCTTCGAGGTGAGCCTGAAGTTCTTAGATTTCCGGCAGACTGCGGCACTCGTGGAGAACGCGATCGACGAGCTTTTTGAGTGGAACGTGACCAAAACGGAGAAAGACCGCGAACACATGCCGGTGATGCGTCTGCTTTTTGGGCCGAGATTTAAGGACCAGTGCGAGTGGGCACGGAACGTCGACGAAAGCAGCAGAGACGATGCCGTAGAACGGCGACGACGGGCTCTGCAAGACTTGGCGAAACAGGAATTGATGAGGTGCGTAGCGGAAACACGCGCTCAACAGCGGCGTGAGGAGCAGCAGCGGATGCAGTTGCAGGGACGCAGCGGCGTCCTCCCACCCCCACCATCCAATTTTGGACCTCTTGCTACAGTACTGCAACTTGCCAAGAGCCCGCCACCAGCTGCAGCATCCCTCATCGGCACGGTGCTCACCAGCAGTGTCTACTGCCTCGACACGCTGCGGCGTCTGCAGGACAAGTACTGGCGCATTTTGGAGAATGTTGCCATCGGGGGGGAGTTTCCGCTGCTGGACCTGCCGGGCTGCAAGCTCCGGCTTGTGGACGTCCCAGGGTTCGGAGACGAGAACGGGCTACGCGAGCGGATTGCGGAGAAATACCTTCACAAAGCGGACAAGATCATCATCTGCGCCGGGTCGGCGCGCGCGGGGAGCGACAGGCAAACGAAGGAATATCTCCAGAAGGTACTTTTGTAAAGGCAAAGCTGTATTCTGAGAGGCCGTTTTCTTCCTTGTGAACGGCGAAGATAGCCTGCCAGTGCTCTATAGATGAGGGGCTAGGTGTCGTGTTTGCGCTGGCGCTCGAAGCCGATCGGGTCATTTGTTTATACGTTTTTCATGATTCTGTGATCAAAGTTTCACTGTGCATGTGCAAGACATTGGCACAGAAGGATTCGATGATGATTTGCGCCATTTTCGCAGCGTCGATTTATGTTTTGCTCCAAGTCCAAATCCACTTACCATTAAAACAACCACCAGGACGCCGTGCAGCACCTGCAGATGAAGAACGTGGGGCGCAGCACGACGATTTTCGTGGCCACCAAGAGCGACCAGGTTCCCGAGAACGAGCTTCAGGAGTTGGACGACCTTGAGGACGACGTGAGCCTCCTGCGGGGCCTTTACCGCGACAGCGTTGCGAAGAACGTGCGCCGCATATCAAAAGGAAAAATCCCCCCTCCCCATATCAAAACGGAAATCTGTGATGCAGATTTGTTGTCACAAATCAGCTTTGTCATGCTACACGGGAAAAGATGCGGACTGTAGTGCTGGGTGGCGTGGGGAAGCCTTGCATCTTCAGCATGATAGGAGGCATCTGAGAGTGGGAAACAGCATGATAAATTGCCTGTAAACGAGGCCACGGCTGCGGCTCTTGGCCTTCTAGCATGACAAGTCGATTTGTGACCTCAAATACAGCATCACAAATTTCGTTTTCGATATGGGGAGGGGGGATTTTTCCTTTCGATACCGCATGCTGACGGACTTCAAATACGGAACGGACATTATCAAATGTAAAAATGTCTGGGTCTGGAAGAATGCAACTTGTAATGCGTATTTCAGAACACAGAAAAGTCTCTCATGCATACGTAGCAAAAGCTCCCACTTTTTGTCAGCGAAATAGGGGACTTGTCATGCGGATTCGGCATTGCGGAAGGTTCTCGAAACCTGTGATGCTAGAGCTTCCATGCCAGACCTTCTGTGTCATGCAAAAACAGCATGACTCTTCCAGACCCAGACATTTTTACAATCCATAGACATCCCCGTCCACGTGATAAGTTCCGAAAAGTACGCCGCTTTGGCGGACCTGTCCACCAACAGCAAGGAGGGCTTCACCTTCGCCGACACGGGGGTCCCGACGTTGTCGACCTCGGTGTTCAACGAGCTCTGGCAGGACGTCAACACGCCGACGCACCAGCGGCTGCGCGAGCTCTTCCTCTACTGCCAGGAGCGGATTGTCGCACTGGAGAAGGGGGGGCCGAGCAGCGACGGCGACGCGGTGTCGGATGCGAGCGACTTGGCGGATGCCGTGCGGCAGGTGTACGAGGACGTAGCGGCGAAGATCCGGAAGAACGACCTGCGGCTGATGGACGTGCTGAAGGATCTGGAAAGGGAAATCCTCGGGCTGCAGGAGTGGATGAAGAAAGCCGCCGCCGCGGCGGACCGCGCGGCGCCGGGGTGCGTCGCGGAGTGGGGGCGGCTGCACTGGGGCACCTACGCCGCCACCCTGCGGAAGGGCGGGGAACACAGCGGCAAGACCACGTGCGACTTCCACTCGGACTTGTTTCGCCAGTTCCGGGACACGCTGCAAGACGAAGGGTGGTCGGAGTTCTTCGGGAAGTGGCAGGCACAGTATGAGAGTGCACAACTCCCCCTCGTGGTTCCCCTCATTTGTAATGCAAAAATGCCAAAATAACCTGCCTGAGCCTTTTGGCTGTACTTGCATGACAAGTTCTGGAAGTAGCGCAAACTGCACTGTACTCCGTGCGTGGATTTGTGATGCAGAGACTGCATTTTTGTTGAGGAGGTTTCTGTTGCTAGAAATGCACTCCAAATGAGGGGGAGGGGGAGTTGTGCACTCTCATACGCAGCTGCAGAAGTTTGACCAGATCTGCAAGGAGATTTGGGACGTGATAACGGAAGAGATCATCAAGCACGTGCGGGCTGAGGAGAGCCCGGTTTCCTCGCTAACTACAGAGGAGCAGCGGACCAGCATTGCCGCGGAGATCGGGAAGCGGGGGCGGGCCGTGGATGTGCGCACGGTGCTGACGCCGATGCTGGATCCGCTGCGGCGGAAGATCGAGGCCGTGCAGGACGAGCTAGACGGGCCGAAGGAGAACCTGAAGGACCGTTATTCCAGCGAGTACAGCACGATCGGACACGGCGAGTCCGGCACCGGCAGCCACGCCCGGCGGAAAAATCGGGTGGGGACGCTCCTTAACAACGGCTGTCAAATGGAGGAAAACATTCGGGACCTGCTGCGGAGCGCGGGCAAGGCGCAGGACGACTGCGCGCGGCTGTCACCACAGGTCACGGACGTGTTGTGGGCGCAGGCGAAAAAATACCTCAGTCGGGGATCGTGGGGAGGTACTTTTTTAAGTAGGGTTAATATTTGCGGTGATTTCTATTTATGCATTTTAGATCGTCGCTGCAGGTGCGTGCTTCCGCGCGTGCCGCGTTTTGTGTTTTGCGTCAGGTTTATTTTCTTGTACGCTTCAGCAGGGTCGTCTCTGCTAAAGCATGACGAAACGATGACGATCGGACGATTCGGAACTCATTTTTACACAAAACAAAAACTTGACTTTCAGTTGACCTGAGCCACTGCGCGATTTGCTTGGAGGGCGGGGACCGTAAGCCGTTTTCCTTGATTTTCCACTGTCAGCACGCGTTCCACACCGAGTGCCTGAGGGAGCACATGCAGCGGAACGGCAAGACCTGTCCGACTTGTCGCGGGCCGGTGGAGGAGAACCTACTGGAAGTGGTTGCGGTGAAAGAGACGGAGGAAGATCCGGAGGTGGCAAAGCGGGCACTGCAGTTGATCCGGCAGGTTGCCGAGCAAGCGCGGAGCCTGTTAGAACAGCGCGGAATCAAGGTAACGGATGAAGCTGCCGCATTGTCGTGAGCGTGACGGTGACGGATGCAGAAGGCCTTTAGCGGCAGTAGACTAAAGCGTTCTTGGGTGATTGAGTGATAGTCGAGCACGAGTATCTACGTATTCGGCTCTCGCAGAAAGGGACAGCAAGAAACATGATTGAGTGTAGGCTTGGCCGCCAGTTCCCCTGCGCTTTTGGCTTTGCAGTCGGGAAAGATGTCCGCGCAGGCTTATTTTTCGTGTTGAGATAATTGAAGCCATCAGCTGCGGATTGGGGTGTTCAGATATGTAAATCGGTCCGTCATAGACAGTGCCGCAAATAGTACGGCGCATTTCATTACCGCCCTGAGTGAGCAGTTGTGCTCGTGTTTTATAGTAGTCGAGGATCGAAAAACTTTCCGGCATTCTCAGGACGCCGAGTCTCGTTCAGTTTGCTTTTGACGAGGGAGTGCACAAAGAAACCAAGCCAAGCTTCTCTTGCGTGTCGCGTCATGTGAAATGCTCATGTGTCAAATAAAATTCAGAAGGAAATCGAAATAGTTTCGCCGGCAGGAGGCGAGTATACCCTACATACTGCATTACAAGATGCCGCGTTGGATGGCACATTCCCGGCGTTGTGTTTTTCTTTTCGGCGTCCTCGTCTTTGGCGGCGTGGCACGCGCAGCGGACAGCGCAACTGCAGAGCCGTCGGCTAGTTCCGCGATGGAACAAATGTTCACGAAAATTAAACAAAGCACAGGTATCGACTATCAGTCGAACATGGAAAAGAATTTTCTCATACAGTACGACATCAAGAAGAAGGAGGCGGAAGGGGAGGTAGTTATAAATTTTGCATAGTTTAGTTTTTTGTCCCAGTCCAGTGAAGCTAAGCGTAGTGCATACCAGTGGAGCAAAATGCAGCGAAGAAGACGCTGGCGGGTTGACTGTGCTTCTGAGCGGATTGGCGCTGTACACCGGCTCGGGGAAACGCGGCAGGAGACGGATAGCACCGGGCACGGTGGCGGAGCGAACGCGCCGAAGCTGAGACTGACTGTGGCGCGCAGGCGGCGCTACGGGTGGTGGGGACGCAGGAGGAGCGGGCAAGCGGTGGCGTTGCTGTGTTTGGTCACGTCTGCGCGGTCAGAAAAAACGTCTGTTGAAGACGGTCCCGCAGGTCCGCGCCCGGTTTCCAGATCCCTGCGGGTCACCCAGCGCCATGGGAGCAGACGAGCAGACCCGAGGAGACGGGCTGCAGTACCAGGCGGCGAAGATGTTGCTCATCGTCCGCGACTATACCCGCGCGGCTCCGGAGGCGAAAATCCTCTCGCCCGCGCAGGGCAAAATCCGCAACACCAAGGAGATGAAGTGGAAGCGGGCTCCGATGCTTGGAAAGAACGCGGCAGGCGAAGCGCGAAGTACTACCGCGCCATGTGGGGGCGGACTCGCGAGCCCCGCCGCAAACTACGGCTCCCGGGGCCTCGCCACGCCAAGGAGCCTCTCGGGCGCGGGAAGCAACCCAATGAATTAGCGTCGCCGCGATGCGGGAGGCGGCCAAGGTCTGCGACCACCCCGACAGGCACCTGGCTGAGCATTTCCTGCGTGGCATGAAGGCAGCTGGGAATCTCGGCCGCGAATGGGTGTGGCAAGTGAATCCGGTGATGGCCGAAATAGGTTGCCAGGGAGTTCAGGACCTCTGCAGACGCGGCTGACGTCACCGAGCGCGCGGAGCCGACCGGGCGGGGCCCGAAGCTTTTGTGAGGGTCGCTCGGTTGTATGGGTGACATTCATGAGCACCAAATGGCCCTACAAGACAGTGGGGCGCAGGAACTTGGTCCCGCAATCCAGCCCGTCTTCCCCGAAATAGGGAACCAGCAAAACCAGGCCGGCAGTAGATTATCGTGCGCGACATAGACAGGGCTGCGAAAGCACCGCGGAGCTGCTCGCGCTAAGTAATCGAAATGACCCCCTGGCAGGGGGCCACCTGCAACGCCGCCTGCCGGGCGGCGCAGCGGTCCAAGGAATTGGAGGCGTGCTTTTGGTACGTATAGATACTGCGGTACGCCCGCCTGCCCGGCGGATGATATTCCGCGAAAGAACCTCCTTCCCCGTCTCCTACAGTCCTGGCGCCCAGCATAGCACCAGGAGCACCACGCGGGCCCCTCGGTCCACAAATTTGTCAAGCGGCAGCTGCTCACTACGCTGCTGCCGGAGGACGTGGCACTGGACCCCACACACACGTCGATCAGGACAAATGTGGGGAGCGCGCGCGCTTTTGGGGTTTTCGGCGAGGCCGGACCGTAGCAGGCGGGCGGCAGCGCGGCAAAGTTTGTCTTTTCCTGCATGTGAGCGTAGCCCTACTGGGCGCCTCGCCAGTGATGAAAGTAGTCTCGTGCGAATCGATTGCGAACGAGAAACGAAAGGACCCGCAAGACAGCCTGCGCGCTAGTACTTGTTTGGTTGTTCGCGCGGATTCCTGCTCTCGTTTTTGTCGCGGTGGCAAGATCTCATGATGAGAACAGACACAGATCAGCATTATTGCCCAAATTTAATCCCACATCAATAGTTGGTCGAGGACAATGTGAAGGCGGTGGCGGGGCTACTGGTAAATGGGCCAGTAAAACCAGAAGACATTGCGGCGGCGACGAAATACATGCACGCGTACTTGTTGGCTGCGACGGAAGCGGAAGAAGAAACCGACTTACCATTGGCGAGACTGAATATCCAGCGCAATTATGCCTAGGGGCTAGGGCAAAGTGCCGCGGCTGGAGCAATATCTGGCTGCCAACTGATGCAAAAGTAAGAGCTTGCGTGACCCAGCATGTTGCAATTTTTCATGAAAATAAAGTTGCGACGCATTGCGTTCTTCATGCAAACTCGCACTCGCAGGCACAGTCTTACTTAGGGCTGATCAATATGACTGCCGCAAAGAAGCTGGCGTAGAACCTGGCGAAGAAGCTGGCGTGGAAGCTGTTGGCGAGTATGTATCTGAGATTTGTTTGAGGTCCTAACGCCATAGGTATATTTGCGCAGGATACTGCATGCACTGCTCAAGGCAAAGGGGCCGGAGGAACGTCAAGGGGGCTCCGACAAGTGGGACGTGCCCGACAGCAAGGGAAATCCCGGCCGCGATGCGCTGATCTGCTTCGTCGATTGGGTGTTCGACGAGGTGAAGGCTACGGAGGCTACGGAATTCGGCGTGGATAGGGAGATTCTCAAGGAAAATGCGGAGAAAATAGCAGGAGAGGCAAAAACAGTGTTCCGTACGGGTGAGACACGGTACAACTTCGGCAACATGGTGACTCAAACATGGGCGCTCGGATATGGCTCGTCGATAAACGACGAGCTCGCTGATGCAAGGAAGTTGGTTGACAAGGTGAAATCTCAACTATTCAAAAAAAGTTCAACGCTTAGAAAAATAATTATATCAACTATTGAAAATGAAAATAAAAACTACTTCCATCTACTAGTGAAATTCATTCAGTGGGTTTCTAGAGGAATCTGGAAGCAAGTATCAACGCCAGGTCGCTGCTTGCATGTGCTTCGGTCGCAGCATTCTTGCAGTGCAGACAGCGCATCCACATCCCCGGCTTTCATGCCATCAAAAATCGCACGGATTTTGTCATCCGGGATCGCAAAGATGATCCCGAACATTGAATGTTGGAAATCGTTGAGGTCCAAACGTTGGCTTTGAAACGTTGAGACTTTACCTTGACAACCTAGGCCGTCCCTCCGTGCCTCTGATCCTGATTCTGATTCTGATTCTGATTCTGATTCTTCTGCTCTCCAAGTCGCAATCGACGAGGGGTCAAGCACGTTGCAGCTGCCCGGCCGAGCTGCCGACTCAATATTCGCACAGCCACCCACCTCTTCCCGTGATCAAGCTTCACACGACGATACCACAGCCGCGACTCCTTTGACTACGCCGCATGCGACATCGACGTTGAGCGAAAATTCTCGTGGACTGCAAGGGGATGGCAGGGGCACCGTATCGGCGCAAACTGCCGATGTTTCGGCGACTCTCTGGGAAGTCGAAGTGAGTTCCGGGAAAGGTGATCAACCAGCGAAAGTGAGATCCGGTACTGTGCCGGCAAAGTCGACCGGGGAGTCCAGCGTGCTCTCATCTGCAGAACACGGCCAACCGTCAATATCGGCCACGACCTTGCATGCAGCCTCAGGGGAGAAAGCTGCGGTGCCGACTGAACAAGGGACTGCTGATGTGGCTCAGCTGCAGGTGCAGCGAGCGCAAGAAACGAGCAACGGGCAACCAGTTCATGCTCCCCAGGAAGAAAATGCTGCGTCAGGAGAAACACATGCCCGTGAATGACATTGCCAACACAGGCAGCGGTCCGTGGCCGACTATGACGACACACGTTTTCGCACATGTCACTTCCGTGACGTCTTCGTTGGTTGACACCTACCCATTCGTTTCCGTTTTGATACTCGGCGTGTTCTGTGGATCGATGCTCTTTCTCGTTCAGTGGATTTGCTGCAACCGCGTGCAAGGCCTGGCTGCTGGTGCTGAGGCGCCTTTCTCCACGTCCGCAGCGCGTACCGGCATTTTCGAGTCGGCGAGCTGGTTCTCGTTTTGGTGGTGTCGTTGCTGCGGCCGCAAAACGACCAAGGGCGAGAAGATCACGTGTGGCGGGAAGAAGGATCGGCGGTCAGCTGCAGCCGGTGGGGACGACGATGCTGTTGCCGGAAATGACATCGAGCGCGGGCAGCGGACCAAGTTGCGCTGCTCTGGCGAAGAAGGGCAGGCGTGGAGTGGTTACGGAACCATCGAGAACGCGGACGCGAACTGCACCACGGGCGGAGCGAAGGTCTAGTTGAGAGAAGCACTGCCTGTGCCTTCTCTGGTTCAGCTCACCGAGAGGTCAGCAGTTTCGACGGAATTATTATTTTGATGATCGCTACATCAGATTCAGACAAGTTGAATTTCAATTCGAATTGAAATCCTTTTACGATGACCCATTAAACCTAGATTGTTAAGAAGCGTTTACTAAGAATACTGTCTCCTATAATAGATTTTTTTCATCAGTTTGTTTGCAAATCGTATCAATTGGTTTCTTAAAGAACAAGTTCAAACGCCCATCGACAGTTCGTCATGACATGCCTGGCAGAGAGTTCCAAGAACTCGTTGTAGTAAGTACTTACAATCAGGACCAGGCGTCCTCTCACTGCTAGAGGAATGTTTCCGCCAATGAATTGCACATCATATAACATGCGAAAATGCCCCTGTATACATCGAGGAAAAAACCATAATCGAAACAAGAGCATGCTTGCTGTCCTAGTCTCCTCTACGGGTACCTCTGCGCTGTTTTAGTCTGAGTGTTTGTGTTTCCGCTTTTGCACCGGAGGAGTTCGTGCACATGCCAGTCGGGGACTTCGCTAACACCATTTTTGGTACTTTTGCCTAGCACCTGAGTGAACAATAAAACGAGGGAGTCATTCGTGCGAACAGGCAGAGACCTTTGTAAAGGATCTTGATCATGCGAACGTATGTTTTCTGTATGGCACCACTGGGCGTAATCGATGAACAACACACCTGTGCTTTCTCAGGTCTCCCCTTACGTTTTCCTTTTCGATTTTCTCTCGTGGCAGAAAACACGTCTGCGCAATAGTTCTTTTGTGTACGACCTTTTCGGTAATTACTTAATTTATTTGATACGCATTATGTTGCATCAACATCTTCCAGCATAGGCACCATGGCGTTCGTCCGTCGCGCGTCGCGGCACCGGGCGAGTTTAGGAGACGCCGAGTTCCCCTACGAGGCCGGGCGGTATGTGCTCTACGTCTCCTACGCCTGCCCGTGGGCGAATCGGGCCGCGCTGGTGGCGAAACTGAAAGGTTTGGACGAGAAAGTTCTTCCAGTCGTGTCCGTGCACCCGATACGCATTGCACATGTATTTGGATCCTCTGATGGAACAGGCCAACTTGTCATGCCAAATCTGAATCATGCAAAAATCTGTGTTGCATGATTACCAAAAGCTGTGCCTTTTTTACCGACTTGAGATGTGATTTCTCATGCAGGAAATGCATCACAAAGATCCCACCGGATCTGTCATGCTAGGTCCTGGGGATTCCAGTCCTCATGGGTCACGTAAAACCTGCATGACAAGTTGACATATTACCAGAGCACCCGCACATACTTGCAATGCATACCCCACGTGGCAGCGTACGAAGCCGGGCGTGGACTCGCACTGCGGCTGGGTGTTCCGCGCGCCGGGGGAAGGGGTGGTCCCCCTCGCTCTCCTCGACAACGTCACCGCACAGGAGGGCAAGGTGGCTAAGGGTTCCGCACTGAACGAGGTCAGTGCGGCGGGCGAGGTGGGCAAGCAGACCGAAATCCGCACGGCGAACTGCGGGGTGGACAGCTATTCGGGCTGGAACTGCCGCACGCTGCGCGAACTCTACGAGAAGTGCGGGGATTCGCTCGAGACCGGGGGAAAATTCACCACGCCGCTGTTGTTCGACCGGAAACAGTATGAATTACAAATATGTCTGGGTCTGGAAGAGTGCAGACATCTGTGATGCAGTTTTTCCGCAGCCCAGATCGTCTGGCATGCAAGCCCTAGCATCACAGATTCCGAGTAGGTATCCCGATGCCTAAACCGCATGACAAATGCCCCCTTTCTGTAACAGGGAATGGGGCCTTTTGCTGACTATGCATGGCAGATTTTGTCATGATGTAGAATTTGCATCACAAATTCGAATCCATCCAGACCCAGACGTATTTGCAGGGGATAGACAGCGCAAAATCGTGAATAACGAGTCCTCGGAAATCATTCTATCAAGAAGAAACATCCCCCCTCCCCATATCAAATCGGAAATCTGTGATGCAGATTTGTGGCCACAAATCAGCTCATTCATGCTAGAAGGGAAAAGATGTGGACTGTAGTGCTGGATGGCGTAGGAAAGCATTGCATCTTCAGCATGACAGGACGCAGCTGGAAGTGGGAAGCAGCATGACAAATTGCCTGCAAACGAGGCCACAACTGCGGCCCTTGGCCTTCTAGCATTACAAGTCGATTTGTGTACTCAAATACAGCATCACAAGTTTCGCTTTCGATATGGGGTGGGGAGATTTTTCCTTTTGATAAATTCTGCAGCTGAACAACTGGCCGGCCGACGCGAGCAACGGTGCGACCACCGGAAGTGTGGACTTGTGTATGATCGGAAATAGAGAAGGCGTCGCTTTGCATTTTTGTAGACTGGAGGTAAAGCAGCTCCTGGTTTCGTTGCTGAGGACGAGAATTTTTTTATGCGCAATATACCGATTCACTTTCAACACAGTCCGAATTTCCGGTCGGAGTAGAGGATCAAGATTACCGTAGCAAAAATCTGCACTATCGCACATAGAAAGTTGAGAAGCAATCCTTTATTTTCCCGATCCATACACGACCCTCTTCATTTGAAGAAGGATATCGACGAGTGGAACGAGTTCACCTACGACCGCATCAACGACGGCGTGTACCAGTGCGGGTTATCCTGTGTGAAAACGTCTCCACCCCATACTCAAGATGGTAGATCTGCTACACAAATCAAGGAACTTTGTGCGGTTCGCATGACAAATTTTTATAGACACCTAGTGCAGCAGTGTTTGGCTATATTAAGTACAACAATACGCATCACACGTTGACCGTCTGATGCTGATTAGAGCATGACAAATTCGTCCGAAACCGCACTAGAAAATGCATCTCATCGGGCTGCGCATGCGAAAGGTTTTCCGCATGCACTTTCTGCATGACGGGGACGTTTTTACCCAGCATACTGCTTTGCGCGCACCCAGGTCGCGTACGACCGGGCGGTGGATAAACTTGCGACCAGCATGCAGAAGCTCGAGGACCGGTTTGCGGAGGAACCAAGCCGCGCGTTTCTGGTCGGCGACCAGCTCACGATCGCCGACGTCCGGCTGTTCCAAACTTTAGTATTAAAATGAAAAATGCCCCCTCCACCCCAGAACTTGGCAGCATTTGTATTGCAAACCTTTCCAATACTAGAAACACTCCCTTTCCTGCATATACCAGCATCGCAAATTTTCCATGCTGACTAGCCCAAAATCTGTATTGCAAAGAGCCCAGCACCCGCCGAATCTGTTATGCAGAAGATACCTTGCGCACCTAGAAGATTCTGCATCAGAACCACTCGTAGTCCTTTCATGCAAGACAAAGAGTTTTCATTTGGAAACTTTGCATCAGAAACTTTTGCAAATTATGGGGTGGGGGCGCTTTTCATTGTAATACTTGGTTCGCATGGACGAGTGCTACGTGATCTATTTCAAGTGCTACGCCGCGAGTCTGCGAAATTTCCCACTCCTCTTGCGGTACACCGCGCGGATCTACCAGATGCCCGAGGTCCAGGCGTGCACCTTTGTCCGGGACTGCAAAATCCACTATTTCACCTCGCACCCGCACCTGAATGCGTTCGCCGTGGTCCCGCGGGATTCACAGGTCGTCGAATTGCTGGAGCAACCACCCGACACGCTGATCTAATATCCACGGTACAGAGGACGGTTGGACTTGGAGGGAAGAAGGGCAAGGTTTGTCATGCGGTGAAAGGTTGATGAGGTTCTTTCGCTCAAGGAGAGACAGTTACAGCAAGTGTCTCTGATTCGTTAGAACGCATGCATGAGTCGGGCATTGGAATCTCATTTTGCATCTTCCTTTTAGTTTTATCGCATGATAAACTTCATGCCTTTATTCCGCCCCAGCACGTCGGCCTTTTCCGGACGATACAGGCTCCAAGAGTGGCGCGTCGAAGGGTCTACTCGGCTTTTTGCGAGATTTTTTCACAAAGCGAATATGTTGAGGGCGCAGTTCTTCCGCGGGAGTTGTGGCCGAAAGTGTTTCAGTTAATTTCGAGATAAACTACCAGTTTAAGAACCAACTCTGTCACGTGGCAATGCTACCACCAGCACGGGCAAGAATGCGCAGGGCCTATTTTTCTTTTTGCGGTTGTGCTGGGGCTGCTAGTACAACTGCTGTGATGGAACAACGAACAGGCATGGCACAGGATGACGCGGAACAAGCGCATGGATAGAATTTACACGACTTTTTGAAGGATAAGAAAAGTACAGACGGCGCGGTGATACCGCTAGAGTTGTTCTTGATACCAGTGGACGAAAGTGGTGAAGTTGTTGTAGCTACTTTGACCACTAGAATAAGGAATCAGAATCCAACTACACGCTAGCCATTGCTCGTACCACCCTCGCTGGAATTCTTACGCTCATCCAGCGCATTTCGATCTGATGCTGGTCGGAAAATGTCCATGAAAAGCGTTTCATGCAGCAATACCGCGGTTTGGTGAAGGAAAGCCCTGCACTTCCAGTGGGTCCGGCTGTAGCAGTTTCAGAATAGCGTTCAGAACGAGCGGATGGCACTGTCGTTGAAAAATTTTCTTTGCGGAGATGTTTCGTGTCCAGATTCCAGAACCACACGGCAGGGAAACGATGCGGATCAAAGGTTTCGCTCACATCGGAAAAGTAGCACGAGCGTGTTCAGAAGATTTTCTAGCAGATCGTCTTATGCACTCACTGTTCGTTGTTGCTTCGGTACCACGAATTTCCCGATCTCCCTTCATGTTGGTCATCTACTTCTCTGATCTTGTTTTTTCTGCTAAAAGGAGTCGATGAGCCCGGATCATTTTTCAGGCAGGGCAGACGTCAAGGCTGGTTCTCCTCTGATCTCTGATCCCATATCTTGCAGCTCACGTTGAGCGTGCCATACGAGCACTTTGTTTTTGTTGATCGTGTGGTCGATCTTGGACTTTCTCTTTTTCGCTTGCTTTTGGTTCCACCTTCTGTGTTTTTGTGCAAGTTCGTTTGGATCTTCCTTGTTCCGTGTCGATTTCATAGGAGGGTTTCGGAATGGTCTTGTGGAATCGGTGAACTACTACATGGCTACCAACGAACGCGTCGTGGTGTCAGATTTTTTTGCTGCTTTGAAGCAAACGTTTAGTTGTAGTGTTAGTTGATAGACAACAGTATAGGCGAGACTAACTTCACATCTCCATTTTCATCACACAAACATTTGGAGAAATAATTTCTCAGGTCCTGCTTCACACCCGATGAGGGAAATTTCCGAAAAGAGCCCCTCGTGCTAGCGGAGTTGCCAGCGAAGAATATTATCGCGCGTACGAGGACCAGCAGCTATGGGGTCGTCGTGGCGGCAGCGCCTCTGGTCCTCCAGGAGTGCGCTGCACAACGTCGTACTGTTTTCCGCGTGTCTCGTGACTAACTGGTTGGTTTCGTGGGACAGCAGCTTCGACGATGCGGATGTGGAAGACGATTTCCGTTTCCACCTCTCAAGAACAGGAGCTGCGCCGTTTGTCTCCTTCATACAACAAAATGATGAAAACAACTCCAACTCGCGTCGGACTTTCAGCGCCAGAGACGCCAGCGAAAATCTCGAGCGGCTGTCGTCACGTGCGCGTGAGCTGCTGACCGAGCTGGCTGCAGTAAGGGAGCAGCAGGGACGGGTGTCGGCTAAGGTTGATAGCGGGAAAGGAACTTCTCTGGCTCGGGGAGGCGAGTGCAAGTTTGAGGAGTCAGGGGAACTGTTTCGCGGGCAAGCATCTTCAGTGCAAAGTGCGAACGTCACATGTACGAATGAGAAGGAAGTGGCAGATTTCGCCGAGACAAGAATAGGACGGGAGAGCCAGAACGCATCGCAGGACCGCTGCACAGGGGCGCCTCGTGGTATGCCGGGGACGACTCCAGAGAATCACATTTCTACGACGGTACGCCATATTCAGGACAGGATTGCGGGACTGCTAGCGAAGCTAGGTAGCCGGGAGCAATCACCTCAGGGCGATTTTTTGCAATCTGAGGATACACACCATGACTGCACAAAGGATGTTCCTGAAACATCTGGTGAACAGGAGTGTAATACTGCTGCTGCTGCTGCACAAGGGAATAACATTCCTTCTTCCCACACACAATGTCGATTTCCTACGAAAAGAACAATAGCCACACCAGGAAGTAGCATAGCGGCGTTTCCTCTCGGAGAAGACAGGTCGGGTGCAGCACTCGTAACCGCTGACGCTGACCCGTGTCGGCCCACGGGAACTAGATCCTCAACACCTGCCGCACCGCAAAGCAGGGCCGAGCATTCATCAAAAAGGAAGACCACTAGTACACGACCGTCTTTGGTGTTTGCCACTGCCTACGCGTATTTCCCGCGGCTTCCGTGCAAGCGGTACGAGAGTGAGATGTTCAACGTGCACACGGAATTTGAGGATTTGCTGAAGGACTTCCTGAAGATGTACGACAGTTATGCGGACCCCGTTGTGGAAGTCATGGACGCCGTGGTCCTGCACCAGATCACGTCGATCAGCGAATCCTTTCTGAAAATCATCGAGAGCTACCGCCTCATCCTCTGCACCACGTTGTGTGCCGAGAGCTGCCACTTCGGCGGGCCCGATGGCTACGGGGTACGGCGTGGTGGTTTGGTGCGTCGGATCTCTGCTCGTCGTGATAGTGTTATAATGCAGTGGGTGCTGCTGGACGAGCGATAGCTTTTTCATGAGAGGAAACTGCTCTTGCGTCATAGCTTGAAGCAATTGCAAAATGAGCTGCAGCATGTGAATCAATAAAGTTGATGATAATGTGCAAAAACGACCACACCCAGTTGTTTCACAGAGTGCCACGACGACGAGAGTTTCTGATCTTTTTCGATTCGATACACGACCTACTGGATTGACCACTGGATCACGGAGTTGCACCGAAATGTGGAGGTGATCAGTGACAAAGACCACTGGAAGGAGCAGGTGAAGCTCTTCATGTTCGAGACCTGGACGGGCATCCGCGAGTGGCTGGAGCGCGTGGTGTCCACGGGCCGCATCCAGGAGGACGACTTTGAGCAGGTGGTTGGCGGCGCGCGGGAGATCTACACGGGCATGATCCGCCCGGCTTTCTCCATTCTGGTCACGCAGAACTCGCACAATATGAGCCACATCCTGACCATCGGCAAAGACGCGCGCACCACGACCGGCTGGCTCCAGGGCGTATCAAATGCAAAAGTGTCTGGGTCTGGAAGAATGCAAGATTTGTCATGCATATTTCTCATGACCCATGATGCCTGTAATGCATGACCTAGCATCGCAGTCTTTTAGAGGGCTTCCTGATGCACCTTCCGCATGAGAAATGCCCTGTTCTTGTAGCACACATTGTATCCCTCTTGCTGGTCATGCGATACAAATTTTTTTGGAATCCAAAAACAGCATGACAAGTTGCAATCTTCCAGACCCAGACATTTTTGCATTTGATAGGGCGACATGCCGCACCACAACGTGTTTACCTTGATGGAGCAGCCGCGGAAGGCGTTGCTGTCCCCGAACTTGTATCAAATGTAAAAATGTCTGGGTCTGGAAGAGTCATCCTGTTTTTGCATGACACAGAAGGTCTGGCTTGGAAGCTCTAGCATCACAGGCTTCGAGAAGCTTCCGCAATGCCGATTCCGCATGACAGACCCCCCATTTTGGTGACAGAAAGCGGGCACCTTTTGCTACCTATGCATGAGAGATTTTTCTGTGTTCTGAAATGCGCAGCACAAGTTACATCCTTCCAGACCCAGACACTTTTACACTTGATAACTTGCTGCTGAAGTCGGACGTGTGTCAGCTGGCGGAGCGCAACGGCGAGAGCACGCGGGACATGCTGCACTCCGGCGCGCTGGAACAGGACCCGGACATCATCCGGATCCTGAAGCAGATCGGCGCGCACGTGCCCCTCAGCCACGCGTTCGTCGGCTGGCGGCTCGGTGACATGGACGCCGATCTGACGGATTGCAAAGGGTATTTTTAGAATATACTACGAACAAACATCAAATAGCGCTCCTCTGGACCATTGCGCATGTTATTCGCATCAGTGAAGCGGCTCTAGCAGCGGAAAACATTTATTTGCCGTATAGGTGCTGGATGCAGAACGTAAATCGGGACAATACTTCCGTTCTTTGTGTTGCGAAATCCATGAGTTTTTCTTCTTGAGAAAACGAGCCTTATCTAATATAATTAGGTCCGGCATTTTCTACGACCCGATCAATTGTCTGGAGGCGGAGGGTTGGGGCGGGTACATCTTCCGGGTGACCATCCGCACCGAGAAGGCGGAAGTGATAAAAGTGCCCAAGAGCCAGCGGTCCTCGGCGCTGATCCACCCGCTGGGGAAGCCGGACTTGTATAACGTGCTGCCGTCCATTGATTTGGTGTGGACACAGATGGTGGAGTTTTCGCCGGATTTGTTCTTTATTCACCCGGGGTGCGAGAACTGCCGCGCCCTGCAGGAACTGTTCATGACCGGGCCCATCAATCCGAAGGTGGTAATTATCCCCTTCAACCCGCTGCTGCCCCCGCCGTTCGAGGTCATCCCGCTCTGGCCTGAGTTCTGGCTGAAAAACAAGGATTTACTGCCCAAGTCCCGCATGTTCAACACCACACTGCCGAAGGACTACGTGCTATTCAAATGGAAAATGATGCGCACTCATGCCGAGAGCCTGGATATGTCTGTCATGCAGCTCTCGAGATTGCAGTCACGCTTGCAGCTTTGCTTCGTGCGTGCACTCGCGGCACGTCAGTGGTTTCAGTGCAGTCGAAATTTCTTTTGTGTCGAATGAGTAAAAACGCACTGACTTCTTTACATGATCTTTGTCGCGCTTTGCTTTCCTATCCATACGCCACGCCCGACGACCTGGATAGTTACATCGCGTCCCTGTTTTTCAAGACGCAGTGCTCGCTGGCCGGCGTGCAGCGGTTCTTCGAGACGAAGCTGTACGAACGGCGGCGGAAATTCATTCTCCACAGCATTGACGGGGGCTACCTGACCTACATCCGCGCGGATTTGCGGCAGTACGTGGATGACTTCGCGGTCCAAACCGTGGTGATCGACAACCGCGACGACGTGATGTGGCGCATGTGGCTGGACGGGTGGTACTGCAATCCGTACGCGCGCTACTACGCCCGCCTGGAGATGACGGCGCTGGTGGACGTGCAGCGCCTGGCCGACCCGGAGGTGGACCTGCAGACGCGGACGGACATTGTGTGCGACTACCTGAACTTCCACCGCATCCACATCGCCCGGAAAAAGTTTGACTGCTGGCGCACGCACATGCTCCCGAACGCCCGCGGGTGGGGCGGCGACGGCCAGGAGCGGTGGTTCGCCACCCCGGGGGCCTGCCAGCGCCACTGCAGCATGAGCGCCGGCTGCCGGTTCTGGACCTTCGACACGGTGGGGCACTACGGCAGCACGCTGTGCTGGGTGTGGATCAACAACGACCCAGACGAAATCAAGGACGAGCCCGGCTGGTGGTCGGGGAAGCACATCCGCGATTTGACGCACCAGATCGACCACAGCGCGCTCCCCGGCGTGACGGACTCCATGCTGCGCAAGTGGGCCGTGAACGATTGGCCCATGGTCGGGGGACTCAAGTACCTGCTGGACCGCCAGAAGCGCGGCCGCTGCACCACGCAGGGCTTCTGCGAGTGCTTCCCGCCCTATCGAGGTATAAGCACTTGTATCATAGCTATTAGGGCGGTGGGCGTCGTTGTCGTCGTGTGTGGCGTGCTTTTCTGCGCTACTACGTGGAGGTTTTGGTGTGAATACCAAATTTTGTGCATGAAATGAAGCTATTGCTCCTGGCAAGGTCATCATCGTCGAGAAATCTACTTATAAAACTGGATAAAATCCAGGTCCCGCCTGTCAGCACGTGCATCCGGCGCGCCAGCCGGAGAAACCGTTTCGTGCCATCTTGCACTACCTGGTGGACTATGGACTGCAAATATGTCTGGGTCTGGAAGATTGCGAGATTTGTCATGCTTAGTTGGCATGACTGAAGAATTTGAATTTGTGATGCGTGTCAAAGAAGAGACCCTTTTGCTTGTCAAGCAAAAGCGCAGTTTGTCATGTGGAAAGCGCAACACTAAGCTGCAGCGTAGACACGTCTCATGCTTAGCTGTGCATTACAGAGCATTCACTATTCCCAATGTAGCATTACGAGTTTCCAGACCCAGACATATTTGCATTTGATATGGACGACGTGGAGGCGGACGTGACTGATTTGACGTATTCCCTTCCGCGACTGTTATCAACTGCAAATATGTCTGGGTCTGGAAAAGTGGAAGTTGTAATGCGTGTCTTGTATTCCTAGAAAATCTGTGTTGCGTGAGCAGCAGCAGAGCCGTTTCCTTTGTCATGTAAAGTCGCAGTGTGTAATGCGTGCTAGACATCAGAAAGCGTCTCAAAAACTTGTCATGCTTGGCTGCCATTGCAATCGTTGCGTTCAGCTGCAAATCAGCATCACAGGTTTCCAGACCCAACCTTATTTGCATTTGATAACTGTGGGAACGGTACAACAAGCACCACGACTACGAAGTGGTGCTGTTCCACGACGGCATGAGCATGGCCAGCCGGTCGCGCATCGTGGAGAGCAGTCAGAACCGGGTCTGGTTTGCCTTCTATCAACTGTAAAAATGTCTGGGTCTGGAAGAATGCAACTTGTCATGCTAAATCTGCAGCATGCAAAAATCTGTGTTGCATGATTACCAAAAGTCGTCCAGTTTTGACCAAGTCGGGGGGTAGTTTCTCATGCAGGATAGGCATTAGAAAGGTCTCGCAGAATCTGTCATGCTAGGTCCTGCATTCCAGACCTCATGGGTCATGGAAAAGCAGCATGACAAATCGCGCATTCTTCCAGACCCAGACATTTTTACATTTGATACCTTCGTGGAAGATTTCAAAAAGGTCGACGAGTCCGTGCTGATGAAGAAGAAACAGAAGGCCCGGCTGAAGGAGGTAGAGTTGTTGGACCTGTGTTTATTTTCAACAAACCCAGATGATCATGATTCTTCACTGCAATATAGAGCTGTGCTGACTTGATGCATGAGAAAAGATAAAGATTTGTTGTGCGTTTCGAGGCGTCAAATGTATCAGAAGCGCACGCTGTAGTTTTTTAACTTAAACAAGCTGATGCTCCTCTGCGAATCAGGTCAAATGGTCGATTGGATACCGAGGGATGTGCAAGTTCCGTTCGGGCACCATGTTTCTGCAGCCGGTACGGTATTGAGAAAAAGACTTCCTGCGTCCTGCTCTCTAGTAGGTCGTCAAGGGGATGAAAAAAAGATACTAATGCTTTTGTCGGTCGTGTTACTTATGCGCGTAACTGTACTGAAAGTGCTGTAGCACGTGCGGTCTGAGAAAGCAAAGAGCGGCGCTGCAGCATGACAGTAAGTGAAACCATTGTCATTTTTCCGCGCCACAGTAGAGCAGAAGTGTGGGAAGAAAAAATTTTCGTTTTCCATAGTTTGTGATGGATTTTTACGAGTACGCGATGACGCTGGATACCGACGGCTACTTCCCGCAACCACTGGACAACGACCCCATTGTATTGAGAGGAAAAAACCCCCCTCCCCATATCGAAAAGGTGTGTTTGTCTTGCTGATTTGAGACCACAAATCACGTCTGTCTTGCAAGAAGACAATTCCACAGGCTCTGCCGCATTATGCAGGCGGTTTGTGATGCTGTTGGGCCTACAGCGTAGACGTTTCTCATGCTAAGCGCCTAGGCCAAAACTTCTCTACTCAGGCTTGGCAGGAGCCTGCAGCCCTCTACTGCAAGACAAACGTGATTCGCGTACGCAAATCCACCATCAGAAACTTCCGCTTGATATGGGGAGGGGGGATTTTTCCTTGTGATACATTGAGCGGATGTGGCGCGGAAATTACACCTACACCTGGTCCCACTTGCTGCCGGACTATCAAATGTAAAAATGTCTGGGTCTGGAAAAGTGTAGACTTGTCATGCAGATTTTCCATGACCCATGAGGCCTGGAATGCGGGACTTAGCATGACAGACTCTGCGAGGTCTCTGCCATGCCTATCCTGCATGAGAAACTCCCTTCCAACTTGGTCAAAAGTGTACAGCTTTTGGCACCCATGCACCACAGACTTTTGCATGCTTCAGATTTACCATGACAAGTTTCGATCTTCCAGACCCAGACATTTTTGCAATTCATACGGACCAGCCCGGCGCGGTGCGACACTTCTGGAGCTGGAGTCTCATGTATTCAGTCGGTTAGCAAACGTACTTCGTATAGATACAAACTTTTGCGTTTTTCGACTTTTCATTTTGTTTTCAAATCTCGATGGGAATCGATGCATGGTACATGTGGGGCTGCAGAAACAGAATGAACGCGATTTTCTAAATCGCCCTTCAGGTTTTTCCAAATGAAGGACATTGACTGGCGCACGCGGCCGCTGCTGCAGGATTTCATCCGTTATGCATTGCAAAAGTATCGTACTCGTATAAATGCATTACAAATTTCCTCAGCATGAGAAATGAAATTTGTAATGCGGATTTGCCTCAAGAAAAGGATTTGCAAGACTTGCATTTATACGAGTACGATACTTTTGCACAGGATATCCGTCCGGAGGATTTGGAGTGGAACTACAATTTGTACATGAACGACATCTATCAAATGCAAATATGTGTGGGTCTGGAAACTTGTGATGCTGGCTTGGGAATGGTGGACACACTAAACTACGCAGCCGAGCATGACAAGTTCTTGAGCTGCTATGCGTTGCGAGTTCTGCATGGCAAGCTGCGCTTTTGCATGACAGGCAAGCGACTCTCCTTTTGCTCATGCATCACAGAGTTAGGAGTCATGAGAGAAAAGCATGACAAACTTCCATTCTTCCACACCCAGGCATATTTGCATTGCATAACATCGAAATCAACAAGATCTCGTTTTTCCGGTCCGACAAGTACCAGGAGTACTACGAGTACCTGAACAGCTTCAACGGGTTCTTCCTCTACCGGTGGGGCGACCACGCGCTGTATTACAATGAAAAATGCCCCCACGCCCACCCCATATCAAAACGCAAATTTGTGATGCAGATTTGTGGTCACAAATCAGCTTTGTCATGCTACAAGGGAAAAGATGCGGACTGTAGTACTGGGTTGCGTGGGGAAGCTTTGCATCTTCAGCATGAGAGGAGGGAGCTGGAAGTGAAAAACAGCATGACAAATCGCCTGCAAACGAGGCCACAACTGCGGCCCTTGGCCTTCTAGCATTACAAGTCGATTTGTGTACTCAAATACAGCATCACAGATTTTTTCGTTTTCGATATGGGGAGGGGGGATTTTTCCTTTTGATACGCTGCGCACCATCGCGGTGGGCATGTACCTGGAACCGGAGGACGTGATGCAGATGCGCATCCCGTACGGCCACCAGGGCTACTGCCAGTGCTTGTCCACAGATTACCGGTGCTACACCGAGGAGCGGTACTACTCCGAGATGGGAAACCTGACCACCCTATCCTGTGTAAAAACGTCCCCACCCCAGAGTTGTCATGCAGATCTGCAAACACAAGAGCACTTGTAATGCGCATCCCCATAATAGGAATTTCCGATCGTGTTTTGGAACTTGTAATGCTGTGAACAGGATGAGCAGAGGGATTTGTAATGCGACTTCCCTTGCTAAACTGCACTACAATACAGCCTGCAATTTGTCATGCGTGACTCCCAAAACTTCGAGGTTTGTGTTGCAAAATCCCCATCTTGACTCTGGGGTGGGGACGTTTTTACCCAGGATACACCCAGCCGGACTTCTTCCGCAAGGAGTGGCGGGTGTGCGCTATCGCAAGGGAAAATCTCTCCTCCCCATACTGAAAAGGTATATTTTTGGAAATTTGTGATGCTGATTTGTGGCCACAAGTCGTGTCTGTCTTTACAAGCAGGCAAACTCAGAAGGCTCCCCGCATTAGGGCGGCAGTTTGTCATGGTGTTGGGCCTGCAGCATAGACCTTGGTCATGCTGCGCGCCTCGGCCAAAACCTCTCCAATCAGGCTTGATAAGGGCCTGTGATCCTCTACTGCAAGACAAGGCTGATTTGTGTAGGCAAATCCAGCACCAGAAATTTCGTTATCGATGTGGGGAGGGGGGATTTTTCCTTTTGATATGCGCGGATCCCATCCCCAGCCCCAGCGAGCGGCTGATCAACCAGATGGCGGAAACGGAAGAGGAAACGAAGGAGTTGACCTTCGTCGCCGGCGAGAACCCGATTTTAGATGAGGCGGAGAAAACCCGGCAAAGACAGGAGGAACCGGATGAGCGGGAGTGTGCAAAGTTGGAGAAGACAGCGGAAGATGAGGACGGTACAACAACTTCTACTTCAAGTACTGGCATTTCATCTGAGTTTGCGAAAAAGTGTGCGAAGAGAAAAGCAAAGAAAGCGGCCGCGGCGAAGGATACGGAGGAGAAAGAGGTAGATGACACAGGAGATGATACTCAAACCAGTAGCAGTACGACATCAACAACGACATCAACCGCAGCCAGTGTCAACAAGAGCGCTGTCAAGAAAACTCAGCGGGCCACAAAGAGGAAACGAAGAAGAAAGAACTGAGTAGTGCGAGGGTGTAGGTTGTAGACAGGGTTTTTTTTCTCGGTTGAGATTGAGATCGAGATGAAAGAGATCAATTTATTGAATCACCATGCCGTTCTTGTTGTGCAGCTGATTGCTGGCCAAGAGTGCAGGAAAATGTGTACTGAATTGTTCTTACGGAAGATGCGGACCGACTGGTCGCATGCGAAGTAGGCGTGCATGAATCGCAACGCCGTGATTTATCGCATAGTTTTTTACATCACTTAGCATTAAAAGTGAATTGGATATCGGAAAAAAAATACAGCACGTCGTGAGCGCAATACCACCGCAGCTTTTGATGTTCCTCCAAACGGTGGACATTGGTAGACTGTGTTCATCTTTCTCGATGATTTTGGAAGATCATCAAAGTACCTACTAGACTCGGCTCGCTGTCGTGAGCCCCACAGCATGGAGCGATTGCACTCGGTGCGATTCGGTGAGGAAAGAAGTATCATCGTCAGTCCAAGAGATCCTGAGGAAATTGTTGTACTCACATAGGACGAGGAGATTAACATCTCTTGAGAGACGAGAAAAGAGCACCGTAATCGTCGCACTCTGCAGGACCTTTACCTCGGCATTTTTTTCGAGATGTGTCGCTTTATTTTCACTGTTTACTTTTATTTTGAGAATCAATAATGATAATCGTTGCTCAACATTCCTTTGATCGACTTGGATCATCGCGTACGTATTATACTATGGAGGTGATCATGACGCTGCACCTGGTGGTGCTAATGAGCGGTCTGATCACTTTCGCATACGTTGATACCTGTATCCTAGAAAACCCATTCAAACCCTTCAGCCCCCACCGAGTTCGCCCGGCTGGGAGCAATGCGGGGTTTTGGGTGTAAGTAGAGGTATGAGATGAATTAATTCTACTGTCAAAAGTCTCAATCTACGATGTTGTCATTCGATCCATCGCACAAGCGCGGAGGGACAACGAGAGTGAGTCGATAGATTTTTTCGTTACTCGATTAATCTTTACTTCTTCACCAGAGTGACACCGATGTTGCCCACAAGCTCGTCTTTATGTTCAGGAGTAGAAAGTAGATTTGATACAACACCCTGTGCTCGTTTTCGTTGAAAAGGCGCACCAAAAATAGTCCTCGTGCCCTCAGTCGGCCGCCGGGGGCTGGCTACTTGTGCCTCCAGGGCCACACGCTTCTGCAGCCAACCTTGGTCCCGTGCCGTGTCGCGAGACCGTACTTACGCAAGAAAAAGATAGTGAATCTACATTGCTTGCCATTTCCCGGTGCCAGTAGCAGATCACGCCTCGCAGACACAACGGAAAGCAGTAGTACTAGGTAGCAGAAGTGTCGCGAGTAGAAGAGTCAGGGAGAAACGCACGAAGATCTTCGCAGGAACGCTAGTGGTGTAAAGAGTGACCATCTACGGAACGAGTAAAGTTTCTCGCAGTTTCCGTTCTACTTCTGCGGCTACAATAACGTCACTGCTTCGTGTTTGCTTGCAAGGCGAGTCGACACGGCAACAGCAGCCTAAGCAGCTAGAAGGTTTCATCCGACTGCGTAATGGACAACAGCAAAGCGGACAATGCGAATAGTGACATCGACAGTAGTTCTAGTACTTCTTCCGATGAGCCAGAAAGTGAGGCGGCAGTAGACGAAGTTTTTTTAGAGGCAAGAACAGCAACGGGCTCCGAGCTTTGGAGTTTGCACTACCACTGCTCCGACCAGCAAATAAAGCTGGGCCCGGGCGAAACAAGAAGGGGGTCCGGGTCGAGGCGGAAAGAGAACTTCGCTGTCCAGAACGCGGACAAGAAAAGGGAGCACAGAAGTACAAAGCTAGAGATCTTCGCATCATCATCCACTACATCCGAAGACAAGCTTTATGCCAGCGGCTGTGGGCAGCTGCCAGTCGCACAGGAGGCCGTCGGTGGATGCTATGAGCAGTACTGGTGCTAGTTCGTCCTTTATCGCAAGACAAAAGTGTCACAGTTACACACATAGTCTATGCAGGCCAAGCAAGACAGACAAGCTCTGTCATGCCAGATATGCATAGGAGACTCGTTTTATAGGTGTTTTCCCGTAGGAATAGGATTTCTGCATTGCGAGTTTTCTCTCTCATGCAGAGAAATTTGTGTTGCTGAATTCACTACAAATGTGTAACTGTAACACTTTTTTCGTGGGATATCCTTCCAAGGCAAGCCTCCCTACCAGACCATACACGACCCGTTTGGCGGACCGAAAAGTTCCCCGTATCAAGTGCAAGAGTGTCTGGGTCTGGAAGAATGCATGTTTGTCATGCTTGTCTGGTATGACTCTTAAATCTGTCATGCACGTTTCCCATGAGCCCCATTTTGCTGTCATGCAAAAACGCAGTTTGTCATGCAGAATACGCAAAACCTAGAAGCTCAAAAGCTTGTCATGCTGAGCCAGCATTTGTGGCCTCTTCGTGATACGCCACCCAGCATCACAAGTTTCCAGACCCAGACATTTTTACAATCCATACCCCGCTCGGCGTCACAAATGCCTCTGCCAGGTCGTCCTTCGGCAGCGCAAGGAGCTCCGGGAGCAGGACTGGTACGACAAGGTTTTCTTGTTCGCTTATTTTGTGTACGACGTCTCCGAATTATGGAGTAGATATACTGTACTTGTAAAAAAGCAAGTGCAGACGATTTTTTCTTTTTGTTCGCTTCGCCATGCCCTTGACTTGTTCAACATGAAGATCCAAAAATATTTTGTTAAACCTTAACGTTACCTCAGCCGGGGACTCGGCGCGGTCAAATCCGGATAGCTGGATAACCCCACCGGAGAGCTCGAGAAGCTCGCGCAGCACCTTTTCTGGCACCAGTCCACACAGCAGGCTCAGCTCAATACCAGGTACTTATTGTTGAACGAGAATCTTCTACTTTTATCAAGCATGCCATTGCAGCTCGTGTGATGCAGCAAGCCTGAACAGCACCACAGATTATCTCACGACAAGAACGTGCTTATACATAGATACATTGACATTATCAGATGGCGAGTCGGAGCGTATTTTTCTGGACGTGAAGTCCGTATTTTCCTACGCACGGCATGGCCACGCGAAAGTCGTCGAGCGCTGTCTGGTAAACGGGTTCGACCCCAACGCGAGGGATGCTTACGGAAACACCTTGTTTCACATCGCGTCGCAGAACGGAAACAAGAAGATAGCAAAGCTCGCTATCAAATTTGGAGGTACTTGCTTTATTATGTGATTCATCATGGACCTTTTTGTTTCTACTTGCTCGGAAACCCTGATAAAAGCCGCCTGTCTAGTACGGTTGTAGTACTTCTTGCTCTAATCATGCGAATGGTGCCTTCATCATCAATCTACAAAACTGACTCACACTCTACCAGGTGACATGGACTCCCAGAATATGCGCGGCAACACGGGCTTGCATTTCCTCTTCGCCTATGGCTACGGGGACGTTGGCGAGTATTTCATCACTAAAGGCGCGAATCCGCAACTGAAAAACATCTACCAGCTCTCGTGCCGCCAAGGACTGAAAACATGACGCGGAACAATAATTCCCTTCGCGTTCTTCCTGCTTCACGTCGTGTGCTGTAGTTCTCTCTTGCTTCCCAGTCGTTCCTAAGTCGAGGACCGGTCTTCACCCTGATGGGCTGCTGAGCTAGATGATCGCCATACATCAATTTGTAGTGACTTTACCAGCTGCTGACCAGTATCAATCCTCATGGTGGGCAAGGCGTCGTCTTTAGCCTGAGGTGGTCGTGCTGCCTCCCGTCCCTCCAAGTAACTTACATACAGTCACAAGAAAAGAATACCTACATCACCTCCAGTTATCTCCGCTTTATTAAGTATGTGTTTACCCCCACTACCCGTACCCCGCGAAGAACTGCCCTTCCCCTTGCAAATTACGCTAAACAGTTGTTGCGAAGACGCGCTTCTTCTGCACCCCGTAACCCACCGCACTCTGAGGAGCTTCGTTAGTGTTTGCACTGATTACTGTTACCATTCCCTATCTGACACTGGCGCTGGCATGGAACTCGCCTGGCCTCGCTGAGCTTCAACTCTTTACTTCCATGTGTTTTCCCTCCCCGGCTGAGCTTACTTTCCCAATAAAAAAACTCCGCGAACTTGAAAATCAAAATACAATGACTTGATTAGATTTTTCATCAGATTCAGGTACTTATCAGCGAACTGACAAAGAACTGAAGAACCCCAGCTGCGCGACGCCAGAAAGGGGAGAAAGAAACCATCAGGAATAAATGGGTACTGGACAGCTTTCTTCTGGAAAGTCGTAAGTAGCTGTGGGGTCAGATGATGGTACTTCAAGAAACGAAATCGAGAAAGTGTTTATTGCAAAAATAGTTCTTGTCCACTTGCAGATCCAGTGCCTTTCTTCGAGCTCAAAGTAGAACTTGGTAGCTACCTCATTTTCTGCTTATGCGGAAATAAAAAATCTAAATCGCGCGCACTTTTTTACACCTGTTTTTCATTTTGAGGAATGAAAGAAAGATCGGAAGAACAAGAGTCAGGCACAGGCTACAGTTACAGTACGAAGAAATAATAAAGACAAACCAAAAGCTGCAACGCAAAATTTCGGGAATAAAGATGACCGTGACGATGTTGATAATTGGCAAAACGCGCTGTAGCGTTCCTTTTCTGTTCCGAAGGTAAGTAAAGGATCCTGTTTCTGTCTGAAGAGTCGTGTTCCGCTGGAATAAGAAAAGAAAATTGGCCTGCTCTACTATTGGGACGACTCGCCGATCTGTTTTCCGTTGCCGCGGATCTCGATTTTGTTGTAGCAGACGCTACGGTACTAGCGTAAAATCGTCGTTGGTCGTGATGTGAACCAATCAGGTTGAGCCGTGAAACGTCACAAAGAAGATCTGGTTGAGCCATAGTAAATTCGTGCTTCTAAGAACATAGTGCCTAGGAGAAAAAATGCAGATAAAAATACTTAATTCTATGAGTTTGATTTTTTGCCTAGAGGCGAACAAACTATGAGTTTCTCGCCCACCTAGAGGCGAACACACATGTTGATTTTTTGCCTAGATCCACCACGTGCCTAGATCCAACACAGATTCTGGAGTAAAATTTTTCGAGTTTTTTGCTGGTTTTGTTATCGTATGTTGGTTCCCTCATCAACGCAGAGCCTTTTTCAACCAAACCGCAGCGAATCCCTGACTGTATTTTCCTATTCTCTTTATTTCCTTTTCGATTTTTTCCCCTCCCACAAAAAACAAAAAGATACCCTTTCAACCCTTTTTTCAATTTGTTTCACGACAAAAAAGAACCTTGACTCGTCGAATGATATCTGAGCCCCTTTAAGATTCCTCTCAAGGAACCGCACAGCAAAATATCAGAACCGCAAATGGGCATCGATGCTCCAGACAACTGGAACTTGATTTAGACACCGCGAGACCGACAAGCGAAATTCGACGACCTGCAAACAAGAGCAGAATGTCGGGCGACGATGGCGGCGACGTTGAAATGGGCGACGCGGAGGAGGTCGTCATGCCGTTCCGCATGTCTTCACGCCTGGATGCGGCCGGTGGTAATCAGATAGCAGATAGCACTTCCGCAACTGGGGCAGTACAGGAGCAAGGTGCTGTGTCATCAACAGCAGCTGTAGCGCCAGCAACCACGGCCGCCGCCGCACCGCCGCAGGATAAAAATACTAGTGCAGTGGCTGCGAATAATACAATTTCTAACGGCAACGACAGTGCGGGACAACTGCAGCCGGTGCAAGAAGCTCCTTCTATCGCAGTAGAAATAAACGGAGCAGCAACTACGGCAGCGCAGAAAGAAGACGGTGCTGGGGAAGTTGTAGAACATCAAGCAGTCGTGGTGGAGGAGGAAAACAACCAAAACCAAAACGAAAATGGCGAAACAAACGTCCGCGGTGCGGCACCCAACATCGTCCTGGTGCCAAACCAAAAGTTTCTGGAACAATGGAAGCTAAAGGAGGGGGAATTAGACAGTGTTATCATTCTCGCCGGGCTGGACCAGTGCCAGATGGGGCAGATCTGGGCGCTGTTCAACGGCAAAGTGCCGCAGGGCACGGTTACCAACATACACTGGATCTCCGACCATCTGCTGCGCTGCGAGTGCGCATCGGCGGAGGCCTGTACTGACTACATAGTCTTTTTTAGCGTAGATGTTTGCTTGTATCTGATCGACAAATGCTTGTTTTAGTGCGGCGCATCGGGGGCCACGGCTCGTGCATTTTTCGTGACATTTTTATACAAGAATGCCGCTTAATAGTATGTTCATTTCTGCATCTTCATCATACAACAGGTAACACGATCATCGAGCTCCTTACCGTGAAGTACCCCACCCCCGATCTGCTTCCCCAAGAAGAGCGGGAGGGGCCTGGCATCTGGAGATGCCGCAATCGATTCGTCGAGGTGCGCCGGGCGCTGCCGACGGACGTGAAGCCTGAGGGCTTCAAGCGAAAACAGCGGGGCGGAAAGACCGTGAAGGAATACCGAGGCGACGTCAAGTGGTGCGCGGAGCAAGGTATAATTAGGAAAAACTACTCAATAATTGAGTTGTTTCGAACTACAGAATTCCATGCAAAAATGTCGTCGTGAGAATATTTTTAAAGCAAGGTAGATGGAGGTGTCGGGAATCAATCTTGTAGTTGAAGGAAAAAGAAAAGCAAAAAATTCTTTCTCGCCCGCACATAAATCCCTGAAATTATATCAGGCCACGACACCAACTTCGCGACAAAGCTGGCGCTGAAGGCCAAAGCGATGGAGCAGTGGACGGAACTCGTCGAGGACGACGTGCAGCAGAGCGTGAACCTGGAAACGGACGTGATATCAACGACGCATCTCCTCGACATGATGTCAAAAAAGGACGAGAAAGCCTACACCGCACAAGAGGTGAAAGGCGTGCCCCCGGCACAGAAAGGTACTTTAAATAGCTTTTACCAGAGTTTGATGTTTTTCCTCCTTTGCTTTTTTGAGGTTGGAGATGGAGATGGATTCGTCCTCGTCGGCGGAGCTTGAATAGAATTACTTTATCTCCTGCACATGAGCATGACGTTTTGACGCAGGGTTGTTGTACTACTATATCCAAACGGGAAAAAATCGTTCCAACAGGCGCCCGCACCATCATGGGTCCACCCATGGGACCCCCCGGGGCCTTCCGCGGGAAAGGCGGGAACGAAGTGCCGGTGTTCAATCCGCTCGGGGACGGCGGCAGCTCGTGGGGCGGCAACCACGGCCGCGGGGACTGGGCACCGCTGGCGGACCACGAGAATAACCGCGACATGGAGGGTTTTCTGGACTATTTGCAGGAATCCGACCTGCAGAGTAGCTGGGACGCCACCTCGGTATACGGGACCGGAAGCGGAAACACGTCGTCGGTATACGGTGGCGGCTCGTCGAGAAGGTAAGTTGAAGCAAAGGAAAGAAGTTTTGACGACGTCATTTCAATCGTGCCGCATAATTCGAAATCGTCCTAGAGTAAGAGTGCTATCTGCTCTGTGGGCATTTTTGATGCTTTATCTTCGTGGTCAAGGACTACTGGCTTTATGAGATGAACACGAACCTTCTTGCATGGATACATAACAACGCCACGACGATGCTGAAATGAATACAAACTAAGTACTGCATAATCTTCACAAAACGACGTATGATCCCATTTTGACATGTTCTATCAGGGATCCCTACGGCACTCCGCAACAGTATGGATGTGTCAGAGTTGAAATCGACAAAGTTGAAATAATTTGTCATGCATAAAAGGGACGCCAGTTGGAACCCAGTTTCTAAGTGGTGCATGACAAATTTTGGTGGTCCCTAAATCCAGTTTGTCATGCTGTTTAGGCAAAGAAGAGTGATTTTCTCATGCTACTTTAGCAGCTCGAGCTGTAGCCCCCAACAGGCTTACAATTGGCCTCACTTGCCTGCTCTGCAACACACGTGCCTCGGGTCATGCATTTTATGCATTACAAATTATTTCAACTTTGACGATTTCAAACCTGACGCTTCCATAAACAGCGAATGCAAGAGTTCGACCGGTACAGCAGTAGCAACAGCCGGCGGCCCCGCTACGAGACGGACAGCAACATCGACTCCAGTTGTATCCTATGTAAAAACGTCCCCACCCCATAGTTGTCATGCAGAGCTGCGTAGTAAAAATGTTTATCATGCAGAGCCCCATGTTGAGAAGCATTTTCTAGTCCGGTTTTGGAATTTGTGATGCTCGGATCCGCATGATGTGCTAGATCTGTGATGCTTCTGGAGGTAGCTAAACAGGATTACATTACGAGGCCAAACTTGTCATGCGCAGCAACGAAAGCTAATTGATTTGTCTAGCACATTTCCCAACATCTTGACTATGGGGTGGGGACGTTTTTACATAGGATAAGTTACGGCCAAGGCGGCCACGAGGTGCTCACCAACGAGCGGCGCCGGTTCGACGAGCCGCAGCGTGGGCGGGAGCGGTCCCCGCGGCGAAACGACGACCGGGGCGGGCCATACAGCCGGGGCGGCGGCCAACAGTCCTATGGCAACGACGATAGGTCCTACCAAGACCGAGATCGAAGCGACCGCGGCTACAACAACGACCGGAGTGGCGGGAATCGCCGCGGTAGGGACGACTATGATGACGACTACGACCGAAAACGCAGGAGACGGTGAAGTTAGCAGAGTGAGAAGTAACCTCATCTTGTTGTTCCCTACATATGGCAGCTTTTTTGTCCTGTCGTCCTGGTTTCACCGAGTCACCGAGTGAGTCACAGCGCTAGTAGATAATTGGTGGCAACTACTAGCTACTTTCTTATTCGTGCGAAAAAGATGAACACCAAGACAGGATAAGGAGCGACGGAAAGTTTGTTTTGCCGTATTCAAAAAGAAAATCAAAGGACACAAGCGAAAAGAAAAGAAACAATGCTTGCCGTACTGGAGCGGTGCGATGCAGCACTTTCAGGATGGTTGTGATCCTGAAGCACAAGAAATGTGTTCGACTACAGGCGCTTTCGCTTTTCGTAGCACTGCTCGCTAGTATGCAAAAAACAGTCTGTGTTGCAGTATATTGCTGCAGCAAAATCCGTTTTATCTTTTCGAGTGGAGCTCTTGCAACCCGTTGGCATCATGATGATCCGACGGAACTGATGTGAAGAAGGCTACGGTTTTTGTTTCAACTTCATTTTTTTGCAGGAACTCAACAACCCATCAAACGACCCACTTCCCCTTTTTCGTTTTTTTCTTGATCTCGACTACGTGGAAAAAGAAGGCAAAGTAGATCTGATGATGAGAAACAGAAAGGCTTCTGTATCTTTTTTCTGGCTATTGAGTCCGTTCGTGAACTGATCTGGTCAGTTCGTAAACTGATCTGGCATGATGAGTTTCTTCATCGTGTAAGTAATATGAATCATGTGAAAGTTCTCATTTCGAACACTTTTCGTTTTCGACCACACGACCGGCATTCGATTGTGATCCCGCATTAGGTCGGATGTTGATCAAGTCGTGCATTGATTGAGTCAAAGCTCCCTTGTCAATTCAAATTTTGTTTTTTTGTCGTTGATTGTTGTGGAAGAAGATTTGCAAAAATTTTTCCAATAGATCGAATCAGACTTCGTATCTGCTGTCTACCGCCGGCTTGTGGAATTCCCGAAATAAATTGTGGAAATCGGAGGTTCCCCGGCCGTCCAGAAGAGAAAATGGTTGCCGAGTACTGCTCCGCTGCGTTGTACTAGCACACAGAAAAAAGAAAGAATCTTAGAGGTCGTCCATCGCGTTTTTCGGGCTAGGTAGCCCCCTACGATCAGGAAGCGGGTACTGCAGTACGGCGACGCAACCATGGAAAGCAGAAGCACCGTCCCCGGTCGCCCGGTGAACAGAATACGTGCAGCGGGCTCACGACAAAGAAATTCGGGATGGCCGTACGACGGCTGGATGAAGACGGCACGAGGTCGTGTAGTCGCAACTGCCTTGCTTGCGGTGCAACTAGCGACGGCACCCATTCCCGCGGACGCACAGATACGGCTCCATTCGCCGCAAGCTCTGGTAAACGAGGTCTTTAGCCGGCAGTCGAAGCCGGGCTACATACAGGGAAGCACCGCCACCTTCGGCGCGCCTTACTACGGCATGAGGCTCATGGGTACGATACTTATTTGTATTATACGATTCGGATTCTAGTCGCTTTTTGGTCTTGCGATCATATCAGGTCGATGTGATACCGTCGTCTTTCCACTGGGTGCTGTAGTCACCTCCAACTTGCGATGATTTTTACACGGGTATCTATACAGCTACCTGTGTGGAATATCAAAAAGATCACGCTGCCTCCAGGTCGCATTCTGTATGCGGAGAGCAAGGGACAAGACTACTGCACCGAAGAGGATTATGAGCTGCCGTCAACGCCCGTATCCCACAAAAAAACTGTTTCACGGTGATGATTTTGCAGGAACTGCATCACAAGCGTCTTACACATGACACTGAAAATTTGTCATGCGCACTTCCCAAGGGAAAACACGCTGGAAAATCCAATGCCTTGTATGTGTAACAAGACAGATAGTTTTGTGTTCCATTTTCCGCATCACAAGTTCACAGTGAAACAGTTTTTTCTTGCGATAGCCCGCGCCGCCAGAGCAATCGGAGGAAAACGACCGGCGCCAGATCAACATCGTGATGGTCAAGCGGGGGCTGAGTAGGTGCCGGTTCACTACCAAGGTGCGGATCGCGGAGAAATACAAGAACGCCCACGCGGTAATCATCGTGGATCGAGAGGCAAACCAGGCGCGGGACGTCACGAAGTTGATCATGTCCGACGAAAACAACTTCGGGAACAGCATCAAGATACCCTTATCAAATGTAAAAATGTCTGGGTCTGGAAGACTGCAACTTGTCATGCTGTTTTTGGACTCCAAAAGGATTTGTATTGCATGACCAGCAAGAGGCGTACAGTTTGTGCTACGCGGGGAGGGCATTTCTCATGCGGAAGGTGTATTAGGAAGCCCTCTAAAAGTCTGTGATGCTAGGTCATGCATTACAGGCATCATGGGCCCTGAGAAATCTGCGTGACAAATCTTGCATTCTTCAGACCCAGACACTTTTGCATTTGATAACCCTCGATTCTGATCAACTGGAAGGACGGACAGAAGCTGATAGAACAGGCGACAGGAAGTATAGACCTCTCGTCGTGGCTCTTAGTGCTGTTTCTGCAATAATTGAAATGGTTAGAAAATCATGATGGGCATTTTCATCGATACGGAAACGGACTGAAGTGTTCCGCTGATAAGTCTGTGTTGGGTCACATTTGCTGTCGCACATGCGACGTGCTGTCCCGCACTTCTAGAAAATTCAACAGGTTCGCCAGTCATAGTGGAGCTCGTGTGGGATATTCCGGTAAATAACATCGTCACCATGGACATCTGGATGTCGGCGAACTCAAGAGAAGCAACGGAATTTTTGAAGGTAAGGCGTCTTCACTGGCAGCCCGCTTGTTTGCGGTGAGACTTGTTCTATCACTCGCCGATGGAGGATAGTGTGCCTGTTGAAGTTGTCTATGCCTTGATCCCGACAGCGACTCAACACACTCTAGAAAACTAAGCAAATTCGAAACTCAATTGATTTCACCCATTAAATTCCAGGGCTTCAAACCGGCAGGGGAGCAACTCGCGTACAATCTGAAAGTAGTCCCGCACTACCACATCTTCGCGCTGCCCTCCGGCCAAGACTTTGAGAAAATGTGCACGAGTCAGGACGCAAAGTATCTTAATGATAGAATGTTTGTTTTGGCTTTTGTTGTTCATTGCAGTAAGTAGAAAGGCATAAGGAATAAAGATCGTCGTGACGGCATGATTAACTTTCACGAAGTATATCTTCACAAACCAGATACTGTGCGGAGGACCCCGACGGGGGTGGCTTGGTTACGGGCCGGGACGTTGCACTTGAGTCCGTCCGGCAGCTTTGTATTTGGGAGGAGACTGCGGTGCGGGACCCGGAGCATCCGCAGAGTGGGGAGCGCCGAAGAAGTTGGAAGTACTGGGAGTATGTGACCAGCTACCTCGATTCCTGCCCGGTTCACACGGACGACCCGGGAAAGCGGTTCGGCACGGAACAGTGCTCCACGGCGTTGATGCAAGAAAAGGGCATCGATCCGGATATCCTGAGTAAAAACGTACCCACACCAGAGTCAGGATGAGGATTTTGCAACACAAACCTAGGAGCTTTGTGAGCCACGCATGAAAAGTTGCACTATGCAGTGTAGTGCAGGTTAGCAAGTGCAGCCGCATCACAGATTCATCTGCCCATCCTGTTCACAGCATCACAAATTCCAAAACACGATTGAAAATGGCTCTCATGGGGATGCGCATTACGAGTCTTCCTGTCTTTGCAAATCTGCATTACAACTCTGGTGTGGGTACGTTTTTACTCAGGATACCGGAGGCGGTGAAGCAGTGCATGATTGATAGCATGGACGACAAACTGCGTTATCAAATGCAAAAATGTCTGGGTCTGGAAACTTGTGATGCTGGGTGGCGTCTCATGATGAGGCCACAAATGCTGGCTCAGCATGCCAAGTTTCTGAGCTTCTAGGTATTGCCTATTCTGCATGACAAACTGCGTCTCTGCATCACAGAAAAATGGAGCTGTTGGGTAACGTGCATGACAGATTTAAGAGTCATGCCAGACAAGCATGACAAACGTGCATTTTTCCAGACCCAGACATTTTTACATTTGATATGCGTGCGCAGAAAAACAACGTCGCGTGGAGCAAGTACGCGGTGCGCATCAACGGGTGGCGGTTCGCCGGGGCCATTGAGCCCGACGGCATCACCCGGGCCATATGTTCCGCTTACGTAACCCCGGTGCCCGAGTGCGACAGCCTGCTCAAACCGCACTCCAAGTTCGACTTGCTTGCAGGCGGCAGGTACTGCACTGGTTTGTTGTACAAAAATGTTTGTTCTTTCGTGCAGCTTGTGCAGGAACGTGGCTGGTGTCGCGCATGCCGGAGGTGTGTTTCGAAAGATGATAGATTTTACCGGTAATTCTTATCGCTGAGAAGTACCACGTAGTTTTTTAAAACATTCGTGCGCCAGCTCGAAGCGAAAGCCAAAAATCACTGCAGTTCTGACGCACGCGGCGTGTCGACGGGCACCATGGTGCTGTTGCTTTTCCTCGTGGTGCTCACTTTGACGCTGGGGCTCGTCATATACAAAAAGTTTTTCTTCGCGACCTACATCCAGAAAGCGCTTCGCGAGGAGGTCATGCTGGAAGTGCAGTCGCAGCTTGCAGATTACGTACAGCTCGAAGAGAACGGACGCGCCGCACCGGGTGGTCCGCTCATACCCGGGGGGTCGCAGGCAAGGGAATTCTAGCGTTTGGGGTTTGCTGGCGGCACAGAGATGGTCGGTGCTGCGGCTCGTTAAAGAGAGAAAGAAGTAAGTACCAAGTATACGATTGAATGCTGCAAGCAGTTTGTAGTGCGTGTGGTGAAAAAGAAAATCAACCAAAATATGTTATTGCACGGGATTCTGATCATCGTCCAGAGAATACAGCATAAAAAGTTGGTGGAAGATTGAACAACAATTCGCAAAAAGGTCCTCCACGCGGCTCCGCGGGTCGGCGTCGCAATGACGACGATCGTATCAAGCAGATGTGTTGGAGGGTTCTGCTCGCAAAAATGCACAAATGACACAATCAGTCTTTCGTTAAAGAAAACCACGTGGTGCTTCTTCCGTTTGGGATAGGGGGAAAGAAGAAATTTTCGTGACAAGCAGTTCACTGCGTGGACATTCGGTCTGGTAGTTCCGGTCGTGGGGTAGTCGTAAAAATGAGGCAAAATTCACGTAATTAGGGTCTCTCAACGTGCGGAAAAGGTTATCGTATTCGCGTTTGGGTGGAAGTCTAGACGCGGCAAGATAGAAAAGTAGACTGATCTTCAAAAAGGCAAACCAGGCACTCAAGGTGGAGTAGCTGCGGCAAAATAGAATCAAGAAAAAATTACAAAACGGTGACGTTAAATAGAGGATGCGGTAAGAGACGAGTCAAAGTAAGAAGAACGTTCATCAACAGTTTTTCTTCGTGAAACTAGCTCTTTGCTTTCTTCATACTGTAGTTTTAACAAGCTCTTCCTTCACGATGGGTTGCTGCCTTGCCGTCGCGGAGGTGGCGGAGGACGTCCGCCAAACGGTGTACGAAATTGCGGATGCCTTGGGGGTATCGAATGCAACAAATATGTCTGGGTCGGGGAGATTGCGAGATTTGTCGTGCTAGTCTGGCATGACTCTGCGCTCTGTATTGCGTGGCCGCAAAGAGCTCCGCTGGCCTGTCATGCAAAGACGCAGCTTCTCATGCGGAGTACGCAACTCAGAACCTCCACGGCAAACAAACTTGCCATGCTTGGCAGCGCATTGCAGTGTTTTCATTATTCCCTTTCTTGCATCACAAGTTTCCAGACCCCGACATATTTGCATTTGATAGGGGGACGCTATGGACGGAATGTGGAACGATATCTTCGTGGATGACGTGCCGAAGGAGGTCAACGAGACCACCAAAGAAGCGGACGGTATCCTGAGTAAAAACGTACCCACACCAGAGTTGTAATGCAGATTTGCAAAGACAGGAAGACTTGCAATGCGCATCCCCATGAGAGCCATTTCCAATCGTGTTTTGGAATTTGTGATGCTGTGAACAGGATGGGCAGATGAATCTGTGATGCGGCTGCACTTGCTAACCTGCACTACACTGCATAGTGCAACTTGTCATGCGTGGCTTACAAAACTCCTAGGCTTGTGTTCCAAAATCCTCATCCTGACTCTGGTGTGGGTACGTTTTTACTCAGGATAGACGGCTGGACGAAAATCCTGGGCGTCTACCTCGCCGGCTACCCCCTTTCGTGCGGGAAGAAGCAGTTTTCGTCGCTGGACGAAGCGAAGGCCGCCGCCCTGGAGTTGGAAGACTGCGGTGGGGTCACGCAGGTTGGTCGTGTAGTGTAGTCCGTTGGAATTAAGTAGAGCAAAACTGGGGTTAGGGTTGTACTCATATTTTGTATGTATCACGTGAGCGGGATTCATGTTCATCAGCGTCTTTTTGTCTGCTGATAAAGATGAAAATCTGAACTGTTTTCTCCAAAGGTTGCGGAGGATGTTTTCGAGCTACGTGCGACGGGCCGGGTGATGCAGTCTCCCTCCAACGAAACCACGTGGCGCAAGCCCTACATGCTGGCGAGCGGGGACGGCGACAGCAGCGGCGAGAAGAGTCCGCGGACCGGCGGTCCATATCAAATGTAAAAATGTCTGGGTCTGGAAGAATGCAACTTGTCATGCTAAATCTGAAGCATGCAAAAATCTGTGTTGCATGATTACCAAAAGTCGCCCAGTTTTGACCAAGTCGGAAGGGAGTTTCTCATGCAGGAGAGGCATGAGAGAGATCGCGCAGAATCTGTCATGCTAGGTCCTGCATTCCAGGCCTCATGGGTCATGGAAAAGCTGCATAACAAATCGCGCACTCTTCCAGACCCAGACATTTTTGCATTTGATACTCCGGGGGCGGTGACGAACGAGGACGAAATCAAGGTCGACGACGATGAGGAGGTGAAACAGCGGAAGCGCGACGAGCTGGCGGCCAAGCTGGCGGCGGCGAAACAAGCGGCGGAGGAGGCGAAAAAGCGCGAGGCGGAACGGCTCGCGGAGAAGGCGCGGAAGCGCAAGGAGGAGCTGAAGCGGCTCGCGGAGTCGCAGGCGCCCGAGAAGCTGCAGGTGATGTGCGACTACGGGAACTGCACGGGGGTGTTCGAAAAGGTGGGGGACTTGAACGAGAAAGCGCAGTACAAGCTAACCGAGAAGGAAGCAAACGTCTTCGTCTGCTACGACGGCGAGCGGTGGATCATGACCTTCGAGGAAAGTCCGGAGCAGGGCAGCGAGTTCAACCGCATCGCGCTGTCGGGGAAGACCGCGGTCATCAACGTGACCGCCCTCAAGTCGTGGGGCAACAAGGGCGTGCGGTGCTACGACTACGAGCGCTACCACGCGCCCAACGAGCCGGAGGAGGGAAAATTCACCGACGAGGACTTTCCGCCGGCCCTCGGCAGTCTGGCGAACGACACGAAGTGGGGCAGCGACGTGCAGTGGATCCGGGCCTGCAACCTGCACCCGTGTGAACAGATGGAGTTGTTCGACACGATCCAGCCCACGGACGTGCGGCAGGGTGCGGTCGGGGACTGCTGGTTGATGGCGGCCTTTGCGTCGCTGGCGGAATTCCCGGGCTACCTGGAGGAGGTCACCTTCAAAGGCTTGAATGCCCTCTCCGCGGAGAGCAAATACGTGGTATCAAATGCTGCAAAAATGTCTGGGTCTGGAAGAATGCAGGGTTTGTCATGCACAGCTAGCATGGCTCTCAAGTCTGTCATGCGCGCCACACAAAAGCCACATTTCTCTGTCATGCAGAAACGCAGTTTGTCATGCAGATAGGCAACACTCTAGCAGCTCCACAACTTGTCATGCTTGGCTGTCAATGAAGGCGTCCACATGTTGATTCGCCGAACAGCATCACAAGTTTCCAGACCCAGACATATTTGCATTTGATACGTGGTGAAACTGTACAATCCGTACGAGAAGGAGTGGGAGGACATTGTGATCGACGACTTCATATGCACTGCAAATACAACGTCCGGGTCTGGAATGTTCGAACTTGCAATGCTGGTCTTACATGACTGTAAAATCTGTATTGCAGCATGACCAACAAAAGTCGCAGCCTCTTCATGCAAAATGAACTCAGCTTCTCATGCAGGCAGCGCATGAGAAAGCGTTTTGGACAAAATTGTCATGCTTGGCTGCCTTCGGAAGTGTTTCCATCATGTGCATTTTAGCATCACAAGTTTCCAGACCACCCAGATCGACAATATTTGCATTTGATACTTCATCCCCGTGGACGGCAACAAGGACGCGCTGTTCTGCAAGCCCGTGGGCCACGAGGTGTACATGTGTCTGCTCGAAAAGGTATCCTATGTAAAAACGTCCCCACACCAGAGTCAAGATGGGAATTCTGCTAGACAAATGCACCAGCTTTGGTTGCTGCGCATGACAAGTTTGGCCTCGCAGTATAGTCCTGTTCAGAAAGCCCCAGTAGCATCACAGATCTAGCGTAGCATGCTGATTCAAGCATCACAAATTTCAAAACACGACGAGAAGGCTCTTCTCATAGGGCTCCGCATGAGAAACATTTTCACCATGCAGATTTGCATGACAACTATGGGGTGGGGACGTTTTTGCATAGGATAAAAGGCGTTTGCCAAGCGGTGGGGCGGCTACTTCAAGATGAGCGGGGGGAACGCCAGCAACGGGTACGTGTCCTTGCTGGGGGGCAGTTGCATCAAGTACAAAAAGCGGGACGACTACGAGGAAACGGGGAAGTGGCGGTCCATCTATCTCACCTTCGATCCGGAGAGCGAGCGGACGTTCGAAGGGGACTGGTGGTGTAACAACGACGACTGCGACGTGACGGACGAGGGACTCTGGGCTTTGCTGCGGCAGTGGGACGAGGCTAACTACGTCTTCAACTGCTCCATGCCGAACTCGAAAAAGGGTGAGGTCGAGGCCGAGCGGACGGACGGGTAGATATAAGTAGAATGACCTGATTGAGACGCGAGATGCTGAGGCTGACTCACTTATTCTGTATGCTGATCTAAAAATTTCCTTCTCGCTCCTCAAGGTTACATGTAGCAGCACCAAACTTTTCTTTCTAAAAGCGCTTTCGAAAGAAAAAAACCCACGTGATTATCACATATCAGGTTGATCGAGGGCCACGCGTATTCGTTCCTCGGTGCCTACGAAGTTCCAGAGCTAAACTTGAAGCTGGTGTGCCTGCGCAACCCGTGGGGCCGCTGCGAGTGGTATGGATTGCAAAAATGTCTGGGTCTGGAAACTTGTAATGCTGCGTTGGGAATAATGAATGCTCTGTGATGCACAGCCAAGTACGAGAAATATCTGCGCTTCTTTGTGTTCCGTTTTTCGCATGACAAACTGCGTTTTTGCATGACAGGCAAAAGGGTCTCTTCTTGGACACGCATCACAAACTTTTTGGTCATGCTCATGCCAGACAAGCATAACAAATCTCGCAATCTTCCAGACCCAGACATTTCTGCATTTGATAAGTGGAACGGGGACTGGTCGGATGCTTCCCCCATCTGGGACTCCGTCGACAGCGCGCAGCTGGAACAGGCCGGCGTGCGGCGCGTGAAGGCCGAGGACGGTGCCTTTTTCATGACGTTCGAAGACTGGAAAAACTGCTACACCTATGATCCCGGCAAAGATAGCCTCTCTCTTGCGTAGTACTAGCCTGCGTTGCATGAGAAATAAAAATCGGCCTGCCCTTAGTTACAAACCGTTATAGCTTTTGCTTGTTAAGGGTAACATTTTCGCATGCACAAGAAGTATGCTACGCTAGAGAGGACTTTTGTCTCGCGATAACACCCGGGTGGGGGTCTGCCAGTTGTCTGTGTCGCATGGGAAACGATCCGCTGCTGAGGGATTCACCAAGCGCGGGTGATTGAAGATGAGGGGAAAAGAAACTGCACTTGCTTCACTTAGTGGAGAGCTTTTTCAGAAAATCAGGAAGAGAAATACATACGTTTGTTGCTTTTTACTCAGCTGCAACTAATCCAGGTTTCCACCAGTACCTCTACCTACTGAAAGTCAATCAGCGAGAAAAGTGTCATGTGATGCAGCACAGCCAGCAACGACTGCAGCCAGTCACACTGCGGCTGCACGTGTAGAATTTTTTGCCTTCTAATTAAAATTGACTTTTTAAGAAAAAGAACAAGAAGCAGCGCTAGTAGTACATTCTTTCAATGTCTTACATCAGATGCTACAACTTTATTATTCCCATGCTGCATTTATTAACACTGTACGAAAAAAGAAGACCTTACGCTGACATTTAGATTTGGAAATGATGAAATTTGAAAATGGAGCAAAGAGCAAAGTTTCCAGTGTTTCCAGTGCCCGATGTTACTCGGGATCCATCTAGTTTATCGTTGCCGTTCTACTCGGGGCGCATGCGGGTGCATTTTCGGATAAGTTCATTCTGAGCTGCGAGCTAGAACTAGGAGTTTCCCCACCATATCTTATCCAGCAGAGGGCATAAAGGCTGACTTCTTTCCATCGAGGACGTTTTGTACGGAAAAAACATGCTGATGCTCGTGTTTCTATATCCAGTCTACTGATGAACATGGGGCACATCTTCAAAAGGCAAATAATACACTGGGCGTAGATCATTTAGTTTTAGGATCATATCTCAACTTCAGCATACTTCCTGTTGCGTCCTCTAAGAAAATCTGCGTACCAACGCATATCTTTTTTCGCTATATATTTCGCAAAAAGTTTCATCCACAAGTTGTAGACCACAGCCATGGCATCATCTGCCAGTACTGCTGCTGCTCTTCCGCCCACGACCTCCGACCAAAACGAAGGCGCTCCACCGGCAGCCGCGCCAGATTCATCTTCTGCTGTAGGAGGTGCGGGCACGACTGAGGACAAGCCGAAAGCTATCCTGAGGAAAAACGTCCCCACCCCATAGTCAAGATGTGAAACTTGCTAGACAGATCAACAAGCCTTGGTTGTTGCGCATGACAAATTTGGGCGCGCAGTGCAGTCGTGTTTCACCACTGCAGCAGCATCACAGATCTTGCATATCGTGCTGATTCTTGCGTCACAAATCACAAAACACCACTAGAGCGTGCTTCTCATGGGTCTCCGCATGAGAATCGCTTTGAGGATGCAGATTCGCATTACAGCTCTGGGGTGGGGACGTTTTTGCATAGGATAACAGCCAAGGTTGTCGAGGTGGAAATCGCCACCACCAACCGGTTATGGATTGCAAATATGTGTGGGTCTGGAAAAATGCAAGGTTGTCATGCTAGGTCTGCGTGATACAAAAATCTGTATTGCGCGAACAGCAGAAGACGCTTACTTTGGGGCTCCTGAGCATGGCATTTCTCGTGCAGAATGGGCATTAGGAGCGGCTTCGTCAAAACTTGTGATGCTACAGTTCGCATTCCAGACCTTCTGGGCCATGCGAAACATGCATGACACATCCTGTATTCCTCCAGGCCCAGACATATTTGCATTTGATACCGATCCAGGTGCAAGTCCTGCGAGTGTCTGCAAGTGATTGAGAAGGGCACCGTGCGCGTGGGCGTGCCGATGTTTATGCAGGGCCGCACGCTCACCGCCTGGTTCCATCCGCACTGCTTTTTCGACGGGCTTTCCGTGGAGGTGGTGCAGCGCAACGGGGCGGGGATGTGCAAGCACACCAGGAAAAAGTTCGAGAAGGGTGACTTCCGCGCAAAGGTCTGCTGTGGAAACGCGAAATTTGGGCTCAGTCTGCAGGTAGGATTACTGAAACCGCGGGTGGTGCTGGAAGATTTTTTGTCTTGGTTTTCGAAAAGATAAAGAATAAGAATAAGAAAGTACACGGATGATCGTGCATTAGGTCGCTGTTGTTACTTTGTGGCACGAAGAAGAACATGCATCACAAGCTCAAGCATTCTAGAATTGATCGGATAAAATCAACATCTTCGCAGGCCGCCCGCGAGTTGTTCCAGCCGGTGTTGGAAAGCCTCACGGAAAATATGAGAGAGCACATCAACTCCTCGTCCCCCTGATTTGTCATGCAAAATGCCGAATCCAGCTCTTGCCTTTAAGTACTCTGCGCATGACAAGTTTTGGACTCCCAAACATGACAACAATCCATGTCCGGATTTGTCATGCAAAAGCCACCGGGACGTCCAGCCCGTAGCTCTCCGATGTCATGCAAAGGCACCATTTGTGGCATGGCTTCTGTTGCTGCTCATGCTTTAGGAAGGGGGGTTGTGCACTGTCATAGAAAACAAGAAGCGTTTCCGGGACATCGCCGGCGTAGAGACGCTTCCTGCGGATTTGCAAGCGCAGTTTCTCGGCAGTGACGATGGAATTTTGGCGTCGAAGAAGAAAATAACCAGTGCCGCAGATGCGGAACAAATAAAAGGAGGGAAAACAAAGCCTGCTGCGAAAACGAAGAAGGCGGCAAAACCTCCAAAACAGGCTGCCGGCGGCAAGAAAATAAATGCACCTTTTGGAGAAGGGTCAAAGTCGAAAAAATGAACGAACTGCGTGCAGCAAAAAAGTTTTTGTAAACTCCCCCGGATTTTTTCATTTTCAGCTTTTGCTGTTTGTGACTCACCATCAACAAACAGAGTGTAGAGCAACATAAGTATCAGCTTGTCCGTCATTTCTGAACAAGTACTTGATTGTTTGATGTGCAAGGAGTCGTGTGCAGATATCGATGTATTACGGAGGTGCGCCTCCAAAAGGAAGGTCAATGTTGATAAAAGGAAGATGCTTCTCGCGGGTCTTGCTGTGTCGATATTCTATGAGTTCTGCTCGTCGTTCCGAAAATAAATCTCGAGGAAATATACCATGTCATCAATCATATTCCCTCAAAATAATCGTTGCGCAGGGATCAAGCTCGCTTATTCGCATCCGTTTTGCTAAGCACATTTTCTGCAGGTAGTTTCTTTCGAACTTTTATTTGTTGCGGAGGGACGTGAAGGACGCGCCCAACCGTGTCAAGACCATATCAGATTTGCGGTCACAGCTGTTTTTCTTTGCGGTGTACCACTACAAAGCAGAGCGCAATCTGTTTTACAACCTGATATTGAAGTTTTTTGCTACTTCTAGCCACCAAGAAGACAGGATTTGAATCTGTCTCGAGTTTTCATTTGCGGCGGTTTCCGTTTTCCCGAAGAACCTTGTTGAGTGTCATTGCATGTTGGCGCCTGCGAGGTCCCAGGTTTAAGACTGCCTTCGGTTGTTGAAATGAACGATAAGTAAAGACTTCTCGGTCTCATCTCTGGTGAGCATGCTACGTCCTGGACCATCAAGAAAAGCAAGTCGGTAGTCGTCCTCTTCTGTTTTCAACTTCTGCGTAAATTGGATTCGGTTTCCGCTGCGCTCTCTGACCCGGTCGGTTTTCTCGTTGCCCGCTAGGAACTTACTTAGCAAATGTCGGTTGACAAATACTAGCGAACCTTTCTACGTCGGTTATTTTCAAAGGCGAGCGGCCTACTGATTTTACTTCTCGTCAGCGCGGCCCCGTTTGCGTGCTTGCACGGAGTGCTGTCATACTCGTGTGCACACGTGTCTCACTCCTCTTGATTGATTCGCCAGGAAGATCATCAATGTTTGAAGAACCCCACAAGGACATCGATTTTCTGTCGTGACACTGAGGATATGACAACCAAGAAGAAAAAACTACTTTTTTATACATTATTCCCCCAGACTTTACATTTGATTTTTTCTCATCGCAAGCCCCCTAATGAATTAAGATTAACACGCGGATAAAGAGAAGCGTGAACAAAGCAACTCTTACTTTTCCTCGAGTTGCGTTTATTGAATCGTGCTTCTATCTAAGTAGTACTTAAAAACCTCGGCGAACTTCTTCTACCATGAGAAGCGGAAGCAGTAGCGGATTACCCTTGCAGGCGGCGGCCCCCGGCGGCCCTCTCGGGACAACGACAACTCATCCGGGCGGGCGGAAATTATGCTTTTCGCGGTTTCTCGGCCGCACACTCACGATCCTGCTGACCGCCGGAAATGCGGCAAACGACTTGGGTACTAGTACGAACATGGGTCTTCTACGCCCCGCCTTGGCGAAGGAACAACTGCAGGAGCCATCTTCGGGCGCGACCCCCCGCGGGAACAACTACAACCCGGCGGCCGCTCCACCGCGGACCCAGAAGGAACATCTTCAACAAGCGACTTTTCCGTTTCCCAAGCTGCCTCTGCCCGTGCTTTCCCAAACTGCGGTAGAGGACAGTGCGCTTCTCGCGGGTATTCGACGACATGAGGCGAAAATGCGCGAGTTGCTGCAGTACGGAAAAGTTGTGCACCCGGGCGGGGGGCAGACCAACCGGAAAGGACGCGGAATGGCCGCAATGGAGTCCCACGCGAGCCGGGAGAACGCAAATCACGACATGGCAGGAGCAAAGGAGATGAAGCGCCAGATGAAAACAAGAACGCTAAAGCACCACTGGAACAACAAGAACGCGACTGCTGTGGCAGACTCAGGGTCGCGGTCGCCGCGACGCAGTTTGACCCACCACGACGACCTGAATCCGGACTATCCGGATATGAAATACGTGGAATTCCGCGGTGACCGGATTGACCGCAAAGACGAACGGCCAACCAGTCTGTGCTTGTCGTTATTCGCCCCGGACCACGACCACTGCACCCGGAATCCGATCACCAACGGCCAGGCGCAAGTCACCCTCCCGCTGTTGCCGGCCGGGTGCAAAGACGACCCCGGGTGCAATAGTTGTGTCCAACTGATGATTGCCGGCGCAGTCTACTACGCGGGTGTGCACTGCGACACCCCGAACGCGTGTGCTACGGGACAAAGCGGCGTGTCGTGCCAACAGGCAGCCCATCTAGCCGTTTATTACTCAAACTACTACAAGGAGCTGCGCACCATAGGCCAGAACACGGGGCCAGAGTCCGTTTCTCCGCATTTTGTGACGGACACCCGCCACTGGCAACACTTTCTTCCGGTGGGTGTCTGTCGGGACAGTACGGGCGAGCTTCCGAAGCTGTCCGATGGGACAACTACGGCTGCGCTATGCAAGAAAAAAAGAACAAAAGCTGTGTAAGTAGTGTAGGTCTGCAATGCAAAATATGCAAAACAGTTTCAGTGACAGTTGTCATGCGGCTGGCCAGCCTTCGCGTCCTTTTTTCATACCTCGTGCTGTGTTCACAGTATACTAGCATGATTTCCTGCTGATGCGGAACAAATTTGTCATGCTGTCAGCACACTAAAACACACCTACTCTCGTCACGCAGTTTTTTTCTTGGATATGGTTACGATGGCTCCTACCGGCGTTTTGAGGGCCGCAACACGGGGTCCTGCGGCGAGCCGGTGTCGGTTTTGCAACCTCCTTGCTCGTCCATTTACAGTTCGGGGTGCTCGGCGGCGCTAGACAGGACCTTCACGTGGCCTGTTCACGGTGGGGATCAAAACCTGCAAGTCTCTCCGACCGGGGATCCATACGAAACCGCCGCACTCACCGCACAGCGGTACTGCGACGCCAACCGGGGCACCTGCCAGGGATTCTATGTGTCGAAGATACCCCACCGCGGGTGGTGGGCTGCTTACGGACTTGGTGCGACTCACAGCTTTCGCTTCATTAGGCCGCTCAGTAGCACGGACAAAATTCAATCGAGCCCGGAGACCTACAAGCCGCAGGTCGGCATGTCGACCGTGTCTGCCGCGTCCTGCTCTACCGGCGGTGTGTATATCAGTGAGCACGGGGCTACTGTGGAATTTGACCTGTACGTGAGAGCGGTGGGTGCCTTGTCTTGCCCGGAGTGGGTTGAAGGCATCGAGAAGCTGGCGGGGGGCACGGACGAAAAACAGGGCTGCGTTATCCTAGGCAAAAACGTCCCCACCCCAAAATCAAGAGAAATCTGCTAGACAAATCAGCCAGCTTTGGTTGATGTCCTGCCTGACAATTTTGGCCTCGTAGCGTGTTCCTGTTTAGCTTCTTCAGCAGCATCACAGATCTAGCCTATCACCCTGATTGGAGCGCGACAAATTGCGAATCACGGCTAGAAGCATATAAATCGAATGCTTGCTTATGCTTCTCATGGGGCTCCACACGAGAAATATTTTTAGCATGCGCCTCTGCGTTGCAGCTATAGGGTGGGGACGTTTTTGCATAGGATATGCGGACCTGCGTACCAGAACCGCGTGTGCAGCAACAAGGAGAATGGCTACTGCAACGAGGCGACGGGGCGGTGCGAGGCGACGCCCCCCACTGCGGACGCGGTCGGCCGTGCGTTCGCGGGCACGTACACGCGAACCGAACTGTGGGACTTTTATTCCTACCCTGGCTGCACGGACACCTCTACGGGCTCGTTCACTCACGACGGTCAGGTGTTTGGGAACAAGTGGTTCACGGAGGCCTTTTACAACACGGGTCAGATGGTCCTGCAGACGGCCGAGGTCCTCAGTTGGGGGGTGTGCGACATCAACACGGACGATATCACAAGGAAAAGTCCCCCCTCTCCATATCAAAAGGAAGTTTCTGTTGCTGGACTTGCGGATACAAATCAGGTTTGTCTTGCAGTAGAGGACTGCAGGCTCCTGCCAAGCCTGAGTAGAGAGCTTTTGGCCTAGGCGCTTAGCATGAGAAACGACTATGCTGTAGGCCCAACAGCATCACAAACCGCCTGCATAATGCGGCAAAGCCTGTGGAGTTGTCTTCTTGCAAGACAGACGTGATTTGTGGTCTCAAAGCAGCAAGACAAATGTCCGGAAACATACTTTTTCGATATGGGGAGGGGGGATTTTTCCTCTCAATAGACGAGCGCGACGAAGTGGAGCGGCGGGTGGAGGTGCCCTTCGCGGCCGGCCTGCAGTCCATATGGATTGCAAATATGTCTGGGTCTGGAAGAGTACAAACTTGTGATGCGCATTTCAGAACACAGAAAAATCTCTGATGCATAGATAGCAAAAGCTGCCCACTTTCTGTCACCAAATGGGGCGACATTTGTCATGCGGATTCGGCATTGCGAACGCTTCTCGAAACCTGTGTGATGCTAGAGCTTCCATGCCAAACCTTCTACGTCATGCAAAAACAGCATGAGTCCAGACCCAGACACTTTTACATTTGATAGTCCACCTGCGAGGGCGATTTCCCGGCGTGCTCCAACACCTGTCCCACCGCCTTCAATGGGGTCTGCGAGGATGGAGGCGCGGACGCGGAAGTTGCGGCGAACGCAGCCTTTGTCGGCGTGGACCCGCCCCGGTCAAAGGGCGGGAACCAGGTCGGCGCGGTATTACAATGAAAAATGCCCCCTCCCCATATCAAAACGGAAATCTGTGATGCAGATTTGGGGTCACAAATCAGCTTTGTGATGCTAGAAGGCAAAAGATGCGGACTGTAGTGCTGTCTAGCGTGGGAAAGCCTTGCAGCTCCAGGATGACAGGAGGCAACTGGAAGTGGGAAACAGCATGACAGATTACCTGCAATTTAGGCCGCAGCTTAGTCTCTTGGCCCTCTAGCAATACAAGTCCATTTGTGTACTCAAATACAGCATCACAAATTCGCGCATCTTCCGTTTCCGATATGGGGTGGGGGCTTTTTTCACTTTGATACGCGGTCAAGTTTCGCTGCCCCCGCGGTACCGACTGCGCGGACTGCGGGGTGCGCGCGGGCGTGTGGCGGCGCGTGTTCCACAGCCGCCTGGAGTGCGGGATGGACCCCGACCCGGTCACGAGCCAGGCGAGCATGAGCCAGGAACTGGAAACCGTCTTCGGGGGCACCAATCACGACACGTACGACTACTACGCGCGGGTGCGCATCTGCCGCCGGGGCGCGTGGCGGGTGCACCCACACCTGGAGGGGGAGTTTCCCGGGGACTGCCTGGAAACGCTGGCCACCCTGAACGTGGGGCACCACCTGGGCTCGTGGCCGGGCGTAGTGCCGGCCTTCCACGGGATCCAGGATGGGGCGCTCCCCCCCGCTTCGCCCACGGAAGTTTGCTCGGTGAACTGCCTCGCCGCGCACCCGGACCTGGGCAAGCTCGACATGGGGGGGACCGCCGGCGCGGCCCAGACGCACGCGTACCAGCAGCCGGTGCACCAATGGCGCGCCAGCAAGCGGGTACGGCCCATGACCTTTGGCGCGAACGCGGACACGCTGATGAAGCATCTGGTGTACGACAAGAAGCAGTCGAGTCTGTACGAGAACGGCCTGTACGACGGCGGCTCCAGCAGCAGCCTGCGCGTCACGTACGGCTCCACCACGCAGTGCGCGGCCAATGTCCCCACCGGGTTTGCGGAGGCGGCGTGGGGCGTGACGGCCGCACCCGCGTTGCCGCTGCACGCCCCCGTTGACGCGGAGGACGACTCGGTCGCGGTCTACCTGTCCTGCCCCTCCGGGTACCCGGCCACCACCGCCAGCCCCCGCGCGAGCTGCACGGCAGCGGGGACCTGCCGTCCTGGGGAATTGATCGGCACCCTGCCGTGGTACGCGGAGGCTGCGGAGACGAAGTTTTATCTCACCTACCGGTACGACGCCTACCTGGGCACGACGGGAAACGATTGCGTGACGAACGCGGACTACGTGCGCGACACCATCGCCCCGAAGATCAAACAGGGGCTGGTACAGTTTGTGAAATCGCAGACGTTTGACCAAACTTCTGGGGCAGTCGACAGTTACGTCTCCATGTACCACGACGCCGCCGCCGGCCAGCTCCTCGATGACGAGACCGCGATCTTTCCCGCGCTCTTTTCCCTCCGGTTCGACTCCACGTGCGAGAGCGTGAGCCTCGGCAACACCCCGGCGGCCCGCGAGTACTACGGCGTTCTGCATGTGGGCCCGTTTAACTCGGAGCGGGACGCGCTAGTTGTCAAAGCCGTCCTGGACGGCGCCTCGCAAGGCACCCCGCGGTACGTGCAGCGGCTGCACACGGCCGCGAAGTCCGCCGTGGAGACGCAGGTGGAGAGCGCCGCGCCCTCCCTGGCCTTCAGCCACGGTGTCACGGCGCTGCAGTCGAACGGGGTCGGGGACGTGCCGGCCTTGACGGCGATTCCGAAGTGGGACGCGTCCGCCTACGACCCGGACCCGAAGTACGCGGCCTTCCAGACAAACGCGGCCGGGGTGGGCGACTACGCGGTTCGGTGGAAGCTCGGCCTGTTCATGCGGTTGCCGTCCGAGATTTGCCCGACGAGCGACGATTCAGGCGCCCGCGCGAAGCTCGAGAAGCCCCTCGCGTACGCGGTTTACAACTTTTTGCGCGAGTTCGGGCAGGGGAAGAAGCAACAGGCGGGGAAGCCGGAGGCGGTCAGGGCGCTGAGCTACCTCACGCAGAGCGACGTGCGGCTTGCGGAGTGCGACTGCGAGGCGGTCGCCGCGGGAACCAAGGCGTGGCAGTTTTTCACCGTGGAAGTCTTTGGCCTGATAAACGGGGCGGACGCAGCGAACCTGGCGGGCTTGTTCGCGCTCGCGGACGGCGTTGGCGCCTCCGAAACGGTGCAAAAAGCGTTGGTGCAGGGGTTGGAAGCCCACCTCACGACGTATCTCAGTGGTCTGGCCGCGGATATGTACCCCCCGGCGCTCCTGCCCGTGGTGCAGACTGACTTTAAGACTGGTGGCATGTTCGACTTTTACGATGCGCAAAGTTTCGGAAACACGGACGTTCAGAACCCCAGCGTGTACCAGCAGCTCGTCACCACCTCCACCTCGACCTATCACGCGCGAAAATTATGCTCTCACCGCGTGTGATCGTACTTGTTGAAGGAGATTTTTTTTGATGTTGGAGCATTTGCATTTGCTTTTCGAAGAAATCTCTTGACAGGCCAGGTGGGCCACGACCCATTTACTTATTACCTTCGAATGGCGAGCAGCTTTGTCCGGCTCCTACAACTAGTGGTTCGTGATTAGGATCGTGCATGTACAACACTGCCGACTTTGAAAGTGCCGACTTCTTGAAATTCGGTAGGTGGTGATCGGTTTGTGGTCCTGTAGCTCCACTTTTGTACACAGTGGAGCATGAGGACCACAGGGCTATTACCACCAACGCGAGTTTATTGCGTGTGGTCTGGGGTAAGACTAGAAGTGAACTCGATTTGTTCCTTCGGGTATCATGGGGTGAGAATATTTTTTCGTGTGACATTATGAGTACGACAACGACCACGACTACGACGACAACGGTACTGGCCATCACGACTACCACGACGACCACAGTAGGTGCGGGAAGCGGCAGCACAACGACCGGTGGAACCGGGAGTGGGAGCACAACGACCGGTGGAACCGGGAGCGGCAGCACAACGACTGGCGGCACCGGGAGCGGCAGCACAACGACCGGTGGAACCGGGAGTGGGAGCACAACGACTGGCGGCACCGGGAGCGGCAGCACAACGACCGGTGGAACCGGGAGTGGGAGCACAACGACTGGCGGCACCGGGAGCGGCAGCACAACGACCGGTGGAACCGGGAGTGGGAGCACAACGACTGGCGGCACCGGGAGCGGCAGCACAACGACCGGTGGAACCGGGAGTGGGAGCACAACGACTGGCGGCACCGGGAGCGGCAGCACAACGACCGGTGGAACCGGGAGTGGGAGCACAACGACTGGCGGCACCGGGAGCGGCAGCACAACGACCGGTGGAACCGGGAGTGGGAGCACAACGACTGGCGGCACCGGGAGCGGCAGCACAACGACCGGTGGAACCGGGAGTGGGAGCACAACGACTGGCGGCACCGGGAGCGGCAGCACAACGACCGGTGGAACCGGGAGTGGGAGCACAACGACTGGCGGCACCGGGAGCGGCAGCACAACGACCGGTGGAACCGGGAGTGGGAGCACAACGACTGGCGGCACCGGGAGCGGCAGCACAACGACCGGTGGAACCGGGAGTGGGAGCACAACGACTGGCGGCACCGGGAGCGGCAGCACAACGACCGGTGGAACCGGGAGTGGGAGCACAACGACTGGCGGCACCGGGAGCGGCAGCACAACGACCGGTGGAACCGGGAGTGGGAGCACAACGACTGGCGGCACCGGGAGCGGCAGCACAACGACCGGTGGAACCGGGAGTGGGAGCACAACGACTGGCGGCACCGGGAGCGGCAGCACAACGACCGGTGGAACCGGGAGTGGGAGCACAACGACTGGCGGCACCGGGAGCGGCAGCACAACGACCGGTGGAACCGGGAGTGGGAGCACAACGACTGGCGGCACCGGGAGCGGCAGCACAACGACCGGTGGAACCGGGAGTGGGAGCACAACGACTGGCGGCACCGGGAGCGGCAGCACAACGACCGGTGGCACCGGGAGTGGGAGCACAACGACCGGCGGCACCGGGAGCGGCAGCACAACGACCGGTGGCACCGGGAGTGGGAGCACAACGACCGGCGGCACCGGGAGCGGCAGCACGACGACCGGTGACACGACCGGGGGCGGCAGCACGACGACCGGTGACACGACCGAGGGCGGCACTGGAGCCGGAAGCACGGGTGGTGGTGCAAGTGGAGGTGGTAGCGGCAGCGGCACTGACGACGGGGGTACTACGTCGCCTCAGCTCCCCACACTGGGGGCCGTGCTCGAGGGAAACAGCTGGCTGAACCTCGAGTTCTGTGGGCGTGACGTGGACGACCTGTGTCGCGCGACGCCCGAGATCTGGCCTCCGGTGGCGAAAGCCCTCTCGGACTTTCTGGGCATCGACCGGGACCGCATCGAGTTGGTGGACAGCTCCTGCGACAGCTTGCTACCCGGAACCACGATCCGCGTCGGCGAGACTCTGTCTCTGACCAGCAATGTCCTAAGCAGCGACTTGAGCGGCTTGTCCTTGTCGCTCCGCGAGCTGCAAACCCCCAGCCTTCCGGCGAGCCTCGCCAGCATTCCGGCGAATCTGCAGGCCGCCGCGACCTCGCAGACGGCGAATGCTCTGCAGTCCTCCGCCGCAGGAGCTCTGGCCGCCGCCAATATCCCGGCGGGAATTGAAGAAGCCCCCAGCTTTGCCGGCGTGACGGCCGTGGTCAAAGCCGCAGCAGAGGAGACTGTTGCGACGCCCGGGGTGACGGCCCGCATCCCAAGCGCTGAGGAGCTTCCCACACTGCTCACGCGTCTGCAGCTCACGGCCCCGACGAACCTGGACTACACTCTGCCTTCTTGCTTGGCCAAGTTCCAGCGGACGACCCTGATTGTGCCTTTCAAGTACCGCATCACCGGCTTTCCCACCACCGCGGAAGCGCATGCGGCGGCGAACCAGCTGTGCACCGCCGCAGCCGACTTGGCGGCTCAGGTCAGTGAAGCGGTAGGGATCCTCTGGGGCATGAACGAAAACTACCTGGGGCTGATGTTTGCAGCGCTGGGCAAAGCGTGCACCAATGTGGCGGAGCACTTTACCGTCAGCACGGCTCCCTACGGGAGTGTCGCGACGAACGACCTGGGCGGCGACGAGGACGCCGGGGTTTGGTTGGCGGTCGCCTTTGTGTCCGTCTTCGCCTTCCTGCTGTGTCTCGCGGGAGGGTACCTGTTGCGTTCCCTGGCCGAGTCGGAGCGTTCCCTGACGGTCTTGCAGGCCCAGCTGCGGGCGACGCAGCGCGCGAGTTCGGCGGGTTCGCGCGGTTCCAAGGGGTCGCACGGTTCCGTCGGGTCGGAGGGGTACTACGATTCGTACGACCACGTGCCTGTGCCAATTCCGAAGGAACACCAGCATCATTTGAAGCATGCGGTACCCGTCTCCTCGGGTTCTGCGTACAACGCGAGCATGAGTGTGCTGGAGATGGCCGAGATGGTGGCGCAAGCGACAACGAAGTCGGTGGGAGACCGGCGTTCGGTGGTCGCACGGAAAAGCAAGGACCTCTTGGTCTACCCGCTGCCATCGAAACACAGCTTGGAATCGTTGATGAGTGAGCCCGACCGGCGCACGAGGCAACCCACTTCCAGAGCAACGGACGGCGTGGCCTCGATGAAGTCTCTCGCGCAGCGATTTGAATCGGTCAAAAAGAAGTCCCGGCCGCAAATGCAGGAACCGCCGCGGGCAACCGACCACTACGTGTACCGAGGGTCGCACTTGGAGCACGACACGTCCTCTGACGACGAGGACCCGAAGCGGCAAAGCAAGAAACACAGTCGTGCGGCCGATTCGGCGGAGAAAACTGCGTGGTCACCGAACACGTTGCGAAAGAAACACATCAATCCGGGCAAGACGACTTCTGCGTTGTCCGCCGAACAAAAGCCCCGGGAAAGCGCGAATCATCGCGGGCAGGCCTACTACATGCGCCAAAACACCAGCACCATGAGACAAAAGCGGACGAACAAGTTGAAGAAGGCAGTGGGGATATCGCGAGGAAAAAGGATCCCTCCTGTCCCCATACTGGAACGGCTTGCAGCTTCTGAAAATTTGCGATGCGAATTTGTAGGCACAACTCGTGTCTGTCTTGCAAGAAGGCAAATGATGCGGAAAGTTCGCCGCTTTTTGTTGTGTGCAGCCGGTTTGTGATCATGTTATTAGACCTTCAGGGTAGAAGACGTCTGCCATGGTAGTACTAAGTGCCTACCTGCTCAAAGCATCCCTGCCCAACAGCCTCTGGCGCTGCCTGCAGTCCTCTACTGCAAGATCGAAAGATGATTTGGGTGCACAAACCGTCCCGCATCACAGATTTCCGTTTTCAGTTGGGCCGGGGGGATTTTCCATTTCGATAGGCGACCGCGCGCGCATCCCCGAGGGGCGTGCGGAACTTCGGCGCGGGGCCGGAGGGTGAGTCGGGGGAAGATTCCTACCAAGTGGATTTTGCCGCTTACGACGAACGTGCTGATGTGCTTCGAAGTACTTCTTTCCGTGGTGAAGATGACGACTGGTACTATGACGTTCCCGCGTTTGAGCCCCCTCGCAGAACAAGCAAGCGTGCCTTGTCGTCGCGCGTGCGTGCATCAAACGAAACGGAGTACTATGACGCGAAACGGAGTACTAAGACGCGCGAAACGGCATACCATAGCGCAGACGAGGTGGCCGCGACACCGGAAGCCGTACCGCACTCTGCTCGCCGCAGCAAAAGCAGCAGGACCCCGCGAGCTCGGGGGCCCTCCAGCGAGCGTCTGGCAAGGTCAAAGAAGCAAGCAAATTACTCCTAAACTAGTGCTGGCGGGCGGCGCCGGGACGCGACTTAAGTACTTTGAAGGATGAAATTGATATTTAGGAAAACCGAAATGAAGCAGGTGTTTATTATTTACCGTTACCGGCGACCATCAATTTTGACACTATTATTTTTATTTCTCGGGAATTTGAAAGAACGTACAAGTTAAATCATGGCTGTCTAATCATGTTTTGCATTTTTCAATCTACTTTGCTTTTTTCTCCGTATTCTTGTCATTGATTGCCTAATCTTTTCGCTTTAAATTTGCACATAAAAAAATTCGTTTTTGTTTCTTCCTGTCGGTTGGATTACGTGGCAGGAAGAGGAGCTTTTGAGCTGGTTGTGTGAAACTAATTTATATTTATTATTTTGAGCACAACAAATGAGAATGTGAATTACGATGTTGACCACAGTGTAGAAGCATGACAATACCGTAACCAGCTCCAGGTCCAGCTCCTTTTTGTTTGTTTACATTGACCCGCGCCGGTGCGTCGGGGAGGGCAACAAGGAATCCGGAGCAACGTCGGGATTCTGGACGGGCAGAAAATGAGCCGAACCCGAAAGGGGCCGCCAACCAGCAGGAGCAAGATAAGGGATCGGTACCAGAACCGCCTCTCCAAAATGCAAAGCGACTGGAAGTTAAGGGGGTTTCGCGGGAGAAGCTGTTGGAGCTGCTGGCCAAGCAGGACCAGTGGGCCGACGCACAATGGGTTTTGAACCATGTTTACCAAAAATTGCGCATCACGGGAGGGGACGTGAAGGCGTTGATTGGAGAGACCGTGATCCAGTTTCAGCGCCGCCGAAGAAAGGCCAACCCCCTCACCGCCGCCGAAAAGCAGGAACTGAAGGACACACTCGAAAGAGCCCGGGACGGGCTGGCACACTTGCAGACTTCGTCGGAGTTCTCAACGCATGTACGCGACACGCTGGGCATTCCCCCAGCGAAACTTGGGGCGGCCTACGATCGGCGCCCGAACTGGATCTTCCGGGACGTCCAGGAGGGCCTATGGAACACAGAAACCGGAGGCGGAGTTCTGCAAATACGAGAGTGCGGATCTGATGGGGCGTGCTTATGCCACAGCATCTGCTTCCAGCTGGGGAAGCGAACTACGTGGACGCCCGACGCCCTCCGCAGGGCGGTGGTCGAATATTTTGGCCAAAACAGAAAGGAAGAACACGCGGGGGGGAAAACGATAGAAGATATCCTGCTAGTGGAAGAACGACCAGCAGGGGCAACGGAGGGCAGCTCGATAGACGAAATTTTGGCGCTGCTCCGAGAGCGGCGCACCTGGGCGGGGGAAATCGAGATCACGGTGCTGTCGAAGCTACTCGGAAAGGACATCCGAGTTTACACCCGCTGGCACGGGAAGGGAGGTCCCTCGCAACCTTCTGACCCGCCTGCAAAGACTGGCGGCACGGTATACACAAATCACCTTGATGCATGTCCCCGCCCATGCCGGGTGCGAGGATAACGAGGTGGCGGACTGCCTTTGCGACCTGGCCCACCACCACGCATCCCCGGAGGACGAAGAGACGGAAGCGCCACCGCTGTCGCATGAAGAACTGAAAGCAGCGGTGGGGCACTTACTCGAAGAGGACGAGCAGGCCGCCCTTCGGGACCTGCGTGCGGAATCCTCCCAGTCGTGCCGCATCCTCCTCGACCTGCAGTGGAACCAAGCATGACAATACCGTAACCAGCTCCAGGTCCAGCTCCTTTTTGTTTGTTTACATTACATTCTACTTCTTTACATTACATAGCTTTGTTTGTTTGTTTACATTACATAGCTGCCGGACCAGAAAGTTCACAGAGGGTCGCTTCACACTCTTGCTCGTCCGTACAATCGTTTGAGTGGATCGCTTTCCAGGTGTCACGATCAAAAATCGAGCGTCACGAACCCCAGACACAGGGCAGAGAGTGTCTGCGGAAACAAACCAGTTCAGTGCGCCTTTCAGTAGTAATCCCCTAAGGTCTGGTCTGCTAATCCAGGCGGTAGGAAATTCATATTATCGCACTTGGTTTCTAAACATTTTCTCTTGACCTACGACGGTAGTCCGTCTAATAGTTATCCCATTACTTAGGTGGCGCCGCTTGTGGTTGTCACGAGGTGGCTCGCACCTCCCTGGAGTGAGAGAAGGTTCGTTACCAGGCTTCAGCACCTTTCGTCTGGCTTGGGCTCCTGGTGCTGCGTTCACCGTTGGGAGTATAATAACATAAGAACATAAGCCTGGCTGCACTGGCAGCCGACCTTACGCGCACCATCAGAAGTGCGGAACTGGCCGGCCTTTGTGGTGTCTCACCATCAGAAGTGCGAACCACGAGGGCCGGGGCGTGCCACCTATCACTATCACTATCACAAAGTGAATCGTGTATGTATGTATTACATAGCTGCCAAAAAGTGCGACCAGCTGCGACGATTATGTGGTGTTCGTCTCTATCCGCAACAGTTGGTGACAGCAGGATGCCCACGACTTGGCGGTTTGACGCCAACGGATCAATGATTCTGTGCCACTTTTTAGTGCGATGGAGAATGCTTGCGCTTGTAATGCCTTGGGAATTTCTTTCTTCCTGCCATGATCTTGATCTTTTGGTAAAAATATAATAAACGCTCTGCAAAGCGCGTTCTCGTGGGCGGTGGTCCAATTATTATTTTTTTGCGCGTGGTGACATACAACGTATGAGATGGCGTTTAACCTCGAGAGATTAGGAAGTCTGCAACTTCATCATGATTCTGGACTAGAAGAAGTGAGAGCGGAAGTTCTTCCGACATTGTACTCTGACGCTATGTGGTCGTTGAGCTTGAGTTTGTGCAAGATGATCTTGATTCTCTTCTGCTTCACAGCAGCAACGGCCACCGAGCTTGTTGGTTCTCAACACGCGGCGACCGGAACAACCGAAAAGAGCAGTTCCCAAGAACATGCCGACGACGCTATCGTTGTTCGCGAGTGGTTAAAAACTGCGTGCAACGAGGCCGAAGATTGGGGTCCGATCCCTCCGAATGATTTTTTCCAGCCGGAATTCGTTCTCGCTTTCACGCGACACGGAGCGAGAATACCCTGTAGCGGCGGAAACGCGGACAATGTCCCGGTGGAATTCACATGCTGGCAGAACGATACGGTCCAGTATGCCTGCACTCCGAGGAAGGCAAGGCTGGATATTGATGTGGGGGAAGCAGCAGCTGACCACACTAGGAGTATTCTCGATAAAAAAGGAGCAGGAAAACGAACTTCTAGCACACGCGGCAATAATCAAGATGAAGATATTAACTACGAGGAAAATATATCAGTTCTTTCCTCGAAGAACTATATGGAAATACTGTTCGAAAAGGAGCAAAATTCTTGGCGGGGTACCTGCAGCACAGGGGAACTCACCGATGCGGGTCTAAGGCAGTGCCGCAACAACGGGCGCCGGCTCGCAGAGGCTTACGGTACAACTTCTGGAACAAGTGGTGTGGACGATGATCTTCATTCTACTACCGGCGATGATCGCAGCAGCCTTGAAGTGTCTTTTTTCTCAGACGAATCCCAGCGGGTGCAAGAGTGCGGGCAGGCGATGGCTGCGGAGATGTTGGTTTGGAAAGAACCTGTAAACGCAAATGGAATAAAAAACGCCGTTCCATCAACATCCGAGGGAGGAAAACGACCGACGCATGCTGAAGCTGATGATTCTCTTTCTCCTGAGGGCCGTGTCAATAATAATCAACACCCCCAAGAAGAAACCCAAGCAACCCGTGTCCTCGTCCCTGCTCGCCCCGCAGCCAACCTGACGTGGCACGTACTCGGCCCGGGTTCCGGGCTGCAGCCGGGGAGGCTGGGGGGTTGCCTGGCGTTCGGTGCGGCGGTGAAAAGTTGGTGGAAGGAGTCCGCGTTTTTGCGGCAAAAGGCCGAGCAGTACCCGGAGTTGCTCCCGCAATTACGAGCTGTCTTTGGCGACTTCGTCTTGGGCAAGAAGCTCGATAATTTTCGCACACTCAGCAAAGTGATGGACTGCGTGCACGGGCATTTTTGCAGTACGGTGGTCGACCGCGAAGAGCGGAAGCGCTTTCACGTGCCACTCGCATTGGAAAAAACGCTCCTGGCGCAGCTCGTCGCTTCCGGCCTCGCGGCGGCCAAGTACGAGGCATTTTTCGAAGATCCGCACCTCGCAAAGCTGAGCGCGGGCTACTTCCTCGGGCGGACGGTGTTACCGGGGTTGCGGAGGGAAGTAGTAGAGCGGTTGAAAAGTTCTAATGACGAGGACCCAAAGGTAAAACATGACGCTCTCGCTCCGTCTTCCCCTGAGGTAGTGGTGCAACCCTCTTCAAGAAAAGCGACCGCACATTACAGGAAAAGCTGGCGTGCGAAACGCTTCCACATCTACGCGGGACACGATTTTGGTCCGCTTGGGCCGCTGCTGGGTCTGCTGGGTGCGGAGCAGCTCTCGTTCGTGAAGAAGTGGCCCAACTTCGCTTCCTTGCTTGTTTGGGAATTCGGCGCGGGGAAGGTTCGGCTGGTGTACGACGGAAAAGTGCTGCCGACGAAGGTGTGCGGTCCCACTGGGGTCTGTGCGGCGGAAGAGTTTTTGCAAAAGTTGGAGGCGTTGGTCCCCTCGCGGACGGAATGCAATGGCTCGGGTACTAATTATGCTTCCGGAGGATTACGGGTGGATGACGTAGGGGGGGAGGAAGAGGAGGATGTCTTGTTCGCTATCGCTTCCGCTAGTCTTCGTGCGAGCAGGGCCCGTGAGAATCTCGAGGAAAATTATGTTGAAAATCGAGAGGACAGTCTGGAAATGCCATCGAAGATAATTGTTGAAAGTGTTGGTGAAAAAAAAGATGATCACGATGGCGCGAAAGGAAGCGAACTGCACCAGCACGAAATTTTAACCTCCGTACAACATGGGGGAGTAGCAGCACAGAAACCAGAGCCGCCTCTTGAACCCGGCGGTGCAGATTCTTCCACTAGTGATGTCATTTGGCAATGAAAGATAGCGATTTTTTCGGGATGAATATCCGACATTATTTTGTGCCTGTTTGTTTCATCTGAAAGGAAAGAGTTTGCACACGGGTAGACCGCTTCGTTGAAAAGTGAAAAGAACGGGTTCTGGGGAACAGTCGATGCATTCGTTTTTTGCTGTAAGTAAGAAAAGACGGGCTGCGTTTTTTTTTTCTGATCTAGTTCCTTCCATTTTCTCCAGGTATCTTCTGTCAGGTTGCTTTCTCAACAGCCTTTTGTTTTTACTTTTTGCAGATCTGTTTCTGTCGCTCAGCTTGCCTGCTTTGGCATCTGCATGTGGCGCCACTTACTTTTTCTGGATCAGATTTGGCACCTTCAAGTTTTGCTTTTTGTCGTATGATACATTTTTGACCTTTCGCACGCTCCAGTGCACGATATCGATATCCTTGGTTTCACTTTCTTTGAGAAACCAAAGGGCAACTACGTTGCATAGAATGTCACCGCGCGCCGAATTGGCCTCGACGGTCGTAGCGCGACCAGCAGAGAGCTAGCAGGTACAGCTAGCTCATGGACCACAGGAACACATACAGAATCAGAAGATGAAAACTACTCCGAGACAGGGGACCGAAAAATACGACTCCGGGCAAGCTCGGGGTAGATTTGCCGTCGTCCCGGGAATAAACCACAGTCTGCCGGTTAAGATGTCGGTTTCTCGCGTATTTGATGTCCTCCACCGAAGGTCAGCAGGTCGGCACGACAGTACTGCTGGTGGTAGAACGGGAACGTCTAGAAGAAGTGTTTTTTGTTGGAGCTTTTTTCTCTCCCTTCTGTTATTTCACCCGGCCCATGTAGCAGAGGCCTCCATGTTTCAGGCCTCCTTTGCCGTTCTCGCAGGGCGGAAGAAGTGCATCGGGCAGGATCTGTTACGGCACGTGCTTTCCCTGGTGGAGATAACTTCCAAGACTGGGCAAAACCTTGCTGTCACTGTTATGACTTGCTCAAGCGTTACAATCTCAAACGTTACAATTAATAGAATCTGGAATTTGTGTTGCATGATGAGCATGATAGACTCGCACAGCGTTCCACCTTTTGCAATACAAATTTCGCCAGATTTTAGTGGTGTTTGGGGCTGCTCCGGAACTTGTCATGCGCAATCCTATGAGAGTTGGCTAGATCATGCACTCTTGCGTCACAGATTTCCATATTCTATTGTAACGTTTGAGATTGTAACACCTGAGCGAGTTATAACGGTGTTGGAGGATCAGATCCCGATAATCTTCGAGGGCAAGAAGCCTACGATTAAAACCGCCTTCACTGCGCAACGCGACGCCACGCACTGGATCTGCATCCTGGTATTTCGTGTTCCTTCAGAACTTTTTTTCGTTCGTGGCTTCCTTCAGCAGTAGATGTTCACCGCACTCTTGCGTACGATAGCGATTAGTTTTACCGCGGCGCCGCGCAAATGTATCCCAAGTATAGAACTTTTTTCCATGATATGATAGATTACTTGAGCAGCTCGTTCAGCACCGCCACGCTCCTATCTATCATTGTCAACGTAACTTAATACATGAAACCATATTATCGCAGAATGAGAGTCCCAGCGCTGATACCGAAGTGAGCTTCAGTTTTAAATCTGGGGCTTCCGCGCGGGACTACTCGCAGGTGGCAAAAAGGGAGCACTTGCAGCCCGTCCAGGTGCGGTTACGGATGATTGAGGACGAACTTTCCTCGTACCAGGAGAACCTGATACGCATGCGGCAGACGGAAGACGCGCTGCGCGCGGTCAACGATAACACCGGGGTTCGCGTGATCGTCTTCTGCGTTCTCAACCTGGTGCTCATGATCATACTGGGGGGCTGGCAGATGATATCCACCAAAGCCTTCTTCCGCGAGAAAAAGATCATATGAGGTAGAACAAGCGGAATTGACGTTGACGTGAGTACACCACCACCGCGATTTCCGTGGGGGCAGCTCCCCTTGACTACGCACAAAATTAGCGACGCACAAGCAGAAGCATGAAAACGTCGCGTCGTGGCCTCCGCTTGAAAATATAGGCAAAGAAGTACTTCAAATACTTTATCGTCGGGAATAAACGGAAGCATGCGAAGGTTTGATTTGCACTACGTACATCGTGCGAACCACTCTATGGAGCAGGTTCGTCTCGTTCGGATCACATCGTTCGTTTCGACGAACACCGACAATCCCGGAACTGCTAGTGTTGCAAAACTAAATCGTTCACATCGAATCCAGGCACTCTCAAAGTTTCGGTTCTCGTAGTAGAGGCCAGCGTGTGATGAAAAACTTATTCGTCTTTCGTCCTCGTTCACTATCACTTCGTCCGGAAATACAGCTATCAGAATTGAGCGGCTATCGCTGATGGGCGTGCCAATCGTTCCATGATGTTGTTGCACAAGAGGAGACAAAGCTACGTTGAAAACAATGATGTCCCATGGAACTGCGAAAACGAAAACAGGGAGAAGATAAATGTGGCTTATTTCGTCGCGTACACAGAAAGCCTTAATGTCTCATAATTTCGTCGGGTTATTTATCGTGTGAAGTTGGGTGCCCCCCCACTCGGTTTTCCTTCTGCTGTTAGCTTTAGTTATTGATCGTTGCCGATCCGAATTGGAGGCAGAGACTCATTGATTTTGATGCGTAGTTCGGAAGGTTCACTAATTTAATTTTCTAGAGTAAAGTTGTGTCTGCTCGGGGGAGACAAGTTAGTTTGCTGAGCCGCATGATAAGACATGCTTGTTATCTGTATCGTAAATCATTCTATATCCGAAAGTAGTATAGTGCATGGCGGGAGGCTCTGACGAGCAGGAGAGGCTTACTTAGATTTTTTCCGGCTCTTAATCCAGATACGACCGCTGTGATAGCTGCGAAGCTCGGAAAAAAATGTCGGGAATGAGCAAGGACGAGGGTTCGTCTGACAGCCTCCCTCCGCCTCCGCACCACCGCGATGAAAGCGCCAATACTACACCGCCGCGAATTACAGGAGCAGCAGCTCCTGCATTCTCCTCACCCGGCGCGACGAGCCCGCAGCGGAGAGTACAAGTGCACGCGTTTGTGAATTCGCAGAGCGGCGCGTTTGCCAAGGGAGAGCGAATTCTGAATGACTTGCGGGCCCTGCTGGCGGAGTCCCTTACTCCCGTGCCCAGCAGTGCGGACCTGTGCACCGCCGCCGCGGGAGGATCTTCTTCGTGTGGGACAACGTGTTCCGCGGACGAAATAGAACTCGTAGACAGAACTCCAGATAATTCTAGACGTGAGGTGGAAACACCACCTCCTGTACTAGATCAAGAGAAAGGACAGAGCGGGATTACTGGCAAGAAGGCCGTGGTGGTTCCAGCGGTGCCTGCTTTTTTGGAACAGCAAGCACGAGCCAGCGGTTCGTCTGTGTCGCCTGACAAAGCTTGCGATAGTTTTGCCACTGACCAGCACCAAGTACCACGAGATGTAGAGACAGAACAAACCGGTACAACAACACCATCCCCTGCAAAGAACATCAAGAAGCAGTCGAAGCGTTCCGAGCGACGGGCGCGGCTGCGCAGAGAAAGCCGGAGTTTGTTGGGCAGCCGGGTGTGCGACCTGTCGCAGGAAGACGCGGGGGAGTTTATCCGGGCGCACGTGCGGGCCGGCGACATTCTGCTCGTCTGCGGCGGCGATGGCACGCAGAACTGGGTGGCTTCGGCCATGATAGCGCTCGGGGATGAGGCGCCGAAGAATGTCCGGCTGGTCCCGGTCCCGCTGGGCACCGGGAATGATTTCTCCCGGTCTTTGGGGTGGGGCGAGTCCACCCGCTCGTCCGACCTGCAGGAGCGCGTTATCGCCGCGCAGAATTCGGTGCAACGAAATCTAGACATGTGGAAGGTAATCATCATCCCGCGGAGCGCAGAGGAGGTTGGGGCTGTTGCTGCGTCGGCAAGAATAAATCATGACGGAGCTGCTCCTGGTGATTTGCGTGCTACAACTTGTTCCGAGGATCTTTCATCTTCGGCGGACAGAACGAGCAAAACATCCTCCTTGTCTTGCAAAATGCGAGCAAAAGCGAAAGGTTTTTTCCAGAACAGTTTACTATCTGCAGGGGATAATGGAACAACAGTGACTAGTGGTTCCTCCTCTACTTCAACTTCTATCGGGGATGAACATCAAAATGGCACCACTGGAGATCATAGTACTTCATCTACTTCTTTAACACCATCCCCTCCCTGGTTCGAGGACGAATCCCGGCTAGACGCTCTGCAGCGGCTCTCGCTGGGGAGCCGAGCAGACAGAAGCAATTTTGCGAGGAACAGTGCGTTAAAGCTGCTACACCAGCACGGTATGCTTTCAGACGAGGAGTTGCGTTTCGAGACCGGCGAATTTCAACATCTGGAAGGGGAGAGAATAAATGCGGAGGACGCATCAACAGACATGACTGGGGCGGATAGTGGCAAGAGAAATACGTCAAATTATAAAGGTCGACCGGTTTTTGTCGGGCATTGGATGAACTACGTGAACTTTGTATCCTGAGTAAAAACGTACCCACACCAGAGTTGTAATGCAAATCTGCATGCTGAAAATGTTTCTCATGCGGAGCTCCATGAGAAGCATTTTCTAGTCGTGTTTTGCAATTTGTCATGCTCCAATCAGCATGGTATGCTAGATCTGTGATGCTGCTGAGCTAGCTGAAACAGCACTATACTACGAATCCAAATTTGTCATGCAAAACAGCCAAAACTTGTGGATTTGTCTAGCCGATTCCCCATCTTGACTCTGGTGTGGGTACGTTTTTGCTCAGGATACTTTGGTTGTGGTGCCCGCATTGTGTGGTCCGTCGGAAAGCTGCGGGACAAGCAAGGCGGTTGCGGGCGGCGACTGTACTCCCGCGGGTTCGGACACATGGTCTTTATGGGTGTCGGCGCGGTCGAGCTGTTCACGCCGCCGGGCGAGAAGTTTGTGGATAAAAACTCGAAGAATAAAGCACTGAAGATGCAGTGTTGCGACCTAGCCACGGGCGCAGACGGCCAGTTTCGCCAAAAAGTACAGCCCGTGGGAGGTGGACGAGATGGTGAAAGGGGAGGACCACGTGGTCGAGAGAGGTCACGAACCACTGTGGAGATGAACGAAGAGGAGGATAGAATAAAGCAGGAGAACGATCCGAAAACATCAACAACAAACGCCGATGGCGATGACATTAGACACAGTCCCGCAGAGGAAGGTCAACAGCAACACTCCTCTTTCCCAACGGCCGAAGAAATTCAGGTAGATCAGGGTGTTTACTCCTCTTCTTGCAGTACGGCTGATCCGTCCTCTTCCGCCGTGTCCTCCGCTGATGATACATCGGAAATCGTTGTGCAGCAGAATCATCTTGTTCAAAGTGGTACAACCGCTCCGGAGGAACGGACCACACGAAGAACTTCCACAGTCACCACAGCATCAAGCAAAACTGGTCTGTTTGGCGTCTCAGCAGGCGAGCTGGAAAAGAGACTAGCTGCATCCACGACCCGCCCCGATCAGGCTGTTAGTAGTGATCCTCGAGAGCATGAGCAGGACCACGACCGATCAGGCCTTCAATCAGAGGAAAAAACGTCAACATCCTGCTCTCCGATGTCGAAAACAAGTAGGACCTCCACAAGGCAGCGCGGGGAGGTGCTGGACCGGAGTAGCAACTACAAGACCACCACGTGCTTCCCCTCGTCCAGTTCCTGTTTTACTGGCGCGCAGCAAGCTGTCTCCGGAGTTGTGAAAAGCAGCAGGAGCAGGAGCACAAAAATGAGAGATAGTAGTTCCCCATTCCCTAGCAAAATGAAGCTCGCCCAGCAGGGGGACGAGCAGCATTTAGCATCCGGAGATGATCAACATGAGCAACTACACGATGGTAATCCGACCTTGTGCCTGCTGGACGCGCTGCAACGAAACAGCTCGCGCAATCTCACCCTGCTAAACATCCGAAGCATCATGGGCGGGCGGGCCAAATTGCGGCTGCGAGACCAACATTCCAGGCGGAGCCCAGACGACGGTCGGTTCGAAGTGCTGTACATGCAACACGCGGCGCACATCATCGCCATCGGGGGCGGGCTAACGAATTGGAACGTCGACAACCAGGGATCCGCGTGCCGTCTGCGATTTGCGGGTCCGGAGCATCTGGACCTCGACGGCGAGGGGTTCGCGGTGAACGGCCCTTTTGACGTCCTGGTGGTCAAAGCGGACCACTCGCTCACGGTTGGCGTGAATCCGGAGCAGAAGGATCCGGGAGCGGTTGACTTCTGGGACTTGGCGAGCGACGACCAGGTCGAAGGACAGTAAGTAAGAAGTATGTAGATGCTTCGAGCGTCTCAATCTGAAATTTGTAAAGCGATAGTTAGAAGAAGAAGTACTACCCCGTCACTTTCACTTGATTTTACAATTGTTTACAACCTACGTACAAAAGCGAAATTAGAAAATACTTTTTAAGATCATTGTTTCTTTTCGGAATTCTTGTACCTATTTGTTTCGATGTTTCATAGCAGTAGCATTCAAAAATCACCTCCCCGGCGGGAGATTGGTGACCAACTGCCTTTCGGCTGCAGCTGTAGCTGTTTTCAGGTCCGCGTTGTCATTGCATGTATTCTTGTAGACATAATTTCATTTTTGTACCTACTACACCTAGAACCATGATGAATTAGGTTCAGAAATTTGCAAGACTATTTTCGGATAATTTTCATTTGCATGTTTCGCAACGTTGGCTTGGTGAGTCGCAAAATTTCCCGGGATTAGTCGAGTCGGATCTTGAACTCTCTTCTCAATATATATCAAGGTTTTGGAAAAAAAAGGATTAGTAGCGGCGGAGTCGGATGAAGGACATCCAATCATCTTCTTGTGGCAATAAGTTTGAAAATTGTTCTGCACAGCTGTTTCTCGGTGGTCTACGGGAGACAACATGGTTGTAGGTAAGGAAGTGGCCGCTGCTCACTTGTACGTGCGAAGTATCTACGCAACGTTCGTGTATTCACTGAATTCATTGCGTGTGTCGTGATTATTTGCTACTGTTTAATTGCGTCGTGGTTTTGCAACAGCACATGTTCTGCGCAACGAGCCGAGGTTTGCTGCAAAATTGCAAAAAATTTTTGAATTTCAGGGGAGGTTTAGCTGGAGCCATTTGGCACAACGAGAAGGTGCTTCTGGTTTGCACTTGCAGTGCCACTTCTTTCACCGATGGCCATCGATAGTGTCAGTGCGTTCGAATTCAAGGCATAGTCTAGATGGTATCAACTTATTCATCGAACTACATTAATATTCAGTTTGAGTGGTCCGCAACCATTACATTTACAATTTACCTTTCCGTGTCTAGCCCGTTATTGCAACAGAATAAATTTTGGTTTCAACGATGCTTCTGCGTCTTCCGCTAGTGTCCGCCGAGTTGCGAAGAGAAGAAGGCCTCGTCCGCTTGTGACCACTCTAGTTCCTCTCGATGCGCATTACGGATTTCAATATCCTGATTGACACAGCAGCAAAGGTAGCCTAACCGCTCGGAGCGTTGGACAAGGCACGAAGCAGGATACATAGTAGTTTTCTTCCCGAGCGGCCGATTGACCGCGCAAGCGAGTTACTAGGATCCGTTGCGCGTCGTGCACTCATTTCCAAGGCACGAAGACCACGGCCCTGACCCCCATAGTTCCGGGCGACCATGTATCAAGTGTAAAAATGTTTGGGTCTGGAAGAGTGCGAACTTGTCATGCAGATTTTACAATGCCCGTGACGTCTGTGATGTATTCCCTGGCATCACAGATTTTCTGAGTGCTTCTTGATGCCTATTCCGCATGACAAATGGCCTCCCCGCGTAGCAGAAACTGGACTCCTCTTGCTGGTCATGCAGTACAGATTTTTCTAGAGTCCAAAATTAGCATCACAGGTTGCATCCTTCCAGACCCAGACATTTTTGCAGTTCATACCATGGTGATGCCGCTCGGGGGAGTGACGCCGGGCGGGCCGCCGTCGCAATACTGTTTGAATATGGATTGCAAAAATGTCTGGGTCTGGAAGCATGCAACTTGTGATGCTGCATTTGGATTCCAAAAAAATCTGTATTGCATGAGTAGCAAAAGAGTATAATTTTTGCTACAAGGATAGGGCATTTGTCATGTGGAATAGGCATCAAGATGCCCTCAAACTATATGTGATGCTAGGGCGCGCATCACAGACATCATGGCTCATGCAAGACGTGCGTCACAAGTTTCAGAATCTTGATCTTCCAGACCCAGACATTTTTACAGTTGATATTGAACACGCTACCGAAGCTGAAAATCCTCCTCATCGGCATCGTGTTTCTCTCCTGCGCAAGAATAGTATCCCAATCGCAGGTCGAGGGGGTCATCATAGACGGCATTTTTGACCTTTTCACGGTACTTATGAAAAAGTGTTTGCGGAAGCGGAGCTACTACCTTTGTCGTAGTCACACTAGTACTTGTGTCTGATAGATGAGGCTGCATTGATCAGGCTAGCTCCGTCTCAGCCACGTGCATCGCCAAAAAACGTGGATGATCTCAAAAAAAAAAAACCAGCCCATCAGCGGTTACTGCCTCTTCAAAGACGCACAGACGATGAGCAGCTGCCTGTGCGCGTTCATGATGTTTGCGTGGCTGAGCGCGGTCAACGACGGCATTGCGGCGATTGTGCGTTTCTCGGAGTACGGCGTTGATGCGTTCTGTGCGGATGGAAACAGAAAAATCGTCAATGACAAGTAAGTTAGTATTCAGACGCAACTCTAATTTTCAGCCTTGGATCGTTGTGCGAATCGAAATCTAGCACTTCTGGAAGAAAAAAATTCATACATGAACTAGGAATGCATACTACTTTAGAGGTTTTACTTTCACATCAAGACGAATAGTATGCTACAAAACAGCCGCATAATAACCTGCACGGCCTTCCAGCCGACATACACGAGCGTACTGATCTGCATCACCATCGTGCAAGGCTACACCGGTGTGCTCGGCTATAAGATGCTGAAGTCCGCAACGTATAAAGAGTTATTCTTGTTTGAGTATACTACAGTCATGAAGATGATCAACGCATGTGCCGCAACTTTCTTCTTGTAAATCTGAATCATCATGTCGTGGCGGATAACTAAAACGAGACATGATCCACCAAAAATGAATACACAGAGTCCAGCAGGCCGAAACGATGGGAGGCGGACTTCTCGGCGCGGACGTAAACGCGCAGCAGGCGGCCCTCGCCCGAGAGCTCCGACCTGGCGCGGGCGGAAACGGCAACGGGCCTCTTGGACCGCGCGCGCCCGCACCTCCGTCCTTTCAAGCCTTCGCGGGCGAGGGACAAAGGCTTGGCTAGGGTGCGCACCGCTGGGAGGAGCTTGACTTGCCGGTGTTGGTTTTGCGTTTGGGATATTGAACCACGTGCTTTTTGACGAGAAAGCCGTCGCGGACGCCACGTAAAGAAGCCGCGGAAAGGGAGAAGTTGCGACAGGGTGCTGTGGTGTGCGGCGTGGAGTCATTTTCGTCCTGCATGGTGCTGTTGAATGGAGGAGGACGCGAGGGAAGAACTGACGCCGCTCCGCGAGTTCTACTCGCTTTCGTCTTGAAGCTTCTTGCGGCGCTGTGTGGACAAGAAACTACGTACAGCAAGGCTTGGAGAATTAAGAATGCTTTGAAATAACAAGTTATAGCTCTGCGAGATCTAGAAGTTCATCATTCTTTACATCTAATGACTCTACTGGAACTGCATGGAGGCGTTACTGTGCCATCATTTGGAGAACAGGATCTGAGATGCAACATTTATTCCGCGACTGGGCATCTCTCTTGTCGTTACGCGATCTTCTACTTGCTCCGCACGAGAAGAGATGGGCCCTTGCTATGACACGACAAAAAGTCGCGGCTGAAGTGTCGCGACATTTTCTTATTGCTACCGTGCTAATGGTGTTCGTTTACGACCTTTTGGATCTCTAGACCGCGTTTCGTTTTGTGATTTCTTTTTTCGGCTGATTTGCTATTTTGGTTTTTCTGTGACTTGCCCGTTGCTCCTCTGCCGCTGCGCGGGGCCGTCCGCAATTCGGTGTGATCCAGAGTTCCAGCACCACCCTCGTAACCAAGGCGTTAGTTGTCCTTATCGTATCTTCTGCTTTGAACAAGAACTCAAGTTTTTCCCTGTTGCCTTTCCCCGCCGCACTACTAGAAAGAAAACAATAAAAAACTTTTCCCTGCAAGAACTATGGCTTTCGTAAATCCCCGAGTGTGGCTCGACGTCAGTGGCGCGGGGCGAAACCTCGGGCGGCTGGAAATCGAGCTCTTTCACGACGTGCTTCCAATCACGAGCGAGAACTTTCGCGCCCTGTGCACGGGGGAGACGGGTCTGGGGTACTGGATGAAACCCCGGTGGTACAAGGGCACCCGGTTCCACCGCGTAATTCCCGGCTTCATGGCGCAGGGCGGTGACTTCAATTACGGTAACGGCGAGATGGGGGAGAGCATCTACGGCAAAACGTTTCGGGACGAGAATTTTCTCTTCAAGCACTCGCGGCGGGGCTTGGTGTCCATGTCCACCTCCCACCGCAAGCACACGAACAACTCGCAATTTTTCTTTTCTTTCAACCCGCTCCCCCACTTGGACGGCAAGCACGTGGTGTTTGGCCAAGTCGTGAACCTGGACGCGCAGTACGAAGCGCACCGGGCGCGCGCGGTGGACCGGTTCGGCACGCATCCGCTGCAGGTGGCAAACGTACTCGGGGCAGCGGCGGACAGCTACGCAGCGGCGAAGGTAAGAGCAAGGCTTCTAAGGGCAAAAGATAAAACTACATCGGAAGATGATCATTCTGGTGCTAATATTCTTCATCCGCGGGAAGGGGAGCAACAGCAAGGCGACGAGGGAAGAGGACTGATGCAAGGTGACGACGGTGATGGTACCTCCCCCGGTGGAGAAATACATACAGATGAATCAGAAGCCAGAGAATCCACGACCTCTACAACAACTACATCGAGAAACAAAGATTATCCTACGCAGGAGTCCCGGCAGCGACCAAAGCACTTCAGCGGCATTGACAGGCAAGGCAGCTATGTGCTGGACGCAATGGAGCGGATGGGCAGCGAGGGGGGCTTCGTGCGATATCCGGTCGAAGTGTGGAACTGCGGCGAATACGACCGCGTTCGGGATCGCGAGCGTTTTGTCCGACAAGTACAAAGGCCAGCAAACATGGACTTCCGCATTGACTCCTACAGCCCGATACCTGCGGAAGTCTGGAAACGAGCACGGCAGGTCGTTTCGCCGATTCGATAATAAAGCGATTTGATTCAGAATGTTGTTGCCCAGCACTAGATGGTTGTGTTGTTGTTTTTCTGGTTGAGAAGTAGAAGTTGTCAAAGCGAGCCCTTGAGCTGTGATGAGTTGCTGTCAAGTATTCATCATGGCAAGAAATACTTAAGCCAACGCCGCTAGGGGAGGCCGAGGGGAAGAGGAAGCTGAGATTTTTTTGCACGAAAGCGAAGCCCAAACATGCTGTTTATTCTGGAATGGGTAGAAATCATGAAAACCTGAACATACTCATCACGAGCGCGAACTTTTCTTCACCTTCCATTTTTGTCTCGGCAAAAGTAAATTTTGAATCCTCACCGAAATTCTCTCAACCTCTCTAGAAGTTTTTTTGAACAGAACTCATGTCTCCACTGGTTGCCGACAAGGATACTTCTAGACGGAGATACTAACCGGCACGAACTCTGTGAAGAAGTTTACAGCGAAATAACAAAGCCGACGACTGGTGGCTTGTTGGTCGTCGAATACGACCTTCGGGTTCTTTGAAATTTTGTTTTCAAAAAGTCGTCTCCCAGTCCCAGTCAGGTCGGATCTGCACTTGAGGGCTAAAAATAACACGATTTCGTCCTCGTCGTCGTCGTTTCTAAGGAAAAAAAAACACGGGGAAAAAATAAAACCGCCTTTATCATTTTCCAACGTCGTCATGAAAAAGAGCAGCACTGCTTTCGTGGGTTTAGATGGAATCGTGAAACAGCAGCGCAGTATTAGCATTCCCGAGGAGCAGACAGCAGCTTCACCTCCGGATTTGCAGCTCCATCTCCCCGAACTCGGCGGCCCGCAGAGGAACAATGCCGCTTTCCTCCATAATTCGCGCAAGTGTGTCACGGACGAGGAGCCGATCGAAGGGAGTAGTAACAGCTCCTCCAGTACGAGTACTAGAAGGACCAAGACCTACCTGCAGACCCCTTTGTTGCAGAAGAAGCAGCACCTGAGCGCGCCCGGCGACCTCTGGCGGTTGGGCAATTTGAACAACGCGGAGCGGCTGTTCCGGGTGGAGTCCAAACTTCTTTTTCGGTCCCCCACCTCGAGAAAACGGGCGAGCTACAGCTCCAGCTGCGGAGTTCAGCAGCCGCACAGCTACCCGCGGTCCGCTATCCTATGTGAAAACATCCCCACCCCAGAGTTGTCATGCAGATTTGCAATGACAAGAAGAAGAACATTTGTGATGCGCATCCCGATGATAGGCATTTTCCTTTGTGTTTTGGAATTTGTAATGCTGTAAACGGGATGCCTATCTCGATTTGTAATGCGGATGTCTTTGCTAACCTTACCTGAACTACACTACGGGCTGCAGCTTGTCATGCGTGGCGTCCAAAACTCCTGAATGTGTGTTGCAGAGATCCCAACTTAGCTATGGGGTGGAGACATTTTTGCACAGGATATCCGCAAACCAGATGAGCCGGTCCGACACGGGCTTCATGACGGCGCTGGTCGGCACCGCGGCGCTGTCCAGCTGCATCTACGGCTTGGTGCTGGCCGCAACCAACGCCTCAGTGAACTTTATCCACCTGGATTTCGAAACCTGCGGCACGGCCCCGGACCCCGCGCCACCGCCAAACAGCACCTATTTGGGGGAGAGTCAGGCGCTGATGTCATCTTCAGCGGCTGTTGCTAGTAGACTCGGTCTGGCGGGAACAGGAAGGTCTTTGCTCGATATTGACCTGGCGGAACCGGAAAAAGAAGGGTTTTCAGCAGATAATTTATTTTCCGGCCAAGTAGATCCGGCAGCGAAGATAAAAACTAGTGCACTTCTTCTTTTCGCAACAGCACGACCATCAGAAGCGGAAAAATCACCAGCAGAAGAAAGTTCTTTCTGGTCTTCTTTTCACCCGATCTCTCTCTTCGAGGCAGCAGTGAATCAAGTCTCCTCGCAGTTTGACGAGAGATCTTTTCCGGAGTCCGACCCGGAACAGGCGGAGGCGGACCGAGCGGCAAAAATAGAGCAAATCAAGAAGGCCGGAATAACAGTTGTGGCACCTGGCCAGGGGTCGGGCAAATCAGAAGAAACATCTTTAGCAGAAACTAGCGAAAAAGAAAAATCATCTTCTACCGCAGCAAAAGACGACGATGATCTACCGCTGGTTGAAACCCGGGCGGAGGAAGACGCGCCACCGAGCGTCCCCGGGTCCTCGCAAAACATTGCCTCGAAGCACCGCGCGTCCGCGCAGACACTGCATGCGTTGCTGGACAAAAGCGAAAATCTGCACTTCAACTGCCCCCGGCAGACCTTCATACAGCAGGTCTCCGTCGCCGCGGTCTTACTAGGTGCGGGAGCCGGCTCGTTATTGGGGGGTCCCTACGCGGACCGGGTGGGGATATTGAAAGGAAAGACTCCCCCTCCCGATATCAAAAAGGCACGCTTCCGAAAATTTGTGTTGCTGATTTGAGGTAACAAATGACATCTGTCTTGCGAGGAGACAAGGGCAGAAGTTTCGCCCCCATTATGGAAGCGATTTGTCATGCTGGTGGGCCTAAAGGCGAGCCATTTGCCATGCTGAACAACTAGACCGATACGCCCCCACCTACCCTGGGGATCTGGCCGCAATGCCTTTCGGCAATACAAAGCTGATTTGTGCGCACAAATCCAGCAACAGAAGTTTCCGCTTCGATATGGGGAGGGGGGATTTTTCCTTTCGATAGGGGAGGAGAGGATCCATGCTCAGACTCAATTGCCTGGCGGTGGTTGTCTTCCTCGCGTGCGCGTTCTCGCAAGGTAAAGTAAGATGAGGCAGCTTCGATAAAAAGTTGGGTGCTATGAATCATTCGGTTCTTGTAATGTATTGCATTCCCTTGCTTCTGTTCTGGTTGATGAAATTAAAATTTCCATACGCATGTGCTCTGTTTAGCCTAGTGAAAAATTTCCGCGAAATGAATAAGGTTGGTATACTTTCATCGGAGCTCGATTTTTCGCGGGTTTGACGATTGGTGCAGTCAGCGTCGCAGTTCCGATGTACATTGCAGAAGTGTGTCCAGACGAACTTCGAGGAAAATTCGGAGTCGCGCACCAGCTGCTGATTACAATAGGTATGGTCGTATCAATCGTGGTTTCTTATTGGCACTGGATGTGCATGGATTTGCAAAAAATTTTACATCACTTCTTACAATTGATTCTTTCAGACCACCATACTTCGTGAAGATCTCTCTGTTATTTCGAAACACAAGGTATTATGGTCTCCGACGCGCTGGGTCTGGTGCAGTCCCAGGACATAGATTTCGCCATGCCGCTGATTTCCCGCTCGCAAATCACCCACGTGGACAAGTACTGGTGGCGTGTGATGCTGGGCTTTGCCTGTTTACCCTCTTTAATGAGCATCATTCTCTGGGGCTTCCTGTTGCGAAAGTACGAGTCTCCGGTGTGGCTCGTTAGGTCGGGAAAGCGGGAAGAAGCGACCACCGTGATGAAGTCTCTGATGCCAAAGGCGAGTAAAAGTTCCGTCGACCAGGCCGTGGACACGATACAGGTCTTGCAGTCGAGCTCCGGGGAAACCAAGTCGTTCTGGTGGGCGTTGCAGGTACTATGCCGATGACATTAGATATGCATCTATATTTGATGTTTTTCGTTTTGAAGACTGCAGAAAGCAACCGCGATTCGAAGTAGACGAATCTCGAACGGAAAGTAAAAACGGTTTTTTTTTTTTGCAGCACACTAACAAACTCAAATCCATCTCACACCCAGTCTCGCTACTACCGCGTCGGGGCTATAATAGGGTGCATTTTGTCCGCGTGCCAGCAGACGTCCGGAATCAATGTAATGATCACGCAGTCAACCACCGTCTTTCTTCAAGTCGCAAACTACCGCTACGCAACTTTGCTCACCACTCTAACCGGTAAAAAAATGAATGTGCCAGCAACTTGTATCTTTGACAAGAACTGCTCTATTTCTTTGTTATCGTGTCTATGTCCTGCTACTGTAGCTGTAGGCAGCTGCAGACGCAGAGGCGGCTTCTCGTAGTTGCACTCGACTCTTATTGGTCTTACGTCCTTTGCACGCGTGAAAATCCAACATTTCCAGGCGTCCTGAACGTCGTTGTTACCCTTGCGACCATACCGATGATAGAAAGGCTCGGGCGGAGAAACCTCCTGCTAATATCCGGTGTCGGTACTACTCTCAGCATGGGAACCTGTCTGCTCTCCGTCGTTTTCAAGTATTAATTGCATTTTTGATTTATGCTTGGTTAACAAGAATACGCCCGGAATTTAGTACTTCGAAGCTGATGTTTTTCCCCGTTTTGCATGGGTCGTTCCGAACAGAATAAAAGGCAAACGGTGAAACTGCGTACTAGATTTTTTGCACAGAAAATCATGAACCTCTGATATGACCATCACAGATTTTCCGTCGGCATCGTTGTTCCGGTGATGATCATGTGCTTTATCATGTCCTTCGCGGTGGGTTGGGGTCCGGTCGTGTGGATTTACCTGTCCGACATTTATCCGGCGGAGATCAAGGGCAGCTGCTTCGCCCACGCGATCATGGTCAACTGGTTTGCGTGCGCGGTAGTGGTGTTCGGCATCGGCAACTTTCTGTCCAACAACGTCGTCACCTACTCGACCTTCACCATTCTCAACATCCTCGGGTTACTGTTCATCACACGGTACGTTGTGGAGACGAAGGGGAGCAGCGTGGAGGATTCGCCAATCTACCAGGGCCGGGAAAGAGATCCGCCGGAAGTGCAGCAGCGCCCGCCGGTGTTGAATCAGGCTTGAGCATTTTTAGTTGGGAGCCTGGTTCTTGCAAGACGGGACCGCGTGAGTAAGGTAGAATTGCAAGAAAGTGAAATTTTAGAAACAATCAAAACCGAATCTCGAAATCTCAATATGGAAACAATCAAAACTAAGACTGATTATGAAGACAACTTTGAAATAAATCTAAATCTCCTGAGAGCTTTAGGAGTAAGTAAACAAACTAAGAACAGGTCACTTTTAATGTGAGTTTTTGAGACGAATTACTTCCCACTCGTTGCTGCGAAGATGCTCTTCATACTAGAAACATATTTCGATTTGTCGTGCCACACCCCTTGTTCAGCAGGACAACAAGGCTATCTTTGCAAAGCACCACGCGGAGCTATCCACGACCTGTACACGACAATTACATCCGCACGAAGATCTTCCCACGTAAATTTTTTTTGCCTGCCTACGACCATTACTTTTCTTTTTCCTGCAAGTGCTCCCATGCTAGATTAGCTCTTGCACCTGCTGCGCTCCTCCTTTTCCGGTAAGTATTTTGTTTTCCTGCACCGATGATTTTTTTCTGTTGCTGTCGTGCTAGCTTACTGAACAGGCGGAAGGGGTAGTACTCTTTCACGAGTTTTTCTTCTTTTTTGCTGCTGTTGCGATCGGGCTTGAAACTCGGAGGTTTTTCAATTCGTGATTACTATGAACACAGTTACTCTACGTACCTCGTGAATTTGCATTTTTCTCGCTGAGCGATGTGTAGAGCCTGAAACTCTGTGAATCTTGCTAGTGGCAAGGCTTATGCATTGTTTCTCGATCGGCCTGGGCTTAGGACATTCAGCTGCTCGCGTACTTTCGCACCTGAAGCCGTTCTGTTTGGTCCTGAACTACTTATCACGTGGTCGTAGAACTACGATTATTTTCCGTTTGTAGATCAGGATCCCTTTTCGAGTGCGCTAGTCGAATTTCTGGGAACAGCCGCCGTTCGTCGTGAAGGTTTTTCTAGTTCGAACCCAGTGGTGATGTGTGCCGCTCAGTATGATCGTCGTCGCGGGTATCAACAAATTTCCATGTGCAGGCAAATGTGTCAACCATGAAACGTGAACAACAAGATTTTTTCTGAAGCTCACTGTGGCTGTTTTGAAACCATGGGCGCAAAGATTTGTACGACCATAATGTTACTCACACACGTAATCAATTATGTTGTTGCAGAAATACAAAGCTCAAGCTGTTCGTCGAAAGAGAGTGTAGACGTCGTCGTCTCGTTGTGCGTGGGTTTTCGGATGTATGAGAGTTGTTGTCGGGTGGAAAAATACAAATACTGCCTACAGTACTAGACGTCGAAATCAACAGAGGGCAGCATGGAAGATGCGAGCAAGTCGTTTTGTCCTCTACCAAAACACCTTCGGATCTTTCACACCCAAGATTTCACCTGAAATTATTTTTTCCGTACTTGTCCCTCTAGTGAAGAAGTAACTTTTTTTTGGGTTATATATAATTTGCACGAGAGGCGACACTGACTTGCTCGTCTCGGGCGGAAGGAGTTTAGAGTATAGGACCTCTAGAGTGCTGCAAGTGCTGCTTTGAGAAGTAGTAGAAAAGACCACTACAGCACACAAAAATCCCCTCGTTCGTGTCCTTTTATGCGGCACCGTGCCAGAGAGGAAGAAGATCTAATGTCGTCCGGTTCCAAGAGCTCAGATTCCAGCGCCGGCGGCGGTGATCGCGCCAGCAAGTACTCACACGGCTACCAGGCGACCAGCGCAGTGCAAAGGTATCTATCAAGTGATGGGACATAATGATGTCTTGATATGGCCCTCGTACGACCACCCGTGATTCTATTCATGTTTCAAATATATACATGGCGAACTTGTTCATCTTTTTCTCAACATTCGGCATAAAAAACTCAATGCGAACTCATTGTCACAGAGCAACCTCGAGTCATCACGTGGACCACCGAAACAAGGGGAACGAGGAGCCGGACGCCAGTGTGTCGGAAGACGACCTCGGGGGCGGCAGCGGCATGAGTTTCACGAAGCAACAGAGCAACAGCGGGCACGTGTCGGACGTTCCCACGCGGCCACCTAGTAGTTTATCAAATGCAAAAATGTGTGGGTCTGCAAACTTGTGATGCTGGTTGGCGAATCCTGAGGACGCCACAAGTGACGGCTCAGCATGACAAGTTTCTGAGCTTCTAAGTGTTGCCTATTCTGCATGAAAAACTGCGTTTCTGCATCACGATGACGCCGTGAGGACGACCACAGGGGGTCTGTCTCCAAGAAGAAGAAGATCACAGAAAAACGGAGCTCTTGGGTAACGTGCATGACAGATTTAAGAGTCATGACAGACAAGCATGACAAACATGCACTCTTCCAGACCCAGACATTTCTGCATTTGATATAGTTCCTCGTCCGGCAACGTAAGTTCGGCCTCCAGCATATCCTGAGTAAAAACGTACCCACACCAGAGTTGTAATGCAGATTTGCAAAGACAGGAAGACTTGTAATGCGCATCCCCATGAGAGCCATTTCCAATCGTGTTTTGGAATTTGTGATGCTGTGAACAGGATGAGCAGCTGGATTTGTGATGCGGCTGCACTTGCTAACCTGCACTACACTGCAGAGTGCAACTTGTCATGCGTGACTCACAAAACTCCTAGGTTTGTGTTGCAAAATCCTCATCCTAACTCTGGTGTGGGTACGTTTTTACTCAGGATACAGCAGCGAGACCGCGACCGAGGATTTGTACAAGAAAAGTAGAAACAACCACCTCCGCAGGGAACTCGAGGACGACCCCGGGCTGGAAACCGTGCGGTTCGCGCAAAAAATCTGCCTGCTGCTCATCTTCATCTTTGTCGTCATGTTTAAGGTCTCGCAGATGTTCGGCTTCGCAATGACAGGGTATAATAGCCTATTTGATTTTGATATTTTGCCTTTTTGTCATGCACTTTAAGAAGAGTAGTTTGAGTTTTTATTTCATCAATTCCTGACAGACAGAATGATGCGTAGTAGTAGTTCTAGCTGTAGATGAAGCTGCTACATTTTGACGTGTTTCGTTTGTTATGTGTTTGACCCATGTTGGAGGTCATCTGAATTTCCGGGAACACGCAGTTTATATCTCAGTGAAATAGCTCGTGTAGTTGTATTCTACTGCTAAAGTGCGGTAGCGGCGTTGCGTTTGTCATGTACATGCAGTTACGGTTTGATCATGAAGAAAAGGCAAGAACAGAAGTTCAGCATGACAAGCGTACTAATGGACACACAAGTTGAGCACAGCTACACAATCTTGAATTTGTTCCCAACGATACCGGCGCCTTCCCACCCTGGATCTCCACGGCGTTTATCGGGTTCATGGTCTGCTTATGGATTGCAAATGTGTCTGGGTCTGGAAGAGTGCGAGACTTGTCATGCAGTTTTTGCCTGACCCAGATCCTCTGGCATGCAAGCCCTAGCATCACAGATTTCGAGTAGGTATCCCACTGCCTAATCCGCATGAAACGTCCACTCTTTCGGTAACAAGAAGTGGGGCCTTTTCCTGGCGACGCATGACAGATTTTCTCATGATGTAGGATTCGCATCACAAACTCGTATCCTTCCAGACCCAGACATATTTGCAATGCATACTGCTTGCTGTCCTGGGTCTTCTTCCACATCGGGCGCGAAATCCTGTCGGGGGAGGTCGACCTCAGCGCGGCGGGCCCGCCACCGGGTTCCACGGAACTGTCACAGATGAAAGTCAAGTGAAGAAGAGAATTCTGAGGGGATTTTGTATCGACTTCTAAAAGAGGCACTGGAAATTATAAACTTGATTTCTTGATACCGGAAAAATAGACTTGAAACATCAAATGCAAATTATTCGTCACACGACGTCGACCAAAGTCGTGACTGGGAATATAATTCTGGTCACGATTTCTTGTCACCCGTTTACTATGGTTTATGCAACTACGAGAACCGTTATTTATCATCACGTTTACACTTTTATAACATCGAAGATGCGTTAATCGTTTCCTAACAACAAAAATAAATGGTCTTGCGCAAGCAAGCGCACGACCACGACCCGTATCAATATGTAAAAATTGTTTCCAACTCCAACCAAAATAAGTACCACCCGCTCGTCCCCTGAAGTAGGTCTAGTGGAGATCGAGATTTGTTTTACTGTAAATGCAAAGAAGTAATGTCCTCCGACGTAATTTTTAGTACAGCTACAGCCGAGGCCGACTCTAACTATCAACTGCAACTACGTCTCCAATAGGGGGCAGCAAGTGCAGAAAGCTTGGAAGGGTTGGCAGACGACGTCCACAGGTCGAGGTTCTTGCAGGCGTGCGCGCGTACTTATATTCTTCGGGAGATACAGATATTCATCATGCACCGCCGCGCTAGTCGAAGACCAAGATGTCGGGACGAGAAAGAAGTGGGCCGAGACACTTCGTCGACAATGAAACTTTAATCTTCCACCTGTACAACCAAAAAGCGCCACTTCGCTTGGAGACAGAAGCTTCAAATGTAGAATAAAAGACTCCAATTAAATGCACGAAAATGATGAAAGCGACCAGAATCGTCAGATTTGTACCTTTCCTTACCGTCATCCTCCTTGTCCAGTGGCAGAAGTAGGAACACCGCAGGCAGCCTACGGGGGATCTGCTTCTGCTTTTGCACCGCCTCGTGATCTACTTCCGCGTAGATCTACCGTTCGTGGGCAGAGTGGAGAGTTAGTCGCGCGCCATCATCCCACACTCTCTTTCGTTTTGCGGGAAGCGTAAGCAATTGCTTTGACGCACATCGTTGTAGGATCTTCGTACAAGGAGCATCATTACAGTGTGTGAAACCATAACAAAAACTCAATATTTACCGTGAGCGAAGACAACGAACCGCGTGAGTGATGCACATTAGAAGTGCAACGTCGTACCGAATTGCTGAGGGGTCGTGAAGAACAAGGCAGATTTAAGTACTTGCTACACTTATGCCTCTGATTCGTACTGAGAACTAAATGCTTAGTCTAAACTTCTGGATTACGCAGAAAATTTTGGCTGAAATCACACTAATAGCGCGGGAAATAACAAGGGTGTTTTTTTTTCTCGTTTCTTTCGTGGACAGCGTGAGACGACCGCTGTTGCACGGGCTTCGCTTGATCAGAAATAAGTTGATGGTACAGTAGTAGCGTAAAAAAACAAGACAAGATGCTGATAAAGTATAACACGCCGATCCTCATCTCCACCTCCGGTGGGAAGGGGGGAAAAAAGGAGGTGCCGACCATGTCACAGACAGAGGACATTCTCAATTCGATCCTGCCACCAAGAGAATGGATTCAAGATGACCAACTTTGGGTACATAGTTAGATTACTTACTATGTAGGGTAATGATGAGTCGCAGCTGTTTGTTTGTCATTCAGTACCCTATTGCGGCGCATTCGTTCTGTTATATGGACAATTACAGTGATGCGAGAGGCGTGCGAGAAAGGGAAAGCAAAGCAGAAGTACTTGCAGGGACGACGACACAATGGTTGAAAATACAGAAAAATCTCATTTCTTCAGGTACAATACGTAGCGTCAATTCCGGCTACGCGAGCAGACGTGGTGAACCTGCAGAAGAACCTCGACAAGGCACTGCAGAGCCGACAGGCAAGGGAAACAGGGATCTGCCCCATCCGAGAGGAGCTCTACGCACAGACATTCGACGAACTCATCCGACAATGCACCATCATCTGTGCCGAGCGAGGTAAATAGTTACGGGATTTTCTGACACTCAATGTGTTGAAAATTGATCATTGCAGTGTCTGGTGGCAGAATCTTCGATCACTGTAGAAGTGTTTGTTGTGTTGTAGGGTCAGCATCACCGGTCGCCGGTGTGAAAATCGATGAGCATGATTTGTATGCCACACACCTTTGTCCTAAATCGACCAGGTCTGCTCCTTCTGCGAGTGCGGGACGAGATTAGAATGACGATCTGCGCGTACCAAACCCTCTACGAGTCGTCCATTGCGTTCGGCATGCGAAAGGCGCTGATGGCCGAGCAGAGGAGGAACAGCCAGAACAAAAAGCTGAAGGCCTTGACCAACAGTTGTGCAGAGTTGGAGCAGGACGTATTTGATAGTTTTTTTGCAGCGCATCATGTTCCTGATCATCATTCAAGTTCTAGACGTGTTGATGGTCGTCCTCCTTCTCGTGTACTATACAAAGGCATGATGATAAGCAGGTTTAGGATGGATCGAAAAACAAAAAACAATGATCTGTAAAATGTATCAATTTCAGGTGGTCGATTTGAAGCAGCAGATTCTGAACATTGAATCCAGAGAGAAGACGCGGCGGGAAACCGAGTCGGCCAAGCACGCAGAGGAGACGGATGGTCTGCGCCGGCAGAATGCCGCCTGGAAGGAGCAGCTGGAGTCGCTGCTGAGTGCACCGAGGAAGTGAGTGTCCTCGCCGGGGAAGAACGAGGAAAAGTGGGTGAAATTCGAAAAATTTCGAGAACAGCAGCAGCTTCCAACAGTAACAGTTACAGTTTAACAAGAAAAATCAGCAGGAGTGCAAGAGAAGAAAGTAGTCGAGGGTAGTAGCTTCTCGATACAAGAAAAAACCTTATTTGACGTTATCAGACTTCTATACCGACACCGAGACTAAAACCTTATCCAATTTAACAGTTTAACAGCTTAGAAACCTTAAATCGTTTGTGCTTAATCGTTATACGTGAGAACACCGCCCGGAAGATGTGAATTGTCTATACCAGAAAGTGTTGTAGTTAGAACTACAGGTGGAGTAGTTTTATGCCAAGAACTTAAAACGAAATTTTAGCGACAAGAATACTGGAAGATAGCGGTACTAGGATACTATCAAATGTAAAAATGTCTGGGTCTGGAAACTTGTGATGCCGTGCGGCATATCATGAGTTGCTGGCTCAGCATGACAAGTTTCTGAGCTTCTAGGTGTTGCCTATTCTGCATGACAAACTACGTTTCTGCATGACAGAAAAGTGGGGCTCTTTTGTAATGTGCATGACAGATTTAAGAGTCATGCCAGACAAGCATGACAAACTTGCATTCTTCCAGACCCAGACATTTTTACATTTCATGATACGAAAACCCGGTACGACGAGGTGTACCGTCTGTCGAGATCCAGTACGCGGAACAGTCGGGGGCTGCGGGCGCGGGCACAGAAGGTAGAACAAGCATGGTCGGTTCTCGGGGCTTCTTCCCTCTTGAAAAAAACCGATCTTGCTTCTTGTTCTGCTGAGAAGGTAATAAGACCACCAAATTGTATAAATGCTATAGTAGGTGGACCGCCGCGACTCAGTCCTCGATGAGGAAGAACTTTATGGCAGCAGCAGGAAGAACTGATAATTATCCTCAATATCCTTGAGCTTGTTTGCCATTTGAAACTTCTTTCAGGGTGGTCGCGCGATTTATTTTGGCACTACCGGAGCAACATCGCTGAAGTGCAGGCTCAGGTTCAGTAGTTGCGCCACCGTTATTTGTTTATGCGTTCTCATTCGTTGTCTCCGTGAGCGTACTAGAAGGACGCATTATACATGTGCCAGTCTAGTGGGTCGTGCTCGTACAAGATGACAGAAACGTCCTACATCGTACACTAAGAACTTGTCCCGAGAGAGACGCACTCTTCGTACACCAGAAGCGTTGATGAAAAATTGAGTGACGTACAAATAAAGCGGGAGTGTGCTTACTCATGATGTCCTTGCGTATTTTTAGGGGTCGTACAACATCACATCTTCGTCCTTGAACTCTCGTTCGTCCACCTTAGCTCCTGCGCATCACCGCAGACACGTTTCACTACTCTTCAAGAGACAAATGAAGACATCAAGCTCCAAAAACAATATATTTTCATCAAAATCAACCCACAGTAGCAGCAACACACACGACTCTTTCTTCTCGGAAGAAAAGAAACTCGTTTCCTCAGCTAAAGGACTGAAGCTCAGTAAACTCAAAAAGGAGTCATTTTGTGAATTTATCAAATTCGCAAAAAAAAACCCAAAAAATGTTGGACTTGATGACCTTGGGCTTGAGCATCGGCGCTCAGGAGGAGCTGCAGAAGGCTCGCCAGGACACCGGAGCGGTGTGCCACCAGCAGGAGGAGGCTGCTCCGTCTGACGCGGAATCCACCTCGACTATGATGGAGGCCTGCGCGGAAGCGCTCGGTATTATGTCAACGATTTTTGTCTGTGATGCAGCTCGTGTGCAAAAAGCTATGCTGTTTGGTGATGGTGAGTTTGTATCATAGATTTTCCTGATGCGTGGAACGATAGGGTGTTGCGATTTCTGTTGCGAAACTCCCATATATAAGTACAAAAAAAAAACAGAATCCGTCTTGAACACTGTGGAAAACGCTGCGTCTTCCGTCGTGTCCGCCATGACCCCGTCTTCCGAAATGGTCGAGTCGGTATTATTATTTTTTTTACGCAGTATGCTTTCGTGCATTAGAAAATTAACTTGTAATGCTTTGACATGCATCACAATATTGTTTTTCGCTCTGCGTTGCTTCGATATGCATGACAAACACACAGGTTATGGACAACTGCACCATCGAGGCGCCGACGGTCGACTTGTCCCTGCCCACCAAGGCGGTGCTCAAGAAGTAAGTGGGTGGTTTGTCATCGTCGGTCTTCTGCATGTTCGTCATGCAAGGCACGCATTTTGATTTGAGTTTTTTATGTTTCGTCAGTTAGAAGTTGTACAAGGAAAATGTCTGTTGCTAATGAATCCGAGTACCAAAAAAATTCAATCCTTGAAAGATTCTACCCTCATCTTAGACAGTACGATACCTAGAAAATTATCTTGTGTCACTCTGGTGTTGCAAAGTTCCTTCCGCTTTACACTCACCTTTAGCCGCATTCTTTATTCTTATTCGAACAGATCACCAACTAAATTATCTTGTAGCCAAAGAAGCTGAGTAACTTCTATTTGAGAAAGACCCCCAGCACTGTTATGTATGAATGAGCCCAGTTAGGTAGTTGAGTCGACTTTGAATTGCCCTATTTTCCGAAATGAATACGTCTAGAAATTACACACAAACATACGTAACTACGACAAAGCAAAAATCCGTTCAGTACTACCTAAAAAAGTCTTCGCACCTCGTTGCGGGAGTGCGGAGGCTGTGCGGCCCTGCGAACCGATCGGATTTGTGAAAAGTTTCATCCAGGAAATAAAGCAACTGTACATTATTCTGCTACCGTAGTTCTGGTTTTCGGGCTTTGGACTGCGGAAGCGGAGCCGTTTCGAGCTGTTGTTTGCAAATGAACTTAGAAACAATTTAGCGTTATCACGCACGTATTTACTCGTTTTCGTACTACCCAAGAACCCAGATTGATTTCTGCAATTCAAGTTCGAGTCTTCCGCCCATCTTCGTTCCTAGAACCCGGAACTGGAAGTTTGATAACCCGCTGAAGCGAACGAAGAGCTGGCTCATTGTTTCCTTGAAAAAAAAACAAAAACACCAAGCAGGTACTGCTGAGCAGTCATGGCCACAGCCACTAACAGGCACGGAAAATCTTGCAGACTCGTTGTTCTCGTTGTCGATGACCGGTATTCGTGACCTCCTATGTCTTAATTGTCATCTCATGATCGTTTTAGACGAGGGTCCGCAGGTAGTTCCCACATAGAAATCGAAGCAGAGCGAAGGAGCGTCGTGTCTCTAAGTACTATAGTCGCGACGTGAATTTTCTGGTGGACTTCGCTTGAGATGAGAAACGATTATTGACCACACTTCGCGTAATTTTCTTTCGTGCAGCTGCCACCGACTTTATTCTCAATCAGTGCAGGACATCCTCCTCGGCGGAGTTATTGAGTTTACTCAAGTTTGATCGAACAAATCAACAACATGCGTATTTTCTTTCTCCACCCGGGGCAGACGGTTCCGGACGATGCCACGAATCCTCTGACCGACCTCGGACGGGAGGAGATCGCGCGCGTGATCGGGCATTTGTGTGACGTGGACTACTACAAAAAATGCAGCAATTTTACTTCGAACACCTCCCCGACGACCAGCAGTCCGCAGGAACAGTACAAATTAACTGCAGCGGCAAATTTCTACGCCCCGCCGGGCGACGAGACGCACGTTCTGGTGATTTACCACGGGCCAGGGATTGCTAGTCGAGAAACCGCCGAAGCCGTGCAGGAGCGGTGCTTGCGGGAGGGCAGTTTCGCGGACGCGGTCTGCCTGCAACTTCTCGACGCAGATCCGGGAACTGAGGCAGCAGCGCTGACCGCCGCGCAAAAGGACTGGTGGGCGGATCTGCTACGGACCAAACCCGCGAAGGAGCGGAAACCGCGGTCGGATGATGCGCTAGCTTCTCCGGGCGGATCACCGATTCGGATGCTGTCGAAATCGACCCCCGTGCCGACGGCAGTCGGACCCCTCGTCGAGATGAAGGGAGAAGGCGGAGTGCAGTCGCCCAGCATGAGTGCGCAGGTGTCGGTAAAAAGCAAATCTGGTGCAGCTGCATCGGCGTCGAAAAAATCTGCCTCCGAGAAGAGCAAAGCTGGCGGAGGCGGGGAAATCGCAGAGCAGCCAGCCGAAGGTGTAGAAACTGCTGCTCAAGCTGACGAGAAGAAAGAAGGAGCGGATGATGTTGAAGTAGCTCCGGGAGAGGACGACGATGGAGCAAAAGACAAAGAACAAGCGAAAGAAGAAGCCGGAGGCACAGCTGATGCTGCGAATGCGGAACAAGAACCAGAAGCTGCAGCAGAAAAGCCGGAGGCCGCGGAGGGTGATGAGGCGGCTTCGAAGAAATCCGCAAGAACGAATCAGTCGCAAAATAAATCTGCCGCCGGGGGAAGTAGTGCGAAACAAGCCGCGAGTGCCCCTGACCAGTCGAACACCAAAGCCGCGCCGCCAAGTACTAGTGCGAAAAATAAAGCGAGCACCAGTCCCGCGTCGAAAAAAGAAGACGGAGTTTCCTCCCACGCGGATCCCCCGGTCGCCAGTAACGCCGCCACCAGCGTGCTTTCTGCCACGGACCTGATGAATCTGCAAACGAATTTTCCGCCCAAGTCGCCCTCCCGTCGGCCGAAGGTGGATCCGGAAATTCTTTCGCGGATCGGCAGCGCAAAGTTTTCGGTGCTGTTCGTGGTCGAAGAACCGGTCTTGCGGCGCATGGTGGCGGACCTGATTCACCACTCCAAGTCCGAGGAGATTCCCACCGACTTCGGCGGGGACCCGCGCGTGCTGCTGCAGTTCTTGAAGCTGCGACCGGCCACGTTGCTCGGCCTGGAAACACCGTCCTACCAGGAGCAGGAGCTGCCGAAGTGGGTGCTGCTTGGAGAAAAGTCGCTGCTGGAGTTTCACTGGGAAATCAGTTTCTTGTTGACACCCGATTTGGTGTACTGAATCTGGGAAAAAGTTTCAAGGTACTTGAGTACAGACAAGCATCGGTGTAGATTGGGTGGGGTGAAGTATTGAATACAGTATTGAATGATACCGGTGCGGGATGTTTATTAAGCTTGTGTTTCTGTGCGAGTTAGGAATGTTTACTAGGGTAGAAATATGACGAAGAATGTCGATGATCCGATTGCAAAACGGAAAAATCCTTTCACCAATGTAAATTTCCCGAACAAAACAGAGAAAAAAATTGAGCATACGCTCGTGATTGACGGCGAAGGGTCTACCTTTTGCAGCCCTCATGCAAAGATGCATTTTTTGGCGCCCTTCACCATGATACCGTCGAAAGTGAGCTTTTTATGAGTTCAATAAAGCAGAATTCTACGGGGGTTTCTTTGTCGTAATTGAAGAAAACAAAAAGATCACCACCGAGGATGAGAACAACCGTCGAGAAACAGTTCGTGGAGCGATATACTTGATTCGTTCACAAACAGCTTTAACTTGCGTCACAAACAGCTTCACTTGGTCCTGGTTATGGTTATGGTGCGTTTACTTTCTATAGAGAAATATGCGAAAGCGTGTCATTGGTTTGATTTTCATTGTGGAGAAATGTTTCAGAGCAGCTACGGAAGAGATTACTACTATCGTGGCTGCGCGTTCATGCACTAAGTAACTAGGTTTTACATTGATCAACCGTGCTGGAGTCAAAATGCAGGACCAGCGGCGGTTTATCAGCGCTTCCACGGCCAAAATTTTGGTGGGTGGGTGCGGTGCGTCGCTGATGGCCTTTCAGCTCCTGGGCGTCATGGTGCTTGTCAACACGTTTCTCTATGTCGACTCGCAGGAATTGCAGACTGCGGTAAAAATGTGGATAGGATTTACACATGTTGTGATTTTTGCATTCATATAAGTACATGCATCGTCAGCGTCAATGCATCTTAGAATTATACCACCGATGTCACTCAGAATGAGAATTAAGTACGACCGTCACCTCAACACATGGAAGAAGTGCTTCATACTCGCATCAAAGGTTGACTACATGGAGGCAAATGGAAATATATGATGCCGCCCAACAAGGGCACACAGCAGCCCGATCCACGCGGAATGGGGCCACTCCGCAGCCTAGATAAATTGTCGCGTTCAGAAACTTAACTGCTTGCCAGCGTTTACTGACCTTCTTAATAACCGATGACTGCTACGGGAAAGATGCGATATGAAGATCATATTTACGCGAAACATTTCGCAGGTAGACGCGATGATTGCAAGCGGTGGGCCATCAGGAAAGTAGTAGGAAAAGGCGATGATTAAGTACGCTTACGCGGCGATGAAGTTTAGGATTACGCTTACGAATATGCTGGGTGTTGAAGCTCTTTGCGTATAATAATGTGTGCTGAAACTACTTTCAAGGAGCAAATTTTACCCCGATAGTTGTATCGGGTGCTGAACCAGTACCAGGAAGCCGGCTTTTGTTGAAGAGTGGCCTTTCCGCGATTTTCCATCCCATGTTTTTCGGCAGAAGAGAAGTTATAGTCACGAGAGGCTGGGTCGCGTTTTTGTTATGCACAGAAAGAGAAAATAACTGAAAGGGACAAGAAATTCGATTGGGACAGCACGGGCATAAAGCTCGTTGTTCTTTCGATCGCTCTTTTGACAATGTTGATTTCGATTGAATTGGATCTGTGCTGCTGGGTTAGAAGACTTGTTTTCTGCGATGACCTGACTGGGAGATACCAGATTTGGACGATCTGAGACCCTGTTTCGTGCAGAGTGAAGCGGACAAACGACTGCTTACATTACAGGAGGACAACGAACGAAAACTGAGAACAGAGGGGAAGAGCCATTCAAGGAGCGATTTTCCTTCGGCCTTCGCAGTAGACTTCTATATCGTGTGAAGAAAGTGCTGCGCCCGCTAAATTAAGTAAGTTTCTTTCTCACAGAGAATCTTTGTGCTCAACAAGGTGCCCCCGCAGGGCCACTCATTATGCTACCCTGTTGTTCTCGACTTAGGTCGCGGCCATAGTTCTTACAAGGAGAGAGATATATATATATAAGGAGCTTCATCATGCTGAGGATTCTCTTATTCCTGGTCTTGGCCTCGGCCAGTTTTTTGGCGGATGGGAAAATCGTGAAGGTGGACTCGTCTTCGTCTGCCATGACGGAAGCCGCGATCGGTACCGAAGAAGGTGGCAAGCAGCATATCAAAAGCAAAAATCCCCCCTCCCCATATCGAAAAGGTATGTTTCCGAAAATTTGTGTTGCTGATTTGAGGTCGCAATGCACATTTGTACTGCAAGAAGACAAGGGCAGAAGCTTCCGCCCCACTATGGAGGCGATCTGTCATGCTGTTGCCCCTAAAAGTGACCCGTTTGCCATGCTGAACAACTAGACCCATACGCCCCTACCTAGCCTGGGGATTTGGCCGCAGTGCCTCTCTGCAATACAAACCTGATTTGTGTACACAAATCCAGCATCTGAAATTCCGTTTTGATATGGGGAGGGGGGATTTTTCCTTTCGATACAGCAGAAGGCCCGGGTGGTGGTTGATCACCAGGCTGAGCATGCGGACGAAGACGCAGCTGCAACCGAGGATGAAAAAGTGAGTGAAGAAGGAGCGGAAAACAAGAAGGAAGAAGGAACGGAACGACCGCCGACGAGAGCAAAACCAAAACGACGAACGACGCGGATGACAGCATGCAATACAACTTGAAAAAGCACTTCGACTACGCGCAGGACAAGGTGAGTGAGCATGTGACGGACATGGTCCGCCCGATCGAGAACGCCACCATTACCATCGAGGGAGCCAACGGAACGACGACGACCTTGCGTGCCGGTGATATCCCCGTCTGGGGTTGGCTTTCGCTCGGGGGCGGGTTTTTCTGCCTCGTCTTGTGTGTCTGCGGCTGCATCTTCTCGTACTTGAAGGGGTAAGTGAGTGCGGTTCATCGGGAGCACGATAAATACGCCGGAAAAAAGGCGTGACAAGTTCTTTCCGGAATAGTTAGTGACGACTTTCGCGGTGGTACTCTCGAAAGAACGACTAGCTGCACTTTTTGTCGGTTGTCCTTCGCTACGCAGGGAATTCTTGGTCGCAGAAGCTAAGGTAAGCCGGCACTCCCGGCCGAGAAATTGAGCTATGGTAACGAAGTACAACTTGCGATGAAATTACAACACAAAAGATCGTCCACACAGAAGCGAGGCCTTGAATTACATCCCAAGAAAAGTTGTGAGGCACCAGCGTCCTGAATCAAAAAACATAGAAGGTTGATAGATACTTGCGATTCTCCGCAAAAGGGGAGAGAAAATCCTGACAGCACGATGACGATGATCTAAAAATCAGAAGTGAAATGTAAGAATCACGATCCTCGCACAGTGTTCATACAACAAGAAAAATAAACCGGCATTATTTGAATCACATCTACTAAATTTTCGATCGACGAGGGTGGACACATGACGACGAGAAAAAAAATCAGATCGTTGAAAATTCGTATTTTTGCTCATTTTGATTTTCGAAATGAACCGAATACGTCGAACTCGAAGGCATATAGCAAGCGGGAGATGATGAATTCGATTTTTTTCATTTTCTCTGTGGTATTTTACAAAATGAAAATTTTCACCTACTTATCCAAATACAGCGACCGATAGTGAGGTGGTAGGATTTTTTTCTCAGAACTGCAACAAAAACCTCGCCCCCTTAGTTTATGTCCAGCCCTGACGAGGATAATATCGATATCCTCAGCACAATCTTGAAAGAACCCGAAGTAGAACAGAATCGAAATAAGCATTCCCCCGTCTCCTCCTCTTTTCTCCTCCCCCCGGAGCAAAAAGTGATGTCGGCGCAGCGGAGCAAGTACGACATCAACTTCCTGCAAGTTGCGGATGGCAAGCCCTTCCAGCTGTCCGACTTTTCCGATCGACCATTAGTCGTGCACTTCTACACGATATGCATTGCAAATATGTCTGGGTCTGGAAGGATGCGAACTTGTGATGCGCATTTCACAACACAGACAAATCTCTCATGCATAGGCAGCAAAAGGCGCCCATTTCCTGTCACCAAAATGGGGGATTTGTCATGCGGATTAAGCAACGCGGAAGCTTCTCGAAATCTGTGATGCTAGGGCTTCCATGACAGACATTTTGTGTCGTGCAGGAACAGCATGACAAAAATCTGCATTCTTCCAGACCCAGACATTTTTGCATTTGATACACGAGCTGAGGCGGGTGTTGGCCCTGCGCCAAACAGATGGAGCGGTGGGCGTCCAGCGACAAGTACTTCTATCGTAAGGAAAAATCCCCCCTCCCCATATTGAAAGCGTATCCGTCTGAAAATTTGTGATGTGCATTTGTGACCTCAAATCCTGTCTGTCTTGCAAGAAGGCAAGTCCAGAGAGCGCCCCGCATTTTGCAGGCGGTTTGTGATGCTGTTGGGCTTAGAGCATACACGTTTGCCATGCTAGGCACCTACGTCAAAACCTCTCGACTGAGGCTTGACATATGCCTGCAGTCCTCTACTGCAAGACAAATGTGATTTGTGTATGGAAATCCAGCATCAGAAACGTCGTTTCGATATGGGGAGGGGGCATTTTTCATTTTGATAACTTTCAGACCGCGTACTTTGTCTGCGTGTGCGTCCAGTATGACCGCCGCCACCCGCACGGGTTGCCCATGCAGATGGGTGCTGAAACACGGTTCCAACATGCGATCAACGGGTATTGCAACGCGGAATCGGCCCTGCCCCGGTACGGCCAGCTCGGCTGCCAGGGCTTCGTCATGTTTGACCGGAATTTAGAAATGAAGCACGCGGAGACCAGCAGCTTCCTGCAGGTGAAGCAGTTGGCTTTTGAAAACGTGGAGCAGCTGCTGGACAGCATGATCCAGCGGGACGCAATTCCACCTTTCTTGTGTCCGGGCGAGATGTGCGTGATCCAAAAATTAGAGAACCGCAAGGACCTGAATGGCCGCAACGTGATCTGCTTACAAAGCGCCGACGACAACACCTACGTCGTGACCCCCGGCGGGGGAAAGCAGCTGCGGCTGAAGGCGGAAAATTTACGGAACGTCACGAGAACGACGGTGCAGCCTTCTTGCGCGATGAATAGTTCTAACGGTGTGAAAGAGTGCAACGGCTGCGACGACGGTTCAAGGACATCTCGTGGGCAGGAAGGCGAAGTGCCGTCCTGCACGCCGTCTGCACCAAAGCCCGCCGCACAGACCGGCGCGGTGCCGTCCTGTATAGACGGAGCCTGTCCGAAACCACCGGTGAGTAGTAGTCAACAGCAAAATGCTGGTGCTCCAGTCGTTTCCGCCCACGCCGGATACCCGACCCAGGACAAATCCGCTATTGAGGCGGAGCAAGCGTGGGCGCGGTGCAAGAACCTGCTGAACACGCAGGAAAAACACCATCTAGGCATCGAGGAGATGGACGAACAGCATGAGCAGTGCTTCGGCACTTTGAAACAATTAGTGAAGAAGAAGACCGCGGACGCGCTTCTAGCAGTGGAGCAATCCTTCCGGGCCCACTTCGAGGATGAGGAGGCGACGTGGAAGAAATACGGCTTCGGGAACGGCAAGGAAAAGTTTTCCGCGACGAAATCGCACATTGAGGAGCACGAACGCGTGTTGTTGGAACTGGTGAATTACTACAAGATTTTAAAAACAGAAGAAGGAACTGGGACGGCGGGCATTACCACCGTCGCCGCGTGCTTTACCGAGCAGTTGTTAAAGGAGTTTTTTTCGCACATCGAAGACTACGACTCCAAGTACGAGCAGGCGATCAAGGAGGCGATGGTATGGAGAGAAAAAAGTTTGTCACAGTCACTATCTTGCAGGTTTTGCATATACAAATTTTTTGAGCATCACAGCTTTTCTTTGTATTGCAGAAACAGTAGGGAAATCCCTTATGAAGTTTGGCTGTGATGCATTTTTACGCATGACAGAAAATTTTGTATTGCAAAATAAATGCGCATGAGTGATCGTGACGAACATTTTTTGTTTGATAGATGGCGGACGAGAAGTACTGCTGCACCGAGGCCAGCGCCTAGGGCACAGTGGTGGAAACTACAGTGGTCGAGTCTTTCTCATTACTTTACTCACCGGTGATGAAGATGCCGTTCTTGTGCAGCTGCCCGTGGTTGTCGCGATCAACACCCGAAGGAGCAGATGAACTGATTCTAACTCTTCACACGACGAGATGGACAACAAGAATGCCGCCATCTATCCCGGTCCTCAGCTCTATCCCGGTGGGAACAGATCCTCAGCGACTGTCCCGAGCAGCTCAGTGATGAGAATGTGTCCAGGCGGATTAGGTTGGCCTGCCAGGATATCCCACGAAAAAACTGTTTCACTGTAATGATTTTGCAAGTTTTGCATTACAAGTTTGTTCTGCATTACAGAGAAAATTTGCCATGCGAGATTCCTAAGGGAAAACAAAGCTAAAAAGCCATTGTCTTGCATGTGTAGCAAGACAAACACTTGTGAAAAACATTTTCTGCATTACAAGTTTACAGTGAAACAGTTTTTTCTGGCGATACAGGAGTTCAAAGTGCGTCTGACCGGAATGAATATCCCGCAATGCCCGGGCCTGTCCTACCGCGCAACCAGTCATGTTATGAGAATATGAACTGCAAAAGTATCGTACTCGTATAAATGCATGACAAATTCCCTCAGCATGAGAAATAAAATTTGTAATGCAGATTTGGCTTGGAAACAAGATTGTAATGCAAGACTTGCGTTAGCATTTGTACGAGTACGATACTTTTGCACAGGATAGAGAATTGATATAAACAACTTCAAACTCGTCCCGCTCTGCGCTGCCCAAGGGTCGTGGTGGCTTTATTGATGTATAGTAAGTAGTTGTTCATCAGCAGCGCCGAAAGCTGGAACTTCTGCTTGGAAGGCTTGTTTCTGTGTCGATAGCGCTGCGTATGTGTATGATCAACGTTCTTCGCGGCCAGCGCTGCAAATATGGGCAGAGTCCTCATAAACAACTTGCTTTCTCACTGTCGTCCAGTCGAGTTGTTCTTGAAAAGAAATGAATGCAGGATGGAGCAGCTGGAAGCACATGCATTAAAATTGTCTGGGATATGGGGACGAAGTTGGGCTTTCTCATGTACTTCTACAATGGAGAAACAAGTTGAGAACACCGACTTCTATGCGAACTACCACGGGCACACCGTGAGCGATCTCAATTAAGGCTCAAAAAAATCCATCCGCTCAACGGCTCTCAAAATGTTTTGAGATTTTTTGAACCTTTTTGCGGGCCTTCATTTGTGATCATGCGCCTTTCGGGGCGGAAAAGGAGCTGGGAGCGTTTTATCATCGTTTCCCGCTCTTTCGCAAGACTCTGTGACTTGCAGAGCTTGCAAGTTTCTTTCAAACTTCAGCTGAAGTTCAAATTTGGCTTGAAGCTTTAAGTCAAATTTGAACTTCAAGTGAAGTTTGGAAGAACTGAACTAGTCCCACAAGTGGGTCCAACAAACAAATTTCCCAATAGGATTTGGCGTTTTCCGGACTTCTGTCGGACACCGCTGAAGGAGTAGAGCAAACAAATTTTGAGCAAAAAATTGAATACCTGCAAATGTATGCGAAACGGCGAAAGGTAGAAAAAGGCTGTCAAAATGGTCGCAGCTCGTGTTTTTTGATGCTCGACGGGGGGCGCTTTACAACCTACAGCCACAGCATCGGCGACGGCTTGCGAAGTGAAGCAGTGATGGGAGTACGGTCTCGCCAACCGCATTGCAACAGCTCGCGCACACAGATCGCGCAGAGTGCTCGGCCTTGCTCCTCGAATGCGAAGCGGGGCCCTATCGACTTTTCACCCCTTGCAAGAATTACTTCAGCAAACATTTTGGGAGCCGGGCTCCGAATGGATTTTTTTCACCCCTAACTCAAGCAGCTTGTGCGAAATCTGCGCAGCGCGGGGAGGCGCCGCTTCATCTAACTTCGGTGAAAGCCGTGCAAGAAGTCCACCCGTGGTGAATGGAGAAGCTGCAGCTGCATGGGAAGCGCTTGCGACCTTTCTCCAGATCCAGAACTGCTTGCTGTGGATTCGGCACCCCTCAAAAATATGGAAGTGTCACTTTCGGAATTGCTTGATTCTAACTCTTCACACGACGAGATGGACAACAAGAATGCCGCCGCGAGTGGTTTTTTGCAACAAGTATCGATCTCTGAGTGGTTTACTGATATTATTCCTGAACGACCTGATCGTGATCATTGCTACAGAAGTTGAGCAGGCTGTCCTCTTTAGCTGCGTCCTCCCGGTGCTACTAGCTCTACTGCGTGAAGGGGGTCGTGGCGGTGGCGGACGGTGTCCCAGAGCAGTGATCTTCGTATTATGATCTTCCAACGACGACAAGACAAGTGAAAATCATTCTGGTGACAGGAGGACTCTGCAAGCCAGGTTCGTCTCCCTGGAACAAATGAACTACACAGAACGACCCCAAACCCTCGAAGATTATCCAGCCGTCCCAGTACAGACTTCTTCTGTAGAACAAGTTCTTGCAGATCATTCTGACGTAGGAGTTAAAGCCGGTCAAGAAGTGCAGACGCAGTTTGTCAATCAGTCGCGTGCTGTGTCGGAGAAGAAGAAGAAGAGGACTTACTACATTTTTCCTGAAGATTTTTCACAAGAACAATTCTTTTATGTGACGAGGATCCGGTCGATGTGGGGAATAAGACAGCTAGGCAACTACGAGCTGCGGAGCGTTGCTTTTTGTCTTTCCTCTCTACGCGACTACAGATGCTCTGATTTTTTCGATTTTATTCTACTGTTAGGTGTAGTTGTCTTCTTCATCAGGAAGAACTACAAGTCAAGTTCTTTTTCTGGCTCAGCCGAAGGATTGATGGCACTAGCTACTGGCACTCTTGGAATGGTGGACGAGATGGATCTTCTTCTACAACTTCTTGAAAGGTTGCTGGATTTTTCCTGCAGCAGCAGAAGCCTGTCACCAAGCTCGAATGAAGATCATGCCTCCAAAGCGGAGTGGAGGTCAGGCACTGACATTGTGGTTGTGCCATGGCTCTAGTATACTTCAGATAAGTAAGTGCTTCTCCTGTTCCGGTTCATACTCAGTGCTTACGCGCCTGCTTCGTTTGTCAAGCATTCGGCTCAACATCACGTACTGAGACTGGCGTATGTGATTCATGTAGGGCAAGAACCAAAACCAATGCAGGAGTGATTGGATCGAACTACCCTTCTTGATTTTACTCGAAGATCTATAACGCTCAAGATTCACGGCGATCTTACTTCTCGTTCTTCTCCGATCTGAAAGAGTGCGCGTTAAGTAGTGTGAGCTTGTTCCTTGTTCTTCAACTAGCATGTACCTGCGTAGCGGTCGAAAGTAAAAAAAGAAGCAGTGCTGCAGCGCTCTGACAATTCGTTTTTTGTATGAATCAGTACTCACATTTTTTTTTTCGCAAGAAATATTAGTCCCTCTCGGCATCCCCGGGTCCGTTTTTCTTCTCTACGTACTTGTTCACTTTCGCATCTAGTTTTATCGTCCCTCGTTTGATGCTGTGAACCCTGTGCTGTCTGTCTTCTATCCGTCATCTAAGCTACACCGAATTTTGATCGACATACAACAAATTTCTCGGCAACATGTACCCTGCCTCGCCACTGTGGATCCGCAACTTGGCGGGTAAAACCGTTGCGATGACGCTGGATACCTCCAAGTACAAAGTCATCAAAGACCTGTCCTGTTGGGATGTGGTGAGGACGAGTTTCTACGAAGACAAACTTCTCCCTCCCGTCCACCGCATCAAGTGGTACAAGCATTACGAGGGAGATGGAACTGCAGCAGCCGACGAGGGGGAAGTAACGTCGGACAACGGCGATTATATGCAGGAAGATGATGAAAACACGCCGGGTATATGGAAGGAATTGAAGGTGGAAGTTGAAGGAAAAAGAAGTCGGGTTAGTTGTTTATCGAAGGTCGGGTAGTTGTGTATTGAAGGTTCCTCCTCATCGGTATTGAAGTTTCTCCCTTTAAAAGAAGTTGTTTCTCGGCTTGAAGTATGCGATGTTTCGGTTTGAACTATTAACATTTCGGATCGAAATACTTATAAAGAAAAACGGAAATGCAAAAATCGCAGCTCGAAAAATTACAACTTTCAAATGCAAAAGTCACAAGTTCGGATCAAAAGTCATTTTTTGCGAAGAGCTGTTTTCTTGATTTCAAAGGGTCGTTTATGGTCTACTTTTCTAAGTTGTCCATTCATAAAGTGGTGATGTTTTTTGGTTTTAAGGCGGCCGAATATGGAAACTTCGAAGATCAACAGAGAAGCTTCATAATTGGCAGACGGACGTGAACGTGTTTGTGTTGATTTTCCCTGGTCGTAACGACGTTTCAGACTTGCGGAAGTCCAAGTCGGTGCTCTCAGAAATAGAGCTTGTCGGTAGTTGTACCAGTGGGGGAAGAGGAAATGTCTTGAGTTTCCGACTTCTGGTATCGGAATTCAGTCGGTCTCGGTACGACAGTGAAGCCCACGTGAATCAACCACAGAATAAGACACCGAGTCACTTCGTCCTGCTGATCCGCTTCATCCGCAGGAGGAGAATGTGGAAGATGATCGAAACAAACTTTAGTACAGACAAGAAAATGTTCTTGTTCATCAAACCGGTACTATCTTCGTTGTAAGGTGACGGGGAGCAGGCATTTTCACCGCTGATCATCGCAGGGAGCGCAACAAGTAAATATCTACCACCTCGGACAGTTCATTCAAGAGCATATATCTCCTTTATTTGTCCCGGCGGTGCGCCTTGCAAGAAGTACTCTGAACGAGAGACGTAGTTGGGAAAAATATAATATTTTGAAACTAGCTACTACGTCGAAACAAAAATGGAGAAACAAGTTGAGAACACCGACTTCTATGCGAACTACCACGGGCACACCGTGAACGATCATATTATATGGAGACAACGGCGATTATATGGAGGACAACGGCGATTATATGGAGGAAGATGAAAACACGCCGCAGCACACGATCAGGAGTGGTTAGCATCCGGCCACCTCGTACTTCGAAAAAACTTCAAAAAGACTTCAAAGATGAGTTCAGTGCGAGTTCAATACGAACGCCGACAAAATCCTATATTTACCATAAAGTCATTTGACCTGTTGCAAAATCGAAGAGAGCCAGCGTCTCTGTCGAAAGTCAGCTGACTTTGCGTGGAGTTTGCAATAACTCAAATGACTTTTTGCGGAATTTGCACCAAAAAAAGTCAATTGACTTTGTGCTAATTTCATGAAAAGTCAAATGCCTTTTCCTGAATTCGGCTCATTTCAAAGACAGGCAGCAAAAGTTTGAAGAATGTGCCCAATTTTTTTGCAGAAGTCAGTTGACTTTTCTGGAAATTAGCATAAAGTCAATTGACTTTTTTTGATGCAAATTCCGCACAAAGTCATTTGACCTTACCTGGAAGTTGTCAGAAGTCAAGTGACCTGCGCCCTTTTTGAAGTCAACGGATTTGGGCAAATTATTGAACTCGGATTGAACTCGTAATGAACTCGCTTTTGAGCTCGTGCTCCGGTCTTTTTGAAAACTCTAAAAGTACGAGGTGGTCCCGTGCTAAGAGTCCCGGACAACGGCTAAGAGTCTAAAAGTACGAGGTGGTCCCGTGCGAAGTACGAGGTGGTCCCGGACAACGGCGATTATATGGGGGAAGATGATGAAAACACGCCGCAGCACACGATCAGGAGTGGTCCTTCGCAAAGTCATGGACGAAATAAAGGCGCCCGGACCCGGAGGACCTCCAACGAGGTGTCAATGTCGCCGTCGGACCAGGAAACCGTAGCACCGGAAGAAGAGGATAGCCACTACGTCGAGGAGGAAGTAGACTACAGCAGTCCGCGCCAAACACAGCAGGACCATTTATCCCCCCGAGCTGCTGAAAGACGACACGGAAATTGACTTCCAAGACACGACGGGCAACATGGTTTACCAGTTTCTCGTAGTGACCCAAGAATCGCTGGACGAAGAGGTAGCGGATGCGCTGCGAAGAAAAGCCGTGGAGAGGTTGGAGAAGCAAAAGGACAACAACTTCATGACATGGAAAAACGTCTACGACATAGACCATTTGTCAGGTTCTCCACTCAACGCACCATCGCATTATGTTTACGTTCCACCGGGAGTTTCTGGAAACAATGGCAATCCAGTGGTGACGCCCGAGAACCTCCACACTCTGCCAATCAGCCAGTTATCTTTTCTGCCCGCGGTATGGGAACAATAAAGAAGCATCATGACAATCATTTTTCTTTGCAAGTTTGGCATTTGTGAGGCATCCAAGAAATTTCTTGTTTGGCAGAACCACACCTAAAGTTTGAGTTTAAAGCTTTTCCAGAATTTGAATTTATCGTATTGCAAAAGCAAAAATGCGCAAGAAACGTGATTGCGATGGTGTTTTTTTCTTGGATATGCAATCAGAGTGCGCAACTTCGAGGAGGACTTACTGGTCCGTCCCGGCGAGCCCGATTTGAAGTGGATCCAGCGAACGGGGGACCTGCTCCTCAAACTGTCGCTGGACGAGGCGCGGAGCTTCGTGTACGACGGTTGGTGCGTCCGCATGTACGAAATGAACAAAGACCTGTTCAAGCTTGACCAAATGAAGCGGTTCCTGGAGTTTCGCCCCGGGGACGAGCGGACCATCCTGCGCCTCTGCGAGGGTCTGCCCCTCTGCCCGCTTGGGTTTCCCTCGGAGGAGCTGCAGCGGATGATGCTCTCCGGGTTCCTATGCATTTTTGCAAAGTAACGTCCTAGTATAAATTGCATGTACAAATTTCGGCAAGAAGAAAAGTGGAATTTGTAATGCTGTTTCACCGTAGGAGGAAGATTTGTCATGCATATTTGCAATTAGTACGAGTGCGATACTTTTGCACAGCATAGCTCCACCGGAATCACAATTTGAATCTGCTGATCGCCCTGTTGGAGCTGCCGGCGAGTGAGTGGTCCAAACACGAGCAGGAGTTGAAGTGTCGGTGGTTCTGCCCATTCTACCGGGAAGATTTCGCGGAATGGGTGGTGGCCGGGTGTCTCGCCAGCATCATCAGCTACGACCAGGCCACGCGTCACCCGGCGCCGGACATTCTGCGACTCTGGCAGGTCGCGCGGAAGGCCGCAGGGTATCCGGAGTATTCATGTACTACTTTCGCGTAGAGGTGGGGCGGTTTTTGGATAGTAGTAGAATAAGGGAAAGATAATGATGATACGAAAAATGCAGTACTAAATTCTCTGACCACGCGGCGCGTCATCATGCTCTTCAAAAGCAAAAATACAGCAACCTCTATGTACGAAAAACCCAGCACGCGTGATCTGATCATGGTGACAACTTTCTTAAACGACTACACTTTCGAAAGATAAGAGCCACACTACTGAGCGTGTCATCAGCAGATAGAGATTTGAAAGAATACGCTTGGAAAAAAATCAAAGAATATTTCAAAAGAAGCAGGCTGAAAGAAACTAACTTGGATGCCGCGGCGTCGATGTAATGAAACCGTTTGTATTTTATTAACTTTAAGTGGTGATGTTTTATTTTGGTTTTAAGGCGGCCGAATATGGAAACGTCCAAGATCAACAGAGAAGCTTCATAATTGGGCGACGGACGTGAACGTGTTTGTGTTGATTTTCCCTGGTCGTTTCAGACTTGCGGAAGTCCAAGTCGGTTCTCTCAGAAATAGAGCTTGTCGGTAGTTGTATGTACTAGTGGGGGAAGAGGAAATGTCTTGAGTTTCCGACTTCTGGTATCGGAATTCAGTCGGTCTCGGTACGACAGTGAAGCCCCCGTGAATCAACCACAGATTAGGACACCGAGTCACTCTGTACTCCTGATCCGCCTCACCCGCAGGTGGAAAACGTGGAAGATCGAAACAAACTTTAGTACAGACAAGAAAATGTTCACCAAACCAGTAGTATTATCTTCGTCGTAAGTAGACGGGGAGGTGGAGCAGGCATTTTTACCGCTGATCATCGGAAGGAAGGCAACACATATCTACCACCTCGGACAGTTTGTTCAAGAGCATTTATCATCTTCTGCTTTGTTTGTCACGGCGGCCCGCCCTGCCAGAAGTATTTTGAACAAGAGAAGCACTAGTTGAGAAAGATTATTTTGGAACAACTTCTGATGAACTTCTGACTCTCCTGAACTTGGCCGATGTTCAAGCACTTCGTTACGTTTGGAAAACTTCGCTCGGCTTTGCACTTCGTCGCTTTAGTAAGATCAATCTGTCTCCCCCGGAACTTCTACGTCGAAAGAACCAAAATGGAGAAACAAGTTGAGAACACCGACTTCTATGCGAACTACCACGGGCACACCGTGAACGACCTGAAACAGCTCGTGCGAATATTGCGAGGAAAAATCCCCCCTCCCCATATCGAAGAGGACATTTGTGATGCTGGATTTGCATACACAAATCGACTTGCATTGCTAGAAGGCCAAAAGACGCAGCTGTGGCCTGAATTGTAGGCAATTTGTCATGCTGCTTCCCTCTTCCAGTTGCCTCCTGTCATGCTGAAGATGCAAGGCTTTCCAACGCCAGCCAGCACTACAGTCCGCATCCTTTGCCCTCTAGCATGACAACGTGATTTGTGGTCGCAAATCAGCAACACAAATTTTCGTTTTGATATGGGGAGGGGGCATTTTTCCTTTTGATAGCGAAATCTGCGCAGCGCGGGGAGGCGCCGGTTCATCTTATCAAATGCAAAAGCGTCTGGGTCTGGAAGAATGCAAGACTTGTCATGCATATTTCTCATGACCCATGATGCCTGTAATGCTTGAACTAGCATGGCAGACTTTTAGAGGGCTTCCTGATGCACCTTCCGCATGAGAAATGGCCTGTCTGTGTAGCAAAAGCTGTGCCCATCTTGCTGGCTATGCAATACAAATTTTTTTACAGTCGAGAAACAGCATGACAAGTTGCAATCTTCCAGACCCAGACATATTTTCAATGCATACATCTACCTGATGGGCGATAGCACGCTGGACAACAAACACTGGCTGTATCCGCCTTCCCGCTTGGGCAAAAGTCGGCGGGCGTTGGAAGATCCGAGGTGTGGGGCCGCGGCCTGTAACGGATACGAACAGGCGCTGTCAGCGCCGAAGCGGAGCGTGATGGACGTCGCCTATTGGGTGAATCGAGCCGTTCTGGCGGATGTTAAAAATTCATCTGGTGCAGTCAACAAGACGAGCGGAGGACCCGGTGTCAACAAGACGAGCGGAGGGGGAGAGGAACAAAGCGCCGCGGAGGTCCAGAGTGAAGATCCGTCTGCTAGAGAGAGCACAACGACCTCCTCCCCGCCGTACGTGTGTGTGAATGCAGCGATCGAAGAGTCGACACTGGGCGGCCGGTCGGGGAACACGCTTCTGCCGCAGGACCGTTTTGTCTCGCACGCACTCACGGAGGAGGACGTAATTGTGGTTTCGGCCGGCGGGAACGACATTGCCCTCGCGCCCGGGTTCCTCACGGTTGTGAACATTTTGTCCGCACTGCTGTACTCGACCACTGTCGGGCAAAAGGAAAACGGGTACGCGCCCGGCCTGGCGCATTTCGTGAACCTGTTCGGAAAGCAGACGGAGGGTTTTTTGTTGAATGTGTTGCAGGGGAAACGACCGAAGGTGGTGGTGGTGTGCATGTTGTACTTTCTGAACACGGATAGTAACCAGGCGAGCTGGGCCAACGGAACCTTGGGGATCCTCAAGTACAACTCGCAGCCGGAAATCCTGCAGGGCTTCATCCGCTACGTCTTCCATCACGGCACGAAAAACGTCAAGATCCCGGGCGTCACGGTCGTGCCGCTGCCTCTGTTCGACACGCTGGACGGATCCGATACGCGCGACTACGTGGCCCGCGTGGAGCCCAGCGTCGTGGGGGGGAAGAAACTAGGCTTCGCGATTTGGAACGCCGTGAAAACGGGGCTTAATCTGCAGGAGCCCGCGCGGACCTCCACAATGGAGGAGTTTTTGTCTGCGGGGGAAGATGTAGATGAGGGGGTACCAGAGGGTTGACACTATCTAAGTACCGATCCTGCAAGAAGAACTTGTGTTTCATATCACCAACTAAGATCTTCACGAGCTGGTTCCACCTGCCCCAAGATTTTCGAATTTTCTGCGTGATGATCCGCATAGACCTAGGTAGGCTGCCACAACGAAAATACACGACCGTGAATTCCATTGGTTTTGAAACTGACAGGAGCGTGTTCGGCATTTTTTCGTGTTTGATCACCAAATTGTGCCCGTCTAGTGCTCGCTTGATCTGGATCTTCACCGCCTATACCTAGAAATAAGTCTACTTCTGCTCCCGTGTTTCGAAATAATTTCTGCACTCGACACGGAATTCAATGCGCGACTTTTGTGTGATCAAATTTGGAGCCCTATCCACCCATGAAAGTGATTTGTTCCGCTTGATGAGTGTTTTCACAGCGACAGAACATCAATGTACTATAAATATCAAGACCACCTAAAACAGCTAGCCAGATTTTCTGTTCCCTGTCCGGTATTCAGTATGATTTTGGTTTGTCGGACGTAGAAGTGAGGTCGTCCTACGTTCCCTGGTCCTACGTAAAACTCTTTGCCGTTGTTGCTCAAAGTTTGATTCCTTTGATTATTTCGGATTTTTCTACTTCATTTTCGGAGCATCAGGGACATCAAACGAAACAGCATGGGCGGCAAACACAACAAGGGCAAGGGCAAGGGTAACAAGAAGGGCGGCGGCAAGCCGGCGACACCTGCGCCGGTCGCCCCGGAGCTGGTGGTGCTGCACAATTTGGCAAAGGAGGGCAAGCTGCAGGAAATGGTAGATCACGGCATGACTCACATAAATCTGCTCTACAACGACCACATTGCCCGTGTTCCCCTCCATCTCGCCGCGTACTACGGACATGTAGAAATTGTCGACAAAATACTCGAAATTTGCCCGGAGGCCGCGGATCGCCAAGCGCAGGATGCCTTTTTGCCGGCCCACTTCGCGGCGCAGCAGGGGCACCTGGAATGTCTACGGAGCCTGGTAAAAGTTGCGGGGACAATACGCACTGAAAAAATGTGATCTTCGTCACAAGCCATCGTGAGCAATTTTTGCATGACTGTATAATAAGTTCTCATTGCAAAACTCCTGCTGCTAACGTAGTTGTAAACTGTGACGGTGATCATGATTTTTTTTCCTTCCACTTTCGACACAAGACGGGGAGATGAGAGTAGGCGGCGTGAAGAAGCTAATGCAGCGACTTGTCAAACTAGACCGCAATATGCTGCACTTGGCCTGCGCTAAGCAGCACGTGGAGACGGCGCTTTATTTGGTATCTGCACAACACATTGAAGCATTGCATACTTTTAGAGATGCGTACTACTTCCTTTTTTCGGGGATTGGACTTATGAAATCGGCAGGACAGTTGCTTGCGATCATGGAACTCACCCTTGGCAATCCACTATCGTGTCTGCTGAAATTCCTCTCACAACACACAAATCACCACAGATTGACAAGGGTTGCGACCTGTTTGCCAAGAACGCGCATGGCAAGAGTCCCTTCGAACTGCTGGACGACGAGCACCGAAGTTCCCTCCAGGCCAAGTTGCGCGAAATCGAAGAAAGCAAGAAGGCCAAACAGGAGGGAAATCCTGATGCCCATCCCGATGCACATAATCCGCAACACACCAAACCAAAACCCAACGCCACCGCGACCCGTGCGGCTGCCGCATTGGCAGGAGCGACAGTGGCCGCAGCTGAAATCAGTCAGAAGGAAAAGGCAGCAGCGGCTTCAAGTTCATCGCGGCCCGAAGACGATACAGAGGGACCACAAGAAGCAGCAGCCACGACCTCAGCTTCCCCGAGGCTAGAGCCCCAAACCCTGAAGCGGCCGAAGGAGAAGCTTGCCACGACAGCGGAGGACATGGAAGCAAAGCTGGCGCGCATGCTCGGCGGCGGCGGGGGGGCGCCGAAGCCTGCAAAGGCTCCGAAGATCGCCAAAACCGCCGACGACATGGAGGCCAAGCTGGCCGCGCTCATGGCGGGCGGGGAGGCTGGTAAGAGTGGTGGAAGCACCACAAGCCAGGTACAACCCGCTGCTCCGGCCGCGCCGCCGAAGAAAGCTGGGTTTTCACTGGACGACGTGCTGAAAAACAGTTACGATTGAAGATAACGACGCACAAAAGCGACAGCGGATAAAAAGAAAGGGGCTTTATTTCTTTACATTTTTTGCCAGAACGAAAAAGCTAAAGCACCGCTCAGCTGCGAGGTGGCTTACATTTGCGCTCCGCATCTATTTGTCAACCACAAGAGAAAAAACAAAAAGATTCGGCGTGGGAAGCTGCCAAAAAATCCTCGCTTCGAAAGTTAGTACACGCTGGGAGCAGATGAACAGAGGTTGCCATTGTTTGCTCAAATTGTTCGCACGTGTCTTCTCTTTCGGTGTCTGGAACCTCTGCAAAGATTCATATTATTCATGTGCTCGTGGTGTCATTTTTTCTCTCTCGATTTGATTGTTGCTTCGCACGTGTGCCGTGTCCGTGTGTGATATCTCGCAATGAAGGCATTGCAAATGAAGACTCAAAGACACCTGGAGAGATAGTTGGCGAGCTGCATGATCGCAGTGCGCTTTTTTTCGCTCGTCGCCTAAAGATTGAAAGAAAGTTCCGCTGAACTACTTACCGTGTTGCCTTCCATGGCAACTTGATCTCGTTTCCTGGCCGATGTAGAGACTAGAAGGGTTCTACCCGTTTGATAATACATTCTTTATTTTTTTCATCTTCGAAACTCGGAGTAATAAAACGTGCAAAACGATAAAGAATAGTGCACTTGTCCCTTTTTTCATCAACGAGACACCGCGGTAATTCCCCGCAGCGCACTTCTCTTCTAAGTCAACCTGGTGAGCGCGCTCGCCCCCGCCCCTCGCCAGAAAGGTTCTCATACTACAAGATGTCAACGGCCAGCTTCCGGCCCCCGTCCCGGAGGCGGACGATGGACCCTCGGCGCGCGGCAGGAGCCGACCACCAAAGCGCCACTCCGGTTGTCGCTGAGCCAGCAACTTCCCCCCCATTCGCCGCGAAAATCGATTTGGGAGGAGTGTCGACCGACGCAGGAGGGCAGTCCAGCTCAACCGAGTCGGTTCCGTCCGCTGGGGAGGAGCACTTGCTGTCCGCAGGGGTACGTTCCATGGCAGTCGTGGGGCGTGCGGAAGAACCCTCTGGCACGACCGATGCTGCTGCAATATCGTCCACCTCGTCGTCTTCACACAATAATATTAAGCCGCCCTTCGGGCCAGCATCCTCTTCAACGACGACGACGACGATGTTCTGCAGCAAGAGCACGACCGCGGCATCTTCGGTTTTCCAAACGCCGAAGCACAGTGACCAGCAGCTCACCATCGAGCGATCGGAGTCAAACGTGTCGCAAGCGTCTTCCAATACGCTGCACGTGCCCGGAAATGGTACTGCTGGACCGCCGAGGCACCGCACACGCCCTTCGCAAGAGAGGAGTTCTAACGTGAGCAACTCTACTACGGCGTCGGCGTCCAAAATTCGCGGCTCTGGAAGTGGCACTATCAAATGCAAAAATGTCTGGGTCTGGAAAGTTGGCAGGTTTGTCATGCATATTTTGCATAACCCATGATGCATGTAATCCATGACCTAGCATCACAGATTTTTAAACAGCCTTCTGATGCGTATTCCGCATGAGAAATGCCCACTCCATGTAGCACAAACTGCACTCCTCTTGCTGGTCACGCAATAGAACTTTTTTTACCTTCCAAAGCCAGCATCACAAGTTGCAACCTTCCAGACCCAGACATATTTGCATTCCATAGGCACGAGTTGTGCGCCGGACCGCCGCGGGTCCGCCCGGAGGAAAAGTATCAAAAGGAAAAATCCCCCCTCCCCATATCGAAACAAAGTTTCTGATGCTGGATTTGCGTACACAAATCAGGTCTGTCTTGCTGGAGAGGACTGCAGGCATATGACAAGCCTGGATCGAGAGGCTTGGACGTAGGGGACTAGCATGACAGATGTCGGCTCTGTAAGCCCAACAGCATCGCAAACCGCCGGCATAATGCGGCGGACTCTCTGGCTTTGCCTTCTTGCAAGACAGACAGGATTTGTGACCTCCAATCTGCATCGCAAATTTTCAGACGAATGCGTTTTCAATATGGGGAGGGGGGATTTTTCCTCTCAATAAAAAGCATGATTGATTTGGAGCAGAAACTGCAGGAGCCGCTGCTGGGCACGCGGCGCGGCGTGGAAGAAAACGAGGAGTTTCGGGCAGCGGAGGAGAAGCCGCCGCCGAGCCCCGTAATGTATCCTGTGTAAAAACGTCTCCACACCATAGTCAAGATGGGAAATCTGCTAGAAAAATCCACAAGGCTTCGTTGCTGCGCATGACAAGTGTGGCCTCGTAGTGCAATCCTGTTCAGCTAGTTCACCAGCATCACAGACCCGGCATATCATGCTGATTGGAGCATGACAAATCCCGAAACACGACGAAAAAACGCTTCTCATGGGGCTCCGCATGAGAAGCATCCTCAGCATGCAGAATTGCATTACAGCTATGTTGTGGGGACGTTTTTACAAATGATATCTTGCCGGCCCTGGTCACGCACTCGCTGAAAGCGACCTCCGAAATGGCCGCGCAGAAGTTTGGGAACACGCTCGGCTACATTCAGGAGTGCGTGCAGAAAGGCCCGGAAGGCGTGCGGTCACTCACCTTCGTAGGGGGCGTGATTATGGTACTAATTGTCTATAGGCTTTTCTTGTAGGAACATCAAACGAACCCAAGTTCGCTCGCAGTCTGATGTGGACAAGTTGAGTTCTTTCGTGTTTTGCAACTTTGTGGACATCGGTGGTCAAGTACCACTTCACTGGTATACTCAACTCTTCTACTCCCCCACTGCTCAACTCAGACCGTTATCAAATGCAAAAATGTCTGGGTCTGGAAGAGTTGGAACTTGTCATGCTGTTTTTGGACCCTAAAAAAATTCGTATTGCATGACCAGCAAGTGCAAGAGGGGTACAATTTGTGCTACACGGATAGGGCATTTCTCATGCGGAAGGTGCATCAGAAGCCCTCTAAAAGTCTGCGACGCTAGGTCATGCATTACAGGCATCACGGGCCATGAGAAATATGCATGACAAATCTTGCATTCTTCCAGACCCAGACATTTCTACATTTGATAGCCGTCTACTACGGGTTCACGCTGCTGAACGTGTTCAGTGTGCTGACGATATCAAATGCAAAAGTGTCTGGGTCTGGAAGATTGCCAGATTTGTCTAGCTTGTCTGGCATGACCAAAAAGTTTGTGATGCGTGTCCAAGAAGAGACCCGTTTGCCTGTCATGCAAAAACGCAGTCTGTCATGCGAAAAACGCAACACAAAGAAGCGCAGATGTTTCTGACGCTTGCCTGTGCATTACAGAGCATTTACTATTCCCAACGCAGCATTACAAGTTTCCAGACCCACACATTTTTGCTGTTGATAGACGAATCCCTTCAGCTATTTCATGAACGTGACCTTCCTCCTGTTCGGGTGGATCACTGTTATCTGGGAGGCCAGCGAGGTATTACTGCAGGATTGGCGACCCCTGCGGGAGTACCAGGCGTGGATTGCAGAATACATGAAATGTTTGGCGATTCCCTGGTGCCTCGGGATCTTCTACCTCTACATCGGCTGTCTGCAGGTCATGCTGCATTCAGTTCTGTCCGTGGAGTCCCTGTTGGGGTTGTACTATCGAAGTGGAACAATGCGAACTACAAAGAGACTGCTTTGCTTCCGTTTCTGGTGTATTTCAATTTCTGAGCGGGAATGCAACTGCTGCATGACAGATTTGGGAGTGTTTCTCACCGGTACCTCCATGATAGAAAAACGCTGGAAGTTCTTTTATACGAAAATGTATGGCTAGGTTTATTTCAAAGACACGATTTTGCTTTTGTTCGTTTGTCCTCCGATACGCACTTTTGTCTGATGGGTAGCTTCAACCTCTGCCTGCACTACGGATACGACATCGAGAAGCCAACGAGAGCGGTGGTATACCATGCATAGTGATCAGATGAATCTATTTGTCAGAAAATTTTGGATTGCTTCTAGAGTGAGTGTCAATGTATAAAATCGATGAGGTCCGCCCACGACAAAGCGAGGTCTCAATTTTGCTTCCTGCTCCTCGCGACAAAGCGAGTCTGCAACGGAAAAACAAAATAACTCCTTTCAGGGCGATTTCGTGCAGCAAGGCGTGGGTATCTAATGCAACTTTGTTGATGTCGGGGCGAGCGCGAGGAATTATTAGCGAGAACCGCTAGAAGGCTTATGTATATGTTGCAAAGGCCGTGCCATGCTTGTCCTCCCGGCGTGCCGACGAGCCTAATCATGTGGTGTCGTGTCTAGTGCACGACACGCCGAGAACGCTTTTCACACCACCAACCACCTCGAGAATTTAGTACAAATGAGAATTTTCATCATTTGCATCGCCCGACTTCTTCATGGTTTTGCGGGGCATAGTAGGTTGGCTGCGAACTAAGGTTCGGGAATTCTCCAATCGAGACTCCGATTCCGGGGGCGTTGAGAGCAGGACCGGCGAGGGCTTCTGATTCATCTGAGTCCGGGACGAGGCAAGGTCGAAGTTATTTCGATAGGGCAAAACCAACCGATGCAAGAAGTACAACTTCTGCTCTCGCCGGAAAGAACACTTCATCACCTGCGTACGAGTGGCTTTGTTTGTATTGTGTACCAGAACCTTTCAGACTACTGCCACTGTAGCGCGAAAAATTTTCCAAACTGTTCTTGTTCTTACCTTTTCCTGTCGCAGAAGAAAGTACGGTTTTGCATTGTTTTTTCCTGTTGACCCAAACCACTTCAGGTTTTTTTACCGTACTAGGTAGTACCTTGGGTTCAACCATGATGTTGTCAATGTGAAGTAGACTTTCTTTACTCGAGCATGAACTAAATTTGGACCACATGAGGCCCACGATGGGTGCATTTAAAGATGTTGACAGTGCCAACAGTAGTTTCGTGCCGGTGCAGGTCTAGTCCACCCGGCAGGCGCAGCTACGGTAATTGGTGCTACATTTGTCATCGATATTTGTCACGTTTCCGTGGGCAAACATTTATTTGTGCAAATGGATGTGGATTCCAGGACGAACAGGAACACGCATTTTGGAGACGTGCGCGTGCCGGAAAGAAACCAATCCTAAAATGGTGGGACGTCCGCTAGGATCTCTGCGCCTTCACGATGTTCTTACACAATTCAGACTGATCCCGGTTGTATCTTGAGATGAAACTGCATAAACAAAATTCACTCTGACAGATGACGACCTCGAAGCCGGCAATACGTCGTTTTGTGCTAGAGTTGTTGTATCGCCCACTGCAAACAGGATGTTGAATCTTTTGGATGAGTAGACCGCCACAAATGTCGGTAAAGTCTTTCCGAAGGACTCGAAGACTTGCTGAAGGTCAAGCAGGTGAAGCCTTGCTGCAAGTCGTGTAGGAGTTATTGCAATACTTAGGGAGCAGTATACTTCAGTAGAATTCGTAGTCGTACAAAGGAACAGAGTTGCTTGTTGTATATCCGCAACTTCTACTACGGCCGCGTCGGTACTGTATCTGTATGAGGTTTTGTTGTCGGTTGTGGTCACCTGTGAAAGAAAAGTCTTCCTTCATCATCTGCATTTCGGTCCTGGATTTTCGGCGAAAAAAGCTCCTTGTAATTCATATGATCAAAAGTAAGATATTGCTGTATCGCCCTCGATTTCTGTCCGCCGCAAAGGTGTCGAAAGCGTGTCGCACAACATGCACTCCATTGCATTTAAAATTGAATTTCGCACAGCATCTCGTGTGATGGCAGTATCACTTGATTATTTCTGCATTACCTTTATTACTTTCACGCATCCTCGCTTTTTTGACCTTTTGTTTTGTTTTTGTTCGTCGGTCTATCTAATACTGGCACAATGCTCATCCTCATAGACAGTCAGCGGTAGCGTTGTCCGTGAGGGCAAAATTCTTTCCGGAAAATAAAGGAGGAAAAATAGGCTTCAAAGTAACCTGACCAAGACGATGGAGCAGAGCGCCCCACAACTACCGTGGGACTTCTCTCTGGCCGGCAAGGTGTTGCGCTATGATCTGCACTTCCACAAGATACTGCAACCGGGAACCGCAAATGCGGCTGGGGAAGATTCTTCGCCACAGCAAACTACCACAGAGGAAGCGGGCGTTTCGCTAAAGTTATTCGGGGACGTGCCTCGGCCGTATGTGTCCTATCGAAACGAGATCAAAATCCGTATTGGCAGCGAGAACTGCCAAGCGCTCCCCGGGAACCGGCTCCTGCTCACGGCCGTGCTGCCGCCGCGAATTGCTAGCGACGCAGCTACTTTTTCACCCCCACCCTCACCCACCACGAGCGTGGCCTATAATCGGCAGCACCGCTCGGTCGGGAGCGTAGAGATTCTGGATATTTGCTTCGCCACAACGTCCAAAACAAATCATACTACTCCAACGACATCAGCTTCAGCATCAGCACCATCGACCGAAGAGAATGCTCCACCTCCAAGGGAAATCCTCGCGAACGCTTCGACATTGCAAAGGTGGTCCGAGGCCGAAGACGACGGAGCGTTGTTCCGCGTCAGTGGGGTTTTGCAATCTTGCGAAGTGCCGGGTATAATGCGGACTGACAGTGCGATGCTGGAACGGTCCCCGCACCTGCAGCACGCCCTTCCGCTCGCGGGGGCGACTTCTTCTATAATGGCCGCGCCGGTCGGAATCGAGCCGCACCCGGCTGCACTCTTGTCGACGTCCTCACCCACTCCATCACCAACGAGCAACAGCAGGAGGAGGAGGAGCCCTTCTGGCGCTGCCAGGGCGGTGGAGACAACTGCAACGACGTCCTCGCCCCCGGAAAACAATAGAACTGCGGATGATAGTACAACAACGGGGACAATAACGTCCGCTTCCGCACAGGATCTTCATGTCAACGGTCGAGTGGCAGCAAGATCAATGCCAATCGGGACACAGCGTAGCGCATTGGACGAAGAGGTGGAAGAGGAAATGGAGGAGAACAGCAGCCTCGACGAAAGCACGAACAACTACGTCGTCGACGAGACGCACAGCCCGACGAGCCTGGACACCGCCACGCCGCAGCAGCTGCGGCAGCTGTTTCAGGTTATGCAAAACGGCGGGGCCATCTTCGTGAACGATGCGGGGACGAGGAGCGACTCCGGCTCTGAGGAGACTGAAAACCAAAATGATTCATCGGGTAGTGCTTTCCTGGAGCTGCCCGCGGAGCTTCCGGTAGACATGCAGGTGCGCGTCTGTGACATCGACAGCTGTCCTGTAGTATCCGCTGCCTATAACATGTCTGGGTCTTGAAGATTGCGAGACTTGTAATGCTGAACGCCCATAATCCTGAAGTGAACTCTGTCATGCGTGTCTCGGAATGGCGGTAGCGCCCCTCCTCCGTGATGCAAGAAGGCTGTTTCTCGTGTGCGTAAGCCGCGTATCGCACCACAGAACCGCTCAAAGATTTCTCATGCGTGGCCGCGTAATGTACTGAGTTTGTCAAATTCGCGTATTAGCATGACAACCTTGTTCGACTGTCCCAGACATCATGTTTGCATCGCATGGCCGTGTTTCGAGGATTTTTCCGAGAGCCTAGAAAAGTGTGTGACGGCGGAGTGCGGCCACGCGTACTGCCGCCAGTGTGCCCTGAACGTGTGTCGGATGCGACCGCCCCGGTATCAGGGACGGTGCGCGGTCTGCCGCAAAAAGTTCTCGTTGCGAAACATGTTCTGCATCCAGGGAGGTGGGGCCGGCACAAGCGGGACCTCAATTGCTGGCGCGGAGTCGTTGGCCTTGGTACGCTGTTTTCCCGGGTTCGGATTAGGAATAAATGAGAACAGGAGCAGAAGTCCGCGGGCAGCTGCAGCTGGGCACCAGAACGAAGTTTTGATTTCATCTGGGGGAAGTGGTCCTCCTCCTCGCTCCTTGCGATTCACCCGCGAAGACTTTGAGGAAGAGGTGTTTGAGCGGGCCGCCGCAGCACTGGAGCTGTTGCAAAGTCTTGAATACGAAATCGCAAAAGTAGCCCTCGGACGGACGATCGTGCTATAGTATGTTGTAAGCAATTGCAATAAGAACGAAACAGAAACGCGGATTGAAGGAAGAGCTGCAACTGTTTATCCTAAATTTGTTTGATCTTACAGAAGTTGTGCTGGTGCGTTTTAATTCAGTACACCATCTTCACGAACACGATCGGTGACCACTTTTGCAACGCATATTGCAGAAGGTGTGCGAGAGCAAATCGATTTTTCTGGTGAAGAAGCTCCAGCTGGTGCTGGTCCCGGTGCAGCGATTGGTACAACGAGAACTCTGCCGCCGGTACAACCGCCGGGAACACAACGGGGGCAGAACAACCTCCCCCCCCTGCAGGTAGGATCCTATCTGTTGCCCATGGTGGATGAAACAAGCGTGGATGTTGAGACGCCGTCGAGAACGAGGCATCGCAACAACTCGCAACGCCCGACGCCATTGCGCATCGAAGAGCGAAGTGTAGTTGCCAACATCTCTGATAGGGACCACGAGCAGGATGATAATACTGACACGTCAACACGACCACAACTTGTTCCTAGAGCGCACAGAGTAGCTGTCGGTCAACCTTCATCTCTGCAAGACGATGTGACAAGGGAGCTGAACCGTATCTACGGCGTGACAGGCGAGCTGCACGAGGGGCAGGACATGATAGACCCCCAGCTGGCGGAGGTGCGGCGACTGCGGGCGGAAATGTTTCAGAGGTCCCGACGGTTTCAAGCGCGGGTAGAGGAGCAGGAGGCGTGGCAGCAGAGCCGGCCCGACGATGCAGCGATGGAGCGGGCGCAGGCTATCCTGTGCAAAAGTATCGTACTCGTATAAATGCAAGTCTTGCATTACAAATCTTGTTCCTAAGGCAAATCTGCATCACAAATTTTTTCTCTCATGCTGAGGAAATTTGTAATGCATTTATTTTTATACGAGTGCGATACTTTTGCAATCCATACAGGCCGCCATGGAACGACTCCAGCGAGAACTCGCCAACATGCGTATTACAGTGAAAAGTGCCCCCCACCCCTAAATTGCAAAAATTTGTGATGCGAAGTTTCCAAATGAAAACTTTTTGTCATGCATGAAAGGAGTACGAATCTTTCTGATGCAGAATGTAGGCGTGTATCGCATCGCTTGCATGACAAGCGCCGATCTTGCTGGGGTCTTTTGCAATACAAATTTTTGCTATTCACGATTGAAAACCTGTGATGCTGATAGATGCAAGAGGGCGAATGTTTCATTTGGAAAGGTTTGCAATACAAATGCTCCGAAGTTCGGGGGTGGGGGCATTTTTCATTGTAATAATGCGGCATCTGACGGCGCACGATGACCACGAGACTTCCTCGTCGTGAAAGGAGATGGGTGAGGACGATCCATTGTCCGTGAAAAAAGCTCCTGCACTTAACATTGGTGTTGTTGTAATAAATATGTAACATCAACATCATCAAACACGATTTAGATATGGATTTTTACAGTACTTACACTACTCTAGATACTGTACCTGCTCCCTGTTGATGTGCTTGTTTGAGACGGAGGAGTCGGTGCTTGTTTCGACGTACACGCGTGCTTTTACGTCGCGATCCCGTACTTTCGATAGGTTTTCTTGAAAGCGGACGAACTCCTGCTGGGATCGCAATGAATCTAATTGAATTCCGTATCCTTTTATCTCAACAAAGCGCTAGCGCCAACGCTAGGTGCACTGCACGACTAGTAGTCGCAATGACAATGAGTATCTTGCAAAATATTGTGTTCGGCAACTATAATTCCTCGGCAGCGCGTCGGCCATTGTGTGCTCGCGCTGCTGCATCCATTTGGCTGCTGCGCGACGTGTTGCGTATCCGTTTTTGTTTTCGTCACTGCGGTCCCTAGCCATTTTGATTTTGGGAAAGCTAGTCGTAGCTCTTGTTAGGCACAACGTCTTCGTTGTGGGTCGTGCTACAACTTGTATAACAAGCACCGCGATGAACATTAAGATGCTGGGCGTCATGTTGCTTCCTTTTTGTGGTGAAGTTTTTTTCGACCGCCACGGCTTCGCTGTTTCTTCGGCGCTCCTATTCATGGTGTTGTATCTGGCGCCAGGATATGCAAGTGGTAAATATGTCTGGGTCTGGAAACTTGTGATGCTGTTTGGCGAATCATGTGGACGCCTGCATTTGCAGACAAGCATGACAAGTTTTGGAGTTGCTGTAGTGTTGCCTATCTGCGTGACAAACTGCGTTTCTGCAAGACAGAGGAGTGTGGCTTTTGGGTGGCGTGCATGACAAACTTTAGAGCCATGCTGAGTGTGCATGACAAACCTGGCATTCTCCCAGACCCAGACATATTTGCATTTGATACACGAGTGGAATGTTTCATCAGGGCTTACCTCGATGGCGGGGATTCGGACTTTATCCTCTGCAAATATTATGTCTGGGTCTGGAAGATTGAAACTTGTGATGCGCATTTTGGATCAGATAAAAATCTGCCATGTATGATGGACTGCAATATTAGCCTAGTTCTTGTTATCAAAATCTGAAGTTTCTAATGCGATAGCCATTGAGAAACCATCTCAGATAAACCAGTAATGCGATTGCTTGCATGCCAGAGCTTCTTGGTCATGCAAAAACAGCATGACATTTCCAGACGCAGACATATACCTATTTGCAGTGTCGATAGACTTAGAAGTGGGACAGGGCGCGAAGTACTACAAGTTGGATCCCTTAGAGACCTGGCTGGACCCGAGTGACACCAGTGAGCACACGCTGACCGCCTCGGCCCTGAATAGTGAGTCCTCCACGAGTCCCTCCTCGCCTCTGTATAAGCCACACAGTGGGCGTGACCTTGCCGGGTATGGGAACAATTGGCGGGGCGCCACCGCACAGCCCAACTGGTGGAAGGTGGAGATCGATCCCGGAAAGCTGCTGGCCACACGCATCCGCTTGTTCGCCGGTAAACAGCCGTGGTACACCCTTGAAGACCGCAAAAATCGAATCCAGAACAATTATTTATTGGTTGACGATGTGGAGATTGGAAGCTTGAAGCCGACCGAATCAGATCGGGTGCTGGGGACGAACCTAAACATGTTGTGGACCTCGGGCAGTGCTCCGCAAGTGGACATACCCCTTTGGCGGCGGGCTTCGAGATTCGAACTGCGAACGAAAGTCTCCTCCAATAGTACGTTAGGCGGATTCGAGATCTACTACATCCCGGAAATCACCGTTGTGTACCAGCGGTTGAACTTTAATCCCGTTCGAGGTGACCCCACGAGGTTTTTCAACGGATATCACGTTCCCGGTGATTCGGGTGTGGAAAGGTCGGACATTCTATCAAAATGAAAAAACCCCCCTCCCCATACTCAGAGGAGATTTGTGTAAGCATAATTTGTGTATGTGTTTACAAATCACGTTGTCATGCTAGAATGGAAAAGATCAAGATGCGGACTGTAGTGCTGGATGGCGCGGGAACGCCTTGCGTCTTCAGCATGACGCGAAGCAACTGGAAGCGGGAAACAGCATCAAAAATTGGCTTCAGAGGAGGACGCAACTGCGTATCTTGGCCTTCTAGCAATACAAGTCGATTTGTGTACTCAAATACAGCATCACAAATTTCGTTTTCGCTATGGGGAGGGGGAATTTTTCTTCACAATACAGGCTCACCGGACCCATCACCGAGTTCCGCTTCGACGTCGAAGCAAACGACCAGGGATTCAAAATTGACGGGATGCAATATTACAATGAAAAATTTCCCCACCCCAGAACTTGGCAGCAGTTGTATTGCAAACCTTTCCAATGGAAACACGAAACACTCCCCGTCTTGCATATCTCAGCATCACAAACGTTCCATGCTGAAGAGCTCAAATTTGTGTCGCAAAGGAGCCCAACAGCAGCCGGATTTGTTTATGTAAAAGACACCTTGCGCACCTAGATTCTGCAGTAGAAAGGCTCGTAGTCCACCTTTCGTGCATAGATAAAAAGTTCTTCATTTGAAAACCTTATGCATGAGAAACTTGTGCAAATTCCAGCGTGCGGGCATTTTTCATTGTAGTATGCAAACCACTGCCAACATGCCGATCCTCGGAATTTTGCTCATACGCTCGCCGGACGGAGCCTGCACTTTTCAACAAAGTAATGAGGTTGTCGTAGCGCAGCTCCGAAGCTTTGTACCGCACCAACGGAGGCTTATCACTTTCAAATTCACGGCCAGTAGTCCCAAGGGAGCGGAGTTAGTCACGAGCGCACAGTATCAAGTGTAAAAGTGTCTGGGTCTGGAATGTTTCCGGGTTTGTCATGCATATTTTGCATGACCCAGGATGTCTGTAATGCATGACCTAGCATCGCAGATTGAGATTTTTAGAGAGCTTCCTGATGCCTAATCCGCATGGCAAATGCCCTCCCTCAATGATGATGATGATGATGATGCGTAGCACAAGCTAGACTTCTCTTGCTGGTCATGCAATACAGATTGATCTTCGGACAGCGGGCTTCCAGGACCCGGGGAAAGAGTGGCCGCGGCAGCAGAAGCCAGCAGCAAGGAGAGAGGAGGCCCCCCTGTCACAGGTAGCGAAGCACAACCTGGAAAGAACAACGCTGCGGTGCATGGAACCCCATGCGGACCAGGAGGAAGAACAGGAGATCAACAACCAAAACGAAGCGCCGTGGTTGGTAAAAGAGATGCAAAAAATTCAAGGAATTGACCCAACAATTCCAGAAGAAGAAGCGGCAGACTGGAAGCTACCACTGGACAAAGTACTGGGCAGTACGCGACCTACTGGACGGCACTGGGCATCGAGAGTAGTTGGCAGACCGGCAACGAAACAATTTATGGTAGCAGTAGACTCACCACGACGGGTGCTGTTGGAGGGTACAGGCAAGAGAGGCCGTCAGGTCGAGCAGAAGACGGAAAATATCCAATTACGATATGAAACTGTACATAGTGAGCCCCATGATCATGACGGAGACCAAAAGCAGATAAAACGGCGGAGGATCACGGAAGGTAACGGGATGCAGGTGAACTACGACGCAGATGGAGATGCAATTATGCATGAGGTCGACGATGAGAGCAGTGGACCGGTGGAGGACGAAGAGGACGACCTGCTTGCAGATTGCTGATCAAAAAAAAAAGTTATGCTGTGTGTCTAGAAAGAAAATCAGCCTCAGTGTAGAAACTAATCGTAAGTAGAAGTAGATGAAGAAAAAAAACAGGAAGTTCATAGCCAAAAGGCAGTAAGAGCAACGTCTTTGAAGAATGATGAGGGTGCTAGTTGGTAAAGTGCACTGTTACAACATCAGAGCAAAAAAAAATATAAATCACAAAAGGTTGCCGATGCGGACGAGAAGAAAAAGCCACGAAGGGCTTGCGCCAAGAGCACTAGGTCGCTTCATCGTGCGGTGAGGGCAGGGTGTCGTTGTCGCTCATCGTCGTCGCTGCTCTTCGGGGGCAGTGGTCGTTGTCGCTCTTCGTCATCGCTGCTCTGGTCGTCCTCGTTTCGAGAGATGGTTGGAGCGCTTCGACGAGAGTTCGGTGAGTTTTGGCTTGGAGGGGTGCGTCGGCCTTTGCTTCGCCTCTTCGTTGTCTGCTGTCGCCTCTTTCTGTAGCTCTGGTCTTAGGTGGGGTCCCTTCTCCCGGCTCCCTAAAAAGGGCGTTTGCTGGACTGCTGGAGACCCCAGTCCTGTCGCTCAGCGACACTGTTTCAGGCTGCAGGAGACCCCAGCCATCCCCACAGCTTTTCTATTCCTTTCGTCTTTGTCTGTTTTCGTGTTTTGCCTGGTTTACCGATGGAATCTTACCGTGCTTTTTGGAATCTTCGGTTTGCGACCAGGACATGCTGCCACTCTAACGGTTTCACTCGGGCCCGACCCCCGTTAGAGCTTGACCCTTTTTCCCCGAGATCCTACCTGAGGTAGCGGTCGTAAAGGGGATATAGTGGTTGAGGGGTAAATAAGGTCATGCAATACAGATTTTTTTGGAATCCGAAGTTAGCATCACAAGTTCCAACCTTCCAGACCGAGACATTTTTGCATTTGATACACAGGCCGACGACTTCTACTGTTTGCGGATCAGTGGCGGAAACGATCGGCGGCAGTACCTGCATTTGCACAAAGCCATCATGTCTGTAAAATACAGTGCCCGGAGTAGATCACGTCGAGAGCTAAATAATCTGGACGCCCCCGCCCCGCTAGAAGAACGTGAGAGTGATATCATTTGCAAAAACGTCCCCACCCCAGAGTCAAGATGGGGATTTTGCAACACAAACCTGAAAGTTTTGGGAGCCACGCATGACAAGTTGCAGGCTGTAGTGTAATGCAGTTTAGCAAGGGAAGCCGCATAACAAATCCATCTCCTTATCCTGTTGACAGCATTACAACTTCCAAAACACGATGGGGAATGCCTCTCATGGGGATGCGCATTACAAATGCTCTTGTGCTTGCAGATCTGCATGACAACTACCAGCCATGCCCCGGCTGACGCCGGGGCGCTAGGCTGTTGTGGCGGGGCAGGACTATTTGCGGATCGGGACGCCGCGCCAGGGCTTTGGACGCAGCGCGACAGCCCCCCCCCCCAAGGAACATACTGTCGCCGTTTTGCGCCATGCAAACCCGCAGGGTCTCCTGCGCGCTTCCCGCGCCTTCAGGCGCTATGCGCAGGGAGCAGCTGCAGCGAAGCTTGGGGGCAAAGAGAAGCCGCCTCGCCGTAAGTGCCGAAGCACAAGGGGGACCACGCTGCCCTGTGTTGATCACGCTCCCGCCCCCGCCCAATGGCTTCCCGGCCGACGGAACTGCTGGCGCAAGAGGGTATCGCGAGAGGGTGGCGCGAGAGGGTGCGCGAGAGGGTGGCGCGAGAGGGTGGCGCGAGAGGGTGCGCGAGAGGGTGCGCGAGAGGGTGGCGCGAAAGGGTGGCGCGAGAGGGTGCGGGCCCAAGCGACGCAAAAATCCCCAGAAGATCGGCCCTGTACCGGGCGGATTCGGGTTGTTTGTACCCTCTCGCAGACCCTCTTTTTTACCTCTCCCGAGAGGTGTTGCTAATAGTCCGGCTATACTCGCCGGTAGAGGTCTACAGAGGTGGCCGAGAGGTGGCCAAGAGGGTGCGCGAGAGGTTCGCCCTTATTCGCGCAACCTCTCGGCACCTCTGTCCCCCTCTCGCTTACCCTCTTGGCACCCTCTCGGCCCCCTCTGGTCCCTATAGGCGCGGCTTTAGGGTGAACGGTTCGGCTCGCTATACCCGCGCACCCTCTCGGCCACCCTCTCGAATGACCTCCCGCGCCACCTCTCCACCTCTGTCGACCTCTTTTTGACCTCTGTTGACCTCTTTTTTACCTCTCGGCCACCTCCCTTCGACCCTCTGTAGACCTCTTTTTTCGCATGAATATAAAAGATAGTAATAGGCTGGGGACGTTTTTACTCAGGATAAGTGAGATGAACCTGGACGACGGCGACACAGAAAGAATATGCATTGCAAATATGTCTGGGTCTGGAAGGATGCGAACTTGTGATGCAGCATGTTGCGGATCGTAGAAAAATCTGTGTTGCGTGACTTGCGAAAGGTGCCCATATTTGGCCATGCTGAGAGGGCATTTCTCATGCAGAACAGGCATCACCAAGGGGCTGCAGATCCTGTGATGCTAGAACCTGCATTCCAGGATTGGTGGAGCTTGGATAAACTGCATGACAAATCTCGGGATCTTCCAGACCCAGACATATTTGCATTTGATAAAGAACTCCGCTCGACGACCTTCCGCTCGACTGGGATCCCGCGTACGACCCCCTACCGGACGAATTGAAGCAGCACGTCCCGAAAGCCACATTGCACGCTATGGAGGAGGAGCGCGCAGCAAAGGCCGCGGCAAAAATGGTGAAGGGCGTGGACTACAACCAATTCGTGCGGGATGCTGAGCGGGAGCGGATCCGCGCCAAACTGGAGCGAATTGAGCAAAAGCGTCGGCGGAAGCTGCAACAGCGAGGCCGAAAACAAGCCACAAAAAAACACGAACTGTAGGTGATGTTGTCCGTTGACAATTTTATTAGTTTTTGAATTGACTGTCCTTGTTGATTACGACACAATAGAAGTCGTGGCACAGAAAAAGATTTTACTTCTTCGTCGATGAGTTGATCTTGATCTTTACGACACAAGAGAAGTCACGGTCTAAAAGGAGTTTCTGTCTCGTTGAATTGCGGCCAAGTGCACGGCTTTCTTTTGGAACAAGCTCTTGACGAATCGAAGGAAGCAGCACCTCCACAGGTTCTTACTATGCCGCGATCGTTGTTCAAATAAAGACGGGCAAAATTTTTGATCTTTCTTGTTTTTATCTAGACTCCCTAAACTGCTCGTTTGAGTTCACCCTCTGGAGCAGTTTGTTGTTGAGTCTGTGTGATGGCGACCGTGACAAAGTTTTTATACATAGAGCGATGCATCGTGCGTGTCTGTTGTACGCCTTGGGAGTTACTTTTATTTTGAATATAGTGTGAATTAGAATTTTTAAAGTCACACACAGGATCATACACAGCCCAACATGTTGGTTTCCAGTCCCAGTGTCCCGGTATCGTTTCTGTTTTTTCTCTGTATCCTGTGTAAAAACGTACCCACCCCAGAGTTGTCATGCAAATCTGCATGCTGAAAATGTTTGTCATGCGGAGCCCGATGAGAAGCATTTTCCAATCGTGTTTTGGAATTTGTCATGCTCCAATCAGCATGATAAAATAGATCTGTGATGCTGCTGAGCTAGCTCAAACAGCACTACACTACGAGTCCAAATTTGTCATGCAAAACACCCAAAACTTGTGGATTTGTCTAGCCGAGTCCCCATCTTGACTATGGGGTGGGGACGTTTTTACATAGGATACTCTGGTTCGTTTCATTACAACCAGCTCTGCCGGTTGTCGGTTTGCTTGCGAAAAAGGCCCACGCGACCTCCAACACGTCACCTATCAAATATAAAAATGTCTGGGTCTGGAAACTTGTGATGCTGGGTGGCGTATCATGAGGAAGCCATAAGTGCTGGCTCAGCATGACAAGTTTCTGAGCTTCTAGTTGTTGCCTATTCTGCATGACAAACTGCGTTTTTGCATGACAGGAAAGTGGGGCTCTTGGGTACGGAAAGCGATCGGATCGGCGAGGTGCGTCAGGGGGCGTCACTCATTCATTCATTCATTCATTGGGTAACCTGCATGACAGATTTTATGAGTCATGCCAGAGAAGCATGACTGTATTTATATCGCAATAATGAAGTAGAAGAGCATGGGCGCGATGGTCAGCAACTGCCCCCTTCTCTGCCTTCCTGTAGCAATACTTCCAAAAAGAGCCGATGCACAGCCAACATTTCGTCGCGCCCAGCCATGCATGTCGTGGCACTTCGACGTCCCAAAGGTTGCTTCTTCAAAACTCACAAGTGTGAATTGAGATTTCCCGCCCTTTAGGCTTAGCATTTTAGGCGTGAGGGGCGGGACAGTGGGCCACTAGGAGGAACAGGTACAGAATCACCACCGAAAATGGGAGTGTGCTTCAGCCTTCGCGTTACATTACCACGGTTGTCGACTCCCACGCTCAGCTGGGGTGGAGGCAACCCGGTGGTGTGACTAGCTGCGTACTGACCAATGTGAGCAACCGTAGCATTGTCGCGAGGAGGAGGGAACAGCAGTCCGGAGACCGGTGGATTCGCAACGCGAGAAGCCGGAGAAGGGGTCAGACCGCAACCTACAGAACACGAATTGGAACCGCGATGAGATGATGACGACGAGCCTGGATCAACACCATTTCCGATCTGAAGTTGTCATTAGATGCATTGCAGTTTTATGTTTGTGCCTATGTATTTAAAAAAAAAAAAAAAGAAGCATGACAAATCGCGCATTCTTCCAGACCCAGACATTTTTACACTTGATATCACCGGAGTTGGCACGACGTACGAGAAATTCCCGACCCGTGGCGTTCATTTCCCCTGCGAAAAAGAAAATAATTCCCCCGCGGGCTGCCCCGGTTGTAAACTTCCCCGCGAGACCGAATTTCATGGACTGGGGATTGCGCCGATGGATAGGTCGCGGCGCAGAAGGGGACGACGAGACACATAATAACTCCACTTCGGAAGCAGGCGAAGGTGGTCCTCGACCTCGTCATTGCGTTGTTGCTGAGGACCCAACGACGGTCGAAAGTTTCGGACCCGCATATGGCTTGCTCAGATGTTACAATCTCAAGCGATACAGTAGAGTCTGGAACTTGTGGTCTTGCATGAACAGCATGAGTACCATACAGAGACTTCCTTGGGCTTTTCGCAATACAAATCCCGCCAGATTTTTCACATGGGGTTTGGAGCTCCGAAACCTGTCATGCGCGCTCCTGTGCGAGTAGGCCAGACGTTGCGCATCTTGCAACACAAATTCCAGATTCTATTGTAACGCTTGATAAGATTGTAACGCCTGAGCGGTTTATACCGCACCGGGCTCGTGGGACTGGATCATTGCGCAGGCAGAGAGGTTATCAAGTGCAAAAATGTCTGGGTCTGGAAGGATGCAAGGTTTGTCATGCACACGCTGCATGACTCCTGAAGTCTGTGACGCATGCTCTAGCATCACAGATTTTGTGAGGGCTTCCTGATGCCTATACTGCATGAGAAATGCCCGCTCGCCGTGGCAAAGACTGGACCTCTTTTGCTGTTCACGCAATACAGATTTTTGTAGAATCCAAATTCAGCATCACAAGTTGCATCCTTCCAGACCCAGACATTTTTGCATTTGATAGAGGTTCGTCCAGGACCTAAAAAAACCGGTACGCGAGTTCGATATGAGAGTGCATAAGTATTAACCCCCCCCCCGCCCATTTGTAGTATCTGGCATGAACATCAGCAATACAAACACCTGTGCAACATGACAATTTCATGGGCCGAAGGTACTACTGTTTGGGCTTCCGAAGTAGTTTGTCACGTAAACAGTGCGCCGGGGAAGTAAATGGATTTGCGGTTTTGCATGTAATATGACAAATGATGAGGGGGAGGGGGGTTGTGCACTCTGTCTCATACTCGAATGGCTGTATGTGGAAGAAGAGGACATCGTGAAGTCTCCCCCCGAAAATGATAAAAACGAGGAACGCGGCGAGGGCCATTCTTCGGTCCTATCAACATCTTCGCGAAAAACTACTCACTCAGACTCATCTGCTGCTCCGCCGGTCAGCCGCCTTTTGTCTGCCTTTCAAGAGTACGCGACGCTACACCCCGGTCGTGGGCAGCTGCGACAAGCACAGCCAGCGTCCGAAGTAGATCATATGGGAGTAGAATGTAAGGAACAAAGCACAATAAATCACCACAATAAGAACACCCTTCCTCCAGCAGCTTGGAAAGATGACCAAACGTGTACTTCTTCTTTGTCCCGCTCTCAACTTTCGTTGGAGATGAGCGACAAGCAGCCACACAGCACGATCACTCCTTCTTCGCTGGACTTGCATCAAGGAAGGGCTTCTGCGCCCACTGCTCGTCCCGACGTGTACGATGGTTTAATATTCGATGCACCAGCAGACCACCCGGAGGACGCGTCTTCAACGTACCACGCGCCTTGCGGTGCCGCTCCGGCCGCGCGGTCCTGCGTTCGGTGCCCTCAACAAGGCGGGACCAGGAGTGAAAAAATGCCGAGAGGCCGCGCCACGTTTGGAAAAGCAGCAAATGTGGAGTACAGTGGCTACGAAGATCTTGGGCGGAGTGCGACCGACAACAGGCACTACCTGCGGTTCGTGCGAACCAAAGAGCAGTGCAACTGGCCGCAGGCGCCCTTGATAACACATGGCGGGACCTGGAATCACGTGGAGTGCGTGAAGAAACCGCTGTATGGGCCGGTATGAGAGTGAAAAAACAAAAATCGTACCTACAGAGTCTTTACGTATCTACTGATTACTTATTTGCCCTCCTGACATGAACTACAAGCGGCAGCCAGCGTGATCACAACTGCAAAATCGACTACGTTGTAGACAGTGACTTTTTTTGTCTCTTCATACCCCGGTTTTCATTCCTACGAGCTCATCGGCGAGGTGCACCACGTAGTGCCAGAAGTGTGCCAAAGTTTGCTGGACCGTGAACCTAGTGCCGCGCGTTCTCGTAGTAGTACATGTACAACTGGCACCAGCCGCAAAAACATTGACTCTGCTCCTGGTGACAGAGACACCAGTCGTGAACCAATTGCGGCGAGCAGTGGGAGAATTTCTCGGCGGGATGAGTCCATTGCTTCTTCTTCCTCGTCAACCAGGTCTGAGGGAAGAGCCATCACGTCTTCTCACGATGTTGATGTCGAGAAGACGAATAAAAGCTGCAGCAGTAAAAGGACTATGACCGCAAACAACACAAAGGATCTTCAAAATGATCTCCACATTGGCTTCATCAAGCCGTCGCTTTGTCCCTACTTTGGTCCTTTCTCGCAGAGCCTCCGGCCGGTGATTTCGTGCGAGGACAGCGACAGAGGGACAACATCAAGAGGAATGAAAATTTACCTGATATCCTGATTAAAAACGTACCCACACCAGAGTCAAGATGGGGACTTTGCAACACAAACCTAGGAGTTTTGGGAGTCACGCATGACAAGCTTCAGTCCGTAAGGTAGTGCAAGTTAGCAAGGAAAGCCGCATCACAAATCGATCTGCTGATCCTGTTTACAGCATTACAAGTTCCCAAACACGATTGAAAATGCCTGTCATGGGGTTGCGCATCACAAATGTTCCTGTCATGGCAAATCTGCATGACAACTCTGGGGTGGGTACGTTTTTACATAGGATACCTGAACCTGTCCCACCCGGACCTGCTTTCGCGCACGACCCGACCCAGCCGCATCCTGGAGGTGTGGACGAACATCGGAAAGGCGTACGTAATATGGATTGCAAAAATGTCTGGGTCTGGAAGATTGCAACTTGTAATGCTGTCTTTGGATTCCAAAATAATCTGTATTGCATGACCAGCAACAGGACTCCAGTTTATGTTACGCGGAGAGGGCATTTCTCATGCGGAATAGGCATTAGGAAGCCCTCTAAAAATATGTGTTGCTAGATCATGCATCACAGACATCATGAGTCTGCCAAAATATGCATGACAAACGTGGCAAGCTTCCAGACCCAGACATTTTTACATTTGATACGTAAAGCAGCACCAGAAGTGGCGACACAGGGTGGCGCTGGATCTCGTGGCAGGCACGAGAAGGGTGGAAACAAGACAACATGGAGTTTATTCGAAGATGATGCCGCGAAAAGAACGGAGAATAGTTTCAGGTGGGTTGGAAAATCAAGATTATTGCTTCAACGAGAATACAGTTTGCAAAAATGCTAATGCACTACTAGTAGGTCGTTGTACATCAAACGGTGCTGCTGAGGGTCAGCTTGAAAGTTGCATCTGCACTCCACAGCTTCCGGAGAGCTTGGCCGCCGAAATCGTCAAATTCGCATGAATATGCAAGCCAATAAAAGAGATAAAAGAACCTTTTTGTAGACAATCAAGTGCTTTGTTTGTAAGTAGTTCCTTCCAAAACTCGTTTCGATATAGTGACCATAGGGACTAAATTTACTCGCCGATGTGAGTAGACTAATAAAATATGTATGACCACATCAGGAACTCTGTCTTGATGCTCCTTCTGCGTTCTCTTCTTCTGTGTTCCCTTCGTCTTTTTCGTTGTTTCTGTGGCTTTTGGTCTCGCGTTTCGTTTCCTCTCGGCTATCGTACGGCTACTTGCTACAACTAACGAGACGTCTGAACGAGGTTTTGTTGAATTGGCTTTGTCGTCGTCCATCTGTTCATTGTTGCCTATGCATTCTTGTTTGTGAGCAGCATTTACTGCTCCAACCCCCCGTGCGCGGTAGTAGCGCGACCGGCTACCGTTGCACTGGAGCGCTCTCGGTCGTCGTGTGAATTCAGAATGGTCGCCAAAGAACGGAATAGTTGCCACGATCGCGGCCCCCGGCGACGAGTGTTCGTCGTCGCTGCTGCCGCTTTTCGTGGGTGCTATCATGATAATACCGCCACCGCGCTGAAAATTCCATTATGGATTGCAAAAATGTCTGGGTCTGGAAGATTGCGAGATTTGTCATGCTTGTCTGGCATGACAAAAGAGTTTGTAATGCGTGCCCAAGAAGAGACGCTTTTGCCTGTCATGCAAAAACGCAGTTTCTCATGCGAAAAACGCAACACAAAGAAGCGCAGATATTTCTCATGCTTGGTTGTGCATTACAGAGCATTCACTATTCCCAACACAGCATCACAAGTTTCCAGACCCAGACATTTTTACATTTGATATCCATCCCCTATTGGCAACGACCAGATCTTCACGAACGGACCACCGGGACAGGCCAGCCATGCTGTGCCGCATATTACAGTGAAAAATGCCCCCACCCCCAGCTTGGCAGCATTTGTATTGCAAACCTTTCCAACAGAAACATTCCCCGTCTTGCATATCTCAGCATCACAAATTTTCCATGCTGAATAGGTCAAATTTGTGTTGCGAAGTAGCCCAACAGCAGCCGGATCTGTTATGCACAAGGCACCTTGCGCACCCTGATTCTGCATCAGAAACGCTCGCAATCCTTTTATGCAAGACAAAAAGCTTTCATTTGGAAACTTTTCATGACAAACTTCTGCAAATTCCGGGGTGGGGGCATTTTTCACTGTAATACCGCAGCAGACTGCTTCTCCGCAGGAATTGCCTTCTTCTGCATCAAGTTCCCGCCTCGTCTCCGGTGCGTCTACTGCGACATCGAGCTTCATGAATCAGTACCAGAACAATGGTCTGCAGACGAACAACCCGGAGGATCCAGTCGTGCAAGCGCCGCAAGGGCGTTTGGCAGGAGATCAAAGTCTTGCAGGAACGGCGTGGGACCCGAGACTTTACGACGCGACGGCGCAAGCGGGCGCCGGACCAGGATTTACGCCGCAGCTCCAGGAGCCAGGACAGCTGCAGAACCAGCTTCCACTGCAGGGCCAGCTGCAGGGAGCAGCCATGCCGCAAACAGTGCCCTTCATGCCACTGTACGCCAATGGTTACAACCCCGGGCAGGCTGCGACGATGGCGATGCAACCGCCCTTCGCGGAGGCTTTTAATCCCAACGCAATGCCGCCAGGACAGAACTTTTACACTAGCAACTGGAATGCTGTTGCCCCCCCGAGCTTCATCTCTCCCCAAGAACAGCAGCAGCAGCAGCAGCAATATGCTGCCCAGCTGCCTTCTGCAGCTGGCACACTCGTCACCGCAAGCGATCATGATCCTCTGCAAGAACCTGCCACAGGTGGTCCTTCGTCCCACCAGTTTGTTGGACGTGAACTACGAGCAAGACCTACGACGTCTTCTGTGGCAATATCAAGCAAGATTCCGACAGCGAAGAGCGCGGATGATGGGGGACCAGTAGAGAAGATGAGTGAAAATGAAGACAGGTCTCCTTCCGCTGAAACTTTAGCAGAGTCTTCTGCGATGTTGTCGCCGCCGCAGGCACAGCAGGCTGGTCCCCTTGAGACGACGACCGAAAATGCGCGCGAAGAACTTCCGGGGCAGCAATTCCTTCCAACTCCGAGCACAGCTACTGTTTCGCCCGTTGACCAGCAAGTGTTGTCTTTTTACGGCAGCGCGCCACCTCCGGCGGCCGTGGTCGCGCCGATGATGTCCGCTTCTGCACCGACCAGCGCGCCCATGATGTCCGCTTCTGCACCGCCTCCGGCGCCCGCGCCGCAGCAGTTTGTGGATCCGAACGCCGTGTCGACGCTCGTGCGGCAGGAACTGCAGTCCCAACTCCAGTCGCAATTGCAGGCGCAGCTCCAGCCGATGCAAACCCAGGTGAACTCGCTGGGGACGCATATCCTGTGCAAAAGTATCTGACTTATGCGTACTAGTTGCAGCCAGGCATCACAAATCCATACTTTCAACTTTAGATAGCATGACAAACTCCATTTGTGTTCTTGGGAAAATTTGTGATGCAATTTATACGACGTAGTATCGGATACTTTTGTAATGCATAACGCAGCTACCGCAGCAGTTTGAGCAGCGGCTGACCGACGTGGCGACCAAGAAAGAGGTCGAGCAAGCGGAGCACGTGGTTCTGAAGACCGTGGAGGAGGAGGCAGAGAAGAAGATTCAGGAGGCGGGCAAGAAACTCGGGGAGGAGTTCGAAGCCGGGGCGAAAAAGCAGGAGGAGGCCCTGATGAACAAAATGTCGACGGTGGAGAAAGAGCTGCAAACTGTCGAAGAAGGGTTTCAAGAGAAGGTGAAGGAAGTGCAAGCGGCGGAAAAAGACATCCAAACAGAGATCAGCACGGTGTTGGATTTATGGATCTGGCAAAACATTTTCGTAAATTACTGCAAGGTGAATAAACGCATGAAATAAATGCGATCACTTGGACGGCCGGTCCCGCTTCCCAAGTAGACATGGCCAACATTCCTACTCAATCTCAACAAAAAAGCATTCAAAGGAGCGTTTGTTTCTTGCAGAGCTGTGCACATCCGTTTTTTACGCAATGGGTTTTGCAATCCATACTAGACTATTGAGAGGAAAAATCCCCCCTCCCCATATCGAAAAGGTATCTTTCCGAAAATTTGCGTTGCTGATTTGAGGTCACAAATAGCATTTGTCTTGCAGGAAGACAAGGGCACCAGAAGCTTCCGCCCCATTATGGAAGCGATTTGTCATGCTGCTGGGCCTAAAGGTCAGCCGTTTGCAATGCTGAACAACTAGACCCATAGGCCCCTACCTAGCCTGGGGATCTGGCCGCAATGCCTTCCTGCAAGACAAATCCGATTTGTGTACGCAAATCCAGCATCACAGATTTCCTTTTTGATATGGGGTGGGGGCTTTTTTCACTTTGATATAGACAGCCAAAGCGGCCGGTGAAGTGCTGGAAAAGGCGAAGGAGGAGAACGAATTGCTAAAAAAAGACGTCGCAAAGGTACTTACTTACGTAGTTCATCGATCTGGTGTGATACCTCGTGCTCTACTGAAAGAAGTGAAGGCGTGAAGATGGAGATGAAGAAAATGCACGACTTTATCTTTCTACTTGAAACATAAATTTTACAGATGGGTCAACATCATCACTCTCACTGAACTGATCATCTCAGGTTGACACGACTTTTCACAACGTGATGGAGCAAAGTTCAGCGGTCCAGAATGCCACCGAAGCTGTATGAGAGTCGTGCACAACTCGTTCCGCTGCTCCCGCTGGTTCGTTCTGCAAAATGCTCAGCAATGTGCATGAAAACCTTCGGAGGCCCAAGCAGCACTGCGATGCTCTTGCTGTAGAAATGAAACAGAAACATACACTAGAGCAAATGACCGGGATTAGTGGGACGCGTTGTTCACTCTCATAGGCTGCCAGTGCCCAATGGAAAACCATGGAGACGGAGCTGACCGGAGAGATGCAACAAGCGAACGCAAAGGCCGACGCAGCACTCACTGCCTCCAATGGCCACGAGGAAACCTTGGAATATGCATTGCAAAGAAAAGTATCGTACTAGTAGTAATTGCAATACAAATTAGCGCAGCACGACAAATCAAATTTCTCGTCCTGATTTAGCTTGAAAATGAGATTTGTGTCGCATGCCTGCCATTATTACGAGCGCGATACTTTTGCACAGGATATGGAAAAGGCCGCGACGATTCTGGAGGAGGTAAAGCAGAAGGTGGACGCTGATGAGGAAACGCTGGGGGCCTTAGATGGTAAGGTTGGGGACTTGCAGAGCGCTGTCGGGGCCAGCGTCGCGTCGCCCGCAGTCACGAGGTAGGAGCGCCGCTGGGGGGCTGGAGGGCGATATGGAGCTGGTAAGAAAGTACGTCGCCGGATGAATAGATGACATTCTTTTCATAAAGAATAAGTTTCTGGCTCGGCGGTATGATCATTTATTTTCCGGTGAAGCCAGCGCAAATAAATTGTAAATTTTTTTTTCCTCCGCGTGTCACGCCCGCGCTCTCACGAACGTAAACCTTTCATGTGTGTGCTGGAGTGTGTAAAACATAAAGGATTCGACCTGTGTCGGGTTCTACTTTTGAACAAAAGCGATATACAAGCTAGATACTCCTGTGCGTAGACGAGAATGGATTCATGCGCGTTGCTGATGATAATTGTTCTCTTGTGGATGCCGTTTACGTTTTGACTTTTCCAAATTTGCTTTCTTGACGAGGAACGAGCTGTAGAGATGCGGAAAAAAAGCCCCGGAGCTGCTACTTGAGTTGCGCAAATAGTTGAAAAATCAACGTGGGACGAAAGAAACAAGATGCTGCGTCAGTCGTTGTTGAGAAAGCTGTCTATTTCCAGCTGCGATCTAGACAGGCTGCCATGATGACCAAAACAGATGACTCAAAACCGAAAATTTCTATAGTGTAGAGGTGCGGCAGAAGAATTTCAATATCGAAAAAAAGTAGAATATTAACATCTTTCTTGACAAAAGTGCTTCCAGAAGAAGAACAACGAACATCATGCTTCCCTATTAGCGCAGCGTATCGTGCCTTCAAGCTGCATTTCTCCCGAACAGCTCCTTGCTTCGCACTTTTTAGTGAACCACGCAAACCAGCATGCCGCCCGTGAAGCGAGAGCGGCGCGGGTCCCCGTCGCCCAGCGGCGACCCGAGCGACATGCAGGAGCAGGGCAGCCTGCAGGGGAGCCAAAATCCGTCCGGACCGAGCGCTCGGAGAAGAAGAGTAGAAGATCCCAGTCCAGTACCCAACAGGGAAAAATAGGGCGTGTAGTCGTGATGTGCTCATCGATGTTGATCTTGGTACGTATAGACTTAATATCTTAGGATTTTTATACAACTGCACAGGCGTTCTTTACAAGAACTTCATGTAACCACGCACAGGGACCAGCGCCGGAATGTGTGCGCGACATGAAGATCTTCATTCGCTAGCAGTCAGAGCAAAAGTACTATACTAAATGCGTTTTCGTCCTCTACTTGCGGTGAATCTCCATCTCTATTCTGACGCAAGGCAATGAGCAAGAGCATTCTTCTGGACTACGACTACCCAGAGACATTTTTTCCTTGCATTTCCCAGTCCCAGCCCCCCGGGTGGACCAGGAGGAGGCGAAGGTCCGTCCGCCAGCCGCAGCAACCACTTATCGGGAAGTACTTGATCGTCTTCTTCTTCTGGGGGCAAATGTTTATTTTCCAAAGATCCAAAAGAGAATAGAAAAAAAATGTTTTTTCAAAAGATCGGTGGCAACATCTTGTTTGAATGAACCGTAAAATGATAAATTCCAAGAAGTCAAACATCAAAAGTAAATCGCAAAAACCAGCCAACGCCGCTTCCTACCAGGAAGATGGGGATTGGGATCTGAAGCACGAGAAGCTGGACAAGGCGTCCGACATGACGGACCGGTTGGGCCACAAAATCCGGGAAAATTTCAAGTTTTTCATCCGCACCTTCCAAAGCCCGCGGCAGGTCGTTGACATGAAAAAGAAGAAGGGCGAAGACTCCGATAGCGAGGAGGACGACGACAAGAGGGATGACGAAAAAATGGAGTACACCTACGTCGAACGAGTCAAACAGATGGTCACGAAGGGCAAACGAACCTTGATTGTCGGTATTTTTCCTCTGGAGGGGGTAGCTCCGTAGTTTTGTTTTTGAAGACTTCCGGCCGAGGAAAAGCAAAAGATAAGGGCGACTGATGAGTCCACCAATTATCTTCGTCGTGCATATAAAATTCACATAGATATACATATCAGATTTCCGCCACCTGTACGGCAAGCCGGAGTGTGCCAACCTGGCCTGGTGGCTCTCCCAGTTCCCCGCGAAGGTGTTGCCCTTGCTCAACGAGGCGGTGTCGAAGCTCTGCGTGGAAGAATACAAGGCGCACGGGAGGGATAAGGACGAAGAGGTCTGGGTTTCCATCTCCAGCTTTCCGTGCTCAGATTCGATCCGGAAGTTCCGCAACGAACATTTAAACAATTTCGTCACCTGCGAGGCCGTCATCACAAGGAGAACACAGGTACGTAGGATGGTTGATTTTCCGTTTTATGCATTAGTAGCAGAGAAGGAGAAGAAGATCGATTTCTACTCCAGCATGACGCGGTCGTTGAATATGTTTAGCTCTGTCGACAGATGACACTAGGACACGCCATATTCGTTGTGTTGACATCCATGCGACTCCCGGGCGAAAGCCAAGCATAGGCTGAATTCCGGTTTTTTTGAGAAACAAGTAAGCAATTTATCATCGACGCGGCCCTGACGGATTTTTTCTCACGCACAGGTGCGCAACTGCTGCTACAACAATCAGCCCCTTCTTCTACTTCGCGCGCCTGGCATGCTTGCTGTGGCCATGCTACTTGCGCAGTATAGATCGTGCCTCTTCTTCTAGAAGCTCATGTTCTACAAGAAGCTGCTCTGTGTAATTGTACTAGCGGTGCCCTGGGCCACCCCGTTGCTCCACAAGCACAAGTTGGCCTCCAGCTTTTACCGCATTTTCGCCGCGCGCAGCCAAAAAACAAAACGCAAACGCAGGAAAAATCGTATCCGTTCGAAGTGAAAATCGAGGATGTCCTCGATTATAGATTTAGAACACAAAAAGCAAAGGCTTGCGAAACAAAGTGGCTTTGTTTTTTGTTTATGTCGTTACCGGCCTCATCAACTATCAGGTGTTTAATCAGCTCCAGAACCTGTATCTCACGTGCGACCAGTGCGGTGAAATAAACGGCCCATTCTCAGTATGCCCTGCGACTACTTATTCAGGCTCGGCGGGAGAAACGCAAAACTTGCTATTGATGCTTACTAACTTGTAGAGCAGTTTTTTGTGCAGCTCCTCGGAATAAGCTGCTTTGCGACCCCCGCGGATGAAGCACGTACTCATATTAACCTCAACGCAGAAGTGCTTAGAAGTTTCCTGTGGAATTATAATTCTCTGCTTGCCTGAACCTGACCGCGTGTTTGCAATGCATAGACGGCAGTAGGGGCCGAATCCGATCCGTTCAAAAACAGAACCTGTTCAAATCCCGACTGCCAGAGCAGGTATACTTACGTTTTTGCTGCAGTTCATACATTCATTCCCTCATGATTATTTTCGGCTTCTCGTTTCACACAATTTTGCCTATGCTTATGGTGAACCGGTATTCAAAACCAGGACAAGTAGCACTAGACCAGGGAAAAATCGCAAAAATGTAGTGTAGCCCCCCCGTAAAAAAAACAGGTTCGGGTTCACGGTGAATGCGGAGCGCACGACGTATCAGAACTACCAGCGCGTCACCTTGCAAGAGCCCCCGGGTTCCGTCCTGGCGGGGCGCATGCCGCGGAGCAAAGACGCGATCCTGTCCGGCGAACTGGTCGACACGGTGAAACCCGGCGATATGGTGCAGGTTACCGGAATCTACCAGGCGCAATACGATGTGGAACTCAACGCGCAAACGTCGTTCCCGGTGTTCAAAACCGAGATTCTGGTGAACCACGTGGAGAACATGCACGTGGAGAAAATGCTGGCCCTCACAATATCAAAAGCAAAAATCCCCCCTCCCCATATCGAAAAGGTATGTTTCCGAAGATTTGTGTTGCTGATTTGAGGTCGCAAATCACATTGGTTTGTGTACACAAATCCAGCATCTTGGCTCAAGACTTCTTGTCTTGTGGCCCATTTCCCACAATTAGAGGCGGGGCCGCCACCCCCGCGTGATCATCTTGTTTCAGGAGCTCATCGTGAGTTCCAAAGATCCGTAGCGGCTCTACATAACAGGCGCCGGGTGCGGCCGGTCAGCCTCTAGATCATCGCTAGCGTAGTTCGATCATTCTGATAGTGATAAAAAGGAAAAGTGCTGCGTTCTTTTGTTGCACTCCCTCGGTAGGCACGCGCGTGCGTTGCCGAGCATCTGAGCGGCTCCTGCGTGACGAGTGTCACCGCCCGTCGTTTCGAGTTGGGCTGTCCTTCTTCTGTCCTCACGAGCCGTCCCTATCGGCGTACCGTTGTGGTTTCCTCGATCGCCACTTAGAGGCTCTCCGCGATGGTCTTCTTCGTCGGGTGGATAGCGGCGCGCATCGAGTTTATGCGGCCTGGGACTTCCGTGGAACCAGCACGAGCTTCCTGGCTTATGTGGTCCTGCTGCGGAGTGGGCAGTCGGGGTACCTGTCGCTGGTTGCGGAGGCCATCTCGAAGTCCCCGATAGTGGATGGAGTTCTCCCGCCCATCTCCGAGTCACGAGGATGCCGCGCCCACCAGCGGATTGCCCTTCGGCGCTGGAGATCAGGGACTTTTATTTACTTACTTATTATTTTTGTCTGTCCTCATCTGCGGCTCTGTCTATCGTGAATTTGCATAATAAGTAAGTCCACTGTACCTGCGCCAAAAATATACTTCTCCTCATTCGTTTGTCTTTGTGTATCTCGGTTTTTCCTTTTTGTTGTGTTGTGGTAGTGGATTATTTAGGGCCGCTTCCCTCATGGAAACCTTATTCCTGACCTCAGGCGCGTCGTAACGTCTCCTCTGGAAGCGGCTGTGCGCGGCTCTTACGTACAAGGTGGAGGCGGTGATGGTGTTGACGGGATGACTACGGAGATGGTTTTCGGATTATCTTCATCAGTTTTTCTTGCCGGGGGCACCGTGGCTGACCCATCTGTGTCAGTGCGCGGACCACACCATCAGCTGTGATAGCGGCGCCCCATCTGCGGCGTTCGGTGTCCCCCGTGCGCCGGGTCCTGCGTGGTGCGACGTTCTCGAAGCGGGCGAGCTTTGCGGCACCAAGGTGGTGGCGGTTGTGGTGAGGGCGAGACGCGCCCACTTTGACCATCCCCGAGTGCGACACCAAGGTGGAGGTCGTAACGTGGAGTGGGTTATCCGTCTCTGGCCACGAGTGGTGGTTTCCAGCGTGATGCGCTGTCTGTCCGACATCGCCCGCAGTTCTCCGGCACAGTGCTGTTGCGTTAGCAGTTGCTCTTCGAGATTGAAGCTGCGCAGGACGAAGACGAGGCGGAGCAGCTCTGACGGAACTGGGCAGCGCGCGGCCTTCGCACCAGGAGCGGAAGCCGATTACTCAGCTTTCTTCCCGGGGGCTCCGGGGCTGACCCATTTGTGTCGGTGCGCGGACCAGCCCATCTGCGTTGAAAGCAGCACCCCATTCGCGGCGTTCTGTGTCCCCTGTGCGCCGGGTCCTTTGCAGCGTGCGTGGCCTTCTTGCTCGGCTCGGCCTGTTTTGGTGTCGCGTCGGTGGGTGTGCGTCAAGCTGAGTGGAGTGGAGCGAGATGCGCGTTTTGTGCTTGGGGGTTGTTCGACGGGATTCTTTTTGCGCCGAGGATTTCTAGCTTGTGACACGCCGCGTGTTCCCGCGGACTCTGTTTTGTGCCTGCTCGTGCTCGGAGATGACGTTGCTGTAGCCGCCGGAGATCGCGGCTTTCCATGATTTCCTACGATGCCGCTGGTCCTACAAGAGCCCTTTCGCCTTCATCCCAGTGCTGTCGCTGACAGACCTTGGGCTGATAATCCCGTTGCAGGAGGTTCGGTCCTTGGCGCGTCTTCGCCACCGGCAGGAGTCAGGATGGGTAGGTGGGTCTCCTTGTTATTGCCTGAGCTTGCTCAGGCCTTCGCTGCTTTCGGTGGCTGGTGGCCGCTCTTGAGTTTCAGGTGTGGGTCGGAGTCCGTTTGCCTCTCGTCAGTTTGGACGGAGTGCTCTCGTTCAGCCACCCCCCGGCGGTCGACTGTCGGCTATCTGGCTCCCCCAGCTCATGATTGCGGCGTTGGCTGGTGATGACAAGGTTGCGGACAGTTGACTTGTCATCTGTCTGGTTCGCTCACTTTGCTGCCACGACTGTTTGGTCCCCGGTCCCCTGAGGCGGGGGGATACGGGTTACCTGGTCGGGATGTCGCGCGGTAGGTGTCTCTCACGTCCCTAGCTCTTCGTACTCGCCGCTGAGTACAGTCGAGCACCTTGGTTGATCGCCACACTGTTTCATAGTGCTGAAACGACCCGGCTTTCACTAGGGGGAGCATTCGTACATTTTGTGCCCTCCGGGACTATGCCTCTGCTTCCGTCTAAACTGAGGGGTCCACTTATCCCTCTCGGTATTCGGTCGCAGGGAAGGGTTGCCGGGGTCTCCCTCGCATCGGTTCTCGATGTCGGGTGTGAGTTTGTGACTGCGGGGGCAGTGGTTGGCTTAGGTTTGTGGAGTACTTCTGAAAAGAGGCTCCCATTCCTTCTTCCAGGCAGTGATCCTAGATCGCTGCCACGCGGAGCCACCCCCGTATTTCACCCCCAGGGGGTTGTGGACCTGGCAAAACCGATGAGTTCGGGCTGCTGACTGTTCCACCTCCCCTAAGTGTGATCATTTCCGCCTCACGCCTCACGCCTCACAAATCCAGCATCAGAAATTCCGTTTTGGTACACGCCTGGTTTCAACTCGGCCTTGTCCAATTTGTATCCCGCACTGGTATTTGCGTTGGTTGTTTTGGTCATGACGTTTTGCGCATGACATTTCGCGCTACCACTTGTGTGTAGTTCGCGATACCGACGGGTGTCCATGTCGGTTACTCCGTTTTTTGGCCGTTTGCATGCGTCTCCACGTTGGTTTGTCTTGCGAGACTCTCCTTTTCTAGTGGTGGTTTTTGAGTTGTACCAGTGTGATAGTGCCAGCTTTAGGGCGTTTTTAGATATAGTGGAATTAGAACTTGTTTTTTGGTAGTACTCCTTTCTATACTTTTTTTGATCCCTCGGTGCTAGTGGGCAAATTTGTACGAAGTTATTTCTACTCAGATAACAACACAGCTCACTACGCCGCCTTCCCAGGAGCTGTTGTTGCTATCTTTCGGTAGAAATCACACCGTCCAAATAATCCTACTAGAGTTTACCGGACTTCATTTTTGGCTCCTGGGATTTGCATGTAGTCGTGTTGCTGAAAATGTTTATCAACAGCCGCTGATGGAGAAACATTTTCAACCGCGACCGTCTTGTATAAGAATGTTCATGATTGTGCTACCATTGCTATTGGGCATACTGGTTGCTTTGGGGCATTTTCATACATGGGCGGCATTTGCTACGTGGTACGGGTGTCCCGTGATTATCGGGTGACCAAGTTCCCGGTGTGCGCGGAGGTATCGCTTGTGGAGGGCGGAGTTTGTGCAGGCTACCGCACATGCTTTACGACGAGATCATGCACATTGCGCGGCTGTCAATTCGGGAGTTTAGGGTGCCCATCTCCGTCTTCCCGCTGGGTTCAATCTGAAAATATTCGCAACACCGCACTGCTCTACTCCGACTTACCCTCATTCTATTTCCTCGATTTCTCGGTGCCAGGCCATGCACTTCTCCGTCTTACATTGCGAACCGGGTCGACGGGTGCACATATTGAAAAATAGAAAGTTGGGATGGCAAGACAAAAAAGGGCAATTTATTATTTATCAAGGGCGTTCCTACTAGTGCCGCTCGGGCTTAGTCATAGACATAGCGTTACCTCTAATCCTTTATTGGTTTTAAAAAAGTAACCAGGCCTAGTTCGTGATCTCCGGTGGAGAACTACAGCATGCAATTCCTAAGTTAGTCCCTGGCTCGGTCTGCTAATCCGGGTAAGTAGCAACATCGTCGTGCTTCTCTACTAAATCGCTTACTGGTGCCTGCCCACTCGGGGAATAATTACATAAACGGCTGCCGCTTGTGGTGGTCAGAGGCGTTCGAGTCTAGTTAGTCCCTAGCTGCGCGCTACTCTTTCAGTTCGTGCGGGCTCCAGGTGCTGCGATCACCGGCAGGAGCTTAACAACAGCGAGCATAAGGACGTTAGATTTTTGATTGCTTTACATTACAAGACCGGCACCTGTGTCGGCCCGCCGAAGTTTCGCGCGCGGGTTCAGCAGTCTTCTTTCTCGCGAAAAAGGTGAGTCTCCTGACCCTTTCGGTCGTCACCACTCCGCCGGTATTCGTGCTTGCGCGGTACCTCACGATGACGATGACGATGGTTTAAGTTTTTTACGTATAGTCTAAACAGGGACGCCCAGCCCTTAGCCATCCAAAATCAGAAATTCCGTTTTGATATGGGGAGGGGGGATTTTTCCTTTCGATACACAACGGACGAGATTCAGGAATTGAAGAATCTCTCCGAGGAGACCGTATCAAATGCAAATATGTCTGGGTCTGGAAACTTGTGATGCTGAACTGTGCACGACTGAAATAGTTCCCAAGGCAGCCAAGCGTGACAAGTTTGCCGAACACTTTGTTTGCCATGCGCAATCCGCATGACAAGCTGCGCTTTTATGTGACAAAAGAGGGCGTTTCTTTGTTGGTCATGCAATACAGATCTTACAGGAATGTAGGATTAGGATTACAAGTTCCATTTTTCCCGACCCAGACATTTTTGCAATGCATAGACCGACATCAAAGACCGCTTGATCCAGTCCCTGGCACCCTCCATCCACGGGGAGCCCCACATCAAAACCGCCGTCGCGCTTGCCATGTTCGGTGCGGTGTCGAAAATTGCGCCGGGGGGACACATATGTGTTGCAAAAGTATCGTACTAGCATAAATTGCATCACAAATTTTTTCAAACGGAAAAATGGAATTTGTAATGCTGATTCACCTAGAAAGGGGTATTTGTCATGCATGATAGCAATTACTTAGTACGAGTGCGATACTTTTGCACAGGATAACATAGAATCCGCGGCGATTTGAATATTCTGATTTTGGGCGATCCCGGTAGACTGGGATTTCTTTTTGTTTTAGAAAAAAAGCCTGCTCATGTGAAGAAACGCGCATTCAAATCAGTAGAAGCTCCTACGACGTCCTGGTTTTGGAGAGGACGTGGTCCCGAAGTACAAACAAAGAGTCTTGATGCCACACTTGTTTTAGTTACGACAAAGGTTAGTAATGAGAAGCTACATGCTGTTGACAAGTAAGTACCTACCGTCTTTCGCATATAGTGGTCGCTTCGAGACCGTTGATTTCATTCACAGGTATGGCGAAGTCGCAATTTTTGAAGTACGTGGAAAAGACGATGCCCCGGGCGGTGTACACCACCGGCAAGGGTTATGGAAGTGTCAGAATCGAAATTGACAAAATCGGAAAATTTGTGATGCACAAAATCGATGTCAGTTGGAGCCTCAGTGTCCAAGTGGCGCATGACAAATTTCGGGAGCACCAAAATCCAGTCTGTCATGCTGCTTGGGCAAAGAAGACTGCTCCAGTCATGCTACTCTCCTGGCAGCGCGTTGTATACCCCTAAGCAGGCTTACAATCGGTCCCATTTGCCTGCTCCCCAATACAGGCCATCAGTGCCCTAGTACATTTTATGCATCACAAATTATCTCGATTTTGTCGATTTCGATTCTGACACATCCATAAGGGTGCTTCCGGGGTCGGTTTAACGGCGGCGGTCGGCCGGGATCCGGTCAGCGGCGAGTGGGTGCTGGAGGGCGGGGCGATGGTGTTGGCGGACCAGGGTATCTGCCTGATATGCAATGTAAATTTCCCGTACATGTACAAAATGCATGACAAATTTCGCTCACTTGTAGTGTCCAACTTGTCATGCTAGACTAGGATTGAAGGCAAGTTTTGTTATGCAGAGACTGCATTTGTACACGTACGGCAAATTTACTGTGGATACCTGATTGACGAGTTCGACAAGATGAACGATCAGGACCGTACCTCCATCCACGAAGCGATGTATGCATTGCAAAAGTATCGTACTAAGTAGAAATTGCATGACAAATTTTTGTAGAAGGAAAAATGCAGTTTGTCATGCTGTTTTACCTTCGGAAGAAGATGATTTGTCATGCATATTTGCAATTAATACGAGTGCGATACTTTTGCACAGGATATAATGGAGCAGCAGACCATTTCCATCGCGAAGGCCGGCATCTGCGCGTCGCTGCAGGCCCGGTGCTATGAATTGCAAAAATGTCTGGGTCTGGAAGATCCTGAAACTTGTCATGCACGTTTTGCGTGAGGCGTGACGTCAGTGATGCATGCCCCAGCATCACAGATTTCGCGAGGGCTTCTTGATGCCTAGTCCACATGACAAATGCCCTCTCCGCATAGCAAAAATTACGTTCCCTTTGCGGCTCATGCAATACAGATTTTTTTGGAATCCAAACGCAGCATCACAAGTTGCATTCTTCCAGACCCAGACATATTTGCAATCCATAGGTGCTCCGTGATTGCGGCGGCAAACCCCCGGCAGGGCCGGTACGATCCGCAGCTGAACTTCGCCCAGAACGTGGACTTGACGGACCCCATCTTGTCGCGATTCGACGTCCTTTGCGTTTTGAAGGACGTTCCGGACACCGGCCGTGACGTGGCGCTGGCGGATTTCGTGATCTGCAGTCACATATGAAATGCAAATATCCCTGGATGTCTGGAAACCTGTAATGCTGAATGGTCATGAGTGACAGTACGCCTCTAAGTGCAGTATTGCATGACAAATTTTTCAAACGCTTTCTCATGCTTAGTGCGCATTACAAACTGCGGTTTTTCATGACGAAAGCGAAACAGTATGGTGCTTTTGTTGCTTTTACGCAAGAATACAGATTTTTCTGGAGTTGTCCTGGCCAGGCAATACAAGTTCAACCTTTATAATTCCAGACCCAGACATATTTGCAGCTGATATCCCATCCGCTCACACCCGGACTGCGACGAGCAGACCAAGAAAAATTTGAAATCGAAGGGCAGCGGATTCCGCTCCACGATCGAACCCTTGGAACAAAACAAGCTGCGAAACTACATCATGTACGCCCGGCAGAACGTCAAGCCCACGGTGTCAGATTTGGACCGCGACAAACTGGCAAGGTTTTACCAGGAAATCCGACGAGAAGCCGCCGGGAACAACGCCAACGGCACTGTCATGACGGTAATACTTCATTTTTGTCCGGGTAGTTTCTTTACGTTAGTGCCTTGCATGACTGAGTGCCGGCGCCACTCTTGGCAAAGGAAAAAAAAACAGCTTCGTTCGTTTTTCAACTTTGAGAACGTTGCCACGTGCGGTCGCTGCACACAAAATGAGTGCCTACACAAGTAAAGTGCGCTTGCGCACATACAAGTATAGTAAATACCAAGAAAAATAAAAATGTTGAAAATCAGGTCCGTCACGTGGAGAGTATGGTCCGGATGGCGGAGGCTTTCGCGAAGATGGAGCTGCTATCAACTGTAAAAATGTCTGGGTCTGGAAGATTCTGAGATTTGTCATGCATATTTCGGATCACGCAAATGGCGTCTGATGCAGGCAAAAGCATCACAGGTTTTGAGCAAGCTTCATGATGCCTGTCCCGCATGAGAAACTTCCTACTTGCGTGCCAAGAAATGGACAGCTTTTGGCGCTCATGCAACACAAGTTTTTGTGTGTTCCAGAGTTTGCATCACAAGTCCCAACCCTTCCAGACCCAGACATTTTTACATTTGATAGCTGCGACACCAGGTGAACAAACGGGATGTGGATAACGCCATCGCGACGATGCTGGAGTCCTTCTGTCAAACGCAAAAACACGCCTACGCACAGGAGCTGCGTAAAAAGTTCGGGCACTATATTGTCCAGGTATAGATATGAGGGCGGCTCGTTTTCGATTTCATCCAGAAAACATTACAATGTTATGTAATACTCCGGAATAATGTCAGATCAACATACATGCTCAACAAAGAAGCGCAAACAAAATTGTGCTTCAAGAATCAACACTATTCTATGCAGGTGCAAGACCACCATCAACAGCTGAACGGATTGCTTTCCCGGCAGCTCACGCGCGCCGAGCTGCTCATTAAAGACGAGCAGACAAGAGTGGCGCACGTACTTACTTAGTTTCTGTCAACATTTCTTGCGGTTGGGCTATAATTTTCTTGCATGGCAACGCAGAAAGTGAAAAACTTGAAACATTGATTGCGGCCTAAATGCAACAGCTCAGAATGAATGCGTTTATTTACTCTCCGCGGATAAAACACTTCCCCAAACTCAGGTGAAAGAAGCAGACTTCGTGAAGGAAGCCAAGCTCTACCTGCTGCAGGATTCGGTCAAGGATTACCTGAAGAGCGATCTTTTCCGAGAATCTTTTGTCATCGACGAGGACCTAGGCGGAATTCGGCGCATGACCGAAGAAGAGCGCTACCAGCAGGACGACTTTTCTCTGCCGGCCTTCATCACGCCAAACCGATGAAGAGAGGCGAGCGCCAAACCGACGAAGGTTGTAGGCGTGCTAACCAGCAGCTCTTTTTCGCATTTGCTACAGGAATAATCGACCTGCAACGTCGCTAAAGGGCGATCATAACATCGAAGTATTTTAGTTTTAACGCTACAACCATTTTTTATCACAAGTAATCGCAAGAGCTCCGAGCTCTGCTTCTGCTCTTGCAGAAGTTGAACTCGTTGCTGGTATAATGTCTAGATTGATAAATTGACACTTAGACGACCTATTTCAGGTTTGTTTTAGCATACTAATCCAATAGTAGTGGAACAGGGCCAAAGTTGCCCTGATCGAAGGTGTTTAGAACCCCACAGTAAGTTCAAAATGGGCGCAGGAAGTATTAGAGGTGGGGAGACCAAAAGTGTCTCTTCGTCTAGAGGTGGGGGGTTTGATTTTCATTTATGGTAGGAACCTACTATACCAATCTGGACACCACAGCAAGGAAACATTCGATCGAATTTGGACTGTTTTTTTGTAAGATTTTCACGATATTTTTTTGGCAAAATCAAAAAAGACGGTCCGAAAAGGCCGATGGCGTCTGAGTGCGTCAACCGCTATGTGCACCGGGACGAATGGATTTTGTTGTCTAGAACGCCTTCCTCCGTCTAACTACAATCTTGCGCGTTTCGTTTTTTTTTCGGTTCGATACCAGAGTGAGGATGAAGTCGGAAACCTCGTGCTCGAATTTGTTTGTAGTTTCGCGAGAACAAGGAGGGTTGAGGGTGAGGCGACTTTTACGAGTGTTACTTGACCATACCGCTGCCGAGACGACCATAGTTGTTGTCCGTAGAAAGCCAAACTGCCTTTCTTTCGTTCGTGCTGCCAAAGAGTGTGAGGCTCTTTCCGTGGTGAGCTGTGTGTCTGATCGAAGCAAAGTGTAGTCGCTGGTTGGGTTCTGCAAATGGTTTTTCCATACATAATTTTTTCAATAGCAGGCCGAGGAGAGGACAAAGGAATTTCCATTTATCAGACCAGCTCAGGGAGGAGCGCATGCTCCCTCTGGTAACCGTAAGGAAAATGTTCTGGTAGACGAGGCAGAAGTTACTGTACTTGCACTCTCCCAGGACAACGAACGTACGACGAAATTAATAAGGGAATAACGCCGTCGGGCAGCTCTCATCTTTCACTGCGCCACAAGCACTTCGCGCTCCAGAGAGCAAGACCTGTTTAAGCGGTGGTCGTGTCCAGCAACTAGTTACGCAGCAGTCCTCGTTGCAAGCGCTTGTTGCTTCGTGCCGGGGTTGTTTCTGGTACAACAACACGCAGGGAGCTACAGGTACACCTTTATTGTGCAGCGTGAGAACGTCGAGTGTCTCGCGAAGCGCGGAGGCATTTGAACTGCCGCGCTCTGATTCTTGTCGCGGGTGTACTACTAGTACCAGAATCGAAGCGAGAAGAACACCACTACGCGCAAGAGTGCGACGTAACACGCTCGGAAGAGAACAAGAATCTTCGGAGCACCTTTGTTCGCTTCTGACCAAAGGTGGCGCGGACGGCCGAAAACAAGAAGAATTTTGTTGAACAAGATCACGCTTTCTTTTCCCGCACAAAGCAGAGGCCGACCTTCCCAGAGGACCAATCTGTAGTCGCCAGCAATCCGTCGTGCGTCGACGCCGCCGGAATAGGCCAGCAAAAGTTTTCTCAGTCAACACACAGAGTAGAAGCAGAAGCCCAGCACCAGAGGAAGTACAGTAAATAATCTTCCCACATAGTAAGTTGAGATCCAGATCTTCCTAAAGAGGGGACCGCTGCAGGACCGACGGTCAGACGATCTATTTCTTGAGACGCAGCAGGCCCACCAAGACATCCACCACGCGACAACACCTAGAAAACCTGCAAAAAGACTACAGCAGTGAAGATGGGGAAGAAAGGGAAGGGAAAGAAACTCTCCCCGGAGGAGAAGGCTCGGGAGGAGGCCCTCCTCGCCGAGGCTGCGGAAAAGAAGGAGCTCCAGTTGAATACGCATTGCAAAATTCTCGTTCGTAGTATAAATTGCATCACAAGTTTTTTCATCAAAAACTACAAACACGCAATTTGTCATGCTAAAGCAGGTCGAAGGTTACTTAGTTCAGTTTTGTCATGCACGCTTGCAATTAGTACGAACACGACACTTGAACTTTTGCAATGCATATTGAAGGCGAAAAGGCTCAAGGCAGAATGCGAGGGCGAGGAGCGGCTGTACAACACGTTTTTGCAGGAGCGGGAGAAGGTCAACTACTTCTGGATTGTGGAGAAGAAAACCCTGGCCGAGAAGCAGGCCGACCTGCGAAATCAAGAGAGGCAACTGCAGGACCAGGAGGAGAGACACCAAATCGAATTGAAGATGTTCCAACAGAGACTGAAGCACTTAAGGTAGAAGTTTTACATATGTGGATGTGGTGACTTGCTGCACCTGTATTCGCTTGTTTGTTGCGCCTCTGGGGAGTTGTTGAGTTGATGACTAGGCATTGACCTTGTTGTGGATTCTCGTCATGTTGCTAATTCGTATCTTGAGAGGCAAGTCGGTGGTAACCAGAGTAATAAATTCATAATCTTCTCTATGTCTCAGGTATCACGAGCAGGATGAAGTAGTAGAGCTGAAGCAGCAGAACGAATACAAGCTCAAACTGCAGGAGGACAGGCATCGACTCGCGGAGGGGGAAGTCCGAAAAGACAAGGGAGCGGTGAAAAAGGAAGTAAGAACACAAGAAGTCCAAGTCGAAGAATACATCCGTATTGAATATTTATCGAGTTTAGCTTCAAATCAACACGTCTTGTTCTGCATGTTCACTTTTTTGCGATAAAAATGCAATCCGTATAAAACACAACAGTGGTTGTTAGTTTGATCATCCAAACCCATCCGCATCCCCTCCACACAACGACCAGGTTCCCTGAAGTTGCAGCAAGACGCGAAGATCCAACAGCTCCGGCTCGAGTTCGACGCCAAGGCGCGGGATTTGCAGGCGCACGCCGCACAGAAGATGAAGTCCGTAAGGGACGAGATGGAAAAGCAGCGGCAGCAGGAAAAGACCGGGCTAGAGGACGCCACCAACGCGCATATCGCGAGGTGTATGGCGCAAAACGCCAAGGATTTCCACGAAATCAAACTCTACTACGGAGACATCACGTCGTCCAACTTGGAGTTGATAAAAAGGTACCAAATGTTTGTGAAAAAACAAAGAACACTAGTTTGGTATTGATTTCGGAAAAATTCGCTGCTGCGCTAGTTCGTGTGGAAGAAGGACTGGGACGGTGCTTTTATCGGAATACACACACTAAATGCACGAGGGGAGTAGATGCATGTAAAAAAGTTGATGCGCATGTTGCTGAGAAAAAAAATTCGCAGGCTAAAGGAGGAGCACGCAGAGTTGAAGAAGCGGGAGTCCTCGGATGCGAAGCAAATGTACGACTTGCAACAGAAAAACAAGCAACTGGCAGAGCCGTTGAAGAAAGCGCAGCAGGACGTGGAGAGGCTACAGGAAGAAGCGCAGTTGTATGCGCAGGACAAGAAGCGCTTGGCAAACGTGAAGGCAAAGATAAAGGATCAGGAGACGCAATTGAACACTAGGGCGTTCCAGAGCGAGGTACTTATGCTAAATTACTGTTTGCTCCTGTCATGCAAATTCATACTACTCGACGGACGGGTCGATTTCGTTTCCGTTTGCTGCTGTTACCGATCCTGGCGCATCAAGACAGATACAGATTGTCTCCCATTAATAAATCAGGTCTTGCTGCAGCAGACGGAGCGGGTAGAAAGGGAGCGCGACGAGCTGTACCATAAATTCAGTGACTGCATCTACAAAGTGCAACAGCGAACGGGCTTGAAAAACCTGCTACTCGAGAAAAAGCTCTCCACCCTTGGCGAGCAACTGGAGATTACAGACGCGGAGGTACAACTGCGATCGATATTTTGCGAGAATCTGTGAGCGATCTTTCTCCTTCGTACGCATGTCATGGCTTCTTCTTTTGTTTTCTGCTCGAAATTAAGTAATACCGCAAGTGAGTCACTACATTCGAGTAAATGAATTTGATGACAGACTGTTGCAAATGCGAACCTGTTCTTCAACTTTCAGGTGTCCGAGCTTATTGCTTCCGCACAAGGCGCACCCGGGGTCGCATCCAAGATGGAGGATTTGGTCCGACATAAGAACGAACAAATCGCGTCGCTGCACACTGAGGTACTTACTACGAACCTTCCGTTGACAAGGAGCCATTCTCTTCTTGATGCAAGAGCAAGCGTAGAAAGACAAAGATTCCTTTCGTTTTCGAACCTCTCATACACGGACTCCGCGCGAGTAGTACTAGTTCTCTTCTTTTGTGTCTGTTCCTAATTCCGGACCTTTTATTTACCCGAAAAACCAAAACTAACAGCTTCAGCGGGTACGGGATGCGCACCACACGATGACGAACTCGTACGGGTCGAAACTTGCCGCTCACGGCGTGCCTGTAGAGGAGCTTGGCTTTGTTCCAGCATGAGAAATTGATTTAGAACTACTCGCGGCTCTTTCGCGAGAAATCAAATCGATCTCAGTCCGATTCGTTGTCCGCAAAGTAAATCTAAATTAAATCGTCCACTCTTTTATCAGCAATAAACAAGTCTCATGCAAGATAGTGACACTGGTTAATATTCTTTTATTTACACACTCACGACCAGCTGCCCTCTGTTCGTAGGAGGTCAACAAGGTCGGAAAAGAGCAGTACTACACGATAGTACTGCTCTCAGTAATACGGAGTTTTGAATTTGGCTTGATTTCACAAGAGAAGTTTTGAAACAGAGCATACAGGCTGGGGAAACTCATCTATCATTTGTGCTCCAAGTCGTGCTCTGTTCGTGGCTGCGAGATGAACCGAGTTAGAAGTAACTTCAACACAACTCTTGTACCGACAGAAAATGATCTGCTTAGCTCTTTTACGAAACCTCTCAGCTCTGTCGAAGCTCGGGCTTCGGAATTCTTGTAAAATGAATTTTGACAAGAACTTCACAATCAGGACGCGGCTTGTGCGTGCGCAATGCCAGCGTAGACAGGTGCTCTCCTGTCTTGTGAATGCTAGCAAATGGTCGGCGAATGCCTTCCCAGCGTGTGGTGGCCTGCAATTGCAGGCGTCGAAGCAATAGGGCGGTGGCTGGCGAATGCCAGCGCTGACCCCACAGCTTGGCAGCGTCCAGCGTGCGTTGGCGTTGCAAGGGTGGCCAGCGAACGTTGTTCCTGGGACTCCTGCGGCCAGCAAAGAAGCGGCGGCGCCGCGAATGAGTGCCATGTGGAGGAGCGCCGCCCTGCACTTTTGTGCTAGGTATGCAGGACGCGTGCAGGGAAATCACGAAGAGCGCAGGCCAAGGGCTTGCGGGTGGCTCCGTGTTATGACGCGAGCGTGCCGGCCTCCCTGAGCAGCGCTTGGGATATTTGCGTGAGGTCGGCCCCCTCGTCGACGGATGTTTGTCGGCGCTTGGGAAATGTATCAACATCCGCTCCTCGCGGACCTCACTCACACGTGCGCGCAGCGTCCGGTTCTCGCGGACCTTGCCCACACGTGCGTGCAAAGGTTTGCACGAAATCGATGACATGGGGGTAGCCTGCTGCGGCAGCTGCTTGCCCATGATCTTCCCTGCAGGGGGCCCGTGGCTGGCGCCGTCACGTCCCCATGATGTGCATACTGGCTCGAGGTGTCGCGGACACCAACTACATAACAAAAAGGGCGGCTAGCTGTTGCTAGTGTTTCGCCCTCGCCCACCACTTTATCGAGACTCGCCGTGAAGGAAATTAAAATGAATTTTGACAAGAACTTCACAATCAGGACGCGGCTTCTGTGCAATTATCGAATGGCCTTGCCTGCAAAAAACGTATACGTTTGCAGGATGTTGAATTGGAGGGAATCGTCATTCTTTCGCGCAGCGTCGGTAAGAACGAGTGGCTGTTGATATGTCGGTGAGAAGATTCATTTTGTCACTGTGAAGCAAGGCGAAGAACCAAGGAAATAGGTGCTATAATTTTTCGCTGCACGAGGATGGAGAGGCAGACGAGGCGAGGGTCGCACACGTCCATCGAACATCAACCTGTAGCTGAATTCAATTTTGGATTTTTATTTTATGATATCGCATCGATGACAGTGCTGGGAGCGACTTGCGCATCTGAACCTGTTGTTCCTCTCAATCAATTTAGTTAGTACACCAAAAACTACTGAAACATTCTTTGTGTCCTCCAGGAAGGACGATACGCTGGAACAAGCCCTTCCAAGATGGTAAAAACAGACCCGGGGGAGATCCCCCTGAACCGGTTTTGCCCCCAGGCGGTGGGGGACCAGGCCATGTCCCAGCGGGCCAACGCACCCAAAGTCAGCCTCTCGAAATGCACACGCGAAATGCGGAAGAGTGTGTTTATTTCCAAGGAGGCAAGTAAGGGGGTTATGCCGGCCTGGACGCCCGGGGCAATATACGACGTCGCCAAGAGCACCCTGAACCTCGAGTCAGGTACTGCTTTTTATTCTCTATCATGGGGATTTCTTCATATCTGTATCTGTTTTTCTAATTTAACAAGCTTGACCGCATGACCGGCGTAAGAAAGCAAAGCCTCTAATGCCCACCGAGAGTGAGTTGTGACAAACACAAAACTGGTCTGCCAGGTCAGAAGTTTAACATGGGTCCGCAGAGAACGTTCGGGAAATCGATATCAAATGTAAAAATGTCTGGGTCTGGAAGAATGCAACTTGTGATGCTGAATTTGGATTCCAAAAAAATCTGTATTGCATGAGCAGCAAAGGGAATGCAATTTTTGCTACGCGGAGAGGGCATTTGTCATGCGGAATAGGCATCGCGAAACCCTCAAAAAATCTGTGATGCTAGGGCATGCATCACAGACATCATGGCCAATGCAAAACATGCATGACAAATCTCAGAATCTTCCAGACCCAGACATTTTTACATTTGATAATCGAAGAATAAGTACGACTGGGAGTCAAAGAAAGTGGACCATTTGTCCGGCAGGGTAAACGAAATCGCGAACTTGAACAGGTAATATAGTGATACAAGTACTTCGTTCTCGGAGAAATATAAATAACAGGAGTAAGCAGGTCAACATCTAGAAGACTGCAAAGTTGATTTAGTTGTCTTGCAGCAGAGGACTGTGCCTAGTCTACAGCATTTCCATCACATCACGGCTGATGATTTTTCCTACAGGACTCACCTCATATATGAGACAAAAATCTTCATCCAAAACAACAAACCAGATGGAGCAAGCAGAGGGAGATATGTTTCACGCAGGAGCCGATTGGTCTCGCAAACAACATCGAGATCTTCAAGGCGCACCCGATCGCTTTTCAGGGCCTAGATTCTCCCGGACCCGGCCCCAAGCCCGACATTAGTAAGACCAGCAAGTTTCCCAACCCACCCAAGATGCCTATGGGGTTCTCAAACGTTACATTCTCAACTGTTACATGATTTGTCATGCAAAATGACCATGATCCGCCAGACGATCAAGCTGCTTCGCATGACAAATTCTCGGAAGGCTAAATAGCACTGTAATCCGGATCAAACCTGTAATGCAAGACGCGCAAGGTTCTCCCTCTCACCTGTGCTAGTCTTGCATTACAAATTCATGTAACAGTTGAGAATGTAACGTTTGAGAACGCCATAATGCCGTTCGGCGTGAAAACCAACGTGGGGTCGATGTACGCCGGCGATCGGAGCATAAATCCCGACATCGGACTATTGCAATGAAAAATGCCCCCTCCCCATATCAAAACGGAAATCTGTGATGCAGATTTGTGGCCACAAATCAGCTTTGTGATGCTAGAAGGCAAAATATGCGGACTGTAGTGCTGCCTAGCGTGGGAAAGCCTTGCAGCTCCAAGATGACAGGAGGCAACTGGAAGTGGGAAACAGCATGACAGATTGCCTGCAATTTAGGCCGCAGCTTCGTCACTTGGCCTTCTAGCAATACAAGTCGATTTGTGTACTCAAATACAGCATCACAAATTCGCGCGTCTTCCGTTTCCGATATGGGGTGGGGGCTTTTTTCAATTTGATACGGACCCAGCTCCTACCCGCCAAGGACGTCCCTCGGCAACCAAATACTCTCACAGTGCGGCAACGCCACGACAAATTTGTTTCCCAAAGCGCCGAAATTTGGCCGCGCAATAAAGAGTCAGGAGGAAGGTAGGGGAGTTATGGTTTTGAATTTTTTGCTAAAGTAGTATCAAGCGCATGTGGTCATCAAACAGGATTGAAGTGCGCTGATTGAATTTATATGTTTGTATATGATTTTTATAACTGCATCAACCAGGTCCCAACGTGCACATGAACCTATCGGCGTTTGGGCCACAAGTCCGCGGCGACAAGCGCAGCGAACAGACGGTGGGCTTCGTTTTGGGAACACGAGCACAGGCACAGCGAATGACAAGATGCATGACGGAGATGGATAGCGGTAGATTTTTTTTTTGGTGTTGATGAGTAGAAATGGTCCTTGCATGCGTCTTCACGCTTCACGCAGCTGTTCCGCAGATGAGACTGATTTATTGATTTTGATCCGAAACGACCATGCAGCTGCTCCGCCCGGGAAGGTGCGTTTACCGCACCCAGCCTTGCCTGCGGAGCGGAAGGTCATCGCGTTTTCCGGGTCTCTCGGCGCATTTTCGTAAAGTGGCTGGCGGGGTCGTGGTTCTTGCTGCGGTGCTTTGTGCGAGCAGTGGTCGTCAGCGTGTCTACTGAGAGCGTCGATTGTCACAGAATGTCGATATCAATAGAGAAATTGATGTAGCCTGAAATAGCAATGAATGTAGTCTTACGCAAGCCAAATGTTGAATGCGAGAAAGAAACCCTTGTTTCACCTCTTGATTATATTAAGTATAGCGCAATTTGAAATCACTTTCGATACAGTGTAGCACTGCTACCCACTGCTCTCTTAATGTAAAAAACCAAAAACGCGAATTTTCATCGGAATAGGGAAAGCCCAGAAACGGAAATTGACAGACGGATGTCGCAAGAGGTGCGTGCACCTGCAAACAGTGTCGTGAGCTTTCGAAAGATGATTTTTACGGTGGTGATTTGCACCGAAGTGAACCTGTATGATATGGAATGCGGCTGGGCTCCGTGAGATGCCACGAGCTATTTACTTACTTAGTACAAATAGGAACAGGAAGTCCTACGAAGCCGACCGGCCAGTTCCGCCGTTGTCTCTTTTTTAGCGGCTGAGTAAGTCAGTGTTCGCCTCTACTGGTTGGTCTCAGAAGACCACACGAGAGAGAGCACAAATGTAGGGAATGCAAATGGCCGAGCAATGAGGGCGCTCGCTGAGGCGCCACAAAAAGAGTCCTAATGTCTAAGTACAGCCAAGCGCTCACGGAGTGCCGTGGCTAACTGAATCCAAAGCCTAGCGGGCGTCAGCCTCTCCTGCTCTCTGCGGGCCCTTTTGGATCGACTGCGCCAAAAGGCTGCAGCTCGTCGGTGTTGCTCTATTGCCTGGGCCGGCGAGGGCGGTCGGCGGCGTTGCTCTATTGCCGCCCGCTTGGTGGCCGCCCGCTTGGTGGCCGCCCGCCCTCTCGGTCGGCCCGTCGCGGCCGCCGGCGAAGCGAAGAACGGCGCCGCCGCCGGCGTTTTCCGGTGGGGACCTGATGGGCGGCGGGGCGAGACCGGTGTCGCGGGGGCTCGGGCCGATGTTTGGGCGTTCGGCCCGCCGCTGCCCCTCTGCCCCTGGCGGGCCCCGTTTCTTTGTCTGCTTCTTGCCGCGGCCGGGGGGGCGGGCGCCCTCGCCCCCAACGGTCGCACGCTCGCCCGCCCATCCTTGTTGCGCCCCGGCCGGGGGGCCTGCTAGCTAGCTTGCTACGTTCGCCCGGGCCACCGCCGCTCGGTGGCCCCGGGGATCGATGGGAGCCGCCCGGGGGGCGCCCAGCGGGGTACCGGAGGCGGGGGCGTTGCTTGCAGGCCGCACGGCAAACAGCCCCGCGGGGAAACTCCGAAGCGCCGCAAGGCCGGTAGGGGGGAGGCCAATCATGCCAAGGAAGCCTGCAGCCCCGGAGCGCAAGGTTTGCGCCGACCACATGTGCGCGCTGGCTCATTGGGAAGGGCCCGCGGCCGGGCGCCAAAAAGAAAGCTTCCCAGAGAGAACATGCGCGCCCAGATGTCCCATCCTCTGCGACTACATAGCGGGAAGGCGGGCGCGGTAGGAATAAAAGAAGCCCCCGCAGAGGTGGAGGCATGTGAAGCGCGGAAGGCAGGGCGGGCCGCGTACTTGTGGCGCGGGCCAGTGCAGTGCTTGGGCGCGTGGGGCTTCTGCCAAGTCGGCAGGCAGCGTGCGAGCTCAGGCGGGGCTTGGGCCAGCGCCGAATGTTGCCCGCCGCCACAGACAGTTTCCGGGCGGCCCGGCGCGGCGGCTGCATCATCCACATCTATGGCGAAGCCGGAACCCCCGAGCCAGCCGCTTCGGCTAGGCCATCGATCCCGCAAGAACTTTCAAAGGACGGCGAGCAGTAGCGGGCCTTTGTTTCTTTTGGGACGGACCTCGCTAGCCAGGCCGGGCGGGCCATGCACCACCCTGGGCCAGCAGTTCGGCCAGGACCTAACCGCGGGCCATCCTTGGATGGCCTGAGGTTCGCAAGCCATCCAGGTCGGGCGGGCCCCGTCGGCCCGGGTGTTTTCCGTTGTTCCGGTCTCTCTTGCGAAGGAAGGCGCCAGCGGGCGCGCTTTTTGGTGGTGCATGCCCGGCGACGCATCTCAGCGCACGGCGCGTCTCCGGCCCCAACCTGGGTGGCTGGGCGCTCGCCTTTGCAGGCGGCGGCCCCCTCTTACTCTGACCTGATTGCGCCTCCCTTGGTCGGCTTCGGCCCGCCGGGCGTCGCGCTCTCTGCCAAGTGGTAAAGCGCGCTCGCAGCACGCGCACCATGCGGGCACTTCGTTGCCTGGCTGCGTCCCAAAATGATGGCCGTGTTCGCGGCATATTTTTATTTTCCATTGTTCGCCATCCACCGCCCCTGAGGCGAATGTTCTGCAGACAGGCCTGGCGTAGCTAATTAGTAAGTATCGACCCTCTCAAGCGTTACGGCTTCTTTTGCGGAGTGGAGAAGACTAAAGCAACGCGTGTGTTGTCAACCGCGATCCCACTTCTCAGAGCCACGCGTTCTTTCCCTACTTCGTCTTCGAGGACGTGAGAATAAGGGGAGAGCGATGGATTGCTTACGCCTTCCTTCCACGGGCACAACTCAAGGATCATGCTGAAGCGCATTGCGGTGTTTATTTGCAAAAGCTGGTGTTTTATTTCAGACTGCAAAAGCCTAAGCCTTTGCCTCCCTGCACAGCAATATCAACCATGACCCGTGTGACTTTCGTGGATACGGCGGAGCGCAAGGGTTCCTGCGACAGCACCGGCGCCAAGTCTGTGTGTCGGGACTCCCCTGACACAAGTCCAGCGCGAAACGCGATAAAGCCGTGGGAGCCAAAGCCCCGTCGCAGCACCACCATACAAATCACGTTCGCTCGAGAAAGGAATGCAAATCCAAGCGTTTACGGCACCGTTCCGGACCTGCCCGCAGGAAGCACTCGGGAACGTTCCCGAGCCCTCATCGCACAAACGCGACGACGTAAGCTTTGCCTGTTTTTGAGCAAGAAGTAATATACGCCCATACAAAAAAATGCACTGGTCTGCGCAGCAGACAAAAATGAAGAATCATAGTTTAATCCACCACCCTACCAGGAGGTGTGCCGCAGGGCAACGGGCTCGCAATCGACTTGACCTCGGATGCGACGGAGATGAAGCAGCTGGCGGAAGCGATCGTGGACGACGAAAGGACGGCCCAGATGGCGGCCAGTACCGCCTACCAGGCCATGCACGCGACGCGGATGTACCACGAGCCCGAGAATCCGCAGATTGTCCGCCCGCTCCTCGGTTCTTCTTGCTACGACAGCTTGCTCTTCGACGCGGATCTACAAGACGCGTACCGCTTCGAACAGGCGCTGCGCTCGGTGGGTGCGAATGTACAGGCGAGGGATTGTGTGGGAGGTACTTTTTTTAGGCTGCTTTTCTAAGTAGTTTTGCTGATGGAGCGACAGCGACTGATAGTACTGATCCTGTTATAATGTAGAAACTGGTTCACTAGTGTCCATTTACATTTTCATGATGTGCCGCGAAAGTAAGTAGACGCAGGAGGCGAACATGACAAACGATCAGGTCACGCTTTGATCCACCTGTTGGCCCTATGAGAGTGCACAACTCCCCTTCCCCCTCATTTGTATAGCATGAACACCAGCAATACAAACATCAGCACGGGTGGAGGCTACGCATGACAAATTTGTGAACCTAGTATAGTTCTGTTTGGGCAGCATCCGGAATTTGTCATGCAAACAGTGCTACAAGGCAGCGTCTGGATTTGAGATTTTGCATGACAAATGAGGGCGGGACGGGGGAGTTGTGCACTGTTATAGGCCCGTTATGCGGACCGACCCGGTGTTACGGACAACTGGTTCCTGGACCGGGTGAAAACTCTGCGGAAACGCTATCGTGAGGAAAAATCCCCCCTCCCCATATCGAAACGAAGTTTCTGATGCTGGATTTCCGTACACAAATCAGATTTGTCTTGCAGTAGAGGACTGCAGGCATATGTCAAGCCTCAGTCGAGAGGTTTTGACGTAGGCGCCTAGCATGACAAACGTGTATGCTCTAAGCCCAACAGCATCACAAACCGCCCGGAAAATGCGGGGCGCTCTCTGGACTTGCCTTCTTGCAAGACAGACAGGATTTGAGGTCACAAATGCGCATCACAAATTTTCAGACGGATACGTTTTCAATATGGGGAGGGGGAGTTTTTCCTTACGATAAACGCGGGAGCGACAACCGCTGCGCGGTAGACTCCTTGGGTGCAGCGCCGCTGCTCGCCGGCTTGGAAATGTATTCGCTGCTGTTCACCCGTGCTTTGCTGCGCACCGAGCTCGGCGAGACCTGGTGCCGCCAGCACTTGATCGCCTGTCCGCTGTACGCGATGAATAATGGCGAAGAACTACAGGCTGAAAAAGGATCGGGAAATAATGACTCAGCCTCATCGGCTTTCCCTTCCTTACAGCAGCGTCGGGCCAAGATGCAGCAGCAAACGAAACTGCTGTCCGCGCTGAAGAAGAACTACCTCGCCGCAACAGAAAAATTACACCCAAGTCGAACTGCAGGGGGAGAAGTAGCACCACAGGTCGTGTCTACTGCATCTACTTCCGGTTGTTCACTAGCTGGTACCACCATTCCGGGGTTGCTCGAGATGATGCAAAGCGGTGCGGCGGCGCCGATTTTGCGCCAAGTTCCCTTCAACAAGCACACCGGCCAGCTCTCCTGGTTTACCGCGCTTCACTCTGCCGCACTGAAGGGGAATGCAAAGGCGGTCGTTTTGTTTCATCTCCTCGGCTTCGACGTAAACTACTCGTGCAGTGCGAACCAACAGGAATTTATGCCTACGCCGAAAGGTGGTCATGGTCTTGCTGCCGCAGCGGGAGGTTTGTACAATAAGCCACTGCTGAAAGCGTCGCAGAGCGAAGATCTCGACAGCTGCCAGCAATTTTCCCCGAACGGAAGCACTACGTCCAGCAACTTTTTTGCCAGTGCCGTCCGGCGCGGCAGGTCGGCCTCGCACCAGTCGTCCGCGAGCGGGGTCAGTATGATCCACAACAAATTGATGCGCCAGCAATTGCAGCTCGGGGGCTTACCGACGTCGAAGAGGGAACAAAACATAGATGAGCAAAATGGTCCGGCAAACAACGCGAACAATAGCGGAAGACCCGGGTCTTTGGATACCACCTCCAACTCTTCTTCCGCGAGAAATAACTATCCGAACTCGTCCCGCAGCGTCTGTAGCACCGGTTTCGGCGCCGGAATTGCGCACCGCCACGAGTCGCCCCTCTGGATCGCCATTCAGTACGGTCGCACGGAAGTGGTGCGGGCGTTGTTGCAGTGCGGATGCGTGCCGAAGGAAAATTCAAAAGGTATCTATAGGAAGATGCATTGAGCAGTAGAAAATTTTTCTCTGTTGCTACTTGCAGTGAGTCATAAGTTGCTCGCGTATGAGTCAGTATGTGACTTCTCGTATGTTCACCATTATCATCATCGAGTGTGATGACTACGATCGATGACAGGCGAGAGCCCCCTGCGCGTTGCCGAGCACCTCGGGTTTTCGGAGATCGCGACGTTGCTGCAGGACTACTACAATTGCCCGGGCGAACTGTACCACGAGACGTACTGTTTACCGACCGCTTCGACGGATGTTTGGCGGCACGCGCTGGACATCAGCTTTGACGCGGTGGACGCGCTGGCCGAGTTTATCGAGCACGGGAAAGTGGTCGTCACCTCCTACGAGCAGCTGTGCGACTGGTACTACTACCTGGCGCCCGCCAACTGGGAGCGGGTCTTCGCGTTTTGGAGTCTCTACTGCGAACACATGGAAGAGAAAAAGGTGGCTGGAGATGTTACTGGTACTGGTTCTCCAACCGCATCAAATACTTGGTCCTCCTCCGGTAATATTTCCTCCACGCCACCGTTGCTCCGGAAACCCAGACCCCGCGTTAGCATGAGCGCCGCGAGATTCTCGGGGAAGAACCACCCGATGCTTCTGTCGCACTACTCCCCAGAAATGGATGTTTCCATCTGGAGCCCGAGTGGAAATAGTAAAACTAGCGTCGGCGGGATGATGAACGCTAAAAATGGCGAAAATGCAGACCAGAAAGACCACGCTGGTCGAGCATCTTCTGGGACTACTGGAACAAGCATCAATCAAGATAGTGACCGACTCTCTTTGTCGCCCTCGACGCCGTCGCGAGAAGCCGCCGCCCAGCAGAAGCTGCAGAATTTGCCCACAACACCTGAGCAGTTCACTCTCACTTCACCAAACGGTAATCATGTGTCTCTGACGAAGAGTGACGCGGAAGTGCAGATGAAATTGAAAACAAGACGCGAAGTAGGAGGCAACATTGCGATGAACAGGACCAGTAAAGATCTTCACTACCTCGTCCACCAGCCGCCAATTTTCGAGGAGAAGTGGTTTTGGGAGGAGGAAAAGCAGGCTTTTCCGGCTTCCTGGTATCAAATGCAAATATCCCTGGATGTCTGGAAGGATGCAACTTGTGATGCTGCGTCTGGATTCTACAAAAATCTGTATTGCATGAAAAGCAAAGAAAAGAGGTCCAGTTTTTGCCACGCCGAGAGGGCATTTCTCATGCGGTATGAGCATCAGAAAGCCCTCGCTAAATCTCTGATGCTAGGGCATGCATCACAGACCTCATGGGTCATGCAAAATCTGCATGACAAACTCCTGCATTCTTCCAGCCCCAGACATTTTTGCAATCCATACCTGGGCGAGAGTAACGAAAACGGAGGACCCGGTAGAGCCGGAGGAACGGCATGAAGAAGGAGGACAACCACTGCATAATACATCTCCCGCCGAGGACCTGTATCGGGCGAGTTTCGTCAGTTCCCAGTATGATCGGCCGTCCAATATCGCGATCGACTTTGGCGTATCAAATGCAAAAATGTCTGGGTCTGGAAGAATGCCAGACTTGTCATGCAGGTCTTCCATGACCCATGAGGTCTGGTATGTAGGACATAGCATGACAGATTCTGTGAGAGTTCTATGATGCCTATCCTGCATGAGAAACTGCCTCTCGATTAGGTCAAAAGTGGACAGCTTTTGGTAATGATGCAACACAGATTTTTACATGATTCAGAGTTAGCATGACAACCTGCTTTGTTCCAGACCCAGACGCATTTGCATTTGATATGGCGGCCGCCCGTCGGACGCTTCGAGGACGGATGATTTTTTTGCAAACGCGTACCTGCACTCCTCAGACTACTTGCTGCCGGGCCGGAGGAATTCCGAGCCGGACGATTTTCCCCGACCGGTCACTGAAGTTTGAGTTTTTTTGTAAAATGTTGAGAAATTGTACGTGCTAAAACTAACCCCAACGGTGATAGTGCTACTCTAGCTGCGCACCTGCACAACAACAATTTGCGAGTTGCTCTCGTAGCATGGATTTGCGTTTCTTTTGGCAGAACAAACTTGATGGAATGAATTTTATGCACCTTGCCACATCTTCTTTTCGTGTATGATTGATGCTCATTTTGTTTCGACATTTGCTTGTATTTTGAAAAATCAATGCACTTCTGCATGCGCATGAACAGTCACGTCATTTTTTTGTGGTCTTTGCAACGTCACTTAGTGCTGCCAGCTGCAGCCGTCTTCACACATAAATCATAGAAAAATTTACGTTACCATTTCCAAGAAGAAGTAAGCCACATAGAAATTCTTTCCATGAACGCGGTGCCGCCGGTAAGCTAGCTTCACCTGCTGGATCCTGCAGGACTTTCAACTATCGTCACAGTGTTAAAGTACTCTTCGCATTGGAAATAAATCTATCTTGCAACTAGGCTATGACTGTGTGTCCCCTTTTAGTCCTCTTCGGTAAGACTCGGTCCAATGTCTCTTGTCGTGCCTTACGATCACCAAGATAGAATGACAAGCGGTCGTTAATGTCGTATTCAGAAGAAATAGACCCGGCTGGAATAAACGAAAGTTCTTCTAAATCACCGATCACAGAACTTCAATTTTTTGTCGTTTTGAAGAGCAAGCCTTTGACGAGACCGCAGACCCGGGAACGAAGATTCACACACAACGAACCAACTAGAATGAGTTCATCTTTGCATCAGCCTTCCAGTTCCTCCTCCTCCTCAACATCCAGGCTGCCACTTCCTGCGGACGACGAGCACGGCAACGAGCGACAAGAAGAACCGCACCAGCATGCAAGGTTCACCTCCCGCTCGCGGCCCGAGCGGCTGCTTGGTGGGGACAACTCTGATGAGGAGGATATTACCATGAATTTTGGGATGAACAGAAACACGCTGCTCGCGGGAGCTGCACCTGGTGGACCGCAATCCTCGGCCAGCAGCGTCGTTGGGAAGGACAGCTACCTGAACGACGAAGACGAGGAGGAGGAGGACTTTGACGCGACAGACTGGAACAATTACGCCTTTCAAGAGCAGCAGCAGCAAATTATGTGGTCCTCTTCTGAGGACTCGGACGATCTGGAAAGTTACGATAGCGACGCCTCCCTGGAGTTTGCGCTTCTCGACAAGCAAAAATCGTTTATCAGCAAGCCCGCGGAATACATCGCGAATTACGTCGTCGACCTCCCCGGAGGGACGTCGGCGCGGCCCGTTAAGCTGAAGATGAAAAAAAACATGCGCTGGGTCAAAACGAAGCCGCACAAGTGCTGCCCCAGGGTGGTCATCGGGTATGTTTTGGGGGGTGTTTCGATGGTGTTGTCCGCGTATTTTGGCCTGTATCTGGACCGGCTGTTCTTTCTCGACGGGGACGTTTATTCGGAGCAGTTTTTCGGAGAAGCGGTTGTAGAACTAGTACCTGAAGAGATCACGATGACCTCCACAAAATTTGCTAGTACAGAGAGCAGGGATAGAACCATTTCAAGTTCTGGTGCGCTTCTGGGCAGCAACATTAATTTGAGCAATGAACGCAGAAACGAGAGGACCGAAGAACCGCGTGCGCAGGCGTTTCCTGGCCATGGTCTTGTGCGGAGAACTGCAGAGAAACTGTCCGACCTTCTGTCATTCGTGTGGAAGAAAACTTTCGGTGGGAACAAGATGAGTACAACGACCGTCGTGCTACAACGTGCAGCATCACCCAAGGAGAAGAAGATTCGCTTTCTTCTCCGCAGCTTCACCGTGAAAACGCCCGCGCGCACGAAGCGCGATTGGCTCGCCCAACTGGGAATGGACAAGGTCAAGGAGCTTCTGCTTTCAAAGGGCCCACTGGGAATACTACGACGGAGTACAACTATTCCGATGTTGCCCGTCACGACGTCGCTCCTGCCCAGGTCGGATTTTTTCGTACGGACCGCTACTGAAGAGCAACAGCGCCGTGATTTTTACAGCGAGATAGAAAATGTTGAACAACGTCGCGGGCAAATAATAAAACAAGCGGAAATGTCGGTGGTAAAAGATGCAGAGCCGATTGCTGGTGCACAGCAACAAGACCAACATCTTCGCACTCCTTCGAAAAAACCTCCACGACGGTATCATGCAAACAATCCAAACCAAGACCAACCAATGGATGAGTTTCCTGACCTGCAGCTCCCAGCGCGCAGCCGCGAACGGCGTGGGACGGGGACGACCATGACTGTAGCTGTATCAAATGCAAAAATGTCTGGGTCTGGAAGGTCACAACTTGTGATGTTGTCTGTGGATTCTAAAAAAATTTGTATTGCATGACCTGCAAGAGGTGTCGGGTTTGTCCTACGCGGAGAGGGCATTTCTCATGCGGTAGAGGTATCACAAAGCCCTCTAAAAATCTGTGATGCTACGGCATGTATTACAGACATCATGGCTCATGGAAAATATGCATGACAAATCTCCCAATCTTCCAGACCTAGATGTTTTTGCATTTGATAACCTGCAGGTGCTGCCAACTACCGCGAGTCCAGCGCGGCGTCGAGTGCGACCAGCGTGGTTCGTATGAAATGCAAAAATGTCTGGGTCTGGAAACTTGTGATGCAAGTCAGTCAATAACAAACGCACTCTAATGCGCCACCAAGCATGACAAGTTGCTTCGTGCTTCTGTGCTGCGTATTCCGCATGAGAAACTGCGTTTTTGCATCACAGGCGAGAGAGGCAGCTATTTGTGGCCACGCAATATAGAACTAAGGACCATGCCAGATCAGCATGACAAATCTCGCAATCTTTCAGACCCAGACATATTTGCATTTGATAGCTCGTCGAGGCAGGTGGAGCGCGCCAACGACGGCCAGGGTGATGGTACCACAACAACAACCCGCGGGGGCACCCGCGTGGCGCCATTTGGACCGCACGCGCTCGCCGGCTTTGCCGAGAAGAAGTCTGCTACCCCCGCCGGATTCGCTTGGGAACAGGAATACCAGTACCAACAACACGACCGGGGTCGCGCCTTACCTTCCCCGCAGAGCAACTGTGCTTGATGTTGTCCCTCCGCGAAGAACCAGTGATCCAGGCGACAATCTTGATTCGGGCGGTGTTGGCAAGAATCCAGCTTCAGCTGCTCCAGTGTCAAATTCTATTCCCCGTGCAGCAGGTGGCCGTCCGTACTCGTCGGTCGAACAGCCTCTCTTTCAGTTCACTGTGCAGTGGCACTACCTGCAATCTCCGGTTGAAGACGAAGACGAGGAAGAGAGCAGTGCAAGAAGTGCCGTCTTCACTTCGGAGCAAGCAGCATCAAGGGAAGAGGAACAACAAACGGCTCATCTGGACCGCGACGCAGGGTCAGCGTCAAACAGCGAGTCGTCAGCATCCACTTCAGCGCCCCCCGCGGCACGGGTGTTCTCCTTCGAGTTGGGGAGCCGGATCGAGAAGCTGCTCGTCGAAAGACTGGAAGAGAGCGCGGAGGAAGTTGTGAGTGGTACAAACAAGGCGCAGCCGGTGGTCGACGAAAAACTTGATGTTGAGCACGCATCGGAACATGAAGGGGGCGAAATATTAAAGCGTCAGTGGGCACCCATGATGTACTGCGGGTTTGAGGACCGGGTACTGTTGACGCATCAGCAACCACAAGACGTCGATGTTGAACTACAACCCGGAGAAGTTGTTGCCTCTAGTACTACAACGGAAAATGTTTTCCGCGACATGGGCTGCGTTTTGATTCTCGCACGGCTGAAGACGGAGTTTTCGCCCCACCCCGTGCTCACCGAACCGGAGTTGGCGACGTTCGAGATGGGCTTGGAGAAGCTCGTCTCGCACAACCCGCTCTTTTTCTATGGAACCACGCCTGATGCAGAGCACGTGCAGTTTTTCCCAGGAGCCGGGGACAAGAGTAAAGGGAATGGACGCGTAGTTCCTGCTGCTGTTGAGAGTACGTCAGCTGGCGATAGTACAACGAACGTGTCAAAATTGAAGCGGAGGCGACGCTCCTCTTCGGCTGCAGGAAACCGCGAACGACAAAACGACCCCTCAGCGGCCGCGAGTGAAAAAAGTTGTCGTGCACATCAAAACGGCGCTGCTAGACCATCTTCGTCCGTGACTGCACACGAAGATCGTGCGGGTGGAACTAAAAGCGAAGAATTTTGTTCTACTTCCGTCGGCGATCACCGGGAGAGCGCGGGGACAGTCTCGTCGTCCAGGGCTGGTACAATTACAGAGGAGGACCATGCAAGAGAAGATAGGACAAGAACTACCCGCTCCTCGCGCTCGGGACTGCACTTATCTTCTGACGTCAAAAATGAAAGGGGCGAAGATCATGACGATCCGGTGGGAGGACCACAGGCTGCTGCACCCGCGGCTCTGGAGTCCATTGTCGAGGAGCAACCTCCGCCGGCCCCTGTTGCACCACCACTACCCTTTCACCACCCCTTCTTCGCCTGGGGCCCCCTGCATCCGTTCACGCTCTCGCGCCATTTGCAGAACAGCGTGAGATTGTCCCAGTTAGAGGCATCAAACAGGACCGTTTGTGAGGCTGCAAAAAACGATAAGGCGAAACAGGCTGTGGAAGTAGTAGGGGGACGAGAGAACCACGCAGCTGCTGTGTTCTTGCAATCGTCGATGACAGGAGGTACTAGCGGGTCGAACTCCGTTCTTGTAGTGCCACCCGATCACTCACATTCTCCTGCAGATGATCTTCGTCTACAACAACATTCCGCAAAAACAGCTGGCCCCGACAGCGTCAAATCGAATGCGACCTTATCATGCTCCGGTGCGGTTGTAGGTGCAGAAGCCTCGGGAACAACGTCAGCACGACTCGGTGAATCAACGGGAGAACCACGCGAGGCTCTTGCAGAGAAAAGGCATCCTCCAGAACAAAAATCAGAAGAGGGACTGGATTATTCTATTGGTCATGGCGGAACAAGAGCTGCGGCAGAGGTACCCGCTGACCGACTGTCTTCGAGAATTGTCACAGAAACCGAAGTTCTGCGTCTAAAACCGGTAACGACACTAAACGCGCTCGCCGGACAGGTGCTTGACCAAAACAGCCGCGCATCTAGAGCTGCAGGGCCGAGGGTAGCAGGAGCCTCGGCTGTTGTGCAGCCAGGTCCTCAAGCTACTTCCATGCCCTCGAATAACCCGCACGATCTTCAAAGCAGGGCTGTACTAAAAACGGCGACGACCACAGCCACGTCCGATCCTAACACCCCGAACCCGGCAGGTCTGCGATTCGCGAAACTGGTGGCCGACTTTTTTCGCACGTCGATCGCAGACAGATTACTCCTTCTCGGCGGGGATCTTCACGACAAAACGCACTTTTACCTCGCACAGGGAAAGACAAAAATGTCCATTCGCGAAAGCTGTGTGCGCGACGATGAGGAGGAATTTGCGGACGATGTTGATCCGCTGCAGCACCCAGCGACCTCCACCTTGGACGCTGTTCCAGAGCATGGCTTACAACAGCGAGCGCAATCTACCACTTCCAGTGGCGTGCTTCCACAAGCCCAAGTGCATGGCACAGCAGCAACAGGATCGACATCTTCGGGAGGAGGTTCTTGCGCTGTTAATATCTCGGATGGAGGCGACCCAGAGATCGGGTACACCACGCCGCAGGAGCTGGGGCATTTAGTGCGAGAGCGGTTCATGGAGTTGCTGTCGAAAGTAACGGCGCAGAATGATCGGCAAAATGCGGTTACAGGTGGCCAACAAGAAGGCGCATCGGAGAATGATCCGCTTTTGTTTAATGAGTTTTTCAACGCACCGCAGGCCAGGTGGCACATGATCAGCCAGAGAACCGTCGATAACGATAGTAACGATGACCAAGGAATTCCTGCGATCGTGGTTTCTCGGTTGGTTGAGGCGCCTGCTCCTGTCCCTGCGGAATCTACTTCGGAAGCACTGCCTTCGGAAGCACGGCGGCAAAGTGAGGCAGAGCTGCGAGCACTTGGAGATGGTGCAGGGTGTGCAAGCAAAGCTGAGTCAGATGAGCGTGGCAGTTCCACCGTAGGACCGACAGCACCAGAAGGGCCAGGCATGATAGATTGCAGTACTCCTACAACTGCTTATCAACCCCCTCGCGTTCATCTTCAAGGAGCTTCAGTTCCTGGCTCAATGCGAGAGGAGCAGGCTAAAGAAGCGGAACAGGCCAGCGCCAGGGATCATGCAGTCGCAGAAGCTTTGCGGTTGCGCTCATCTGACCTGCCTGTTGTACGCCAAGTTGTAAATAAACAAGCGTCGAAAGCAGGAGGTGCAGCGACGCCCAGCTCTCAAATGAGGAGGCAACTTTCGCCTGCCAGCTCACCAGAAGAGGGACCCTCTTGTACTAGTTCTGAACTAGAAGACGAGGTCAGTGGTCCAGAAGACGTCTTTGAAGGTGTTGCTGGGAAGCATGATATTATTAACGTGGAGGCACCTGCAGCTCCAGTAGTATCTAGGTCGACGATGTTGAAAACGGCAGCAGGTCGAGTCGCGGATGAATCCCCGGCACACGAACAGCCATCCGATCCACCTCCCGGGGCCCGTAAAAATCCACACCAATCAGGACGGGATAGTCCTTCGAGACCGATGAAAAATTCCGAAGCTCTGAATAGTCGAGGAGCTCCTGCTATATCACCTCGATTTGTAGTACCACGACAAGCTGCACCACCGACGCCGCGGCCATCCGAGCACAACCGGGGAGATCCGGAAAACTTGCGGCGGGCAATAGACTATTACAATCTCCAGGATGAAGACATGCGGCATATCGAATGAGTAGAACAATTGGTATGAAATAAGTTCCGCTAGCTGCATTTGGCGGGCTCGGGCTGCCTTTTCTATTCTTGTCCTTACTTTCCCCTTTAATACGGAGCCGCGAGAGGCTTCCTTATTCACGACCTAGAGCTGCTTCATCCCGGTGGACGAAAATTAATGAACTGTGACAACTGTAAGTTGGAGACGAAGATCTTCGTTTCATGGAAATGTACGCAAACTTTCTTTCTACACACACAATGTACACCACCATAAGTATACAATTAGATGGAGGCGATTTTCGTCAATGAAGGCTGGAACTTGTGCGAATGTGGGTGGTCACGAACTCATCTTTCATCTGCTCTCAAGCAGTGTGTCGAGAATCTTCTATGTTCTGCTCTACTTTTTAACAACTACAAATTCTTCCACGAGCGCTGTAAGAAGTCGTCGCGAAATCAAGTGCAACAAGCAAAGGAAATGGCGGAGTTTGTGTAATACTCGTATGTATTGGCTCTTCTGGGAGCGTGAACGTGAGGCATTCAGGCTCTTGGTGAAGAAAAGTCAAAGGGCTGCTGACCAGTAGGGAGCGGAAGGAAATAATTTAGAGAACGTTGATGGAGAAAATCTTATGGGGACAAAAAGAAAGAACCGCGCAGCGATCTACTTTTGAAGGCAATGAATCTACTCGCAGCGGACTTCGCAGAGCCACCTTAGCACGGGACCTGCACCTCCCACCTTCGCAAGTCCAATCACAAGATGGCGATCCCTGCCCTGCTCGAGGTTGAGATTCTCGAGGGGTCGGGGTTTAAACACGAGGGCTCGCACATGGTGGAGGCCAGAGTCGATGGCTTTCCGCCGCAGAGGACCGAGTGGGCGACGGACGATGATTACGCGTTCTTTTCCGGCGGAAGAACCGGAAAACGGTTTCTCAGCAGCGGTCCCCATGGCTGCATGCAGTTCAACAACGTCGTGTATCTGCAACAGATGGACCGGTTTGTCTACTTCACTTTGATTCACAAACGCATGTTTTCCGACCACAAGCGGTGTGGCGAGGCGTTCGTGAAGCTAGCCGCGCCCGTCGAGAAGAGCGTGTCGACGGCGAAGCTTTTCACCGTCGCGTTGGAGCACAAAATGCGGTTCGCTGGGTCGCTACAGGTGCGGATTTCCTACAGCTACCTCTCGCGGAACGGGCAGGCGCCGCGGATCGAGCGCCCGACAGGAGGAGCAGCGTATGCGAGTGCAAGAACAACTACTACATCCAGAGTCGGAGCATCTACATCAATGGCAGCCCCGCCGCGCGCTGGCACAACTTATGCGCCTCGTGCGGACGGGAGGGTTCTCTCCGAGGAGGAGGCGACCCGGCGGGAAATCGAGAAGGCTTTGCGCGCGGACGGCGGAGATTTGAGCGCGCAGGCAGCGATGCTGAACCAGTTTGAGCAGCGGAAGCAAGCCTCCTCGCCCTCCGCCTCCTACCATGCCTCCAGTCCCAGCAGTCATGGTAGGGGCTCGCCGGCGTCCAGCCCCGGAGGCAGTTCGCCCGGCACCACCAGCCCGGCGATGAGTCCGCAAATGGGAACAAATGTCGAACAAAGAGCCAGGCCACGAGGGCCACCACCGCGTGATGTAGCGGCAAGTGGTCCTAAGAGCACCTCGTCCTCATCCCGCGTGCACTATGTCCACGAGCCCCCGCCAACGCCACCGGACAGTCCCTTTCGCGGTCCGGGCTTCAGCAGCGCTGGTAGCTCGCCCGTACCGCCGTCGGCTGGTGGTCGTGTGCAACCGAATGGAAGTAGCCGTCATGATCAGCAGTCCTCTTCGACTTCCGGCCGGCGAGGAGAACCGCCGCCGAGCAACTATGGCAGCAGCAGTACTAGCAACGCGCACACGAATTATAGTACAACTAGTAGACCACAAGGCGCCACGAGTACAACTTCTAGTGCGGCAGCAGCTTCTAAAGGCAGACCACCCAACACTGCATCAGCAAGCGCCCCCGCGGGTGCGACGAGGCGCGCGACGGACCCAAGACCCGACCCCCGCCCGAAGAGCACCGGTGGTGGCCCTACAAGTGCCTCGGCGGGTGCGAAGTCAAATGATAACCATCAATCGCAGCCGCCGCCGAAGTATGAATTGCAAAAGCATCCGCATCGTACTCAGTAAAGATCGCATGACAAATTGGCTCAGTATGAGAAACGAAATTTGTCACGCGAACTCACCTCAAGAAGGCGATCGAAATTTGTAAATGCATGATTGTGATTTTTACGCGATACTTTTGCACAGGATACGAAGAAGAAAGCCGCGCCGCCACCGCCGGAGCCGGAGATTGACCCGGAGGAAGCGATATGCACTCCGCAAATATTTATAATGTCGGGGTTTGGAAAGTTCGACTTCGAACTTGTGATGCTGGTCTTACTTTCCTGCGAAATCTGTATTGCATAACAAAAGCCGCAGCCTCTTTTGTCATGCAAAAACGCACTTTCTGTTTGTGTTTCTCATGCGAGCTGCGTATGCGAAAGCGTTCTCGAGGACGAAAGTGGTCATGCTTGGCTTCATTCGGAAGCGTTTCCACCATCGTTCACATTTTAGCATCACAAGTATTTCCAGACCGCCCAGATTGATGATTTGCCCTGCATAAGCGAAGCGAGAAAAAGAGCTGGAGGAGAAGAGGAAGGAGATCAAAATGCAAGCCAGGGCGAGCCAGCTGGCGAAAGTGCGGGCCATGAGCGACACCTCGTCTCCGTCGCCCGCGACGAAGTCACCGTCACCAGTGTCCCCGGTGCAGCGGCGGGTCATCGTAGAGAAGGTGCGCAGCCCGGACACAGTGGGGGCCGCGTCATCATCGGTGACCGCAAGCCCGTCCGGGAAAGACGTAAGTAGTCCCGACGTGTCCGCATCTGGCAGTCCCAGCGCTGCGGCCGGGGGTGCGACGACGCCGGCGAAGGCCGCGTCGAGTATTGATCCGAATATGAAAGCGAGCAGTGCTGGGGTGAACAAGAAAAACAGCGAAGCTGCTGGTGGTGATGGAGCGAAAGAACCGCAACAACAGCCCGCACCGGACGACGAAACTGCAACAGGAACAACACATCAATTTAGGTCGGCCGCTTCGAAACAAGCCAGCGCCCCCGCCACGGCTTCATCATCATCTGGGCTACCAAGAAGTAAAGCGTCAGCTGCGTCCGCCACCACCCCTCCTCCCGCAGTGGTTTCAACGGCACCAGCAACAACTGGTGCTCGCGATCCGTTTGACTTTGAGGTGCCGAGCGAGAAGGGCGAGCGCTTGCGCAAATTCCTCCATTATCCACGAAAAGAACGTTGTTAGTGTAAATTTGTGATTCGCAACATGCAAGATGATTGCGTCCGTCATGCTTGGCATCCATTGTAGGGTCCATCAAAGGGCGTTTTCACGACGTACTATCTGCGCATGACAGGTTTTTGCTGTCATGCCAGACAGATATGCTGTTCCTCCAAAAAAGTTACAATGTTTTTTTTTCTTGGATATCCATACGAAGAGGAACAGTACGAGCACTCGTGGTCCTGTTGCAGGACCTGCTGCCAACAATCCCTACAACGACGCAGTTTACGGACACGGGCAGATGATGGCCCCGAAGACAGAACGCTTTATGGAATAGGGAATAGGGAGAGATAGGGAGAGTAGGGAGATAGGGAGAGTCCCCCTAAAAGGGGGCAGCAAAAACAAAACCAAACTGATCGCAAACAGCATGGCACGGCCACGACAACATCTTTCGAAATCTGGGGTGGAAATGCTTCCGAGTACCCCCCTCCTCGGCGGCTCCTCCCGGGGTCGGGGAGGCGCGGAACCTTCCCTGAGGGGATTTATCCTCTTGCGGGCCCGTAAGGCTCAGGTCTTGCTCATCAGCTGGCGAAGGCGGAAAGGTAAAGTGGCCATTTCAAATTTCCTTCGATGAGGGAAAGTTGAAGTGGCCATTTCAAATTTTCCTCGATGGGGAAAGTTGAAATGGGCAACTCGATTTTCCTTCGATGAGGGAAAGTTGAAGTGGCCACTTCAAATTTCCTTCGATGATTCAACGGGCGCGCGGTGCTCGTTCGCCTTCGAATCGATGCAACGCGCGCGCGTGCATGAATGCGCGCGCGAAATTTTTTTTGGTTCTACGGCTTACCAAAACGGAGCATACCATCGCGATTCAAGGGGAATTAGGTTTACCACGGCTCTCCCTATTGACCTATTCTCCCTATTCCGCTCTCCCTATTCCCTCGATTCACTACAGTCATATATACAACAATCCCTACAACGACGCAGTTTACGGACACGGGCAGATGATGGCCCCGAAGACAGACCAAGCAGTTAATCTATATACTATAGGGGCAAGAAATGTACTTGCTCCTCCCAAAGCTTCTGAAGGTTTGACCTTCTGAAGAGCTTCTGAAGGAAAAAACTTGATTTTCAACCTTCAGAAGGTCAAAAAAACTGGCCGGCTATTTTTCAGTGTAAAAAGCGCAGCATGAGCTCGCGCAAACGAAATCATCGCTCATTTTTTGCAACCTTCAGAAGGTTCAGTCTTCTGAAGGTTTTTTTTCACCTTCTGAAGAATTTTTTCGATTTTTTGACAAAAAATTCTTCAGAAGACTAAAAAAACGACTTTTTGAAACCTTCAGAAGGCAGGCATTCTTCTGAAGAAGTGCGTTTTATGCCGACGTCCGAAACCTTCAGAAGACTGCCATTTTTTAAACTCAAAAAATGACGCAAAATCAGGACAATCAAAAAAAACTAAGAAAAACCTTCAGAAGACTAAAATTTCTTCTGAAGGTTTTTCGAAAATTGTCGCACTTTGACAAAAATGAAAAAAATAAAAAAAACACACCTTCAGAAGACTTTGATTTTTGAGTCTTCTGAAGGTACATCTTCTGAAGAACCTTCAGAAGGTCCAACACAATTTGGTGTTTTTGTTGCGCGCACCCAACTAAAAACTCGATTTTTTGTAAAAACGTGCGCAAAAAACCTTCAGAAAGATCTTCAGAAGCTTCGGAGCTTTTTCTGTTGCGCCGCCGATTTGTTGTTCGAGCGCCAAAAGCACTTTACTGCCACCTGTTTTTTCCTAAATGCAAGAAATATTATGAATGGGTCTGTCAAGTATTTCTGTTTTCTTGTTGAGGATTTTTTCCAAGCGGTGGACGGCAGAACGCAATGAGATCGAAGTTGCTGCTCCGCCTCAAGCTCATTTTTTTTTTGTGCTACGAGTGGATTTACGACATGACGCTACGAGGAGGACAAGTTTATGGCGGACGCTGCGAGAAGCAGAGATCAGGCGCAAACTGGACAACCAAAACTGAACGAGCACCTCGGCACTCTATCCTTAGGCAATCCTCAACAACAAACATGAAAATACTTGACGCGCAAATATTTTTTTTCTTTCATAATCGACGGGAAGAGCAAGTACGAGGCTTGCCCCGCGACGCAGTCGCGTGGATTGGTTCTTACGGACACGGGCAGATGATGGCCCCGAAGACAGACCCAGTTAATTGAAGGACTATAAGGGAAAAAATCAAAACTACCTTCAGAAGAAAATTCTTCAGAAGACTCTTCAGAAGAGTCGACGAACCTTCTGAAGGTTCTAAAAAGAGCAGTTCAAAAAACGACCAAAGTTGAAAGGGAGTCAGATCCTGCGCCGCGAAAATTTATTTTTTTTTGTGAACCTTCAGAAGGTAATTACCTTCAGAAGGTCTGACTTTGACCTTCAGAAGGTTTTTGATCAAAAAAATCTTCTGAAGGTTTGGCACGCGTTGGCTTTGGACCTTCTTGAAGGTTTTGACCTTCTGAAGGTTAGTTTTTCAAAACCTTCCTGAAGGTTAAAAATGAAAAGGGTCGCTTTTTTCCAAAAAATGCAAAAAAAAAGGGCCAACCTTTTTTGACCTTCTGAAGGTCGAAAAACCTTCAAGAAGGTCTTCTGAAGGTTGGAGGCTGAAAACCTTCTGAAGAATTCTTCTGAAGAAATGTCGGCTCTTCTGAAAGTTTCTTCAGAAGGTTTCTCCTGAAGGTTTGCCGAGCGTTCTCCGCGATGAGAAACAAATTGCGCAACGAAAACGCCGCGACAGTGGCGCGAAAAAAGTGCAAAAGTGAAAGCTTTGCCAAAGCGCAACGATTCCGGATCTGATTCTGCAACAAGATGCAAAGTGTCTTGTTGCAGAATCAGATCTCCGCTTCACCGGATCCGCAGCAAGGCCAATGCGAGCGATGCTGCCCTGCGTTCATTGACTCTTGCGGGCGGTACGCCGCCGGAAGCTAGTAAGCTAGGGCGCTCAGTCTCTGGAAGCTAGTAAGGCCAATTTCTCGGCTGGGCCAGGGGTCTGACAAAAGTTGAAGCCATCAAAAAGGGCAAAAGGATTCAGGATCTGACTACGTAAAAAAACTGCAACGCTTCGCCTTTCCTGATCTGGTGCGCAGCTTTTTCCTGGGTTCATGAGTTACGCCACGAGACGCACCAGGCGAGCTTTTTCCTGGCTTCTTCCTGATCTGACCGGCCCTCTGAAGAGTTGCCAATAAACCCGGCCACTTTTGTAAAGCGAGACGCGGCAGCGGCCCTCAAAGATGGGGGCTAGAAGCCGGCCGCCTTTGGCTTTTCCAAATTTGGCCACCCTGAGAGAAACCAGACGGGGCTACTTTATTAGGGGCGAAAAAGATTTTTTCAAGACAGACACAGAATGTGACAGAGATGCGGGCCAATCTTAGTTCTATTCTGAAGAGTTGTCGCATTTTTTCCCACGCGGCGCACGCCGCGTGGATTGGTTCTTACGGACACGGGCAGATGATGGCCCCGAAGACAGACCAAGAGTCCTTCTCTTCCAGTTCCTCGGGCGGATCCCCGTTTTCGCGCGTACCCGGCCCTGGCTTTGCGTACTCTCCGTTTTCGTCCACACTGCCGCCGGAGGGCCGCGTGGGAATAATCAATGCAGCTACCGGGGGAACCGGAACAAGTAGGGGCTATAATAATCTTCACACCGCCCCGCGACCGCCGGTAAACTACATGTCCTCGAAAGAGCACGTTGTGCAGCCTCCGCTTTACGGCTATGGAAATCTTCATGCCGATGCCGGGCCCGGGGGCGGTTCTTTTCAACAAGCGCCACATCAAGGGCAACATATTTACAACTTGCAGCCCGAAGATCATGTTGACACTTCTGTGTATAATCATCATTCTGGCCGCCCACCAGCAGCAGAAATTGCCGACTCGCAAGTAGAGCGGCCAGGAGCTGCTGCGACGGCGACAGGGGCGCACGGACCGTTCTACAACCCGCCGGGTGTCGTGGGTCGAGTGGCAGGACAAGAGAGGTTCTTTAATGGGAACATGAACAACATCAACGCGCAAAATGATTATACCAGCGACAACTACGGACACGCACGACATCCTCCTGCAGGGGTACCGAATTTGATTCCGTCTGGCGCCACCTCCGCGACGAATTTTTCCTCGCACTACTCGCAGGGAGGTTTGTCGTCCTTCGTGATGCCAGCAGACCCATACGCCGGTCCACCGTGGGCCCCCGCTCCATCGCAGTTTTTGTCCTTGCACGGCCCGGGGTTCGTGGCGCAGGGAGACCTTCCCACGAGTGCGCTCCATTTTGATCATATTCCCGCTTCGCACCAACACCAAGCCGGGAGGGGAAGGGCCGCGGCCCAACCAATGTCGGTGAAGATCTTTCCTGGTCAAGAACTACATGCTCCTGCTGCAGCTCCTCCAACAAGCGAGACGATCGTTCCAAGAACGATCGTGGAGCAACGAGAGCCGAACCAGACGGCCTCTAGAAGTACTACAGTTGTGCGGAAAGATTTGGAGATCAAGCCGAAGCGACTTTGGAACGACGATGATCCCTGGACGTCGAGTGTGATCCTCAGTGAAGATGAGGAGGACGAAAGAGCCGCTCAAAAGTTCCTCGGCCCCTCTGGACAGTTACAGTTGTCCGGAAAGAACAACTCTGCGGGACTACAGTGGGAAAGTTTCCTCGGTCGCATCAACGACGACAGCAGCGACGGGGAGGCACACTGGCTGGACGACGAGGTGGAAGATTTTGTTGGAACAAAACCCCTATATGCCACCACCAACCAGGAGACGCAAATAGAGACAGCCCTGCAGGTAGCGAAGCCGGGTACTGCGGGTCGTGCACTGCGGCTCAATCTGGGTAGTAGTCGTTCCGCAAATAACGACGCGACTTCCACGCTGCCTGGAAAGAGCCGAAACCCATTTGCGGAAGTTGTAGAGCTGCCCGGGGGCAGCTCGAGCTTGCTAAGTAGTGGAGGAGGGCGGGGCAGTAGTACAACGACCGAGATGATGATGAATTCTGTGGCAGTAGAGGACACGACGTCAAGAGGACATTATCATCGTCATCATCATCATCGTCTTTCTAGCGGACAGCAGACGACTTTTGAAGACTTGAAGATTCAAGTTCAGGAGATTCTGAATGCAGTAGCGGTCGTGAACAGAACAAGCAGTACTTCTGGTTCATTTGGGAAGATGCCGCGACAAACCGAGACCACGACGCCAAAAATTGCTGACCACGACGTCCACAGTAGAGGCCAACAAAATAGTATTAAACTGCCTTCCACGAAGATGAAAGAACTACAAGCCCCTGCAGCTCATGTGCTCTCCGGCACTGATCTGCACCTGTCCTTGAGCATCCGACAGCAAATGACTTTCTACGACGAAGACCACGCGCGCAGGCCCGCCCTCTGGTTCGATCCCGACCGCGAACAGAAACTGAAGCTCGCCGCGGAAAGCGAACGGCAGAAACGGTTTGCGACGTTGCTGCGCAGTGTGACTCTGGATCAACAGGCCGCGCCGAGCGTCGACGTGCAGGCGGTGCTGCGGGAGCATAAAGAAGGAGCAGTCTTGGTTGTGAAGACTGATGCTACAAAGGAAATAATTAAAACCGCTACTTGTAGTTCTACCGCCGAGTTGATGTTGAATACAAACAGTACTAGCGGGAGGTCCTGCGGCTTCAGCGGGGGAAAAATCCTGAATGGGGACGTCGAAAACAGTTCAAATTCTTCTATCCTATGTAGAAACGTCCGCACCCCAGAGTCAAGATGGGGAATCGGCTAGACAAATCGACAAGTTTTGGCTGTTTTGCATGACAAATTTGGACTCGTAGTGTAGTGCTGTTGGAGGTAGTTCAGCAGCATAACAGATCTAGTATACCATTCTGATTGGAGCATGACAAATTCCAAAACACGAATAGAAAACGCTTCTCTATGGGGCTCTGCATGAGAAACATTCTCAGCATGCAGATTTGCATTACAACTGTGGGATGGGGACGTTTTTAAATACGATATCTTCGTCCCCTTCGTCAGGAGATCTACTCTGGATGAACGGGGAAAAGAACGACCCGAAAAAAATAAATGGTGCGACCATTCTTAGTTCATCTTCTTCATCATCCTCCGCTTCCAGAACTGTGGAGGAACAGATGGCTTCACCACCCCCACCGCCACCACTGGAGAAAGGAGTAAATGAAAAGACAGCTGTATACAGTGCAAAAGTGTATCGTCTTCGTCCGAGGAAGTATCTATGTTGAATCGCATGACAAATTTTCTCACAAAGAAAATTGGTAGTTGTCATGCATGGCTAGTGCTATTGGCATTGGTACGAGCAGTTGTACGATATTATCTGTTGCAATGCATAAGCTGCTGACTCTGGCGAGGTGAAGGCTCCCGTGAACGCGGGTTTTTCAGAACTGTTGCAGTTCGCAGCATCCTGAAGATCATGCGTGTGAAGGATCATCGTATGCGCGTTTTATACTAACCGCATCTAGCTATTTCTAGGAGTAGCATGCTGGCATGCGACAGACGACGAACATACTAGGTTATTTTTCACGACCATGGATATTACAAGAAGATAAAAGAGAAACACACGGTGGAGGTCCTCGCAGCACTACACAAAGAGCGCGCGTTTTTGAGTTGATGTTGATGCTTTACCTAGTTGTCAAACGACTAGCATGAAGATTTTTCATGGCAAGAAGCATGTTTCAAAGGATCTTGTTTTGCTCAACAGATTTTGATGTAGTTAAAGCAAAAATATAGACGTAGTGTTCGCGCAAAAAACTTCTGTGTCGTTCAACTCGTGACCACCGCATGGTTGGAAGAAAGTGCAAGTCGTGTGAATTATGGTGTCAGACAAAGCTGTGTACCAATAGAATGGAGCATGATGAAACAAGTAGAACAATGACGATGTGAGGACAAATAGAGACTGCTGCGGCGTTTCAACCTGAACTGCTCAAGAACTGGAGCAGGTAATTTCTACCACCTACACGTTGTAGAGCACTGAAGATAGAGTGCGAAAAGAACTTCAGAATTTGTGTAGAAGTAAAAATTCCAGTATCACCAGTATCTGTATCAGTAGGTGAAAATAAGCAAAGGAAGTTGTAAGTAGCATAGCGCATGAATATGAAAATTGTGTGTTTACAACGTCGACCACGATAGACAATTTTCATATCTGTCGTTTGATCTTGTACTTGAAGCGACAACAAATAGACAAAATGTTTGTGAATCCGTTGAGTGGTGTCGCCATGGGCGGAATGGGAGGAGGTGGCATGTTCGGAGCGGCCCTCCCAGCTGCCTCGCCAAACGGAGACGGTACCGGGGTTTATGTTGATAGTACAGAGGTGGACGCAGTAGAGGCACGGCTGGGCCACACGTGATCATGAAACAGGAGGGCCAGATACAGATTGAAGTTGGTACGACCTTGCGCAATATAAAAAAAGCCATGATCAAATACAAGCGTTCTTTGATTCGAATTCAGGTACTCCGGGCGGCGGCGCCTCTCCGTTCGGCGTCGGTATCATGAGAAAAAAGTGTTACAGATACACATTTGTTGGAGTTTCTGCATCACAAATTTTCTCTTAATGGCAGAGTAAACATGTAATGCGAAGATCATAAGGGAAAACAAGAAGGAAACGAGGTTCCCAAGCATTTCCTGCATGAAAAAGGTTGTCTGTGTTGCCGGTCTTGCATGACAATGCGTAACTGTAACACTTTTTTCTTGCGATAGTCGGGGGCATGATGCCACTGTCCCAGAGCTCTGCTGCTGGCGGCAATATCAAATGTAAAAATGTCTGGGTCTGGAAGAATGCAACTTGTGATGCTACATTTGGATTCCAAAAAAATCTGTATTGCATGAGTAGCAAAGGGAGTGCAATTTCTGCTACGCTGAGAAGACATTTGTCATGCGGAATAGGCATCAAGAAGCCCTCAGGAAATCTGTATTGCTAGGGTATGCATCACAGACATCAGGGCTAATGCAAAACGTGCATGACAAGTGTCAGAATCTTCCAGACCCAGACATTTTTACAGTTGATAGGCAACGCGCCCAGGCAAAAAAACTTCGCACTTCCTGTCACAATCAAGGCACTGAAAAACGGGGAGCGAGGTAAATGAATGTGATGAATTATTTTTCTAGGGGAACTTTCACTTAAATATTTCAATGTGTAAAATAAAGTGAATCTGAATTATGTGTTGGAGTGTCTGCGTTTTTGCTTCAATGTTTTTCCTTACCTTTCATCGAGCAAGGAATCAATATGCACGTCGCGGCGTGAGAGGGAGCAGCAGAAATTGAATTCATACGAAACTACTACAGTTGATGACAAAGAGTACAAAGTGTACGGCGTCGTGAACGCCAAATCAGTGATGCTGGTGGCCCAAATCGTTACGCTGAAGCGTGTATCCTGAGTAAGAACGTCCCGACCCCATAGTAAAGATGGGAAATCTGCTAGACAAATCAACAAGCCGTGGTAGTTGTTGCGCATGACAAATTTAAGCTAGTGCAGTGTAGTCGTGTTGAGCTAGTGCAGCAGCATCGCAGAGCTTCTTGCGCGTCGTGCTGATTCGAGCACCACAAAGCTCAAGACACCACTAGAAATAAACGCTTCTCAGCATGGGTCTCGTCCGCATGAGAAACGCTTTGAGCATGCAGATTTTCATGACAACTCTGCGGTGGGGACGTTTTTACTCCGGATAGCGTGGCGGCCAAATGACGGAGATGGTGCTCGATGACTCAACGGACTATGAAATGTAAAAATGTCTAGGCCTGGAAGATTGCAACTTGTGATGCTGCATTTGGATTCCAAAAAAATCTGTATTGCATGAGCAGCAATGGGAATGTAATTCTTGCTACGCGGCGAGGGCATCGGCTTCGGCATTTGTCATGCGGATAGGCATCAAGAAGCCCTCAAAAAATCTGTTATGCTATGGCATGCATCACAGATATCATGGCTCATGCAAAACGTGCATGACAAGTCTCAGAATCTTCCAGACCCAGACTTTTTTACATTTGATACGGACACAATAACGGCAACATGGTACTTACTACAGTGTTGCGAATGCTGCGTTTCTTGTCAACATTGCAATAGGAATTATGTACTTCTAAATATGTTCAATTAATAGATACTTTCTGGCTTTTTCTTGTTTGTGTTTTATTTAGTGACGACCTAATATGACATCAAACACGAACTTGTTTTTCTTAAGGTTCGGGCAACCCGCAGACTATTCGGTAATCGGCGATATTATATCCCCAAAAAAAAAAACTGTTACTGTAACTGGCATCCGTCTTAAACAGGAACCGTTGCAGAGGACTTAGCATTCCGCTCCCTACTAGGAAAAGCTGCGACTTGATGTCAGAAGCATTGAACAAAGAGAAGATCTTTCCCCTCCTTGCATCTGTTTGTAGATGTTCTTGAGCATGACAAAACATCAAGACGTTCATTCTCAGAGATGAAGTTCCGCGAGGACACAAGTTGAGCCTGTAGCAGTTTCAATATTTTCAGTCGATAGATTAAGGAGAAAATGTACATTCGAGTGGCTTGCTCGCTGCGCACAAGAAATATCGAATGCAAAGATGTCAACTTCTTGGTCTGCACGATGGATTTTTGTGCAGCGTTTCGATCTTCACGTAGATGGTCCGGATTGTACGCAAAAGCATTTCAATTTTTGCCTTTATTGCGCAAGCCTCTTGATGCCTGAATTGCAATTGCATGAGAATAAATTCGATATTTGGGTTGCAAGAGATGGGCAGCAACTTCTGGCGCCGCGCATGCAACACAAATAATTCATTTTGCGTGATTCAGTTCGTGCATCACAAGTTTGCATCCACTTACTTTACAGACCCAGACTAGTACATATTTGCAATGCATAAGGAAGGACGAGGTACAACTTTCTGCACAGCACATCAATGTAGCAAAGGGCGACGACATTGCCCACCACTTTGCTGACGTCGCATACACCGCGTTGACCTACATAAAAGGTAAGAATTCATATTTTTAAGTATCTTCATCTAGGCCCTGACCAGTACTTACAACCTCTCCTCCTCCTCCCCGTTCGTCTCGCATCCGTGAGAATGGAATTCGATACCGATCAGCTCTGGACGAATCGCTTTGATGCTGTGAAGATTTCGGAACAAAACAACTCCAGGTAAAGCTAAATCCGATAGTACCAGCGCGCCCGCTTCGCAGTCGCAGCCGGGACCGAGTCCAACGGCACCCACTGCTGTGCCACCAACCGCAACTGGGGATGTCACCATGACAGACGCAACGCCAGCGGCACCCAGCACGGCTGCCGCTCCTAGCACGGCCGTTGCGGCGCCACCACCAGCCGCCCCAACAAAGGAGCTGAAAGCCCTGATGCAAGAGTATTATTTTGCATTCAGCATACTCCTTGTTGTTTGTTGTTGTTTTCCGCTTAGCAAGCAGGATGGAACTTCTACTTTATATTTCGTGATGGAACTCGAACTTCTACAATTTTAATTTTTGGTTCTAATATTCATTAGATTCGAATGAAACAACTTACCATCAGGTGCTTGAAGGCTAAGGGCGAAACGGGTGGAACTTATGCGGAGGTGGAAGCATACTGCAAATCGCAATACAGTCCCGAATATCCACTGCAAAAGTATCGTACCTTTAGTACTACTAGTCGCATCAACAATGCATGACAAATTTGGTTGGCCACCTGAATCTGCATGAAAAAATATCTAGTTCTTGACTGAAAGAATTTGATGATGTCATGCTGATTATACTAGGACGATGCAGTACTTTTGTAATGCATACCGAGGAAATCAAGAAGCTATGGGAGAATCTCATCGACGAGTGCGACTTGTTTGCAACCATCGACGACGATCACTACAACTTCGGGGATATGTAGGGGAGCTTATGGATTGTAAAAATGTCTGGGTCTGGAAGGTTGGAACTTGTAATGCTAGCTTTCCATACCTAGAAAATCTGTATTGCGTCACTAACAAAAGGAAAAGTCGCAGCCTCCTTTGTCATGCAAAAACGCAGTTTCTCATGCGGATTGCCTATGAGAAAGCGTTTTGGGAAGTTGTCATGCCGGACTGCATTCGGAAGTGTTTTTATTATGCACATTGCAGCATCACAAGTTTCCAGACCCAGACACTTTTGCATTTCATAGAGCTACAGCTAAAGCAATTTACCGCGGTCGGGGAGCTGCAGCTAAAGGAGCAACTACTACGTCGCATTTGGTCAATGAGCAGGTTCACAGACAGGAATCAATTGTTTATGTCACAAAGAATTTGTGTCATCAAGAAGGAATCAAATTCTCACTCGCACAGATACGCATTCCTGAATTTATCTTACCCGACATTGGTGAGCAGGGCCGAGATCGTTGCGGATTTATTTCGGGTTGCGTTCTTCGTGTGTGTGACTCTGAGTGTGTGTGAGAGTGTGTGCTTAGTTACCACGACAAGAATAGCTGACCGGTGTTGTTACGTTACGAGAGAAGCGACTATTTATTTATTCAGGGTCCTCGTCGAGCAGCTTCATTCCCTGCTTCTTGTCGTTTTTCGTTTACGTATTTACGAAAGCGATGAGTGTGCGGCACACTACTTAGTACGAAACTGATCTATCGTGCGGATGTTGAGGAATGGATAAGAATTGTTTCGGCCAAGAAGATGCGGGTCCACCCGGTCGGGGAAAGCAAAGATGACCCAAGAACACAAGATCCGAGCAGGCCTGATTTCCCGTCTCCAAACCTGACTCCGGCAAGCAAACCGCGGGCAACATGAGCCCTTGTCTACACGTACTTTCGCTTTTTGTGCCGCTTTTCTGGCAAAACCAGACACACAAGACGATTATGCCTCTCTACAACTGTCATTGCATATTCATTGCTTCGGTCAGACCCTGTAGTTTACAGTATCAGTCTCTGTGAACGATTGCTTCGAAGTGCATCAACGGCTTCAAAAAACAGGTACGGTGACCAATTTTTCGGTGACTCGCTCTCAACCGCGAAACAACTAAAAAGCGGCTACTAGGGCTACAGCTACAACATCCTACGACTCCATATCCAAGTTCTTTGTTCTGGTGGCCGGTGCCGGCTGCTACCTTAAGAACTTATGTCGCGGGGATATTAATCCTCGTACTGCATAACTTCTACCAGCAACCTCGTCCTCCTGAATCAACAGCACTCCTCTCCGCGCAAAAATAAAATGCGAGTCAATAAAGCGAGAAGTTCTTTCTGCTCCGTGGTCCTGGTGGTGTCTGGTGGCGGAAATTTATTTTCCAACACAGGATGGTGCATAGTGAAGAACCTTGTGCACAGCAAGAAGCAGCAGCAAAACCAAAACCGCATCTTCGTGGTGGACCACGAGGCTGCTTTGTCGACAAGTCGTGACGCCGAAACGAGCGAAAATATCGTCCAGAAAAACGCGTCTACTCCAGAGTTGTCATGCAGATTTGCACTTACAGGAAAAATGGAGTGGAACGCCTGCAGTGCGCACCCCATGAGAGGCATTTTTTCCATGTCGTTATCGTCTAGTTTCAGCATTTGTAAATAAAATACCGGAAGTGAAGTCTTCACTGTGAAGAGCAAGTGGATATATATAGGATTTATGATAAAAATAAAATATGGCTTTGTGAAGATGCGTCTGTCCCTGCCAAACTGCACTGCAATACAGAATACACAGGAATAAACCGCCCCGCGTGAGGACAACTCCCAAAACTTCTGTTGCTGAATTTCCAACTCAACTCTGGGGTGCGAGCGACGTAGTTCTTACACAGGATAGAAAGTAACGCGGATCAAGTACTAGAAGACGCGTTTTCTCCAGCAGCGAGTGAATTGGAGCAACAAGCTATCCAAGAAAAAAATATTGTAGGTGTAACTTTTTTGGAGGAACAGCATTACAAATTTGTCTGGCATGACAGCAAAAACGTGTCATGCGCAAATAGTACGTGAAAACGCCCTTTCATGGGCCCTACGATGCATGCCAAGCATGACAGACGCAATTATCTTGCATGTTGCGCATCACAAATTTACACCAACAGCGTTTTTTTCTTGGATGCAAGCTGTCGGCGAGCAAGGACAGGTGGTGCCGGCCACGTTCGACGAGACAAAACAATGGATGCAGTACAACTACTACAAACAGTATCTTCCCGTCGAGGAAAATTATCCGCAAGACTTCTACTCTGCAAGAAGACCAACCACGGCGGAGCTACTCGACTTCTTATGCATTGCAAATAAACGAAATAATCGCCATCTTCGTACTAAAAGTATTGCATTTTAAGTACAGACATACAATCTTTTACTTTTTTAGCAGGAAAAACAAAACTTGTAAATGAATGCGGACTTGTTCTTACCTTAGGAAGCAATGGATACCTACGTCATTATCATGCAGAGCTGCAATTAGTACGACGAGTGCGATTTGCTTTTGCAGTGGATGCGTCTCCTGTAGCGGCAATGTCACCGACATCTCCACCCCGTCCTTCGTCGTTCCCCCGTGGAAAATACTGGTCCAGCACAGTTTGAGGCTGCAAGGGCTGGTGGACAATCTGGATGCGTTCGTCCACACGGAGATCGGAAAAAGTAACCTGGACCAGCAAAGCGAGACGCTGGCGTTGTTACTTCCGGAGAGATGGGGCCTGACCGCGTACGATGCCGATCTAGCGCTGCGCACGCGACGAGTGACCGGGCGCTGGGCCCCTTTTTTGAAAAACCTTTACTGCCCACCTGGTCGGTTGCAAGCGTTCCAAGACCGCGATCGCAATCAGGACTTGTTGCTGGACAAGGCGGAGCAGGTCGAGTGGGGGTGCCCCGTTTCGGCGGACACCAACAAGGATGGGTTTCTGGACGGTATCGAATGGGGGCAGCACTGCGACTATCAAATGTAAAAATGTCTGGGTCTGGAAGAATGCAACTTGTCATGCTGTCTCTGCATTCTAAAAAAATCTGTATTGCACGACCAGCAAGAAGGGTCCAGTTTGTGCTACATGGAGAGGGTATTTCTCATGCGGGATAGGCATCAGAAAGCCCGCTAAAAATCTGTGATGCCAGGCGATGCATTACAGACGTCATATGTCATGTAAAATCTGCATGACAAGTCTGGCACTCTTCCAGACCCAGACATTTTTACATTTGATAGCGACCGGGAAAACGAAATAAAGGGAAGTGGGCCAGCGAAGGACCACGACGTTGCTGCAATAGAGAACAAAAAACAGCCACCCCAAACAACAAGCACCTGCCAACATAAAGAGCGCGCATCCTCCTCCGACGACACCCACCATCCTCCTCCCGGACCTTCCTTCCATCCTCCTCCCCGGCCTTTCCTCCTCCCGCCGGAACCTTCCATCCTCCTCCCGGCCCTCCCATCCTCCTCCCGGACCACCCATCCTCCTCCCCGGCCTTTGGTCCTCCCTCCGGAACCTTCCAGCCTCCTCCCGGATCCCCCATCCTCCTCCCCGGCCTTTGGTCCTCCCGTCGGAGACTTCCATCCTTCTCCCGGACCTCCCAGCCTCCTCCGGGGCCCTCGCTCAATCCTCCTCCGAGGCCGCTCATCCTCCTCCCCACCCACCCTTCCATCCTTCTCGGGGACCTTCCATCTATCTTCCTCCCGGGCCTTCCTTCCTCCTCCGGGACCCCCTTCCTCCTCCCAGACCTGCGATCCTCCTCCGCTGCCTTCCATCCTCCTCCGGGGCCTTCCATCCTCCTCCCGGACCTCCTATCCTCCTCCGGGTCCGTCCATCCTTCTCTCGGGCCTCCCATCCTCTTCCGGGGCCTCCCATCCTCCTCCCCGGGGCCTTCCATCCTCCCCGGGGCGGGCACACGCGGGGGAGGTCGGAGGGGGGGCTGGAGGAGGAGGCCGGAGGACAGGAGGGGGAGGTCGGAGGACAGGAGGAAGAGGTCGGAGGACAGGAGGAGGAGGTCGGAGGACAGGAGGAGGAGGGCGGAGGACAGGAGGAGGAGGTCGGAGGACAGGAGGAGGAGGTCGGAGGACAGGAGGAGGAGGTCGGAGGACAGGAGGAGAAGGTCGGAGGACAGGAGGAGGAGGCTGGAGGACAGGAGGAGGAGGTCGGAGGACAGGAGGTGGAGGTCGGGGGACGAAAGGAGGGAGCTCGGAGGGCCGGGCCAGGAGGTCAGAGGACGGGGCCAGGAGGTCGGAGGACCGGGCCAGGAGGTCGGAGTGGGGCCGCCGGGCGGCTCCGGTCCTGAAGTGGGGCCTCAGGCGGGCGCCTTGCGCAACCGCTAGACCTTCCCGGCAGTGCTGCGTCCGGGTTGGCTGCTCCCCCATGCGAAGCAATATAATGCCCACGCCACACTACGCCCACACGACAGGCGCCAAAGGCGCACTTGGGGCTTGCGGTGGTTAACCACGGTGGGACGTTCCCGCTCTCGCCTGATAGTTGTTGGCTTCATTGCTTTTGTCTCGCTTTTTCCTGTAGTTGTTTCTGTTGGCAGTTGCTATCTAGTGGGGCTGTGTTCTCGGTGTTCGATTGCTAGTAAAGGGAAGTGGGCCAGCGAAGGACCACGACGTTGCTGCAACTACTCACCAGAAGGAAATTGTAGCAGATACTTCGCGAATTTAAGCAGATCCAAAAGTTGCCGCTTTTTATCATTTTATTTGGCATTGTGAGGACGAAGGTCAAGCCTTGGTCGTCAAGGTAGCAGGTCCAGGTGGCACTCCCCATGACGTCCTGGCTGCATGCTGGAGAAGCTTACCGCTGAATCCGCTTGCGCGAGGGTTACGCACTCGCTTGGGCCGATAGGGATATTAGAGAGGGCGACTGAGAAGGGCGGTCGGCCCCTCCAGCCAACAAAATTCGGCATTGCTGCCCCAGTTGCCCTCTGACCTGCTTCTAGTATTTTTGTTGGAGCAGGCGCATTCTTTAGCCTCACCATGATGGTGCTCCATCTTCATTTTTGCGCTATGCAGCCTCACCTCGTGCGCCTGCGTTGCCTTGCCCCTGTTTTACGATGTGGCGTCGCGTTTTCAGTCTTTACGGCACATTCGTAGAGGCACACGCGGCCGCTCGGAAGCAAAGCAGCCCGCCGCGACGTTTTTACTCGCGCGCGCCAAAGGTTTCGGCGCAGGGGTGTTGCGCGTTTCATAGGGTGGCCGGGAATAAAAAAAAAACAGCTGGCGGCCGCGGCGCGGAGCCACTGCACGAGACGCGGCGCCACTTCGCGAAAGCATTAAAAGCGAACAAATGTTCCGCGCGCAGGTCGCGGAAACAATTCGCAAAGCCAATAAGTTAGGCCCTCCGTGTGGAGGGTTGAGTGAAACTGTCGTGCTTCGTTGGACAGGAAAGCTCGGCTTCTTCTTGCGTCGCTAGCGGCCCACAAAGAAACCGGCCCCTCCGCCCGGAGGGGGCGGCTTCTTTAGGACCCGGAG